ACCAGAATTCTAGTTAATCTAACCAGAATTCTTGTAATTCTGATTAATCTAACTTGAATTCTAGTAATTCAAGTTAATCTAACCAGAATCCTAGTATATCTAGTTAATCTAACCAGAATGCTAGTAATTCTAACCAGAATTTTTTCACTTTACAGAGTTTAAAGCAATGAAAAAAAAAGCATAATGGCGCATGCAGATCAGGAATCTAAAAGAAAACAATTCCGACCTTCGATCGCGAGCAAGTTAGGTTATCGAGGTAGTGGTGGAGGCCGCGATGGAACTTGGGTGAAATCGACCATGGATTCGTGTGTTGGGGCTACTTGAGAATGGACAACACTGAAGCAATTGCGTATATTCAGTCTCTCTCTCTCCCTCTCTCTTAAAATCACTTTCTCTTTTTTTCATATGCTTTTTAACACGCACACTATACACATATAGCAGTTATAGGTTCAATAGTAAACATGTATATGTGTATAGTATTCTCTATACTATACGGATAGTGGGCATACAACGATTCTCGTATTTCTCGTACGTTTCGTAGTAAAAGTCCTCTCCTTCTTTACGAGATTGCACTTCATTTTTTTTTTTCTCTCTCTCTCGTATATATGAGTTGAAAGGCTTAATATTGTGGGTAAAAAAGAGGGGCAATAGATGGTATAGTAGTGGGAAGTTGCAAAGTAGTCCTCAAAGCATACTAATTGTCCTCGGGAATTTGTAATAATTTTTATAAGGAAAAATTAGACAAACAATATCGAAAGAAAATTTAGTTTAATATTTTTCAATCATTAAATAAAGAAACAAGTTTTACTGAAAAATATTTTTTTTAAATTATTAAAATTATTAAATTAAAAATATACAAAAATAAAAAAAATTGAACTAACTTTTTTGTTTTCACAGTTCGTCCTACTTTTTTTTTTTGTTTTTTAAATAAAATAAAGAATATTTTTTTAATACAAAATTTTTGAGAATTTTTTTTTTTCTATGAAAGATACTTTTGTTTTCTAATTTTACGTAATTTTAAACCCCATATTCGTTGGGAAATTTATATTGTCTATTATTACACCCGCATGATTTTATACACCCTTTATGATTTTGCACCTGTTCTTTAGAATATAAATAAAATTTAAACCAAAATAACATTGTATGTATAGTATATATATATATATCAATTTTCAATGTATATATATTATACAAAAAATTTAATATATTATTTTATACACTTATTTTATATGATTTAAAAAAATATATATATTTTTCCAGAAACACAATCTAAAACTCGTCTAATAATTTTTGAAAAAATAATTTTTGTATATTAAAAATTAACTTTACAAAAATATATTATAGTTCTAATAAAAAAGTTTTCTTTATTTTTATTTATTTATGTAAATTTTATTGCAATTCTTTCTCTATCCCTATTTATCAATATTATTTAAAATAAATTTAGTTAAAAATTTTTTTTAAATAAAATAAAAAAAAATATTGTTTTTTTTTTGTTTATAAGAATGGATCAATTGTTTTTCTATCCACTTTTATAAATATATGACAGGTGCGCAAGACAGTTGACTGCAGCTTTTCAATGTTTTGACCATGTGGCATTAAAAAATATATATATTGCAAGGAGTATATTTTCACCATAGTTACGTTTGATCGAATAATGTTTGCCTTCTGATGCAATAACCTACTAGCTATCATCAAATAAATGTAAAATAAAATTTTCATGTAATAATAAAAAATAATAATAATAATAATAATAATAATAATAATAATAATAATAATAATAATAGTAATAAAATAATAATAATAATAATAATAAAATAATAATAATAATATTAATAATAATAAAAGCTTAATTTTATCTCTAAACTGAGACGAGACTTAATGGTCGAATATTTAACCAAAGATTGAATTCCATGTTCTCTTATCAGTTTATTTGTTCATGACGAGTTACGTTTGTTATTTGTCTACCTAGTGCAAAGCTAATGGTAAGCCCATCACTTTCGGTATATTAGGTTACTTTTCTCAGAAATAATATTCTTTAAAAAAAAAATACAATTGAAATAATAATAAAATAATTCGAAAATAGTTATACTTAATAATGTTATTATTTTATGCTCGAATCATTATAAAAAATTTTATGAAAGAAATATAAATATTATAAAAAAAACTCATCAAGTAAATTCTTTTAAAAAAAAATCGTTTTGTTTGATAAGATTCTAAAAAATTTGTTTTAAACGAAAAATTTTAATCATTCTCCTATATGGACAATAAAGCAAAAATTTATTCGAAAATTAAATATCTTTTCCAAATATATTTAAAGAGAACTATAAACATAACCTTAAATCCAAAAATATTTATATAGTATACAAAAAAAGGTAAACAATAATACGAATTTTTCTATTTTGAAAAAAAAAATTGAAATATATTAACAATAATTTATATTATTATTTCCTTCTCTGTATATAAAAATATTTTGTTCGTGATTATCTTATCTCATGACAACAAAAAACAATTACACTTGATTAATTTTTTTATCATCATTTTTTTTTTTTTCAAAAACTATCTCTTGCTGCAAAATATTGACCCAGTAATATTTTTATCAATTATTTCACATACGAGATTTAAATATTTTATATTAATTAAGTATAATGAAAAGATTTCCGAATATAGTATATATATACAATGCATACAAGTGAATAATGCATATTGTATGAATTTTAAAAAAAATGAAAAAAAAAGTTCACCGGCGAAACTCAAGACATTCCCATCTTACGCAACATCTCTTTAAATGTACAAAAAGAAAGTAATTTTCCTTTTCCTGCCTTTAAGATTTAACCAGAAATTATACCAACTATAGACCAACAATCACGCAAACCTAGAAATAATCCGTTACTTTCATTATTATATTATAAAACATTTACTGCGAGGAGTGGCTTATACAAAAGAATGACAAGTTTATAATTTTAAAAAATTTAAATTTTCTAAATATTTCATCTATTCGACAGTTTTAAAAATATAGAAAACTAATAATTACAAACTTCATTATTATTATTATTATTATTATTATTATTTATTATTATTGTTAATCTTATTATTTTCGCCAGGAAAAAATTTACGAGTTAATTTTATGTATAGAAAGCGCATTGTTTTTTTTTTATATTTAATTTTTGTAGGTTATGTATTTGTGTCACTAATTAAACGCAAGTCATAAAATTTGACGTTACGACTTTTGTTTCTCATAAAAAAAATTATTTCTTTCAATATTTTTACGTCTTGAATTTCACAAAATTGAGAAAAGATATTAGAAACTGATTTTTAAATACTTGTTAGAGAAAGTTTATTTTTCTATATCTGGAACAATAGATTTTCTTTGCAAAATTTTTTACTTTTTATAATGAAAATAATGAATCATTTTTTTTTTGTCGACTGTATTATTGTTTATGTTGTGCCTTAAAAGAAACCTTAAGATAACATTCTTATTCGGGTCTCATATACTATAAAACTGGGTCATTTACAAGTATCTAACACTGACCAATTAATTCTATTAACTGCTTATATGAACGTCGTAATTGCAAAGTTGATTTATCACGTTCAAAAAAAAAAAAAAGTCAAGATAGAAAAATTTTGATTATTTAAGAGAAAGAATGTACTGAAATATACTATATATATTTTAATTACAATAGCATTCCGGAATCATTTGCAATAACTTAGTTATGAGTCAAGTTTCCTGATTACAATAATGACATGTATAGGTAACTGGACGCGACTCCTTTGTTAAGAAAATTAAAAACGTTGATTTGTCAAATTCTTAAAGATTCTCGAAATTCTCTTTTCTCAAATTATATTGAAATCGTTTAACCATTAAAAAAAAAAACCTTTAACCCTTTTTCAAATATGACATAATTCACAATAAATCAAAAGAAACTGAAATATAATTTAAAAAAATGTTTTCGGAAAAATATTTAAAAAAAAAAAATTCACATGGGAAGTTCGACGTACGAAGTAACCCTGGTAACGTAAACGTTTCTGCATCAACAGGTCCGACGGTTTAAATAATAGAAATGAGAAACAACTCGGAAACTGTTAACAATTTTCAAGAATCTAAAGTGAGTGGAGTGGATTCTCTTACCTTGCTTTTTCAGAGTAAGAGGCTACAAGAGATTTCTCCTTGAAAAAAATTACTACTCCATAGTTTAAAGCGCCATCCGCTGCTACCGGCTGTGTCCTACTCGCACTTTTTTTTTCCTTCAAGTTCAAACACTACACTTTGATGCACATTATTCTTTCGACACTCACTTGAAATCAAATACAACACTTTTTCGCTATGCTATCACGATATTATAACTTATATAAACAATGGAAGCAGGTACAAAAGTTTGGACGGAATTTTTGTATACGGAAAAAGTTCTTTTTTTTTTTGAATAAAAGACACAACACATAAAACCTTAACAACTCAACGGCGCGCGTCACCAGTGAGAACTGACTGGCGTATGGCGTTTATCCGGAGGCCAGACCCTCAGTGTTTCTCTTACTTTCAAACATTTCACTATTTATTCATCAGAATAGATAATTAACGAATTCTCACCTATAAACGATCGAAAATACACTACAATAACATATACAGTCTATTGTTTCTTAATTAATGATAAATTCTTCTTTTAATAGACAAAATAGTCAACAACCGGTTTGAGGGACGGTTAGAATTGAGAACTACTGACTAGATACGTTTATGCGCATGCGTTGTTGACCTGCAGATAAAGCAGATTGTGACATCATGCAAAAATTTTTTACCAACAATACTGTCGGTAAAGTAAATAAGCGGGAATTTTTAAAAATAATAATTATTTAATAACAATAACTGAAAAATTAAATTACAATAATAATAAATTATTATTATATAAATAATATTAAGCGTTTTCTTTTTTTAAATTATAGTAAATAAAGAATTTTTCTTTTTAAAATACAAGTATACACATGCGCATAGATGACATTTGGCAAGTTTACGCAAGTCTAATATGGTGTCAGCTGTTGCAAAGTAAAATTGCGTAAAATTTATAACAATGTAAAATTGTGTGCAATAATTAAACGATTTTTGTGCTATGGACGAAGAAATTGATATATATGCGGATATACCAAGTTTTAATGAAAATGATTCACATAAAGTAAGTATAGTTATAAATTGCATATGACAAACACTTTTGCAGGTTATGTTGTTATAATAATTAAAATTTTTTAAATATTTTGTTTAGTGTAAACAATGCGTGAAATTGGAAACACAATTAAATGAATTGACGAATAAATTTAAGGGTCTTGAGAAATGTAGTAAAATATTGGAGGATAATTACTCGTCACTATTATTGACAGCTAAAGGTGAAATCACGAGAAAGGAACGAATGATCGATGATCTTCGACAACAGTATGTATATTTATATCTTTTGCTAAAAATTTGCTTTTTTCTTTTTATATTACAAAATAAATAATATTTTTTTTAAACCATTTTCCTCTTATTTTGAAGTTCAAAATGTTGACCATTTTAGGTTATGTTTATAAATCGAAAGTTTCTTAAACCTTTTCAATACACCTTACGATACATAAATTATAAAATTTTTTAAAAATAATTTTCTAGATTGAATGATAGAACATTTCGACGAGGAAAATACAGACAAGATACACAAATTTCTAAATCCAAATTTACTAATGAATCACAGGTTCATGTTCCAATACCACCACCGGAGATTATAAAAAATATTGAACCTCAAAATGCAATTGTCGACGTGTCCGAATATATTTGTAATTCAGCGCCAAATATTAAAGACGACGATGACGTTGAACAAAAATATGAACCAAATAAAATTTTCAATACCGTTTATTCTCAAAGACTTAGGAAAAAATTACAAGATGAAGACAATAAAAAGAAGATATTGGAGAATCAAGAGAGTGAAAATGAGAAGAAAATTGAAGAAAACATGGAAAGAAAAGAAGAATTGGAAAATATAAAATCACCTGTGCCTGATAATTTAAAGGAATTAAATGTAAAATGTAATATACATAACAAGGAAAATGTATCATCTTCAAATCAATTACAATCATCGACATTAAATTCACAATCAACAATAACGAGTTCTTTAAATGAGGAAAATTCCATTAAAAATAAAACTATTTTCACAAATAAATCATCAACTAAAAGATCTCACGATGATAATGATGAAATTATTTCAAATAAACGTATAAAAACAGAAATAGTTTACGAGCATTATCGCGAAAATTGGGGCATTGATAATGAAACAGAATCAATTGAAAAACAAAATCATAAATCTGAAACTTATAATTATAATACTAATTTTGGAAAATTTAATGAAATAAATGATGAGAAATATAGTAAAAAAATGGAAAATTCTAGTCATGATTCACGTCTCAATCAAATTTCAGAACAATCAATATCAACATTTCTTCAAGAAAAACGTAGAGATGTGGAAAAAAGAGAGAATTATGATAGAGGAAGACATGAACATGATAAATATAGAAATAAATACGATTCAGAGAGATATTATGATAATGATAGAGATCATAGGGATGTAATTAAGCATAAAAAATATGAGAGAGATTATTATAGACATGAGAAATATGATAAGAGAAGATACGATGATAAATATGAAAATACAAGATATGAACGAGAACGAAATGATAAATATAGTAAAAGAACAAGAAGATCGGAAAGTTTAAGTCCAGAGAGAAATTATTCGAGATATAAAGACAATTTAAGAGGCGATAATTTTGGACAACGGCAGAAGGAGAAATTTAATGAGAATCAGAAAAATAAAAATGAAGATTGGCGAGATAAATTTGATCGTCCTTGTGATACGGATGTTAAATTAACAATGAATGATTTCAATTCTAGAAGACAACAATGGCGAAACAATAGTAATAATTGTTCAGCGAGAAGTAAAAGTTGTGGTAGCGGTAGAGATAGAAGAGATAATATTTACAATTCCGAAAGAAGTAGAAGTAGAGGTAAAGAATTAAAAATTACCGATCCAAATAAAAAAATTAGTTTGGAAAATTATAGAGCACGAAGAGATCAACGCAGTGATTCCTCGGAGAAGAAAATTAATAGAAAAAGTTCAGAGAAGGAACAGAAGTTAAAAGAAAATTCCACAAGAAATAGAAGATCAAGTACGGATAAAATTTCAAAAAAAGATGAATTTATAGAATCAAAAATTATTTCCAATGAAAAAAACCAAACGATTTTAGTAAAAAAGAATACAAAACTTTCAAATATTCCCGAAGAATCAATAAATAAGAAATTAGAGGACGGAGAACATTCTAAAAATAAAAATACTTTAAAATTGTCAGTAATTTCAAATTTAGAAGAAAAAGGAAAAATTGAAAAAAAAGAGATCACAAAAATTGAAATTAATAACAAGACAAAAGATAGTGAAAATTCTAATAAAGAAATATTGCTCACGGATAATTTGCCCAACGAAATCAAGGAAAAAAATAATGAAAATAAATTAACAAATTCAAATCCTAAACTGGTTCAAGCAATTCTTGGTGAAATTTTAAACAACACTATCGAGAGACATGTACAAAGTCTCGATTCATTTATTGAATCGGCAGAGAGAATTTTGGAAGAAAATAAAGAGGGTTACAATAGTGCCAAAGAAATATCAAAAGAAATGACAAATGAATTAAGAGATGAAATAAATGGAACAATTGAAAAAAATAATACAAATAAAATTGAAAACATAGACAAACAATTGGAAAAAATAAGTCCTATTAAAAAAAATCAAGTATCAACAGAAGTAGAGGGGAAAATTTCAAATACAATGAAGCAAAATAAAAAATGTGAAACTATAAAATTAAAAGTAACAACAAAAAATGAGAAAACTGATCCAGGCATTAAAGAAAATCAGGAAATAATTTTAAAACCTACAATTTCAAGTCTAAAGGAAGAAAAACAGGGAAAAATTGTCGACAATTCCAAGTGTAAAATTTTAAGTCCTAAAAAAGAAAATCGGGAAAAAAGTACCGAAAATTTAAAATGTAGAATTTTAGCACCAAACGAACAAAATCCAAAAAAATTTATAGAAAATTCAGAACCTAAAATTACAAGTACAAAAGAAGAAAATAAAGAACAAATTACAGAAAGTAAATTGAAAATTTCAAATACAAAAGAAGAAAATCAAGGAAAAATTGCAGAAAATTCAAAGTTAAAAATTACAAACAAAGAAAATCGAGAAAAAATTACAGAAAATTCAAAACCTAAAGTTTCGAGTTCAAAAGAGGAAAATAAAACAACAGAAAATTTAAAACCTAAAGTTTCAAGTTCAAAACAAGAAAATCAAGAAAAAATTAACGAAAATGCAAAACCTAAAGTTTTCAGTTCAAAAGAGGAAAATAAAACTACAGAAAATTTAAAACCTAAAGTTTCAAGTTCAAAACAAGAAAATCAAGAAAAAATTAACGAAAATGTAAAGTGTAAAATTTCAAATCCCGAAAATGAAAATCGAGAAAAAATTAAGGAAAATTTAAAATCTAAAATTTCAAATACAAAAAAGGAAAATGGAGAGGAAATAATTGAAAATTCAAAATCGAAAATTTCAAATCCAAAAGAAGAAAATAAAAATATAGAAAATTCAAAGTCAAAAATTTCAAATTCAAAGAAAGAAAATCATGAAAAAATTATAAAGGATTCAAAATCTAAAATTCCGAGACCAAATGAAGAAAATGGAGAAAAAATAACAGTACATTTAAAACATAAAAATTCAAATTTAAAAGAAGAAAATAAAAATACAGAAAATTCCAAGCCTAAAATTTCAAATCCAAAAGAAGGGAATCAGGAAAAAATTATTCCAAATTCAAAAGAAGAAAATCAATTAAAAGTAATTGAAAATTTGAAGCCTAAAATTTCGAATTCAAAAGAAGAAAATAAAAATGCAGAAATTTCAAAGCTTAAAATTTCGAATTCAAAAGAAGAGACTAAAAATATAGAGAAAGGAGTGAAAATTACAGAAACTAAAATTGTATGTTCAGAAAATAAAATTCTAAAACCATTGGATGAATGTTGTGTAGATGTGAAAAAAGTTTCTATTTCATCAACAATAAAAGTTCAAAATTTACCAAAACAAGTGGAATCAAATTCAATTCAAATGGGAAATATTTCAAGTGCCGTGAAGGAAAGGAGAAAAATTATGAAAGAACAAAAAACAATTGAAGCCCAACAGAAAATAAATGATCAACTTTTATTATTAAAATCAAAAGAAGTGAAAAAACCAATTTCAAAAATAAAACAAGAAACAACGGATATAAAATCTAAAACAAAAAAAATTGATGATAAACTAAAGAAGAAAAAATTAGTGATTGTAAAACGAAGAACCAGACCTGTTATTTTAACCGATAGTAATGCATCGACGACAATTGTCTCAAAAGAAAATATGATTGTGAACATTAAATTAAATACTAGTGGGGAAAAAAATAATTTATTATCCTAAAAAAAAAGAAAGAAAAGGTATTTACAATATTTAAATATTTATATTTAATTATTAAATACTGTATTATAATATATTAATAATTATTCATTATAAAAATATAAGTTCTAAAATAAATATTATTCATAGACTTATTGTAAAAATATAAACAGTATAATGTTAATAGAGTTAATATGAAAAATCTCGAACAATCAAAACAAAAGCAAATTTTAATTTTTATATTTTTTGTATTTTAAAATATAAAAAAAAACAATTTTTTATTTTTTTAAAAAGTTTTGTCGACAATTTTTCTTTTTTAATTTTTTAACACTTTTGTTTCGATTGTTTGTCTATTTCTTTTTTTTTTTTTTTTTTGCAGTGTTCAAAAAAAAATATTATTAAAGTTAACTTTTATAATTATGAAAAATTTTCAACTCTGTACGATATTAAAATTAAGATGTAAAAAATAAAATTATTTTTAATGTATAAAAATATTTTATTTCATTTTTAATTTCAATCACTTTTAGTTAAATTTCGTATATGTTTTTAAGTTTATATAGTGTTTAGATAGTTAATAAATTTAATATTATTTTTTTCAGGTATTCTTGAAAAAAAGTGTTTTTGAAAGAAATCTAAAATAGTAATTAATAAAAAAGGGACATTTTTTCAAAAAAAAAAAATAATTTTAAATCATTGTTTTCAAGAATAATAATTGAAGAGCGTCTAATAGGTTTGCAAATATTTTTTTGATTATTGAAAAAAATATTTTTTTTTCTTTCCTTCTAAAATTTTATATTTTTTTTTTTTAAATTTCGATTATGATTATTCATAATTTTTTTCCTTGTACTAAAATTCCAAAAGATGAGAATAAAATTTCAGAAAAAAAAATGTTTAGCCACTCTGTAATTTTTTTTTGTTTCTTTCAGGAAAAGCAAATTTTTTGGAGCATTTTAGTTTTATACTTTATTTTGACCCCCCCCCCAAATATAAATCTATACAATTTCCACAACAATAGATGAAAAAAGAGAGGGGAGAAAATTTCTACAAGGGTGATTTTAGATTTAGTGAGAGGGTGCAACAACAACAACAACTGTATATATGTAAGCGCCGACGCGATTTCTCTCTCTCTCTCTCTCTGACGTCAGGATAGACGCCGAGCGTCCCCGTGGTTTTTGCGCTGTCGCGTTACAGCTGACGACGACGACGACGACGACGATAAACAACGTCGTCCAAAACATGGACGTTATCAATAATCTTACTTCAAAGTAACTAAAAAAAAAAAATTGTGAGTTCTATTTTCCTATAATTCATCAATATTGTAATTTTCCCCCCCCAAAAAAAGTGTACTTTTTCAAAAATCAATTGATATAAAAATTGGTAAAACTATTTTTTATAATTTTTAGTGCCCTTTTATTGATTATCACTCGAATAAGTAGAGCCTTTTTTTTTTTTTTACAGTACTCGTCTTTCTCTAATCTAATAATATTCTTACGCATCTAGTAAAAGTGTGACGATACGAGGCAACAGAAGTGCTTTAGTAGGCTTTCGATCCAAATTGATTATTCTTGTGCGGTTGTGTGTGGAATTTCAGTGAGAATATTATAATACATTCGTTTGAGAGCAAAAAAAAAAAAAAAAAAGAAAATAATAATAATAATAATAACCCCAAGAGAGATGGGTTCAATTGTTCTTAAATCATTATCAGTCCTATTGGGCATATTTTTTGTCTTTGTTGGAACAATGAAATTAACATCCCATATTAGTAAAGATCTTCACAAGGATTTGGTTAGTAAAAATTGTTTCTTATATAATATTGGCATAATATTTGAAACGTCAAAGAAATTTCTTCTTCTTTAATTCAAATCTATTATTACATAAAGACAGCGTGGGATGCGAAACTGACAGAAAAGAAACAGAGAATTAATGTAGTTTTCAAAAAAAAAAAAAAAAAAAAAAAAAAACACATTTTTAGAAACTAAGAATAGAAAAATTAATTCGTGAAATTTTAATTTGCTTTTTTTTTATTCAATTATTAAAATTTTCTATATTGAAATTTATCAAAGAAAATTGATTTTAATTTCAAAAAAATAATTTTCCTTTTTATTTGACATTTTATAAACAAATAATTTTATTTTGACAAATTGTTTTGATTTTCAAGATAAAATTTTTTTATTTCAAAATATTTAAAAATTTTAATTAATAAATATTACCGATCATTAAAGAAAAAAAAATTTTAATTCCATTAATTAATTTTCTTTTTTTATGTATAGTTGAAATTTTTACGTTATCACCATCTGGGATTTTAGTGCAAGGAATCTTTCATTAAAAATTTTAATATATTACATTTCATTGAAATTAATTTGAAATATAAATTTTTTTTTTTTTAAAGTTGAAATTTTTTTCACTGTCAATTCTTTTATAACGTCTTAATATTTTTTTTATTGATCAATTTCTTTTAATTAATTTCATTGGGTTATAAACCTTCTCCTTATGGCTATAGTCTTATATGGATTATAAACATTAAATCAATAATTCTTATATGCTTCTTTTTTTTTATAAAGAAAGTTACAACTTGATATATACATAAGATATGAATATAATGAGAAGCATACATATAACAAATAATTAAATTCTTTATATGTGTTTGTAAATAATTTTCTTTTGTAAAACTTAAGTACCTTGAACTGTATATTACTTTCCAAGAAATTGATGTAACTCTTTTGTGTGCCAGTTCAACTTGACCGACATTAGTAGATTTTTTTTTTTATACTTTATTATTTAATTTTTTTGAAAAAAAAAAATATTTTAGGGCGAATAATGGATAAGTAATTGATTTTATCATATAAATATTTTGAAAATTCAAATTATTAAATTTCAAAAAAAAAATTCTTTAATAAAAAATGAAAATCTATAAACTAAATTTATAACAAAACAAATTTTTTTTTTAAATTTGGAAAAATTAACTCTCGTCTTTTTTGTAAATTTGTAAATAAAATTGAATGTCAGACAAATTATCAAGTTTCTCAAAGGCGTAATAGCTATTTTGGTGTCCCATTGCCACAAGTCGAACAAAACAGTAATTGAGTACTTGGGGAATCGCCAATATGTTAAAAAGAAGAGCAACTTTCTTGATGTTTAACAAATTAATTTTTTTTTTTTAAGAAAAATTTCTCTATTTAATGGTTTTTTTTTTCTTTTTTGCTTTCAGAGAAAAGAATACGTTAAATATGCCAAGGTTTTTCCACTTGCAAGCACTTTGGATTTTAAAGTTCCAAGCAAATGGTACAGACGAGTTGTTGGAACATTGGAAATTATTTGTGGATTCGCAATGGCACTAGTGCCCAGTCGTATGTTTTAATAAATTTATAATGAAAAAAAAAATTAATTTGATAAAATTGAATTAATTTTTCTATTATAATTTTAGATAAAGTGAAAAATGCATCAAATGGAATACTTTTGTTCCTAATGTTAATGGCTGTTTATTCACATTACATGGTGAACGATAAATTTGAAAGGATCGCTCCAGCGCTGGTAACGAATTATTAATTTATTTATTTAATCAAATAATTTTCATTCAATAAAAAAAAAATTTCAATTATAATTTGAATAATTAAATTAAAATTTCATTATTTTCACTGAATAATTAAATATTTGAAATTTAAGCCCTCATTAATAAAAAAAAAAAAATTGATGTCTTTTTAACAGGTATTCTTTTTCATGTTGAGTGGAAGATTAGTGATAGATTGGCAATTGAGACGAGAAGAATCACAACCAGTAACGGCAAATGGAGTAGATGATAAAACTAAAAAACAAGACTGAATAAAGAAGAAAAAGAAGAAGCTTAAATGAATTTACATATAAATATTGATTTATATTCCATTAAAACACGACAGTAAAAAAAACAAGAAAATAAGAAAAATCCCACTTGGTTTCTTATGTTCTCACAAACACAAATAATAATTTTTTTCGCACTTTTCATTTTTCTCTTATTATTATTTGCACATTTTATTCTAACTTCATGGGGGAAAAAAAAAATCATTGACACAGCTCTTTTTTAAAATGAGCATTAAGAGCTTCATTCTGCTATAAATATATATTCAGGGAACTACCACCAAGTGGAACCTTAATGGCAGAATTTTTCTTGACTGATTCGAGAATTCGAGGCTTTTATATATTATATAATATAATATAAAGAACTAAAAAAAAAAACAAATATATAAGAAAGAAGAACAAAATAATTTTTCTCATCGAGAGAAAAATTTTAGCTATGAAACATATAGGAATAAATGATTATAGAATATAATAATACTGTCATTTTCGACCACGAGCGCAGCTGAGATTTCCTTTTTATAATTCTTATTCCTAGCTGTTGTATTAATAATAATAATAATTAATAAATTCATATTAATTACATTTATAATTCACTGACATATTTATTTTCAATGAAATAAGTATATCAAATTAAAAATGTAATTAATTAAATTCCATACGACATATATTGGTGTCAAATTTAAATTAGTATATAATTAAAATAAAAAATAAAAATGCTAGTAGATATGAAATAATTGTAATTTCATTGCGACCAAGTAGATTCGCTCATCGCTGGTTTTTTTGAAATTTCTTTCTCAAATTAAATGCTTTCTCAATCTGATAATCGCCTAATATATATATATAAAAAAAAAAGTCTCATCGGCAATTTTACTATAAAGAATAATTCATCTTGATTAGTAATGCCAGCTTGAGCACAAACTAACTGCCACTTGGAATCAATGTGTTCTATTCGATATCACTTCGAATATTAAATTAATTAAACTATTATTACTGAAATATTACACATAAAAAAATGTAGTTTTACACGAGTGCACTGCTAGTGAACAATTGTTAAATCTTACGTGTCTGTTTCGATATATAGTAAAAAAAAATTAATTAAATTATATTAGAAAAAAAAAATTAATGTGCTACATAATTAGCATATTAGGGAATGTTTACATTTTCAATTTGGACTAGATTTACGAATGATTGCACGTGTATATATATAATATTGTTATTATTATAATTATTAGGAAGCATTGAACGAAAGTTGAGAAAAAAATATCTAAACAAAAAAGAAAAAAAAAATCTTTCTTTGTTTATGAGAAAACAGGCATTTTTCATAATTAAAAATAAGAAATTTTTTTTTTTTAAATTTGCTTTAAAAAAAACCATTAATTTGAAAATAATAAATTTTGAATCATTTACAATAATAGAAATAATTTTAAAATAATTTACAAAAATCCAATATTTTCGAAAGTATTTACTTCTATAATAGAATTGATTCTTTATAATTGCCTGAGGAATGAAATAATCAAACATCACGCTTTAGACTGAGTAGATATATTGTATAAATATATATACATATAGCTAATGAGTATGAATGTTGAATTATCTTTTGTGTATAACTGAGAAAGAAAAATTAGAAAAAACAAAAAATGTATTCAATGTCCTTTCAATAAAAAGCATAACGTGACATTTTCTCTTTTATTGCAATTTTTAATTAATTTATCGATTTAAAAAAAAAAATTAATTTCTTTTTTAAATTTAATGATATTAATATTTAAAAATTTTATTATAAATAAAATTAATTTTAATTAAATTAAAATTTAAAACTTGAGTTAAATTTAAAAAAAAATTGTTTAAATTCCTATTTTATTTAATATCCATAAATTAAATATTTGGTATAAATAAAATAGCATATTTATTGCATATTTTTAAATAATTTCACACTAACATTTAGGCAAGTTTTTTTTTTAAACTTAAATATATGCGACATTATTTACAAAAGAGTTTTGCGCTATCTCATCCCTTAATTAAAAAAAAAAACATATTTTGATTATAAAATTAATTTGAATTTTTAAACAATTAAAATTTATTTTTATATTTTGAAATTTTGTTAATTAAAAATAAAGAGTATCTCTAGAAGCTTTTGAACTTTGTTATTTTCTGCTGTAAGCTTTCAAATAGATGTAATTAAAATTGGCAACAATATTTTTGCTACCTTGAAAGCAGTGATCAAAGCATTTAGGTACTGTGTGTATTTTTTTTTTTTTTTGTTTTTTTTTTGTTAATAACAAAATTAAGGCATCTCTTGGCCGGTGGTCAGGAGGTGAAGAGCCTTTTGTAGATTCAAAACTGTTGTAGGTACATCGTCATAATTTAAGGCACTGCCAGCCCATTTTATAAGCTTTTGAGCCTTTGTCATTTGTTCCACGCTGAGAGTTACACCTCCTATTTGTTGCAATAGTTTTTATTTATTTATTTACTCTTTTTTTTTTAATTAATGAGCCATTCTATTATATTTCATTCAAAGTGGTTTATCTTTTTGCATCCAAAGTTTATTTTTAGAAAATTCTGCCACTTTGTAGCAATTGAGATATTTTTGGAAAAAAATTTACCAAAACTCTATTTTTTTTTTTTATTATTTAATTAATTTAGTTATTTAATTATAATTTAAAAAATTTTAATTTAATTTTTCTACTATAATTTTAATTATTTATTTTACAGTAAATTTAATATAATTAAATGACCCAAATATATATTTGTTTTTGATTTTCACTCTTAACCAAGGTATTTTTTACACATTTGTTTTTGTTTTAAAGAAATAATTTTTGTGAAGAAACTTGAGATATGCGCAAAACTAATTTCAATTATCATTATTACTAAAATATTAACTGATGGTTAATTAATTTAAAATTAATATTAGTTTTATTATCAATAATATGATAAAATTTTGAAACTACGAATACCCTGATTAATATATTCTTTACTTAAATTAATTAATATCCCTTAGGAATAATTCAAACCATTTTTATTTAAGAAAACACAATTTATAGGTAGAATTTCTCCTAAAAGATTAAAAAAAAAAAAAGATATAAATATTTTTTAAGACTTACCCACTGTTTTTAGGTTGTTAAAATTCTGAAAACTTTGTTGTCCATTATTTGGATTCGTCGGCGTAGGAGCTGGATTGTAAGGATTAGGCTCAACTGGAATGAAATTTTCATTTTCTGATGGAATATTCAATGGCTTCGGAGGTGAAATATTTGAATTAGAACTACTTGGAACTGAAGGAAATCCAAATGCATCGGTATTTGGTGGTGGACTTGATATTCCCGTGTCTGAAACTTAAAAAATTACAAATTATAATATATTCTTTTTTTAATTTTTTTTTGCTAATTATGTCAAATTAAAACGTGCTCTAATTTTTTAAGCATCATTGTAAAAAAAAGGTGATAATTTATTTATTAAGAAAAAATAAGCCATCTCATTTTGCAAATGAAATTATCGTTCAACATCGGTAATTGTTTATCAATTACGAAAGATAATTTAATAATAATAGAATGTAATAATAATAATAATACAATACAATAATAAATTAATTAACGAAATGAAGCACTAATGAAAGCATTTATGATTTGCTTTGCAATTCATTCTAAAATTTTAATTAAAAACTAAAATACCTTCCTCATTAGGTTCATCAGCAGCTGTTGAAAAATATATATGTAAATTTTTTATTAACTTTAAATAGTTTCAAAATTTTATTCTCATTTTTCAATTACCTTCACCAGATTCTTCTGTTTGATTTTCTTCAGCTGCGTTAAATTTAAATTGTATTTTTTTTTTAAATTACGATCATAATTAAAATTAATAAAATAAACAAATTTTACAATATTCACTTCAAATAATTCTTAATCTTATTCTTATTATTAAGTTACCTTCACCAGATTCTTCCGTTTGATTTTCTTCGGCTGCGTTAAATTTAAATTTTCATGATTTTTAAAAATTACTTCTTTTTTTTTATTACAAGATAGAAATATTAAATTTATTTAAAAATTTATATATTTTTATTTTTTAAAATAAATTTTGCAGAAAATTTCATTTTCTAAATAAATTAGTGAAATTTAATATTTATTTATTTTTTTTTTGCTTTTACCTTCATCAGGTTCTTTTTCAGCATTATTTTCTTCAGCTAAAAGTTAAAATTAATATTTTAAAAATTATTTTATGACGAAAATTTGATTTAAAGCGAATTTTTTTTTTTTTTTTGTAATAATTAGCTCAAAAAATAGCTGCGAAAACGTTTAAAATTAGAAATATTACCTTGATTTTCATTATTTTCTTCAGAATTTTGATCCGGTTCAATATTTTGTTTTTCTATATATGTATATAAAAATTTCATAAATTACTATCAAATTAATTTTATTTATTTAATTTAGTATTTTTATTTTATTTTTGTTGAAAGTAGTCACCTGTATCATTATCATCATCGATAGAAGCCAAATTGTCAACTGTACAATTAAGACAAAAATTATATATAAAATTATTACATTTTTTTTTAAATTTTTCTACTTTAACGGTTTATTTTATTCAAAGTTCGAATACTTTTTTTTTTTTTTTTTTAATAAACCGCTAAAAATCTTGGATAAAAATTAATAAATCAAGTGCAAAATGAGATGGCAGATGAGGTGTATTTGTATTTTTTTTAATTTAAAAAAAAAAAAATTGCCAAATGTATATATTTTTGAAAAAATTCTTACCAGATTGTGATCCACTGTCTTCTTCCTCGCCAATTGGACCAGCGACAGGTGTTTCACCATTTTTTAAACAATTATGAATATAAGCAGCTTTCCATTTTGCATATTTTCTATTTTGTGCAGCTTCTTCGGTTAAATCACCAAATGTTGTGATTACATCATATAAAAGACCAGCAGTGTAAAAACTTTGAATAACATTTTTTCCAAAATTAGAAGCACGATCACTTTTATCAGCGTATAAAAATAATTTTAATGCCCAATTTTCTAAATGTGCTTGAGCAGCAACATTATTAGTTATAGCTTCATTATCGTGTAACGATTTTTTTGTCACTTCCAACCAATCCATTAATTTCATAAGAAAATTTGTTTCTTCACTACTTTTTGATGAAAGTTTCAATCCAGTTTGAAGTGCATAAAGACGACCTAAACAATTTTTATTTAAAAAAAAATATTAAATGACAAATTTTATCAACATAATCACAAAATTTATCATACGAATGTGGATCATTTTATAATAAAATCATTTCGTTAGAAATTTTCTTAATTAGGTTTCAATCAATAATTAAAAATGAGAAAAAAAACAAATGACTTGTAAGTAAACATAACCTTTATACTTACACCAATAACTAACAACAGGATCGCGTTGATCATGTTCCGTTGCAATTTTCAAATAATGTTGAATACCTTTTAGTGAAGCGGGAATAGGAGGTAACACTGGTCCTGACATTGTTACATTTATTTATTAAATATAATTTAATTGTTCAATAAAGTCAAATGACAAATGCGCTGAAATGACGCAGTTCGATATTCGATGTACTTCGATAATCGAAATGACTTCGATTTTTTTTTTTTGAAACTCATTGGTCAGTTTCATATTTGCGCGGGTAACAGCAACCAATGAGCGATAAACAGATGGCGCCACTGAATTTTTGTATAGGTGTCATAACCTCAATAAAAATAGTTCAAAAGTGTCAAATTATGGAATAAAAACAACAATTAAATAACATTAGTTAATAATTAAAACAACTACGTGGAGATGTATTTATCAAGTTAATTATTATAATCCAATTAAAACAGGTAAAAATATTTGTCTTGTAATAAGCAAAATGAAAAAGAATTTTACAATCTTTTTTAAAATTTTATTTCTTGCCAATAGTTAAAATTATAAAGATGCAGCAAGTGAAGAGTATATTTGATTTCACTGAAACTTGCTGGAAATATGTTTTATCTGAAGTTTCTGAAGCTGCTGTTTATATAGATCATGCAGCAGCAGAATGTTTTCATTGGTATTCTGGTGATAAAGCATATATTTCTTTTAAAAATTCTGGCGCTTCTTCTGTTCATGAATTATCTCTATTTAATTTAAAGGTAAGTGTTTTAAAAAAAAAAAAATTATCACTGAAAATTACTTTTAAATTAATAATTTTTGAATTTTTTTCTTCCAGTTTATAAAAGCTAAAAAAACAAATAAAGCTGTTATTATTTCAACTTCGGCTGAATCATCATTTTACAATGAGACCATAAAATTAATATTAGAAAAAAATCATTTTTCCAAGTGTATTATATTTTGTTCAGTACCTACAAGTGTATTAAATTATAATACAATTTTTCCACGAGAAAATAAAAACTATGAATTACAACATGATTTTAAATGGACCGATGGAAAATATGATACAGAGGTAAAAAAAAAATAAAAAAAAAAAAAAAAAAACTATTAAATATTTTCAGAAAGAAATTTAAAATTTTTCTTTTTATAGATTGGAGAGACAAATGTAACGATAATTTATACACCAATATTTACTGCTTCTTTAAATGATTATGTATTTTTAACACCACCATTTGGAAATATGATGCCACCAATTGATGAAAAATCAATTATTCATTATGAAAATGATATAGAATATTTTGCTAGTTCTATGAATAGTTTATTTACAAATTTAAATGTTAAAGAAGAAATTTATTCAATGGGAAGACTGAGTAATATTGTTGCAGAAAAATTATCAACATTACCTGTTGCAATAAATAGACGCAAAGTAATTATAAAATTAATTCTAGAATTATTTCCTATTTTTTTTTTTCATTTAATTTTTTTATTTAATTTTGCAGCAAATTTCTGATGAACGAAATGTTTCTTTTATTCTATTGGATAGAACACTTGATTTATGTACAGGATGTTCTTATAATACAGAATCTCTTTTGAGTAGAATTTTGTGTACTTTACCACATTTAAATCATCATGATAATGATATTGCCGTAAATATGTCTTCTCTTTGTTTAGGAGCAGAGGTAAGAATTTAAATAATTTAAAAACTAAATTCTTTGGTATTATTTCTTTGGGGTTTTTTTTTTTTTTTTTTAGGAATGTTTGTCTTCCTTTATGGTGCCAGGTTGTTTGGCAACAAATGAAACAAATTTTATGGATTTATTGTTACATAAAAAGCAAAAAGATTTACTTTTAGCGTTTAATAAAATGTTGAATGAAATGAGTACTGTTAATGAAAGTCCAGTTAAAACAAAATTAGCAACTCGAGTATCGGCTCATAGTTTGGAAAAATTGATTCATAAATTTCGAAATACAGAAAATATTGAATCCTTAACACGATCAAGCAAAACACTTCAAGTAAATAATAATAAAATAATGGTAATTTAAAATTTTCTTTCTAATATTAAAAAAAACAATTTTTATTCAGATTATAATTGCTGTTATTCAAGCTTTAAAATCGGATAAAACATCACAATTGGAATTATTAATAAGTTTTGAAAAGTTGATACTTCAAAATTTGGCAGTCAGCCGAGATGCATCAAGTATTGTTGCTCAGGTAACAAATTTTATTAATTTATTTTTTTTAATAAATAAAATTTGTAAATACTAAATTTTTTTTATTTAAAAAAAACTAAACAGTTAAGCAATATTATTCAATCACGATCAACAAGAGGATTAAGTATGGATAATTTATTGGTACTTCTTATTCACGTTTATTCAATGGTTGGAAATGATATTAATTTTCCCCCTCAACAAGAAGAACAATTGAGAAATTCATTAGCTGAAGCTATTTTTCAGGATATTAAAAAATGTAATGAAATTGAATCAAGTGAGGATTTATCAGTTTATCATCAAACTTTAATTCTCCTCAGTTTTGGTAAGTTTTTTTAACTCCCCCCCCCAAAAAAATTAAATGCCATTTAATTAATTTTTTTCCCTTAGGTATTACTGATGAAAAATTAATGATGAAAACCTCAAAACAAATTGCCACCAATATAATGGATTTATTTCATGCAATTGCTAGTCAACGTCATACTTTACAAAATTACAAGTAATTTACTATTTTTCTTAAAAATAATTTTTAATTTTTAATTTCTTTATATGACTTTTTTTTCGTATTTATTTTTCAAGATCAATTATATATAAATCAAATAAACAAGAAATGGCAAAAAAAGTTGGTCTTGTCGAAAGACTGGTTACGGATCTAATTGATCCAAATAAATTGGAAATTCCTGATTTACAGTGCAATACATTTTCTTTACTCTCAACTAGTTTCAAGTGAGTTAATAAAAAAAAAAAAATGTTATTTGTTTTTAAAGTTGAGATAATTATTAATATTTATATATATTTTTTTTTTTAGTCTCTTAATGAAAGGTAGAATGAAACATCCATCGGACAGTTCGTTAATTATAATTTATATTATTGGTGGAATAACAGCAGATGAGGCAAGAATTGTTCATGAGAAAACATCAATAAATAATTTTGCACATCCAAAAATTATATTAAGCGGTTCGAGATTATTGAATCCATTGGATGTACTCGAGAAAATTCTATTAAGCAATTTAAGCGCTAGTTTAAGTTGAAAAAAAAATTTTTCATTTAAAAATTTTTATAAATGACAATTTTATATAAAAAAAAAGTTAAATTGTTTTTTTTTGTTAAAAAGTATTTTATATTTATTAAAAAGTTGAAATTTAATTATTTCAAACATGTCAGTTAAATAAATTAGTGAAAAAATGTAATAAACTGTTTTCTAATTAATTAGCTAAATAAAAAGTATACATTTTTACAATTGAAAATAAAATTATTTTATTTCTTCTAATGTAATGACTCAATGAAATGTAAAATAAAATTTAATTTCATAAAAAAAAGTATTTTATTTTAAATAACGAAATTTTTAAATTTACGGTCTAATATTACGAAGGATCCAAGGCATGTAATCATATACTTTGGTATAAACACCAGGCCAACCATCTAATCCACAAGGACTTGGTCCATATGAAACAACTCCAACGCTCACCCATCTTGGTTTATCGTCATTAATTCTCAATGATTTTGCCATAAGTGGACCGCCAGAATCACCACTACATGAATCTTTTCCCATTTTACCACCAGCACAAATTTGTCCATGTCCAACATCTCTTCCTCCAGTTCTATATTTAGAGGCACATTTTTCAATATTATAATCGGGAACTGATAATTTTAATTTTATTTTAGAATTCGTTCCATTTTCAGTTTTACCCCATCCGGCTGTATACAATAAACTCTCAACATTTGAATTTTGTGGTAAACAAATTGGTTGAATGTAATTTGTAAATATAACACTATGTTCAAGTCTCAATAAAGCAATATCATTTTTTTGATCAATCGATGCTGGATAATAATTTTCATGAGTAATTATTTCATTAATGGAAATTGTCACAATTGGATCAGCGCAATTTTTAAAATTTCCATAAACAATACAATCTGGATTTTTTGTTGTATCATATTCACCGAGACGAACATTCACAACTTCATAGCCTAAAGGAATCTTTTTAATACAATGACCTGCTGTTAAGACGTATTTATCATTGATAAGAACACCACTGCATTTCGTTTGCTTTCCTTTATTTGCTAAAATTTCGCAAAATTCATTCAATAATAATTAATTAAATTTCTTTAAACATTTCACAAATATTAAAAAAAATACTTTCATCATAATATTCAATTACTAATAAAATAATTAAAAAATTTAAATCTAAGTTTTTTAATTATTAACTAATTTATGAGATACTATTAATTAATACTAACGTGTTAAATATTCCAAAAGAACCATCCAAGGAAATTCATCTATATCAGCAACTTCTCCACCAACAATTTTATCCATTGTATCTTGTCCGCAATTAGTGGGAAGTAAATCATAATTTTGTGAATTTGGAGCCAATGTTGTATATGATGATGATGATGAATATAATGGACAACAAATTATAACTTCTTTACTTGATGACACTGGAACATTACATCTTGATTCTCGTAAATATTTTTTAATCTCAGGCTGCCAATATTTATTTTTAAGAATTTCCAACATTGTCGGACAACTACGAATTTCAACGCATTCTCCATATTCACCTTTTGCAGTATAACATCCAAATACCAATGACTCTGTAAAAAAAAAAAAAAGGAAAACGAAAATTAATAATAATTTTTATTATTTAAAATTATTTAAACACCAAAAATACTTACGATTAATAAAAATATTAAATATAACGAAAATAAGTAAATAAAATTCCATTTGTATTAATGAAATAAAACAAATATTATTTTTGTTTTTCGTGACTAAATAATACGCATCTAAAAAAAACCCTACCAATAAGAGAAAGAAACAATCTACGACTGACAATGTATTTCAAATCTCTAATTGTTTTATAGAGAAGCGACTGGGTTCAGGGTTAATATTGCCTCACCCATAATTTACGAATTCTATGACAAAAATCTTCAAGGCGATTTCGAAATTTCTGATAATTTATTCAAACATTGGTAAAAACCCATCAATATAAAAGCCTCGATGAATTTTTAATGTAACTCCGTCATTTTGTTTTCTTTTCTTTTTTTTTTTTTTTTACTAACAATGTTCCATTATTATTATTTTTAAAAATGAATGAACGAAAAAGTAATTTAAAATTTTTTTTAAAAAAAAATATTGATAATTATTTAATATTATTTAAGATCCATTTGATGTATTGAGAAATATCTGTATAAATAGCAGGAGTGGCAAATTTTCCACAAGATTTTACACCAAAAGAAACGGTTCCAATTAAATAATATTTTGGAGGTCCATCAAGAGCCTCGACTTTCATTAGAGGACCCCCACTATCACCGCCACATGAGTCATGGCCAATTTTTCCTCCTACACACATTTGCCCTCGACCAATAGTAATAGAATTTTTAAATTTTTTTTTACATTTTTCTAAATTTATAATTGGCATTTTTATTGTTTGTAGTACTATACTTGATTTTGATTTTTCTGGAAAAAAATATTAATGTTTTTTTGATTGTTTTTTTTTTTTCTTTACTTCAAGGTTTTTACTTTCATTTTTTTTTTTTTTAATTTAATTAGTTAAAAGAACATATTTCTCAATTGAGATTATTTATTTTTGTAATCTCTTTATGAAATATATCTCCTTTTTCAGTTGATGAAATTAGAAAAAGTTTATCATAATTCTGATGAAAGTAAATATATAAAAAAAAATTTTTTTTTTCTATTTTACTCACTGATATCTAAAATTCCCCATCCAGCGACTTCAGCTATTTCTCCAATGAAATTTTTCCTCAGCAATTCATCTCTTACTAGACAAATAGGCTTTACATTCTCTAGATAAAAAAAATTTCAATTTTTATTCAATTTCTATTTATAATAAAAAATAGGGAGTGATTAAGAACATACCATTGAAAATTACTGATTTCTTTAATTTAACAATAGCAATATCATTTCTAAGTGGAATTTTATTATATTCTTTATGAACAATAACTTTGTCTGGTTCAATATCCTGAATTGGTTCAGCACAATAATCTTTTACACAATCAGGATTTGTTTGCGTATTATGTTCTCCCACTCGTATAATTGACAATTTAAATCTACAATCATAAAAATTTCTCCATTACCTAATTTTATTTTTAAAAAATAATTTAAAATAAAATACCAACTTTTTAGGTAAATTCACAATACAATGAGCTGCAGTGATGACAATACGTTCATTAATTAAAGATCCTCCACATCTGAATGAAAATGTTGTATTTAATCCAATATTATATCCGACTTGAACAATCCAAGGATAAGCTCCTAAAGATGCATTTTTTCCTCCAATAATACGATCTGAATTACTTATGCCGCAATTTTCTTTATTGAGTAATATCCAATTAGGATGTCTCATAACGTCCAGTTCTATTAAACAATTAATAAATTAATTAATTTTTTTTTAAATTATACCTTTTTTTATATATGTATATATTCACCTGATTTTAGTCCATGTATAAAACTCCAAATGTAGATAAATATTAGAAAATACATATTATCTGTGAAAAAAAATACAGTTAAAAAATAGAGAATAAATATAAATAAAAAATATTAAAATTACCTTAGTATTTTCTTATATTAAAAAACAAAATTAAATCCCGACTCTTATTTTTAAATGTAAAACTTCTAAACTGGCAATTTTCTCAATTATCTTCCGTATCCAAAGAACAATTGACTAAAATTTATTACCGAAACGTAATCGATAAGATTTTTAGTATGATGCATTCATCTTTTTTTTTTTTTTTTTTTTAAATAAAGACTTTTATCAAATAATGCGATTAAAATTAAAATATTTAATTAAAATTTATAGATCCCAGTGCCCAAAAATATACGTTTCATTGAATTAAAAAAAAGAATTCACTTTATTGAATATATCTATTAACCAAATTCGTAGACAATTGAAAAAGGTATAAAATTAAATAAAACTAAGATTTCTGCTTTTCTTTTTTCGCCTGCTCGGCAAGTGCCTCTAATTTATCATGTTCCTGAATCAATGCATTAACTTCGGCAGCTGGCAAAATTTTTGTCTTCGTTTTTCCATTCTCTCTAGTTAAAGTTGCCAATTCAACTGTAGAAAAAAAAAATTACAATTTTATTTAAATTTTTTTAATGAAAAAAAAAATATTATTTTCTTTTACCTTTATCGGCGGAAAGTTTATTCATGTCCAATGTTTTTGAAAGAACCTTAATAGCAAGTGCCATTGCATCCTTTAATGTTGTTTCACCTTCTTTATATTCCTGTTTAAGCGATGAAATTGCAGCCGCTGAATTATTACCAATGCAAGTTGCTTTCCATCCACCATAATTTCCACTTGGATCAGATTGATAAAGTTGATAACCATAATGACGATCCCATCCCATATAAAGAATTGAAACACCAAATGGTCTTTTTCCACCGTATTGTGTATAAGCTTGTTTAACATCGCAAAGCCAAGAAACAAGTTGTTCACAAGGAATTGGCTCTCCATATTGCAAAAGATATCGTTGTCCAATTAATCGTAATTCATTTGTCAGGACATTTGCATCTGACGTAATTCCCGCCACTGAACAAACAACATCGTCATTTAATTTATAAATTTTTTCAGAAAAAAATACCTCATCGAGAAGTTTATTTGTATTTCGCTTTTCGGCAGCCAATAAAATTCCATCAGTTGCCAAAATTCCAAGACAAGTTCCCGCATGGCTAATAGCTTCCATTGCATATTCTACCTGATATAATCGACCCTCAGGTGAAAAAATTGTTGTACGTGTATCATATCGTCGAGCCTTGAAAATAATTCATTTTTTTTATCAATTAAATGAAATACTTTTTAAAACTAATAGTAATTCTTAAATGTGTATTTAAAAAAAAAAAATTTGAAAATTCAAAAGATTTTATTCAAACTCCTTCATAACAATTTAGAATGACTCTTACTTTTTTGAAATAAACTTTTAAAATCAATTATTTAGATTTAAAAGGTATTACATAAGTAAAAATTGTATAAATTAGAAATAATTAAATAATTATTTTAACAATTTAATTAATATAATGATTATTAAACTTCAAAAATTGTAGATGACAATGCATTTCCCTCCTAACCTAAAATTATGTACACAACAAAATTTTGACAAATATTCATTCATTATGAATATAATATCGAAAATTTGTAAATAATTAAAAAAACAGTTACTTACCATTTTCTGGAGATGAAAAATATAGAATAAATTATTCAATTTCTATAAACTGACAGTGTATTAAAAATGCTGTCCGAACACAAAAAAATCATGCAAACAGTCCTAAAAGCAAATTCACACTGCATAAATAACAAGGTTGGGAAGTTAGGCAAATTTAATTTGTGTCACATTTTAAAGGTTCGAGTAAAAATCAACTATTTTACCTGTTCAACCCTGGTTGATTTAAATTTCAGTTTTGATTACCCGTTGTTTATATTTGTGACAAAAATTTCAGTTTTCGTAAACAAATTTATAAAAAAGAAAAGATTAATGGATTAAAGGTTAATCGACAACAATTAAAAATCAAAATCTACAATTTTAAATATGTGCTTGATAACCTCTGTGCCGTAGATACAAGGTAATAAAAATACTAAATATTTAACGCAACATATTTATTTATAATTACACAGTACCTATTACAGTACATGTATAAGTATTTATGGTAATAAACAAAAAAAAAAAGTCACGTTATAACGGTATCTACAACTTACAATAGTTTTATTTAACGTTTTTTCTTTTTAATATTCATTCATTCAATTAATTTTTTTTTTTTTACAAATAAAAACAACATTCACAATTATAATCATAACAAGGTAATAATATACATAACGCACACTGTATTGTCATCAATTGATTGAAACAAATTGTAATATATTAAACGCGTAGTAAATTTGATTTTTCCAAAAATTGACAAAATTATCAAATTAAAATTGTTAATTTAACAAATTTAATACTCAGAAATATTTTGACACAGTGTTTCGGATTTTTTTTCAATATTATCTGTTTACAATAATAATAATAATAATTACAATATGATCAATTTTTTTTTATGCATTGAGTGCGAATTCAAGTATAATAATAAAAATATTTCTATAAAAAAAAAAATTATGTTATTGATCATTTTTTCGAATTCGTGCGAATGCAGCAACTGCGCACTTGGTAAAACGTTGAGATTTGTTTTTTTTTTTTTTTTAAATTATTCTAATAGGTCTTTGTGTAAAAGCAAATATAGTATGATTATAAAACTTGGAATGGCATCTAAACTAATAAAAAATACTATAATCTTTAAAAGAAAATTATTACTATGAACGAAATAATGAAATATATATATATTTTTTTTTCGATTTTCTAATTTCATTGATCTATTTACAATGAAATAATTCAATTCTTAAATTAAAATTTCCAATACTTATATGACTTTTTACAGTTTCTGTGTACATGTTTCTATTTTATATATAATAATATAATTATTTGAAAATACTGATAAAAATATATCTCTTTCTGAACTAAAATCCAATTTTTCTTTTTTTAAAGCAATTTTATAAATTTTTGCTTAGAAATAAAATTTGTTTTCAATTATTTATTTAAATTACAAAATTAATATGAATTAAAATGGATTAAAATGAATTTATACTTGATAGGATTTAATGCAAAGAAAACATAGTATTTTCTTCAAAAAAAAAAAAGAAATAAATAAATAATAATTATACGCGATTCTTAAAGTTGAGATTTCTATTAATAATTCTATTACAATAATTTTTTTTTCCATTTATAATTTACAATTTTAAATTTTAAAAAGGGAAAAAAATATATTTGGCTTGGAGAATTATTTAATAAGAAATTTTTGAATTGGGAAACATATTTTGAAATATTAATTTTTTTGTACAAATAGATACATTGACATTAAATTTTTCTTTTAAAGACATTAGGCATCGGTGCCCGACTATAAACTCTGTTTACAACTATATAAAAATATTATTCCCCATTTTAATTGATTTTTCTTTATTTTGCATTTGCAAATAGAATAAATTAATTATATACCTGAGAACCGTATAAATTTTTCTTTCTTTTTTTTTTACAATTTTTAACATATTTCCTATAAATTATTTTTTGAGAAGATAATGTACACAGAATTGTGTTTTTTTTCTGAGTGCAATGATTTTATCTTTTTTTTTTTTTTTAGAGTATAATAATAATAATAATCGATTTAGTTTTCTCGTTTAAAACTTGAAATAAAAATTAGCTAAATTAAACGATGCCGCCAAATTCCGTTTGTTGAATTTAACAACGATTCAATATTTACTTACTAAACTTTATTGTCGACCATATCTACGTTGATTTTATAATAAACGTAGGGATAATAATCACTTTGACCAAAACCCAAGCCTGGAATGTCTACACTCTGAAAAAAGGAAAAATTTCAAGAAAATAAATAAAAATTAATATAATTATGCGTAAATAAAAATATTCTTTTTTTTTTGCTTACATCTTGATTTCCACCGGAAGCTGTTGCAGATGAATCGAGATGAGCATAAAGTTGATTTAAAACATCACGTAAACGTTTTGTATTCTTTTTATGTGGATGAAGTAGAATTGCTTGAAAATTGACTGGCAAGCCATACCTAAAAGAAAAAAAAAATTTCTTAGTAAATTGAAAATAATTATTTTAAATTAAAAATAAAGTGAACAAATTTTTCTTGAAATTTACCTTAAAACAGATTCAACAAAAACACGAAGTGCTTTCACATGAATCCAGGCACAAAAACATTCACTGAAATTTACTTTTAACCAACGAACAAGTGGGCCAAATTGTTTTTTCTTGTCTGTTACTAATTTAGTGATTTCATTTTTTCCTAAAAAAGCAAAATTTATTATTATTATTAATCAATTATAACAAATTATTAATATTAATTGAAAATTTAGATTTACAAACCAGCGGCAAGCTCTTCTTCATTATATATAAAATCACGAACAATAAATTTTTTCTCACGTGCATGTAATTTGAATTCTTCTATTACTTTTTTAAATAGAGTCACCGTGAATAAACCATATTCAGGGTCTTGTTTAATAAGTTGTGAACTACGTGGAACAATCATATCCGTCAATTTTTCATAAACAGTATTCCATTCTTGAAAATTTGCTCTAAAAAATTAATTTAATTAAAAATTCGAAATATTTAATTAAATGAAAATCATGTATTTTTTTTTTATAAACCTACTTTGGGACGATGACAAGAAGAGTAGATAGATATTCACTTTCAAGAATGAAATGTTCCTTTTTAACCAAATCTGCCAAATTACGCGTCAGCAAACTTCCTCTGTAAAAAAAATAAATTATTTTTTAATTAAAAAAATATTCATTAAAATTTTGATATTTAAAAAAACAGTAATTTATCAAAGAATTAATTTTTTAAAAAAATTAATTAATTAAATTAATAAAAATAAACATACGTTTGTTTCTTTTCCAAACTTTGTAAACTACCCTTTAAATTATTATAAGTGGTAGACTTTGTCTTAAGATCAGCGTCGATCTGTCCCACTTGTTTACTGATAATATCCGCAATATTTCTCAATGATTGTTTAATTGGATATTTTGCCATGTCCCATTGAAATCGTGTTATATATGTTGGAAGATCACCTAATATCACCCGAAACAATTAAATAATTTAATTTTTATACTTTATAATCAATCAATAAACTACTTGTGGTTTTTTTTTTTTTTTTGTTTTTCTTTTTTAATTCAAATAATTACTTTTTTTGATTTCATAGGTGTGAACATGCACTTTTTTTTCAATAATTTTTATTTGAAAAAAAAAATTAATTTTAATACTATAGAAAATTCCTATCGACTCATAATAAAATATTTAAAACCTACTTTAAAAGTGTAATACAACATTTAAATAAACTAAAACTCCATAAATGAGTATTGAAAACAATTGTTTAAGAGATGCAAATATTATATATGTGTGTTATGGTAACGAAGGTAACGAACACAACACAACAATTAAAATATTCAGTATTACAATAATTACTTTTACTAATGAAAATAAGATATAATTATTTTACTAATATATTTCCTAAATAGTTTTTAATCTAAATTTATTATAAATCTATTTCTAAAAAAAAAAAAATTATTTTCAATGTTTCATGTTATAAGAATAACTTATTTTCATAAAAAAATTAATTACGAAAATTAAAAAAAGAAATAATTTTTTTTATTTAATTTAAAAACTATTATTATTTTAATATTTATAAATAAATATCAATTTTTTTTAATGAATTTTTAAATCTAGAGCAAATAAGATTATTTTTAATTAAAAAAAAAATGATGCAAATTGATCGAATTTGTTTAAATTATTTTATAAATTACTGTATTGTATTATTATTACGTGTGTAGGTAATAAGCCAAGCAACATCTCAAAGCAGATGTGACTACCGAAATTTGAAATATAATACCCACATTAATTTATTAATATAATACGTAAATATTATTAAATAATAAAATTTAAAAAATATATTTAAATATAAAAATGACTAAATTAATTAAATTTAAAAATTACTTAATTAAATTTTATAAACAAAATAATTACTTGTGGAATAAAAGGGATATTTAAAAATTACGTGAATTTATTTTTAAGATAAGACAACAAATAATAATAATTAAATAAATAAATAATAAAAAAAAATACAAATAAATTTATCTTCCCAATGTTAATTTTTTTTTTTGGTAAAAAAAAATAAATTTTTAACCACCACCTTAAATTGAGTATTAAAAAAATAGTTAAAAAATTTTTTTTTACCATGCAACATTATTAACAGTCAATATTTAATTGAGATCATGCAAAACAGTCTTAGAAACTATTGTACCGACTGTAATTTATTAATTTGTTGATTGTGTTGTCACTATAATTTGTTCATTAATAAACATGTAAAGAGTCAATGTAATTTTTTTTTTATATTGTTTTTGTATAATATATGTATCGTTTTGTTCAGTATAGTCAATCTGTAAAATAATTATAATGAAACTCACATAGCAATATACAATAGCGAATAACATTATAAATTTTTAATTTTATTATTAATCCAAATGAATTTAATAATAATAATAATAAATAAATAATTAATTGTAGTAAAAAAAATAATTATTTTTAATTACTAAATAATTCAAACTAATTAAACAATATTAATTATTAATTTTTAATTATAATAGTAAATTGTCAATTTTTCAATAAAAATATATGTCAATTTATAATTTATTAATTTTAATTATTAATTTGCGAATTATTAATTAAAATTAACAAAAAAAAAATTTTTAATGTTATTCATATTAAAATAAATAAAATTTTTTTTTTTTTTTGCAAAGAAACAAAATGGTCATATATCCTACAATTTTGTACAGAGCTATAATGGGATTGTTTTTTTTTTTTTAAATACTCGTGACTTTTTTTGAAAAAACAAATTTTAAGCAAACAAACCAGTTTCTACTGTGCGTGCTGTAAAATCCCCAATTTCTTCGCGTTGAAAATGTTTTTTTTTTCTCAATACCTTTTAATATATAAAAATACCGTCCAATCATAGAATATTTTTTTTAATTCTATAATATAGAAAAAAAATTAAACGAATATTTTTTTTTCTCTTTTTTGATTTTGATAATACGAAATTTTTACAAAACGTCAACGGATATTTTTCTTTAATAATTTTTATAATAATTTAGAATTAAAATTTTTTTTTTCAATATCCTTTGATATTTATAAAAAATAATTAATTTTCATTTTTAATTTTGGCATTAGAATTTTTTTTTTAATATTAGTAAAAATAAAATTCAAAAAAAAAAATATTAATTAAAATTAAAATTATTAATTAAAAAATTAATTTTTAATAATTAAACAGAATTATTGTTATTATTATAAAATATGATAATGACAATATAATGTGATATTGACACTATAAATGAATAAGACAAAGTGAATATTATTTTAACGAAGGAAGCGAAGCAAAGGATTTGTGTAAAACAATATAAATTTTCAGGACTGTGCCACACACACACACGCACACACACATAAACATACTATAGATATATATATATATTACATATTTATATATGTATAAATAAACAGTCGATTGAGCGTAATTGATTGACAATAAATAAATACGTATTTGTAATAAACCTAATTTCGGTAAATTATTTTTTTTTCTTTATCAAGAAAAAACGATCTATCAGAACGAGGATATATTAATATTCGATATAATTAATTATTCCATCGAGAAATATTTTTATATAATAAATAATAAAAGAGTTCTTTTATTATTGTAAAAAAAAAATATTATTCAATTTTTATTTTTGGCGTTTAAAAAAAAAAAAATAGTACACCAAGTATGCTGAACCGACTGATTTTGTGTTCTCTTAAAAATTCACTGCACACAATTTGAAAAAAAAGAAAAATTAAACATAAAAGAGAGATTGTTAATTTTTTTTTTTTACAAAATAATTTTCTAGTTCTTTGAAAAAATTTTAATTCAATTGGAAATTTTATATTTTCTTCAACAATTTTTCTAAATCAAAATTTTAGAGTCAATTTATTTTAATACAAAATTTGAAAGAAAAATAATTTACTATTTAATTTTAATATTTAATAAATAATAAATAATAATTTTATAAGAATAAAAATAATTAAATAAAAATTCTGTTAAAATATAATTTAAGCCAATTTGTTTAAATCAAAAATTCGTTCAAAAAAAAATTCCGTTAAACTAAAATTAATGGAAAAAAAAAATTATTTTTTAAAATAAAAATTCGTTAAAAATCAGAAATTTACAAAAAAAAAATGAAAATTTAATAGAAAAAAAAAGAAAATCAATCTCTCGTTTATGTCGAATATAATGATAATTTGAAAGAAATTGGGACGATTAAAATGATCAACTTTGGAAATAGCTAAAGCTAAAATGAAATCGTCCACGGTGCAAAAGGATACAGAATACATAAGTTTAAAGGGTTTATAAAATATTTATACGTAGGTAGAGACTGATTTGATAATTTTTTTTTCACCAGCTCATTGTCAGGGACAGGAGGGAGTTTTAATAAATTATTTTTTTTTTTTCTGTTTTTTCACGTAGAAGATTTTTTTTTTTTTTTTGAGAAGGTGGTGAAGGGACGGGTACCTGGATTTGGCAAATTGCCACTATGTTCTTGATCTTGATCATGATTGCTGTCTAGGTCCTCATTGTCCTCGTCATCGGCATCATCAAGATTCTCCTGATGATCATCATGGTCGTCATCAAAGAATGAACGTCGTCCAGCAGAATTTCGTTGATGTTGCAATTTTCCATCTTCATCACTGCTACAGTTGGATGAAAAGGAAAGAGAGGAACTTGCCCTAGTGGGACTTAAGGATGGAGTTGATGGAGTTGAAGAAGCAGCAGCAGAGCACCAATGCGCATGATAGCACGAATACATCGATGACGAATCATTTGATGTTCGAACATCACAGGCGCCTTGGGAACTGGTTGATGTCTTTTTTTCAGAATTAGGATAATGATTATGAGGATGATTGTGATGATGATGATGATGATGATGATGATGATGATTGTGGCGATGATGATGACGATATTGATGCTGACCTAGACAGGCTCCTTGTTCTGGTTCTAATTTATCCGTGTCCCTCCACTGCCTATGGTGGTGATGATGATGATGGTCCCTGAAGGTCTTTTGTGATGGTGTGACAGGTGTATTTGGCGGTGTATCGGGACCCAATTCGGGACTCGTGTTCTCCCCGTCCATTGACGTCTGACCTATCCATCACAGCCCAGTCCCAAACTCCTCGCGATCATTCTTACACGACTCGCTCAACTAATATTTTTTTTTTTTTTTTTTTTGCATCCTACGCTTAACAATGCCGACAAAATCGAAACGAAAAAAATAAAAAACATGTCTCAGAGTATTTAATACCATTCTTATTCAAGGGCCTTGAACAGGTTCTTACAATCCTGATTACAAAAATCAAAAATTATTTAATAAAATTACAAATCAAATAATTAAATATGAAAAAATTTTGTTAGAAAAAAGATAATCGGTGAAAAAAATTTGTTTTCCAATATAAATTACTAATAATTTTTTGTCGAAAATTTTTCCAAATTTGTTGACTATCATCGTGTAAAATACCTGAAATATTGGCCGAGAAAGAAAAATTTAAGTGTACATTTATTCGATTTTTTTTTTGTTAAATAAAAATCCTTGATAATAAAAAAAAAAAGTTATTTTTTATAAAAATTAAATTTTTATAAAATACAATTTTTCAAACAAAAAATCAACGAAGAATTCAATTCAATGCTCCAAAATGTGCACGAGTGGAATGACCCATTGATTAATGTGAAAATAATTTTCAATACCAATTTTTGACAATACTACAAAAATTAAGACAAACAAAATTTTATTAACACTCTTTGCAAAAAAAAAAAAAATATTCTTTTTATAATTACATTAAAATTAATTATTGTAAATTAATTACTAAAAAAAAATTTATAATAATATTTACTATAACGATCTCAATCAATTTTAAAATATTCATTAGTACGATTAATTATAGTATTTATATTTTTATTTCGTTAAAATATAAAATATTATTTATTAAACAATTTAAATTAAAATTATTTAAATTTATTAATTATTATTATTAATTATTAAATAATATTTATTAATATAATTAATTCAATTGTAATTATTTAAAAAAAAAAAAAACGAATTAAAATTTAATTCTCTTAATTCCTCTTACCTTTAATGAAATATTTTACCTTTTTTTTTTGGTGATAAAAATAATTTTTTTCGTTACTTTTAATTTAATTTTCAAATCAAATTTTAAATGTACAACTTATTATTATGCTATGAAATACTCTGAAACAAATAGATAAAATCTCGAAAATAAGCGTACGATAAAAATAAAATAATTAAAATAACCAAAAAAAAAATAATAATTTTTAATAATAATTAAAAATAATTTTAAAACAATTTAGAAAAAATGATGAATAATGAAGCCATAATAAAAGAATAAATAATAATTCAAAATAAAAAAAACAAACGAATTGCTTTTGAATAAAATCATATACATAAGACGCAACAAAAATATTCAGCAAATTAAAAATAATTCATAATTTTTGATAGAAAAAATCAAATCAAAATAAAAACCTATGCAGTGACTAATTTGGAGCTTGGTGACCACAGTAACCCAAGCATCTTTTTTTTCTCTCTATTTTAAATTGTCATCCATTCGTCACATTTGAAGATACATTTTTTTTTCTGATATATGTGTGGTCTTGTGTATTTTCAGATTAAAATTTTAGTAATAATAATCAACAATTTAATAAATCCTCGTTCGATAGATTCGTTCGCGCCAATTATTATTTAAATATTATTATTTTATTTTGCACATATGCCTTTTGAAAAAATCGTTATAAATTTTTTTTTTTTTAATACAAAATTTAGGCAGTGCACGTGTATAATAAATAATGAGCAATATTGTTAATAAACAACGAATAGGGTAAAAGGAGAGGGTTAATGTGGTCCAAATAAAAGAAAGCAAGCAAAGCCACAACACAAAATACAACGAAATAAATGTTCACCAATGAAAAAATTAAAAAGATTTAAAAAAAAAACGTAATAAGCGTTATACAGTAGAGATAATTAAATCTCATTATTAATACAATCTACATCAATATATCGAAATAGACTCATGTGAAAATTTACTAATTTATTTATCATGTTTATCAATAATTATAAATAATTATGAATAAATTAAAAAGTAATAATTTCTTAATATAATTAATTATTAACGAGTCTTTTGATAATTAGATGCATTTTGAGAGCTTTTTAATTTGACACAAAAATTTTAGTTTTTTTTTTTTTTTTAGATTATAATTTATTCTCTTCTTTGATAAAAATAAACACCTTTTACTTATTAAAGTAACAAATTTTTAAAACTTAATTATGATTATCAAGGGATTAATTAAATTGTTAATAATTACAATCAATGTAATTAATAAAAGCAAAAAGCTTTTTTTATTAAATGCACACAAAAAAAAATAAAATGAATTTTTTTTTTAAGATAAAAATTAGTAATCTTTTTTATTTTATTAAAATTGAATATTAAATGAATAAGAGCAATAAGGATCAAAAAAATTTTTTATAAAATGATTACTGAAATATGTTGAAGTCATTACCTCCGACAAACCAATATGAAACTTTAAATAAAATATTTTATTTTCAATTATTATTGGAAAAAAGTTTTTAAGTTTCAATAAGTGTATTTGTGTTTTCTTTTTTTTTTGTGTCGTGTTTAGTATCATTTAGTTTCAATATTTGTAATGTTCATTCTAAAAGTGACATTTCTAAGACATCATACACATAACGTCAATCATTAAATCTTAATGCAAGAGTACCAAAAAAATATCTGTCGAAATTTCAATTTTTTTTTTTGATTCTACAATAAACTACACAAATATAAAAAAAAAAAATTTATTAGCTTTCTTTTAACCATTAAAAAAAAGGTATAATTATAATTAATAATAAAAATAGATATAGCTCTATGAAATTTAATTTCGAATTTATTTTTTGTACTCTTGCCTACTGTTCTCTTTTTTTTCTGCTGATGCAACAAAAGAAAAAAGGGAAATAAAATTATTTCTTCATATATATAATATAATATAATATAATATAATATAATATAATATAATATAATATAATATAATATAATATATATGGAAATATAAATTGGTATAAAATTTAAAGCCGAGAATAAAAACATAAAAAAATTTAATAAAATAATACTCACTATTGTTAGCCATTAAATTCTCGTGCAATTTGTCCCTTTGATCTTCTAAAACCTCACCCAAGTAGGTTGCCACCTTACGTGTTACCTGCTCGACAAATGCATCGAGCTTACCAAGATCATCTGATAAACCTACCAGTTGATCCAATGTTCCAACTTTTAAATCAGGAATGTGAAATTTATAATTATCAGACAATGAATTTTGTTTTGATGTCAAATTATTTAGTGTCTCCCATGTTTGTTGACAAGTCTTGTCACCTGGTGCCGATATTAACCAATATTCCGTCATTTTTCACGAATTTTTTTTTTAATTACGTCTACCTGTCAAGCCTGTAAAAAATATTTTTTTTTAAAAAAAATAATTTACATTATTATTTTTTATATTTCAATAATTTGTCAAATCGAAACATTTCTATCGGTAAATTATAAAAATAAATTATAAAAATAAATAAATTATAAAAGAATCTAGTAATTAAACTATATTATCTGGTAATAAATGTTAATATTTAAATATTAGTAAAAAAAAGGGATCGGAGGTGTGGCAGAAGTTTAATATGGATTGTGATATATTACATAAGTAGGCGCGTTTATTCCACGTGACATTAGAACTCAAGTCATCTGACTGATGACAATAGTATGCAGTACTTCAAAATAAACTCAATTAAGAATAATTTTCATTTAAATGAAATATTTTTTTTTTTTGTTGTGAACATTTCGTTACTAACGAGAAATTTATATGTTCTATAATATAGAGAACATCAATAATTCTTATACCAATGGCGTAAAAGAATTCATAAAATCAATAATCGCAATGCACATACTTAATGCGCACACAAATGTTTTATACAATATTTGAAAAAAAACATATTTATTAAAAATTCAAGACTAATTAGAAAAAATAGATAAATAATATTTATCAATATAAACTATTCTCTCTTTATAATTTAGTGACAAAATATATATTGCTACCGCCCATGTCAAAAATACATTTCGAAAAAAACTCCCCAATTCTCTTTTATAATGATTCTAATTTTAATTTTATAATTCAACAATTATTACCTATTTAATAAATCAAATTTTGCACTATCTTCAGGAAACGTATGTTCTTAAAACTTCACAAAAAATTAGTTGACTACACCTTCATTGTCGAGACTTTTTGATTGCTTTTCGTCTTCTGCTCTCTCTTTCTCTCTCTTTCTCTCTCTTCTTTCATCACTAGAACTCACGTGATATAAGTGCTGCTTTCTTGTGACTAAAATAAGAACTAGAAAAAGAACTAAAAAACAGCTGACTTGAAAAATTGACCAATTAGAATTTAAACAGGGTTGGATAACTTTAACCATCATTTAATTATGATTCGTCAAAAACTTCGATATCACTAGATATCGCATTTATCATTGGTTAATGGAACAATTCCAGAAAATACTATCGACCAATCAAAAATATGTAAGGTTATTACTATAAAGTGAGATGGAAATAAACTTGTTATCTCGTTTACTCTCATTGTGGTGATTTAAGGAAAAATTCTGAAAAAAAACAGGCCAAAACAAAAAAAAAAAAAAAGTATTTGTATGCTTTGTTGACAGACGAGACTGAGGTGTGACCGTACCCTTAAATTAATAATAAAAAAAAAAAAATATTCTTACGTATGATGATAATAAATAAAAAATTTATTTTCAAGTAATTATGGTTTAAAAAAAAAAACAGTTGGAAAAGGATTCAAAAAAACAGGTATATTAAAAATAGGTTCGATTGCATTTTTTTTTGTTTGGTCAGTAATCAAAAAAATAATTTAGTTGTGAAAATGAAAATTTGTTTTGAATTTTCATTGTTAGAATTAGATTTTCATAAACTAAATTAAGTGAATGGTTGAATGTCAAGAGAAAAATTTGCCTTGCAGATCTGTTATTACAAGGCCATATAAGCTTTTACATGTCGAGGTCAAGAATTTTGAAAATTATAATGCAATTCTCTGGTAAGTTTTTTTTTTTTGATATTATAAACTAATTTTTTAATAATAATAAACTAATACAAATAAAACAGGTGTCAACAACGTAGGTTATTATTTTTGGAGAAATAGTAGACATAGACAATGAGATTTATTTTATTAATAATTGTCAGTACTTTTTATGTACTGAGAAATGGATTTGGCAAAGATTTTATCAGTATGGATTATAATGTGGTGTTGCCTGATGAGATGTTTCGATTTAGCATCCCAGGCATTGCCAAGACAAGTTCCTTGCGATAAAACAAGAAAAATATTTACCGACTCCTGGGGTATTATTAGCGATGGTCCTATGGGATCGAATTACACTCAAGATTCACATTGCGAATGGTTAATAAGAGGTATTTAAATTAATTTATTTTCAACTATTTTTTTTTTTATTTTAAAATTAATTTTTAAATTAATTTTTAAATTAATTTTTTTTTTGATTTTTTATAGCCAATTCAAGTCGACAATTTATAACATTAAGTTTTCGAACTATGGGTACAGAATGCAGTTATGATTATGTATTTGTTTACGATGGTGATTCATTTAAATCTCCATTATTGGGTAGTTTTAGTGGTAAAACAGAACCACAACAAGTTACATCAACATCGGGTTTTGTATGTCTCACAAATTATTTTAATAATAAATTTAATTTTTCTTAACGTTTTTATAAATACTTTTTTTTTTTTTTTTTAATGTATTCGCAGATGTTAATTCTACTTTATAGTGATACAAATTATGTTTTGGATGGATTTCATGCTGAATTTTCAGTAACTGATTGTCCAAATAATTGTACTGAACATGGCAAGTGTATTAATAATACATGCTTTTGTGAAAATGATTGGGGTGGTCGTGACTGCTCAAAAATATTGTGTCCAAATAATTGTGGCCATGGGGGTCGTTGTGATATTAAAAGATGTCAATGTTTTGATGGCTATTCAGGACAATCTTGTTCATTGCATAAAACACATCCTGAAGGAAATAGGTAATCATTTTTTTATCACTAAAATTAAAAAATAATTTACTAACTATATTATTTTTGAAAAATTTTTTGTTTTTCTATTTTTTTTTTTTTTTTTTTAAAGGTGGCACTGGCTTTCACATTCAGAAGGAGGAATGACATCTCGTGCAGCTCATACATCGGTTTATGTTAATGAAACTGATTCTCTATATGTATTTGGAGGATATAATCTCAATTTTATACTCAGTAATTTGGAAGTTTATCGTTTTAATATTAGCAAATGGGAAGATGAAGCTGGCACTGTACTGGGTAAAAATTTTTTTCTATTTATTTATTTTTATCAAAAAATTTATAAATAAATTGTTTTCTAAATCATTTTTCAGAAGGTACATCTTCTGCTGAATATCTTGATCCAATGTTACTTGCCAGTGAATTAGGTGTTGGTGAACAATATGGTTTAACAAAAACATCAATAATTTGGAAAGTTTTAAATAATATTAAAGCAAACAGTACAATAAGAACGGCAATAAAAAGTCATCGTAAACGTGATCATAGGGGGAAAAATATTTCATCACAAAGAAAACATTCACGAAGAATTAGATCGCAATATTTTCAATATTCAACAAAAAGGTTATTTATATTTCAAATAGAAATAATTTTTTTTTTTTTTTTAATAATTGAATGGAGAAGAAAATTAATTAAAATTATTTTAGATATGAAAAATCATTGGATAATGATACACGTTTTAAACGTTCAAGTAATATAACGTGGAAAGAGAAAATAATTGATGAGCCAATGGAAAAAAATATTTTTTCACAACAATTATTTAAACCACAATCAACCACTGATGGAAATTTTGTTATTAAAGAACAAATGGAGGAAAATTATCAAGATATTCCAAAACCAGGTGCAAGATATGGTCATGCCGCGTGTAAATATCAAGGTCAGTGAAAAAGTATTCGAAAAAATTGTCTAATTAAAACAAAAAAATGATTGATTCTTTGTAAAAAAAAAAAATTTTTAATTATTTATTTATTGATTAAATTTATTTCAAATGTTTAAGATGGATTTGTCATATATGGAGGAAAAGTTGAAGATGGTTCTCTATCAAATGAATTGTGGCATTATGATGTAAAACGAAATCTTTGGACGTTAAGAGCAAAAAATTCACCATTTTATCCGCCAAGATTAACGAGACATACATTAACATTATCGAATGATTATATTTATCTTTTTGGAGGAAGTACAGTTGATGGAGAATTTTCCTCGAGTCTTTATACAATTAAATTGAATTTATGTAAGTTTTTATTAATTGTTGGGGGAAAAAATTTGTGATTTTTTCCCAATTTTTAAACGTGAATTGTTTCCCCCCCGTATAATTATTAAATATTAATATAAATTATTATTGAATAACGATTTTATTGTTAAATATATTGTTTATTTTATTAATTATGGTTTTTTTTCCTGTTTTGTTAATATTTAGCTGATAAAACTGGAAGTACTGAAAGATGGCAAGAAGTTAGACCTCGAGGTGGAAAAGAATTAGACGTGCGAGTTGTTGCACATTGCACTGTTTATCATCATGGAACAAATTCTTTATTAGTTTATGGAGGTGTTGTGGCGAGTGTTGCTCGATTTAGTAAATTATCCGATAGGATGTTTGCATTTCAACTCGATAGAAAAGTTTGGTCAGAAATTCATTATCCACGTGCACATTTACGTGATACTTATGTTCCCAGAGAACGTGCATTTCACACATGCAATATTATAGGTATAAAAATCTATTTATAATTTCTTTTAAAAATTAAAATTTTCTATGCTAATTATTAATTTTGTTTTAGGTAATTATTTGGTTGTTTTTGGAGGATACTCACATCGTCACAATAAAGAAGAAATTTGCTATGACAATCAAATGTATTTATATCATTTGGGTTGTCATGCTTGGGTTAGTCATGATGTATTGGGCTCAGATGAACCAGGTAAATAAATTTAATAAAAAATTGAAATAATTTGTGAAAATAAGTGAATAAATTACCGTACTAAAAAAATTAAAATAAAATTTGTAGATTCACGATATCCAAAACAACAAGGTGTATTTGCACATGCCGCTGATGTTAGAAATGGAAATACATTATTATTAGTTGGCGGTTATCATGGAAATGTGAATGCAGATCTTCTTGCTTATACATTACCACCAATGGTTGCACCTGGTGATCATGATTTTATCGAACCCGAACAAATATGTTCACGTCACAAGAGTTTTGTTGAATGTGCCGCTAATCCTGAATGTGGATGGTGTTCAGCTGATGAAGTAAGGAAAAAAATTAAATTATTTTTAATTTGAAAAAAAAAAATATTAATAGAAAAAATTAAATTATTTTTAATTTGAAAAAAAATATTAATAGAAAAAATAAATTTTAGATTTGTTATGGAAGAACAGTTGGCAGTAATTGTACGACAAATTTACAAACAACACGCTGTCCCGGTGTTTGTCCTGCATTAGGCGATTGTCATTCGTGTTTAATTCATGGACAACCTGGTGGTGGATGGGGTACAAATGCAAGGGGTAAAAGTTCAGTTTCAAATAAATTGAATTTAGGTACATGTACATGGTGTGTTCAAAATGCACGTTGTCATCATAAGGATGATAATTATGGTGTTTGTGGTCTTCGCGATGATACATTGTCACAAATACCAGGTTGGTGGGGACCAAAAGGTACGGAAATTGCAAAAGTTGAAGAATGCCGTGAAATGGATAAAAGGCCGGGATTAACATTTTTAACATATAAACCGCCAGTTAATTTTACACAACCTGATTCAGTGACAATTGTTAATGCAACAACTGTTGATTTTAATGTACCATCGATGCAAGGTGCAAAAACAGAATCGGCACTTGGCGGTGAAATGATTGCAAGATTAATTGGATTTCTTCGATTGCCACAAGATTATTGGGATAATACAATGGAACGTTTGAAAATATGCGTTAGTTATAATAGTGCAACGCTCAATGTATCACGAAGTGATAATCGTCAAGAAATGGTATGTTTTATTTTAATATTTTCATTTTATATTTTCTATTTTATTTTGTTCTTAAATTATTTTCATAATCAGTACTTTTGTTCACGACAAAAAAACAAAAAAAAAAAATTAAAATCACAAATTATTAATTTACAAAAAGTAAAATTACTTCAAATCTTAAATTTATTTTAACTCGAAAATTCATTAAAATATTTGACTATTTGACTAGTTTTTTGCTTATTGCATTTATTTTTATTATTATTATTTGATTTAGTAAATAAAGATTTTTTTTATTCATTTTATTAAAAATATTTAAAGATGATTACTTAATAAAAATAATTTCATATAATTTTAATTGTTTAATTCTATAAATAAAAAAAATTTGCAATTATTTAATTTATTATTTGAAAATAAATTTTCCATATTATTTGGTGATAATTTTGAATTTTTTAAATTTATTAATTTTGAAGATAATTTTAATTATTTTTTACGTTTGAATAATTGAAAAAAAGGGATATTGTTAGATTAATTAATTTTTAGATTTTATTTTTTATTGTTAATTGTGCAATTGTAATTATTTAATTGAATAGTGAAAAATAATTGCAATTATTTGATTGATTACCTAATTGAAGATAATTTTGGATAATAATAATAATTTATAATAATATTACTGATAATAATAATAATTTATAATAATATTACTAATAATAATAATAACTTATTAATAATTATTATTATAATTATAATTTTATATTTAATAATTTATAATTTTTTTTTTTTTTTGAGATAATTTGAATATTTTATTTAAGTATTTGAAGATAATTTCAATTTTTTATTTTTTTTTAAAAAAGTAATTTCAAATTTTTTACTTATAGTTTCAATTTTTTAATTTATTTGAAAATAATTTCAATGATTTATCATTGGAAAAAATAATTTCTAGGAAAAAAATTTTCTTTGGAAAAATAATACTTTGTTTTTTTTAATTATTGGAAAGTTTTAGAATTTTTGTCTCCTATTTTAAAAATTATTTTATTAAAATAATTTGCAAACATTTTTTAATTATTTGCTTATAAGTAATTAAAAATAATTTTTATTATATATTTTTAATTCGAGGATAATTGAAATTATTTCAAAAATTAAGAAATATTTTTATATATATTTTATTGATTATTAAATATATATATCATTATTTTATTCATTAATTGCAATGATTTATAATTATTTTAAAATAATCACAAATATTTAAATGAGAATTTTTTTCCTTCTTTTTGTAAAGTTGAATATTTTTTTAAATATGATTAAATAAAATTGATGATTGAAAATTATTTCAAATTTTTGATGAATTTAAATTCTAAAATTTATTCTAAATGAAAAATACTTGAAAATAATTCCTTTCAATTTTCCTCGTCTTATTTAATTAAAAAAATAGAGAAAAAAATTTTGATTCAATTACAGAAATTATTGATTTAAATAAAAAATTATTTACCTCAAATAAATTATTTATCGTTTATGAAATAAATTTATGATTTTTAAAATAATAATAATAATCATTGATTATAGTTTCATAGAAGTTGTAAAAAATATTTAATTTTTTTTTTTATGGTAAAATAATTTTTCTTTTTTTTAGCAATTGGTCGCAAATTTAACAGCTGAAACATCGCAATGTATTGCGACAAAATGGCCCGATGGACGTGAAATGACATTACAATCAGGACGTTATCTATTGGATTTTGAATCAAAACGAATGGTAACGGCAAGTTATGCATACGCAAGTAAAATGGAAATAACGCATAATAGAAAAATTGAAAATCCAAAAGTATTTACATTTGAATATTTGGAACCATATCAAAATGGTACATGTAATCAATATAAAAATTGTCTTCATTGTTTAACTGATTCATCATGTGGTTGGTGTGATATTAGCGATAAATGTGTATCGCGTTCAATAAATGAAATTGAAAGTTGTACAATTATTAATAATGATTCAGAGGAAATGATAAATGATTGGCATTATTTAACAATAACACCATCAACATGTGCAAATTGTTCGAATTATATATCATGTGAATCGTGTATTAAAAGTGGATTATGCGAATGGTGGACTGAGGAGGCAAGATGTGCAAGAATTGGAAGATTACCAGACGCTGTTATTAATTTGAAACAATGTCCAATACCATGTCGACAGAGATCAAATTGTACACAATGTTTAGATGAAAAAGGACGTTGTGTATGGTGTGAGGCAACGCAGGAATGTTTTTCATTTTCTGTCTACACGTCTGAATATCAATTTGGATTATGTCGTGAATGGACTGATCAGGCGGGATTAATGGGTGTAACATCGAGAAGTGGTTCGAATTTAAGTGGTAATGAACAATGTAAAAGTTGCAGTCGACATACAAATTGTTCGAGTTGTTTACATTCATTGAGCTGTGGATGGTGTTATAGTTTGGAGAATCCAATACTTGGTGCTTGTGTACAAGGTGATTTTAATCAACCGCACAGTAATTGTACAATGGTGATTAATCAGCAGAAAAAAAATGGAACACATGAATCTGGATGGGCTTATGCACAATGTCCGGATGTTGATGAATGTGATCTTGGTTTACATGATTGTCATCCAGAGGCTGTTTGTACAAATACACATGGTAGTTTTAGTTGTCAATGTAAAAGAGGTTTTAATGGCGATGGCAGGGAGAATTGTACAAAAACATGTTATGAAAAATGTGTTAATGGCTATTGTAGCGAAGCGCCGGATTATAAATGTGAATGTAATTTAGGATGGACTGGCGCTGATTGTAGGACAAATTGTGGATGTTACAATCATTCAACTTGTAATCAAGGCGAAGGGATTTGTGATGATTGTCAAAATTGGACGGAGGGAATTAATTGTGAAAAATGTAAAGCTGGAAGTTTTGGTAATGCAACATTGGATTTTGGTTGTAGTAAATGTGATTGCAATGAGCATGGCGATATTGAAGCTGGGACATGTGATAGAAAAACTGGTATTTGTTTTTGTCGGGATAATACTGAGGGCGATAAATGTGAACGTTGCACTAAGGGTTATTATGGAAATCCAAGAAATGGAGGAATGTGTTATTATGGTTGTGTTTCACGTGGAATGCTTGAGGGCGAAGGTAATGGAAGACAGGGATTAGGAAGTAGACATTCACAATTATCATTATGGGAAACACGATTGGGTGGTCCATTAACTAGAGAATGTTTATGGATTGTAAGTCCAAAATTGGTATTAACACCTGATACAATGACGCCAAGTGTTCAAAGTGTTATTCAATTTACAATACACGATGATATTAATATAAGTTGTCAGGAGAATGGACTTTATGTTTATGATGGTTTACCGGATTTTGTTTCATCAACAACGAGTCATCAAAGTCAATTATTGGGTGTTTATTGTACGGAAAGTACAAATTATCCAATAACTGTTGAGGCAAAATCGGGTTTTTTGACTGTACACTATAAACAACTTGACGAAATTGAAGGATTTAATGCAAGCTATGTGATAATGACCTGTAATAATTGTCCTAAAAATCGACAATGTCGAGGTGGTAATTGTCTATGTAAAATTGGATTTGTTGGTATTAATTGTGATGTTGAATTGTGTCCAAAAAATTGTTCATCATGGAATAAACAAGGAATTTGTGACAAAGGATATGGACATTGTGTTTGTTCAACTGGCTATGGTGGACGTGATTGTTCAATAAAATTAAAGCAACATCAATTGGTATTTACGGAATTATTTAATTCGGAATATTTAGCTGAAAATTTGGATCATTTACGTAAAACATTGCCAAGATTTGGTCATAGTCTTGTTGCTGATCGACGTGGTAGTTTATGGATGTTTGGTGGTTATTCATTGAGTCATGGACCATTAAATGATATAAGATTATTTGATACAAAAAATAATACATGGATGCCAGTTACTGTTGAATCAACATCTGAAGCATCAATGCCACAGGGGAGATATTTTCATGCCGCTGAAATTGTACACAGTCGACAGCAAATTTATGTTTATGGTGGATTATCAATGAAGGAAAATGGTATTTTGGGATTGTCAAATAATACATTAAATGATTTTTGGAAATTTAGTTTACAAAATCAACGTTGGAGTCAAATAACATCATCATGGAATCAACAACAATCGTTACCACCGCCACTTGCTGGTCATACATTAACATTAAGAAGAGATGGCGAATCGGAGAGTTTAATTTTAATTGGTGGTTTTAGTCCAAAATATGGTTATTTAGAGACAGTATGGGAATTTAATTTAGAAACCGATACATGGGATACAATAAAAACACTTGGCAATAGTCCTTTAGGAATTTATGGACATTCAACTGTTTATCATATAAAATCAGATAGTTTTTATGTATTTGGTGGCTATATTTATGCAATTAATCGAACATTTATTTCAAATAAATTACATGCTTTTAATTACAAGACAAAAAAATGGTCTATATTGCCACCGTTTAATGATGAGGATGCTGTTTATACATATGGAATTAGTTTTGTAAGTTTTCTTTTATATTTTTTTTCCTACGATAAATTTTCTAATTTAAATATTTTACGATAATTTTCTTTTCTAGCCTCAAGCACGTTTTTTACATTCAGCTGTGACAACGGATGAATATATGGTGATATTTGGAGGTCGTCAAAATACTTATAATACATCGGACAGTTTATTGGCTTATAAATATTCTTGTAATCTTTGGATTCATCTTATAACGAGAGATATGGAAGTTATTGGTAATCCACCACCGCCTGCATATGCTCATGCAATGACACACGCTGATCCTGAGACAAATACAGTTTATGTTGTTGGTGGTTTTGATGGTGGAATTAAAAGTCACGTTACACAAATTACAATACCTGAAGATTTATGTAGTCTATGGATTGATAAAGTTTCGTGTAGAAAATATTTTGGATGTTCATTTTGTTCTGTAACAACAATTGCTGGTACCAATGAATCTTATTGTTTTTCTAATGATGAACTTTTACACAGAGATGATAAGTAAGTTTCAAAATATTTTTTTCTACCAAACTTCTTTTTGTGGGGGAAAAAAAATTAATTTTTTTTTTCAGATGTGATATTAATGTAACACAGGCGCAACGATCAAATGGCGTTTTTTGTAATTCTGAATGGATGGCTAGTAGAAAATGTCAAAATTTCAAAACTTGTACGGAATGTTTGGCAGAATGGCCACACTATAAGGAAGATCAGGCTGTTTGTAAATGGTGTCCACATTGTCCGCGGACAAAATGTATACCACGTGAAAAAGATTGTGATGAATCGAGTAATTGTAATTTGAAATATAATACAATAACTGATGTTAATCAATGTAGCGAAAAACAATGTTCAGCTAGCGATTGTGAAAAATGTAACAATCATAAAAGTTGCATTTGGACGAGACAAGTATTAAAAACATGTAAGTTTTGTTATTTTATAAATTAATCAATTTATTTACTTGTTGATTTATTTTTTTATTTTTTTTTTTACAGCTGATGGTGGTACCCAAGTAACTGAACAACCAGTTTACGATTGGAACTGTGTGTCTGAAGATATATTCCGTCAAGCAACATTTGGTAAAGAAATTGTGAATTTTGATAAAAAAAAGACGACACAATGTGAAAAACGTTGCGGAGATCATAAGGATTGTACGAGTTGTTTAAAAGGCACAGGAGGAGAAGGTGGATGGAGCGAATGCAGATGGTCCACCCAATTAAATGAGGTAAAATCATCAAAAAAAATTTATTTTTTATTATTTATTTTATTATTTAATATTGTAATTACTATTAGTAAATTAATTATATTTCAATTAATTAATATAAATTTATTTTTAAATTAATTTAATTAATTAATATTTAATTAATAGTGTATTTCGCCTTCTTATCAACCTCTATATTGCGTGGGTGGAGTTTGTGGATTAGTATTGCGAAGCATTGACGTTGAACATTGTCCTGAACCGTGTGCTGTTTTTAAACAATGCAGTACATGTTTAAAACATTCACATTGTGGATGGTGTTCATTGGATACAAATTCAATAACAGGACAGGGTTTATGTACAGAAGGATCACTTGAAGCGCCAACGGATCATCCAGCTGGCGGTACTTGTGAAATGCTCTATAATCAACAATTTTCACAAATTGAACGATTACAAAGTAAGAGAGAGAAAAAAAAAATTAATTATTAATTCCGTTAAAATAATTATTTTTAGTATTGAAAGAAAATGATTTTTTTTTCTAATTACAGATAATAATTCACAAAAAGATTTAGAGAATAATGCAACAATGTTGGTGGCAAAAAATACAAATCAAAGAAATTTTTCTTGGCATTACGTAAGATGCCCACCGGAAAATGAATGTTTAAATGGTCATCATACATGTTCGCCAAAAAGTGAAAAATGTTTTGATCTTGATGAAGGTTTTGAATGTATGTGTGGCGATGGATTTAAAACAGAAACGTAAGTTTTAAAATAGAATTCCAAAAAAAAATGAGGAAAAATAAATTTTCAATTAATTTTTTTGTTTCAGAACCTGGTTGTCGAACGATCTTGGAAGGTAAATAATATTCCTATTTTTTTTTTTTTGTTTGAAAGTAGTAAATTATTATTTTTATTGAAAATTTACTTTCTTTTAGAAAAACTTGCGTTCCAACGTGTGTTCAAGGATGCGTTCGTGGAATTTGTGTTGAACCAAATGAATGTCGTTGTGATTTCGGTTACGTTGGTGCAAATTGTTCAATTCAATGTCAATGTAATGGACACAGTAATTGTGTAGGACCTGATAAATTGGACGATTGTATAAAATGTCACAATAATACACAAGGTGATCAATGTGAAAAATGTGAAGCTCTATTTGTTGGTAATCCAGCGGATAATGGACAATGTGTGCCTTGTCTAGAATATTGCAATGGTCACACTCACGTTTGTATTAATGACAGCATGACAGTTCCTGTAAGTGGAAATTTTTTTTTTTTAATAATATTATTTATTTTGTAAATATCTGTGAATTTTTTTTTTCTAGGATCCAAATTCAATTGACAAAATGTCTATTGATTTATTGAAGAAACAATTAGTCGAAGGACCAGTAACCAAGGCAAAATGTGTTGCCTGTGGGAATAATACGAAAGGAGATAAATGCGGTGAATGTGTTTCGGGTTTTTTCAGAGGAACAGAAGATCTTCGTGATGTTTGTAGACCGTGAGTTTAATTTATTTAGTAAAATTATAATTATTTATTTGGAAATTTAAAAAAAATTATAATTTTCTAGATGTGAATGTCATGGTCATGGATTTATGTGTGATCCAGTGACAGGAGAAAAATGTAATTGCGGTAATAATACTGAAAGTGAACCATCATGTTTGAGTGGTCCAATAAAGGGATTAAGCGCTGGTGGTACACCATGTTGGATGGTACAATGCAGTAAATGTCGTGAAAATTATGCAGGAACACCAACAATGGGTCATCAGTGTTACAAAACTGTAACCGTTGACAATAAAATGTGTTTTGATTCAAAATTAATAGGTAAAGAATAAAATTAAATTATGATTTAACAAAAATTAATTCAATTTTTTGAAAATTTATTAAAAATATTTAATTTTGAAATAATAATGCAATTTCTTTTTGAATTTTAATTTTATTAGAAAATAAAAATATTTTTCCCCGTTTTTACAGTTAAAAATTTACATTTAAAAAATACATATCGTATAAAATATAATATATATAAATTTTTTTGGAATAATTCTAGACGAGTGTAAAATGAAGCCAAAACCATTAAATCCTGGACAAACGGTATTTTATATGGTGCAACCACGCTTTATGAATGTTGATATACGCGTAATGGTTGATGTAACACAAGGCGCTTTAGATTTATATCTAAGTCCACGTGACGATTCATTTGTCGTTACTTTAAATTCATCAAATGGATATCAAGAGGTAAGTTAAATAAAATACTATTCTTTTTTTTTATAATGATGAGAATAAAAAATAATTTTTTCTTCCATTTTTTTTTTATTTGCAGATTGAACTTGACAATAGATTTAAATTACGCAAAGATTATACTGAAAGTTGGTTAGATTATTCACACAATAAAGTGAGAGTAGTTGAATTTCATCCACATGCATCGTTTCATTTAATGCAAAATGGCTCAACAATGGAGCCCGAATGGAATTCAGGACCACAATATATTGTAATGGAACGTTTTGCCGAAAGTTTAGCAACATATGTAACAATTGAACAAAGAAATACTTTATTAGTTGTGAGAAATTTAACAAATCGTCTTGTATTGACATTGCCACAGGATAAACATGAATTGGGACAAACAAAATTTCATATTGCATTGAGAGCAATTGATATGCCAAATCCTGAAATTAATGGAAAAGCAGCATATGGAATGATATTCTTTCGACAAGATCAATTGCATATTGATCTTTTTGTATTTTTCTCGGTATTTTTTTCATGTTTCTTTTTATTTTTAGCAGCATGCGTTGTTGGTTGGAAGACAAAACAAGCGGCTGATGTACGTCGTGCACGACGTCGTCATGTTGTTGAAATGTTACATATGGCAAAAAGACCATTTGCATCGGCAACAATAATTTATGATCGTGAGGGAAATAATTTTAGTCCAAATTCACCGCAACGTAAAGGAAGACGTAATAAAATTGTCAATTTTCATAGTGATGTGAGACCAGTTGCAGTTGAACCAACTGATGATGGTGTTGCTGGTGTTGCAACTGTTTTTATTAAATTACCAGGAGGTGGACAAGCACCTGTTAAATTAGCTCTTGGAAGTTCATTAATTTTATTAACAAGAGTTTATCCAGTTAATAGTCGTGTATTTTTACGACGACGAAATAGTCATGCAATTAATTAATTTTCATAAATTGAAAAATTAATTTCTTCAATAATAAGGTATTTATGGAGAAAATTTAGTTTCTTTTTTTTTTATTGAAACTAAATTTTATTTTTAAACAAGTTTTTTTTTTTTTTAATTGATCCATGACAAGATTTTGATTTTAGAGAAAAAATAAGGTGCATTTATAATGTAAATAAAATAGAATTAAAAAAAGACTTGAGTGAATAATAATAAGGGTGTTTAATGAGAAAAAAAATATAATTCATTTATTGCATTTTGTTATAATTAAATAAATGAATTGTTCTCAAGATATTAGGCAAAAAAAAAAAAAACTTTAAGTGCCGATTATTGTAATTTTCAAGTATTTTATGCTGCTATATAGAAAATATGAAATGTGTTCATATAAATCAATTTTTATATCACTTTAATAAGCAGTATTAAAAATCAGATCTTATTTTAGCGTCATAGTTTTTTTTTGCAATCGGATGATAATTTTAGATTTCTAAAAATTAAATTTTTAATTATCATCAAAAAAAAGCAGATATGGCTCACGAATTAGAGTGCCAAAAAAAAAGAAAAAAAAACAATTCGTATACGTTTATAAATGTACATTCCTTGAATAGTTTTTTTTTCTATTTTTTATTAGCCAAGTAAAGAATGGCTAATTTATTATTATTTATAGTAAATAATAAATTGAATTGTATAGTAGATTTTTAAAATATTTATAATTGAGAAAAAAAAAGTAAGTTATTTTTCTCACTTTAATTGAACACCAATTTTTATTTGTTTAAATTCTTTTTTTTGCCGTCCAAAATAATAAAAAAAAAATTTTTTTTTTTTTTTTTGACTTTGTATGGCAAAATTTGTAAAAACAATAATGTTATTTGTTTTATTTTTTTTATCACTGGTTAAAATGTGGCACGAAATTTCTATAGAAATTTTATTGCAAATATTTCTATTAATAAAACAAAAGCTCCGAACATTTTCTATAAATGGAAATGGATTAAATATTAATTATTGAGAATTAAAAATATGTAAATTATGTGCAGAATCTCTTCTAAAAAAAAGAAAAAAAAATAGAATACTCATAGAATTCACAAATGAATTTAAAAATAAAATAATCTCATTTTCTTTTTATTCAAAATTTATTTTATAGGCAAAAGATTAGAAAATTTATAATGTAATAATTTATGGGGCTTTATATTAAATATGAAATATTTATTTTTGAAAATCTACCAATTTCCGAGAGAATTAGTTAAAGAAAAAAAAAATAATAATGTCCACCGCAATGTTTTATACAAAAATAAAGAATAAGAAAAAGAATTTTTTTTTTAATATAAAATAGTTTGCTCTTTTCGAATTGTAAAATTTTAATGAATAATTATTTTCAAAGGTAGATTTATGTGTACATTTGTTGGTAAAAATATTTCTTATATAGTTAATTTAAATTTTTAATACAAATTGTATGAAAAGGAAAAATCTCAAACTTTTATAAATAATATACATAAAATTAGTTATAAGGCATTCATTTAATAAATATGTTATATAACAAATATAATATAATTTATTTATAAATTATATTATATTGAATTATAATAATATATGTAATATTACACACACGTGTTGTATTTATCAATTGTAAGATGATATATATATATATATATATATATGTATAAATATATTTAAATCATTATTATATATGTAACAACAATTGTACAGATCTTATAAACGTAATTGTATTTTATAAGCATTGCGAATTTATATACATTAAATTATACAGGAAATTAGTAAGCGTATATTATCAGAAAAAAAAATAAAAATAAATCAATTAAACGTATGTACGTGTTTAATAATAATAATTTTAAAAAGTTATTTTGTCTTTTATTTCAAATTGTAATTTATCCTTTTTTTTTAGCTGTATACGTTTTTATATTTATATTAATTAATTCAAAAACAAAGTTTGTTACATTTTTAACTAATTATTAATTTTTGTTGTAATAATTAAATTTTAATTATAACCTAATCCTTAGGAAAATTTAATTTATTTAATTAATTAATAATTTAATTTAATAAATTTACTTTTGACAAAAAAATTTAAATTTGAATTTTATCGTATTTCTGCAAATTTTAATCTTTATTTCCTCGAATATCCAATAATTCGATTGTTTATTTAATATAAAAGATTAATTTTAATAATGTAAATAATATAAAACGTCAAAAACTAATTGTTTACAATGATAAAATTAAATTAATAGAAAATTAGTGGCGCCATCTGTTGGTGACTCCCGACGTACCTTAGAAATGACTTTTTTTGGTCCTTTTTGACGATTTTCCATTGGAGAGATAGGAAAGTTAAGCTAATTGAAATTTTTCATTTAGGAGCGCTGCTGTACCGAAATTTTATCTACCCATCCCTGGTTTTCACTTTTCTGTTGGAAAGCTCTCATTGGTCAATTTCATATTTACGCGCCAACAGCAACCAATGAGCGCGCACCTCATTCCCCGCGTAAATATGAAACTGACCAATGAGAGCGTTACAATAGAAAAGGGAAAACCAGGGATGGGTAGATAAAATTTCGGTACAGCAGCGCTCCTAAATGAAAAATTTCAATTAACTCAACTTTCCTATCTCTCCAATGGGAAATCGTCAAAAAGGACCGAAAAAAGTCATTTCTATGGTACGTCGGGAGTCACCAACAGATGGCGCCACTAATTTTCTATTAATTTAATTTTATTATTGTAAACAATTAGTTTTTGACGTTTTATATTATTTACATTATTAAAATTAATCATTTTATATTAAATAAACAATCGAATTATTGGATATTCGAGGAAATAAAGATTAAAACTTGCAGAAATACGATAAAATTCAAATTAAAATTGTTTTTTTTTAAATTAAATTATTAATTAAGTAAATAAATAAATTTTTAAATTTTCCTAGAGATTTTTCCTTAAATTATAATTAAAATTTAATTAATTCAACACATTCAAAAAAACACATTCTTCCCCCACCAGTTTCTAGGGATATTAAATGACAAGCGCGTTTCTGTGCCGGAAGTCAGAAATAGGTGATTGCGCACCATGGCTGCCAAAGAGATTTCTTTTCTCGTGAGGAAGCCGCTGTTCGCGGTTCTGGTGTTGCAGTTTTATTATATTTCCTCAAAATGGTAAGTGTTAATTTAACAAATATGTTTAAAAATAGACGCCTTATATTAATATTAATTAATAGAATCAATTTATAAATATTTTAATGAAAAGATGTAAAAGTTGTAAATGGATTTGATCACTCGGGCTTAACTGTTGCTGATTCTCTTCTGAATAACGTTTTTATTATCTTAATATTTAATTTATTATTTAAATTTAGATATTATTATTTATTGTTTTTTATTTCATTTCTATATTTATTAGTTTTAATTTAATTTTTTTGATAATTATCATTGTATGTGATCTAACCTCACTTTTATTTTTCTCGTGGACATATGCGTCTGAAAATAATTTCCAACACTTTTCATCTAATTTTTGTAAATGTTTTCTATTAAATATCTAAATAAAAAAAAAAAAAAAATTCTATTTTTCTAAATATTTCACCATTTAATGATGAGACACTCAGCTCGCTTTGATGAAGAACTGAAGAAAACCTTTTGTTCCCTAATATATTAATAACTGATTTTGGTGAAAAAAAACAAACTAAATAGTTATTAATTTTCTTTTTTTAAATTTTTGTTATTAATTCCATTTTTCTGAATAAATAGGGTTTCGTGAAAGTTGTCAAGAATAAGCAATACTTCAAGCGTTATCAGGTTAAATTCAAGAGGCGTCGCGAAGGTAAAACCGATTACTATGCCCGTAAACGATTGACAATTCAGGATAAAAATAAATATAATACTCCAAAATACAGATTAATTGTTCGTCTTTCCAACAAGGACATTACATGTCAGGTAAATATTTTTTATTATCATTTTAAAAAAATTATTCATATTTATTTTATAATTTAATTTAATTTAAGGTCGCTTATTCAAGAATCGAGGGTGATAAAATTGTATGTGCTGCCTATAGTCACGAACTTCCAAAATATGGAGTTAAAGTTGGTCTTACAAATTATGCATCGGCCTATTGTACAGGACTATTGTTGGCAAGAAGAGTAAGTAATTTTTATTTTTATTTTTTTTAAAATTTTTTTTAATTAATAAATGCACAAATGATGATCCACTCAGCTCGCTTTGATATGAACAATGAAGATAACATTTTGTTCCCTAATTTATCAATAATCTGACAATGTAGAAAATATCTTCTTTTTTTTTTTAAATTAAATATCCATTTTGAAAATTAATTGATTCAATTATTTACAGCTTTTGAAAAAATTAGGATTGGATACATTGTATCAGGGAGTTTCGGAAGTCAATGGTGACGAGTATAATGTAGAGGAATTAGACGATGGTCCTGGTGCATTTAGATGCTACCTGGATACTGGTTTAATGCGCACGACCACTGGTGCTCGTGTTTTTGGTGCGATGAAAGGCGCCGTCGACGGAGGTCTTAACATCCCCCATAGGTTTGTTGAAATTATAATTTTAAATTCATATACAAAAAAAAAGAAATAATAATTTTCGCTGAAGTTTAAAAATTTTTTATGATGAATATATGACACATGCGCGTCATCTGAGTCACAATGAAATAAGTTTCTTTGTTTTTGTGTTTTACAATTCTTAGATTCTGTTTCATATCGACATTAAGGGATTATAAAGTGTCTCTGATTATTTTTTTAAATTTTTCTTTTTCTATTCATTTTTTTTCCTATTTGTAATTAATTTTCTTTTTTTTTACAGTACTAAACGTTTTCCTGGTTACGATAATGAGGCAAAATCATTTAATGCCGATGTCCATCGACAACATATTTTTGCACAACACGTTGCTAATTATATGAAAACATTGGAAGAAGAGGACGATGATGCGTTCAAGCGTCAATTTTCCAAATATATTCATCATGGCATTACTGCTGACAGTGTAAATATTTATTTTTAATTTCAAATATTACAGTCCAAATCAAATTACTTAAATGACCATTAAATGTTATTTTAGTGTCGCAATTGGACAAAAGAAATTTAAATAATCGTCATTATTCTTGAAAGTCTTTTTTCATTAAATTTCGATTATTTACAAATTTTATTTTATTGTCTACAATTTTTTTTTTATTTTATTAATTCTTTTTCTCTCTTTTTTTTAGATTGAGGGAATTTATAAAAAGGCACATGAAGCAATTCGTGCTAATCCAGAGCATAAGAAAGTCACGAAGGACACGCCACCAATTAAAAAGAGATGGAATCGTGCAAAACTCAGTCTTTCGGAGAGAAAGAATCGTGTTGCACAAAAGAAGGCATCATTCCTCAAGAAACTTGCCGAAAACGAGGATTGAAAAATGTTGTCTTAATGACAGTTTATTATCCAAGAAGTATTTATATATTTACATTTTTTTTTTAATGTACTTTATAAACTTCATGGGAAATTTCTGTTGTGAGAGTATAATAAAAAAAACAAAAAAAAAAATTATGTCATTTTTTTTAATTAGAATGTATTTCAAATAGTAAATTTTACTTTTTTTTTTAAAATAGTTTCTTTTTTACCCCATACTTATAAATTCAATTTTTATAAAAAAAAACAAATTTACAAAAAAAAAATTTATTTAATTCTGTAATAATTACTAATGTAAAATCTTTTTTTTTTTTAATAGAATAAATAAAAAAAGGGGGATAGATTAACATCTGCAAACATTTTTATTATATATCGATTCTCATTGAAGCACAACTTTTATCATTTTTTTTTTTTTTTTTTTTTTTTATAGTTCATACAGGCTTATTACATAAATAAGAACGCCATTCAAAAAGTCGATTCTTATACAAATTCGTAATTTGCAACATTCACAATTATGTATTTTGACAGAATTGCCAAATACTTGGACAAAATTTTACAATATAATCGAGAGCTATATATAATAACTAAGCCACATCCGTTCGAGTCATAAAAAACTAAAAATATGCACTCGGGTTGGTTTTTTTTTTTCGTACTCGAAGTATTGAGATTTATTTCATTTTTTTTTTTCTTTTATTATGGAGGGGAAGATAAGGTCGTGTAGAAAGCGTTTTTAAATGAATATCAATTTTAAGCGAGATCTTTTAGAACTTCACTTATATACGACGAGATGTCCGTTATTTCTTCAATTAAACCTAAGAAAAAAAGAAACAATTATTTCACACACGAAGAAAAGAATTTAAAAAAAAATCTTCCAAATTTACTCACCGATAACATCACAAAATTCTTCGAACGATTCACAAGGTAACAATTCATCTCGATAAGTTGCCAAAACACGTTCCGATGCTTTCAATAAAGCTTCATCATTATGTCGAATATATTCAGCTAAAATTGACGGCCATTGATCATCTGAAGAGACAACAACTTTCTGCAAAAAAAATTGATTTTAGATTACAGAAATTTCACCAATTTTTTTTTTTTCAATTTACCTTGAAAAATGTATTGTATATGCAATCAACAAGACCAAAGAAAATAAAAACACTCTTGTAAACTGAATAATCTTTAACTGTAATATCAGTGAGATTTTTCGTCGATAACGAAGGAGAAATATAACGTTGCTGTGCAAGTATAATAAGTCTTCTCAAATGTGTAAGTCTAAATATATTCCATTGTGATGGTGGTACAACAAGCAATGACAATGTACATTGATAAAATGGACCATCAGCTTCATAACAATTATCAAGCCATGTCGAATTCGCGGAAGATTGTAAATACGACATGTGTGCTTTTTCCTCTCTCGCCGCCGATCGTGTTCTATAAAAGAAAAAGAAAAATTAAAAATTAATTTTCTTAATTAAGATAAATAAGAAAAAAAAGGAATAATTACGTATTGATGACGTAGAGAGCCATGTGAATTAAATAGGGTATTATGTGCATATTTGATTGTGGTCCACCACCTCCAGTATCCTCGTGAAATGTTTTCTCCTGTGCAAATCGTAAAAGAAGTAATTTAAGATCATGAATTGTTGATGAATAAGAAATATCACGATGTCCAGTGCATTCTTGTAAATATGTATTGTGTCTCGCTAAACAACTTGCAAATGCCGATTCAGGAACTTGTGGACCCCATAATGGTAATAGACCATTACATTTTGTATTTGCATTTTGTAATGCAGCACTTTCCCATTCATCGCGCGCTCTTGCCAATCTAACAGCCGACATATGACAATCCACGTGTACAACATTAAAATGCGTTACCGTTGTATAGCCAATTGTTTTTCTCTGTTTCGTTTCAAATTCCTCAACATTACAACGTTTTGTAAATGTATAAATACCAAGAACCTGTGAATAAAATAAATTAATTTTGTTAACTAAAAATAAATAAATAATTATTTAAATAGAAAAAAAAAAGAAAATTTGTTTCTCACCATATTTGGCTTAAATTTGTAACCCTCTCGGCAAATAACACAAATTAATCCCGTCTCATCGCCCAAATCTTCCATTTGTTGTAAAATTGTTTTACTCGCTGTTACTTGTCCTTTATCATTTGTACTCATACCCAATGCGCCCAATTGTCTTTCTCTCATTGCCATTGCCAAACGTTTCTTTTCACTTCTTGTATGTTGTCGTGCCTCTTCAATTAATTCAGAAACTTTTTTATTCGTACAAAGTGCTTCCAATAAATTCTCCGCCAATGATCCCACATGCTCATCAGACGATACCTGTTCTAAACGATGAATTATATTAATTATCGCCGACGACACTGACAATTGTATTGGCTCATGATCAGTAGCCAAACCAGTGAGAAATCTCAATATATATTTTAACGATGGTTTCGATATAAAATCCTTTAATTCATCACTATCAGTTCTTAATAATGTTGGTTTCACGCATGGCGCATGCATTGTTATATATTCAAATGCATCCTTAACAATACCCATTCCAATAATATGATCCTTTAATGTATTTCCAATTGCATTTCTCTCAATTCCTTGCGTTAAAATACAAAATAATTCCAATTTTTGATCATCATCAGCCGTATGTTCAAAATCAAATTTATAAAAATTCAAAACAGGTTTAAAATAATCACAAAGTAGTGCCATTTTTTCCTCATTACCATATGTAAGTGCCGCTAATACACGAGCAAGATGCATAAGAACATTATTACATTGTCTCACCGCCGTTGATTGTGTACAAGACAATAATGTTTTAATATGATCAGTTCCGCCCAATGTTTTTGAAAATTCCTCAAATGAACTTAATGGCTGTGCAGCGGCATTTTCCAATATAGTTTCCATAATATCCAATAATTGTTCAGTTACTTTTGAACTATCCAATTCAGTTTCAAGACATTTTTTTAAAACATCAAGTAAAACAGAAACAGCTTTTAATTCAGGTCGACTTAATACTTGTTGATTTTTTTTCACTTTCACTGATAAACGAAATAATTTTAATAAAACTTGCAACAATGGACGTGCACGACTAACATCTTGTATTGCCGCTAAACGATTTAACATTATTTCCAATCCACCGCAATCAGCTAATACATTTGCCATTTTATAAACCTCTTCATTATTAACTTCCTGTTCACTATTTGCATTTAATGTCTCAACAAATTCCTCTGTAGCGTCACCAAGTAAACCCCTCATACGATAAACAACACGCATTGCATCACATTCACCACCTTCGACAACCCATATTTTTTTATACACCTCCTTTACTGATAAATCAAGACTTATTATTTTATTATTTACAAGTAATTCCATTCCATTATCATCCTCAAGTAATGCAACTAATTCACAATCTTGACAAATTTTATTTTTAACATCACGCATCAATGGTCCTAAACCAGGTTCCAAACTACTATATGGATTACCCAACATTCTCCCTTGAAGAAAATCCTCCTGCTGTGAATCTTTTTCTAATGTTAAAAAAAATTCACCAATATCATTTTCCTCGGGATAAATAATTGAACATAATCTTTCAAATATAAAAACAGGTGTTCTCACATCTTGTGGACTATATTTTTGTACAGTTTCAACACAAACTGACATAAAAGCTTTTGTCTCCTCCTCAGTGCCTGTTGTCATTTCTTCCAATAATTCAAGTAATTTTTCCTGTGTATCGTCTATTAATCTTGTTCTTTGAACAACAAGTCTTCGTAATGATAAATAACCATTTAATACAGCACCAACGAGTCTTCCTTTATAATGTTGTTTTATATTCTCCTGCTCAAGAAATGTTGCCAAAAGTTCAGTGAGCATTTTCAATGAATAACCCTGTGCTAAATCGCTTGTTAATGTTGTCTCTTCTAAACGATGTAAATCTTCAATTTCTCTTGTTAATAATTCAGCAAGAAGTGTTAATACTCCTTTTACGGCTAAAAATTGTTTCCAAGGCGATTGTCGAATTAAATTTTGATAAAGTGATAAAAATTCAGCGCTACTCTCACCGGCAATATGTACTTCCTCCAAATAATTAGTAAGCAATACAAGTAATTCCTTTTTTCTCTCCATTCCTTGACAAAGACTTTCAATCATTGTACAAGCAACTTGTCTCGCTAGTCTTGAACTTGGATTAAAAAGCACCTCTTTTAACCATGCTCCATCAACTAATTTCAATGTTTTTAAACGATAACAACGATTATGCCAACGATGTCCATATTTTTCCATTAAATACAAAATTCTCGCCTCCTCCTTTGTGAGTTTTGTTTCAATTTTCCTCGATGGTACCTTCTCCAACCAATTACAATATGAATAATCTCCATTTAACCATTTTTCAATATTAACACTAATACCCGACGATGGTTGTATTGTCGCTAAAGATTCTGTACTTTTATCTTTATTTTTCTTCGACACTGGCTGCTCTGGTTTAATGACACTTTGTAAAATTTTCATACATGGCAATATTATTGAATCCATAACAACAGGACTTTTTGAATCACGACATGCAAGAAGAAATAATGACATAACACAACGTAATTTTTGTTCCCAGCATAAATCATCTTTTTGTACAAGCGCTGCCAATAATGCCATTTCATGACGAACTGACATTGAAAGATCATGAGTTGCAATACGTCCTTTTAATGTCATTGTAACACGATTTGTTAATAATGAACAAAGTTCTTTTGTTGATTCACTATTATCACGTGTTACAAGACAAAGTAATTGTCTCACTTCCTCTTGCATTTGTATTGTACCTTTACGTAAATTATGTTCCACCAATTCTTGTATCAATCCATGTTTACATAAAACTTCCCTTGCCGCTTGATTTGTTGCCAATGCACGCAATAATGTTAAACAATGTTCAGTTGCAGCTGATGCACAACCATAACATCTACCAGCATTTGGTGCAATTTCATCTCTCACTGAACCATCCGACGTTGATGCCTGATGATATTGCATTACACTTTGACCACGTTGATTACGATCATAAGCAACTAATTCTCTTCGACATGCCAATACTTTTTGTATTATTTTACTTAATTCCTCAAATGATGTTTTACATTCGCCACAATATTTTTGTGCCAATAATTGTATAGCACGATTTACTTGCGTACTACCAGTCACTTGTACACCACCATCATCTAAACTACGATCTGAACGATGCTCTGATATTTTTACCAATAACATTTCTAATGTTGGTTTATTTGAAATTAAACTCTTATAAACACGATCAGCTTTTTCCAATAATGTATTTATTGTAGCAACTGTTTTTTTTCTATCCTCATCACTTTCAATTGGATCAACAGCACAGCATGGACGTCCCGTTAATGTATAATCAAATTTGGCATATTTACAAAAACCACAAGCATGACATAAAAATGGATCCTTCTCATCATAATTAATTGCACGACATTTATGACATTGAAATACATTTTCACCACAATTTGCACATACACCAGGATTTGCCGGTACACTTGCTGAACATCTTGGACATTGTAATGTCTCCGATGATGCTTGTATATTTTCATAAAAATCAGCATATTCAATCATTAAATTACATGCGACTATTGGCAATGGGAATTCAATTTTAATTTCCGTTTGTCCTTGTGCTAATGTTATTTTTTTTGCCTTATGCCACATGGCGGGTTTATTTTTTAATTCAACAACAGCTTGCACTGAACGATTATTATAAAATACATTAATTGTCCTTACCATTTTTGTTCGTTTTAAATCGCCAATTCTCAATGTAATACGACTTATTGTATGACTACCAACAAGTTTTACTATTTGTGTTGTTGTTGTAAATTTTGAATCAACTTTTATTGATGATAATTTTATTGTTGACATTTGTACCTCGGGATTATTACAAACTAAACATGGTTCACTTTCCAAATAATAGCCATCTAATTCAACAAATTGTGCAAGATTTGCATAGAGATTTGCATTTGGATGACGTGATAATAATTGATTTTCAGCGTGTAATACAGCAACTGCTTGTTCCATATAGACGTGCATTTTATTACCAGTGTGTGGTGTTTTTAATGAAAAATAACCCAAAAGATCAACAAATTGCGCTGCTTTTCTACCATACATGGGTAAAAGTGGCCATAATCGCCAAAGAAGATCCAAAAGTATTTCCTGATTTGATGGTCCACAATTTTTATAAATTGCAAGAATAAGCGAATGCGCTTGCCAACGAACATTTGTATTATTTGCCTCAAGTAAAAATGTTTGAATAAATTTTGTCAATAATGCCGGCGATACTTGTTGTTGTATTTGTTTCACTAAAAATACACATTGTGCTTCTTCAAATTTTGCTTCTGTATCTGAATCCTCTGATTTTTCACGATCTCTTCTTTCTTTTGTTGTTGATGTTGATTTTTGATCCTGAAAATTTATTTCACATTTTCTATAATTCTTTTAATCAAAAAGTATATAAAAAATATTTATTTCAAATACAGAAATTCATGATTCAAATACAAATTTATTTAATACAAATAAAAATTATTTTGTTCAAATTAATATTTATTTAATAATAAAGTAATCGAGTTTTTAAATCAATTTTTTTCAGTGTAAATATATAATTCTTTATACAAGCTATAAATATTTTAATCAAAAAGCAATTTCTATCTAATTTCAAATTATTCTATAAAATTCATTTTTTTACAGAATTCAAGAAAATGTTTTTTTCAAAGAAATAATATTTTTTTTTTTTAAAAGAATGAGCTATCTGTTAAAATTGAAAATAAAAATAAAATTACCTTGCTTTTGACATCTTTGAATTTACTCGAGCAAATTGCACATTGAAGCAATTGAAGAACAGTGGGACTGACGCCTTCGTCTAAAAGTGTCGAAATAGTGAATAAATATGACAAAACTGTATTTTGTTTTGAGCAAAATCTTTGCCAATTTCCCGTTCGACTTGTTGCAACTTCAACACAACTTTTGAGATGTTCAATAAGCTCAACGAGAGAATCATAGGGTAAATTAATTGCAAGTGGATGAGAATTAAGTGGATCGTAACCACCTGTATTACAGCATTGTTGTACCGACTGTAAAAATAAATTAAGTTAAATAAATATATAAACAAATTATAATTTAAAAAAATAAATTACACCATTTTTCTAACTGTAAAATAAATATATAAAGAAAATTATACTAAAAAAAAAAAAATTAATTTTTGTTACCTTAACATGAGAAACTAATGAGTGCAAATCCCTTAATTGTCGATATTTGTCCTTGTTTCCACAAATAAAAAGTAATAATTTACGAACTTGTCGTCTCACAAATGGAGTTTGATATGACATCATATATTCACAAAGATAATAAAACCAAGCTTGCTGTAAAATAATAAATATTTTTTTAAAAATTTAAATATAAAATTTTAGACATCAAAATTTATTTGTATCGAAAAACATTTTTAAATTGAAATTACCTGATCAAATTCTGGTTGTACGACTGTGTTTTCAGCATATTTATGCACTTGATAGGGTAATTTTAATGCCATTTCTGTCAACAATTGTGGATATGGTTCAAAAACATCACTCGCGTGTCCTTTGACATATTGCCTCAAAAAGAATGGCGACATATCGGGCGGAGAAGTAATGAGATGTTCTTTTAATAATTGACCGCCAATTACATTTCCAGCTTCTTCATTTGAGGTGCTGAATTTAAAAACAAAAAAGAAAATAATTAATTTGCGAAAAATTTTCAAAATTTTATTACTCACTTTTTCCAATAGTCAAGTAATGCTTTGAGAAGATTTAAACAATAGTCAATGACTCCATTGTTACTTAAAATAGCCGCTGTTGTTTGCGATACAAAATTTGGATTATCAACTTGATTTTTTGTACTGCCTTTAGATCTTGACATTAAAACACCTGCAATAAAAAAAAAATAGAAATTAATATAAATAACATTTCAGTAAAAATAATTTATTTTAGTAAATTAAAATATACACTTACTTAGCAATCGCATAATTACAAGATGAACTTCTCTTTTATTACTTCTTTGACAAATATCACTTGTATCGGGATTTTCCATTTCCAATTCTTTCACCAATATTTGCAATAATCGTTGAACACAAGTTTTATCTCTTTCGTCAAGACCATCGAGATCGGATGTTAACATCAAAATCACCTTTAAATCAAAATTTATCAATATTAAATATTTACTAAAAAATTATATTATGCAAAATTTTATTTACTTCATACCTGCATAAATGGAATTGCCAATACGCCGGAAACATTTGTTAAATCGGGAATAAATTGCATTAATTTATCAAGTAACAATAGTCGAACATCGTGAAGATTCATTGTATTTTCACCAAGATTATCCGTATCCTGTTCTAATACTTGTTCTTGTTCCTGTTCGGGTTCTTGTTCTGTAGCCTGGAATGAAAAACAATTTTTTTTTTTTTTTAAATGAAAAATAAATGTTATTGAAGAAAAAATTTGTGAATAACTAACGCTAAATGCCGTTGCAGCGCCAACTGAACTATTTTCCGAACGTGATGGTTGACCGATATTCATTGATGGAATACTTTCGGGAGCATTATCACCGTAAGCGGAACTTCTTCCTGAAACATTATGTTCACCAGTAATGCTGTCAACTGCACTGCCACCTGAATCGCTTCCTCCACTTTCACTGCCTTTACTTCCTCCGCTTCCCCCCTAAAAAAAAAAAGAAATATTAGAAAAAATATTTAAAAAAACTGTAAATTAAATTAAAACTAAACTATTATTATAAAAAGGAAAAAATTTACTTGTTCGGCTGGTGAAGTTCTCAAAGTACTGCCATCAGTTGCTGCTGTTGAACCTTCATCATCCGAACCTCCAGCGGAAGCTGTTGTATCTGAATAATGACTCCCTTCTTGTCCCTACAGAAAAAAAGAAGAATTAATTAAAAATTAAATATTTTATTTTTCTCTTCATAAATTGTGAGTGAATATTACCAAAACGGCAACGTTTAATCTCTCGACAGCTTGAGAGAGACCTTGAACAGCCAACGCTTGAATGCGATCTAATTCGGGTCCATTTAAATTTTCCAAACCCTGAAGTCCAGGAATATTTGCAAGACCTTGTGGAAAACCTTGCTGTGGAACTTGACTATTGCCAGCTCTTTGTTGATCCTGTAAGCTAAGTGCAATTGCCAATTCAACCATAACTTCATCATCGTCAGCCGGTGGCATATCCATTAATTGGGGAAATCCACCAGGACCAAGAAGCGCTTCAAGAGGATGATTTCCCCCTCGCGCACCAGATCCTCCATTTTCATCGGCATTCATTGGATCAATTGCTTCAACTTCATATTGATTTTCAACATCTGCTGAATCTTGCGATGATTGTACTGTTAATTCACGTTTCTCATCTGTTTCCATTGGTGCGCCTTTAATGAATTTTTTTTTAATTCTAATTAAATATTTTAATTTTTTTAAATAGTAAAAATAAAAATAAAATTTACCTGGTGTACTGCAATGCGGTGGACTTGGTATAAAAACACGACGACGTTTATATCTTGGTCTTAAAACACGAATAATTGCCTGTTTAGCGCTAAAGCTTATACTTGTATCTGATGATAATAATAATTGAAGATAAAGTTTTGCTGCCAATGGCGTGTTGCCTTCAATGTCACAAGTTGTGAATGCATGAATTATTTCAACAATTGCATGAATTGTTGCCTCAGTGTGCGTTAAACCAGGTACAACAACTGGCGCTAATGCCATATTTTTTGGATATGCAGCGTGTAATGACCATAAAACATCCATTAATTGTATCACCAAATGTTGATTTTTATCACCCATCGATTGTGACTCTAAACGATCTTTCTCGAAAACAGGAACTGGAATAAAAAAAAAATAAAGAATAAAAAAATCAATAAAATAACCAATTTTTTATAATTCTACTTTACCACTCGATATGTCGATTAATTTAGCTGCATGTTGATCGGCAAATTTAGCTAAATTATTTGGCCGAGCAACGGCAATGTTTCGTACAATAAGAACAAGTCTATAAAAATTCTCAGCGTCAATGTCACGTGGATCGTTTATTTTTTGCATTGAACTCAAAGAATCGAGAACATGAGAAAGAAGAACTTGATCCTGAAATATTGAATTACATTTCTTTTTTACTACCGAATTATTTGTAAATTATAAATATAATTATGTGTAAAATAACAAAAATTAAATAACTAAAAAAAAATGTTTACCTTGTGAGAGTGATAAGATAATTTTGAATTGTGTAGTGCAGCTAAAAGCGATGTTGTATGAATTTGCACTTGTTGCGGTATTGGTAGAGTTAAAAGATTAGAAGCAACTTCAATTGCTGTTGATTTTAATGATGATTTATTATCCTCACTAGATGAGAGTGTGAAAGACGAAACTAAAACTTGTAAGATACTGGACGTCATCCTAAAATAATGGAGAAAAAAATATTTTTAGTTACAAATATTTTACATATAAAATATATATTCTATGGTTAAATAAATATACTATAAATAAAGTTTTAGTTTATAAATAAAAAATAAATATTTCGAAAATTACAAATAGAAAAAAAAATAGCAGACACGTTTTACGAAAAAAAAAAAATTGCACTACTCTTCTTCTTCTTTTTCTTCTTCTTCTTACCTTTCAATATTCACAGAATCATCCTTCACAGGTCTGATGCATTATTATCAAAAATTAAAATTATAAGATATTGTGTGAACATCGAATTATTTTTTTTTCAAAAAGATTATTTCTCTTTTTCTTTTTTTAGCCAAAGAAAAATGTAATTATTTTCAATAAACGAGGACAGAGAGATAATTTTCATGCGACAGGAAAATGAAAAATTTACTCACTTGTCAATAGATGTTAGTGTCACTGGTGAGACAAGTGTGCTTTCATTTTCATTATTTACTGGTGCTCCAGTTGTTGCTGGTGCTGATGTTGATTGTCCCGCGGGAATTTCTTCAGGCTCCTCGGGCCAACCAAATGCGTCTTTAGTTTTTCCATAACTGTATTAAAAAAAACAAAAGTCATCAGTAATTATCGAAATAAATAATATTTTTCAATTAAAATCTTTATAATAATTAAAATATTTATAAATACAAATCTGTTCTTGATTATAATTTTGTTTTACTAGTGTAAAAAAAAACTTACACTTTAATTGAATCCACCATAATAACACCTTCAGCATCTTGCGAAGGACCAAAAGTAATAACTAACTTTTTATCAGCTTGCAAGCTCTCTTCTCTTGTTAGAGGAATATCAAACCATCTGCTTCGTGTCAACATTATTCGGACACTTCTGCCGAAAATCTATTTTAAAAAAATTATTTTTAATTGCAAAAAAAATTAATTCGTAAAAAAAAAAAAAAATTGTAACTTACTTCAACAAAAAGTGGTGCACGTTGAATATCCTGATTTCCCAATTGTACACGAAAACCAGTCATAACAAGCGTTGGATCATTATTATTAATTTCAATATTAAAACCAAGTTGTCTTGTTGATGCAACATACATTCCCGTTGTATTTAATCGATGTTTAATTTGTGCAACATTATAAATTTGCAATAAATCATTACCACCAAATTCAACATCATTCATTGATTGACAATGTTCAAAGAAATCAACTGGAAATATAACCGAACCCGATGGTTTTCCTGTTTTTAATGCCTTTTTCTTTTTTGTCTGTTTAATTGTTGCAATTGTTCCAATTGGTTGAACATTTGGTGACATCCAAAAACCAGTATGATCCATTGCCGCCATATAAACTCTTAAACTACCATCCTCACATAATAAAATCAATGTTGTTCTATGTTCAGCATTTGAGCTTGAATGACGAATTGCAACAATATCCATTATTTTTGCTTTTGCCGGTACAACTTTTATTTCCTGTATCATTATTGTTTCGGGTTTTATCATTAATATCACTGGATTATTACTACTTTGCAATACAGAACAAACTAAACCCGGATGATTTGCAATTTCACTCCATTGACATAATGGTTGCGGTTGATTATTATTTGATTTATTGCCATTCACTTTATTAGCAAGATTAATCATAAAAACAATATTAATTTCCAAATTCATATATTTTAATGGCGCTATAAAACTTTTTCCACACGCATAACTAAAGAATAATAATTGTAATGCATGTGAATAATAAATTGATACACCGCCACCTCCAACTTGTCCATTGTCTTTAATTTCAGGATGATAAATATCAAGTGTATTTGTCACATAAAATGGACCATGTTTTGCTAAACTCTCCTCATCCATTGCTTGACTATAAATATAACCAGCCGATGACATTAATAATAAATGAAACATTCCATCTTCAGCGTGTATAAATGTGCAATCACGAATTTTACCAGTTGGTACCAAAAAATAATATTGTGGACTCAATGCATCTTTACTTAAATCGTAAATTTTCACAAAATCCGCAGTAACAAGGGCCAATTGTGTTTGTGAACCCGGTAGCCATAGTGCTTTAATAATAAAATTTCCCGTCTCTAAATGTGGATGAAGTACCAAATGATCGGAAACAGTTCCCGAACTATTGAAAGTAAGAACATGACAGTCTTTTAATCCACAAACAGCAAGAAAATCCTCATTCCATTGATTGCCAGTAATTGATAAAACAGTAAATGGAATTGGCGCCGAGGCAAGTCTAGTGAGTGTTAATTTTCGTTTTGATGAATCGGCTTGCTTTAAAAGTGTACTCAATTGAAGAACAGTGATTTTTCCCTTCTCATGTGAAACGGCAAGATGTTGCCTCTTACCATGTGGTGATGATAAACAACACATGGCAACTCTTCGTATCATATGAGCCGATAATAATTGTCTTATCGTTTGTCCCTGATCACCGGAATAATTCATTCTCACATTTTCAAAAGCCCCCTCCTGTGATCCCAATGTTGGTAACATTAATTGATCAGTATGCTCGAATTTTTTATCAAGCGAATGCAATTGTCGCAATGCCAATTGACCCCTTGAATGACAACCAACTGCCGAATATTTACGACACGATGCCTCAACGGCCGGCACTAAATTACTTGTCAATTCAACAAGCGACGATATCAATCCACTTGACCATAATTGCAATAAAATCCATTCCTTCGAACCATCCAATTGTTTAGCCAATGTTGACAATTTTTGTCGATCCTTACCAAAATTCAATTTCTCCGAATTATGCACAGGACTCGATGCTCGTCTTCTCAAACTACTTGTCAAATTATTCTCCGAATTACCCGTTCCATATGAAATATTATTACCAACATTTTGTTCCGAACATTGTGGACTACGTTTAATCAACGCCTGACAAGATGCATCGTCCTTTGCTCCACAATCACAAAAAAAATTACCATATTTCGCATATGTTACATCATGTCCACGATGACAAACTCTTGCACAAACTGTACAAACACCAACTCCATCAACCATATTACAATCATGACAATGATACCAATGTTGATTCATAAATTCTTTTTGTGTTATTGTAAATGTACAAAGTTTATTACAAAGTGAATCCTCATCTGAATCCTCAGCAGCACTATCCTCATCCTCATGTAAAATATCATCATTCCAATCACTATCATTAACATCATTTATCATTGTTGCACCCTCCCATGGTGGACTTGTTGCTCTATCTTGTGAATATAATTGCGGACATACTGCACTAACAACATCGGCAATATAATTTAAAACACAACAACCAGCTTCAATGTACGTTGATGATTTATCCAATAAATTTGAATCCTTATTCATTAATTGCTGTTTACAAATATCAATCCATCCTGTTGCTGCTTTAAATAATAATTTATGTCCCTTATCTGTACCAACATCGGCCAATGTTGACATAACTTGCATTAAATCAGTAAAACAAACACCATCAATTGCTGTTGATAATATATGATAACCCAATGGTATTAATGCCTGTAATAATATTACCGAAACATTATTAACATTATTCTCCTTAACAATATAATTTGTCAACGATTGTAATAATTGATTATTTTCTTGATTATTTTGATTTTTAGCAACATCAACAAGAATATTTTGCCAATTTTCATTTTCTTTTTTATTTTCATTTCCAAGTATCACATGCCTTAGCCAAAATTGTAAACGATCATTATCAACTGTTGATAAATTTGCCACTGTACTACATAAACGATCCAATGATGTATCATTAACTTTTTCGCAAATTTTAAAAAGTTTATTAAAAAAATGCAAAACATGAGTTCCAAATTGTTGTGATACATGCGATGATGATATTGACAATAAAATTGATATCAAACTTTTTGATGATGATGGTGAAAAAAATTCACCAAGTGCCTTATAACCCACTGGTTTATCCAATAAATATTCCCAATATTTAATATAATTTGTCAATATTTTCTCATCAATTGTCACATTAAGTGACATTTCATTATTACCAGTATAATCAATTATTAAATTATATGTATAAGAAAGTATAAAAAGATGTAAACGTAATTGTCGTGCTTCACTTTCACTATCGCCAAGAATTTTTACAAGTGTTTTTGATGCCATCTCTTGAATATAATCAGTTCTTGCATCCATTGTTAATGGTATTAATAAATCAATTGTTTCTTCACGTATTTCTGAATTTTCAGGCGCTGTTATTGGATTTACATATTCCATTATAAATGTCATTAATGAATATAAAAGATTTTTAAGCGATGAATTTATTGAAAATGTACCAAATTCAGATAATGGATTAATATGATGATTTATCGTTGCCAATATATAACTTTCAGCTGGTATAATATCATTAACATAAGTATTCCATGGTACGTGAGCAACATTTATTGATTTCCATTTATCAAGTGCTGTTTTAATATTATTTGAAAGTAATGCCAATGATGTTTCCAATGACCATGTTGCACCAGTCATTGATGTTATACCATCCATTGATATAATAATATCCAATACTGAAAAATCTCTTAAATTATATTTTTCCATTCCTTCTTGCGCTTGATATAAAACATTTGATTTACAAGCAATAATAACATTTTTAGTTAATTTCAATATATGTGGTAATATATCAATTAACATTTTATTTATATTTGTTGTTATTGATTCAGTATTTTTTGAAACTTCAATATTATCATTTGATGTTGTTTTATATAAACTTTCATCCATCATTACTTGTAATTTACCAATAACTGCCGATAATATTGTTAATGAACTTAATTTTGGTAATAAATTTTTTGGTAATATTTTTTCATCCTTCACATCGGGACTTAGGGCTTTTATTGCATTTTTTGCTAATGTCACATCATATTTTAATGATGTTACTGTTGATGATATTGTTTTTAATAAATTTTCTGCATATTGTGTATACATTCCTTGTTTAACAAGACAATCCTTCATCCAACCGGTAAATGTTTTACATGCAGCTCTTGGTCCCCAAATTAATGAATAAAGAAGCATTGGAGTTGAGGGAATTTCTTCACCAAGTGCAAGTTCATCCATATAAGCTGTTGATGGTGGTAACATAAGTAATAAACGCCAACAAATTGAAAAACAATATTGCGTTGCACATAAACCAGTGAATGTTATTTTATCCTTTCCATCATTTGATTGTTTTCTTGGTATTGATGTTTGATTAATAATATTTAATATATCAATTAATGCATCGACAAGTAGGGGATATTTCATTTTATCCGATGTGCCAAGAACAAAATTACAAGCTAAACCATCGAGTTTTGGTGTATCTTGATTATTTAAATCGGCAATTGTTAAATTGTAAAATTTTGGTTTTATCGATAATTCATCTTGTGGTGTAAATTTTTTATAATTATCCTCTATCTCTTTCCATGGTGTATAAATTCTTGATGCTTGTTTATTCCCCTCTTTTGCATCGCACACTAAACTTGTACCAGATAAAAGATTCCATTGAACCTGAAATTAATTAATCAATTAATAAAAATATAGTTTTTTTTTTTTTTTTGTAAGAAACGTATACTACCACTCAGACGTTACTTACAATCTGGCAGCCCTGATGTTTCTTTATATTTTTTTTTTTGCACTTGAAAAGTTTTGATTTTAGGTAAAAATAGAACCTAATTTCATCAACGTTCAAATGCATTTTTTTTTATTGAATTTTTAAATTAAAAATGTAAGAAAATATTTTCTATGTAAAAAAAGAAATTTCCTTACTTGTTCGAGTAGAGAAGATGGTGCATCATATAAATGTTTCATCATATATTCAAGTAGAAGTAATAATCGTGATAGATGGAGAATTTGTGAATCTTTCATTGGAGTTTTAACAGCTTCACTGCAACGAACTGCTCCACTTCCCGTTACCAATAAAACTGATTTCTTTTGCATTAAATTTAAAGAATGAAAAAGAAATAAAACAAGTTGTGCATGCTCCACATTTAAATCTGTAAAAGAATTTTTTTTTTTAAATATTTTTATTCTACTTAATTATTAGCGAAACAGACCCTCAGATCGTCTTTAAGGCGTAAAAAAAAGTCAACATTCTAGAAAAAAAAGGCGAAAAAGTCGATTATTTTATTTTAAATAATTAATAAATATTAAATCATAGATATTAAATCCATTTTATTAACTTCGGAATTTTGGAATTGATATTTTATGGAAATAATTAAATTTTAAAGTTTTAAATTGAAAATTGGTAAAATAATTGAATTTCTAGTGATTTTTAATTGAAATTTTTTGCTGATTTCTCTTGCTGAAGAATTTATTAAAAAATTAGACAAAAATTGAAGTTAAAAATTTTTTTAATTTGAAAATAATTTAAAATAATTGAATTTTCGAAAAATATTATGAAAATAATTCAATTTCAGAAGAGTTAGAATTAAAATTATTAAATTTCAAATGGAAAATTTTTAAAAATAATTAAATTTTAAAAAGTTTTAAATTAAAAATTGGTAAAATAATTGAATTTTTAGTGATTTTTAATTGAAATTTGATTTCTCTTGATGAAGAATTTATTAAAAAATTAGACAAAAATTGAAGTTAAAAATTTTTTTAATTTGAAAATAATTTAAAATAATTGAATTTTCGAAAAATATTATGAAAATAATTCAATTTCAGAAGAGTTAGAATTAAAAATTATTAAATTTCAAATGGAAAATTTTTAAAAATAATTAAATTTAAAAAAATTTTAAATTGAAAATTGGTAAAATAATTGAATTTTTAGTGATTTTTAATTGAAATTTGATTTCTCTTGATGAAGAATTTATTAAAAAATTAGACAAAAATTGAAGTTAAAAATTTTTTTAATTTGAAAATAATTTAAAATAATTGAATTTTCGAAAAATATTATGAAAATAATTCAATTTCAGAAGAGTTAGAATTAAAATTATTAAAATTTCAAATGGAAAGTTTTTAAAAAGAATTAAATTTTTAAAAGGTTTTAAATTAAAATTTTTGTTAATTGAAAAATAATTGAATTTCTGAAGAATTTCATTAAAATTATTGAAAATAATTAATTAAGAGATGAATTTTAGTTAAAAATTTGTTAAATAATTAAAAAAAAAATAAATATCAGCATTGTAAACTAAAAAAAAATTTTGTAAATAAAAGTCGAAAATGCATCTTATTTAAATAAATCGAAAAAAGGATTAAAAAAAAAATTACCTTCATTTTCGGCATCAGAATTTGCTGGTGAATTACAAACATTTTCAACCATTGTCGTGACTAATCTGTGCCAAATACTTATGCAGGCTGCTTCTTTTTCAAGTTGTGGTTTAAGCAAAAGTATCTAGAAAAAAAAATTTACATTTCCTCTTTAAGTTAAATACATTTTTTTTCTGCATGGTATATTTAATTCCATTGAATTAAATTTAACTGAAAAATTCAATTGCAATTTTATTTTTCGATTTAATTAGAAAGAAAAAAAAATCATTAAAAATTGTATGAGAAAAAATATATATACCTGAGCAAGAACACTAAGTGTCCTTGGATAAACTTGAAGTGGCCAAGATGAACTATTTGCATTTTCCGTTGCCCATGGACTCACACCCAAATGTTGAAGCAATGTATTTTGTAATGTTTCACTTAATGTATTTCTTGTTAATAAATTATGTGTATAAAGACTGAGTGCTTGAGAAAATTCCGAATACATTCCACCAAGTGTTGCACCATAAAAAACTGATATTGTTCCTGTTTCCGTTCTCGCTGCCTCATGATCTAAATCTCTTATAATTGCAGCCAATATCACCATTTGTTGTTCCACCAATCCATTCATAACATATTCCCTCACATAAATACTACGACTACCAAGTAAATGTTGATTCATAAATTGAAATATTTGCGTTGCCAATGAAATATAACCATGTGGTTCACGATTATCGGGTACAATAGCCGTTGTTGTTCTTTCAACAGTTGGTTCATTATTTGTTTCTTTTGATGCATTACTCGATTGACTATCAGATGGTGCAAGAGTCTCCTCAAACCAAAGTCCCAAAATTGGTTCACTATCCTCTTCTTCGTCAGCTGAATTTTCCGAACAACTCAAAAGATCCTCATAATATGTTGTTGAATCAGATTGACTTAATGTATCGCCCTCGAGGGAATGTTTTTGAACACGTTTCAATGTACATGCCTTTCTATAGCTTATTGTTGCTAAATAAAATAATAAATGATTAAGTGGCGCGGCTTGAAAAAATGTCGCCGCTCTCTGTAATGCTGTTGCTGTTGCAAGAATATCCAATGGCGCTGGTTCTGGTGTTGGTGGACGATTTGGACCAGCTTCAACTGATACATCATCGAGAAGTGCACTCATTAATGTAAGCGCATGCGATGCCAATGCAACTGACAAAACACCAAAACCTTGTTGTACTTTCATTAAATTTATTCTTCCCGTTCCATCGCGTGCCTTACTTGGCGATTTACCTTTTTCTTCTTTATTACTTTTATCAACTGCACTCACACTGCTAACTGATAATTGTGCTTGTAATCCAGCCACAAGTAGCCAAACTCCAATTAAAAGATGATTTTGCAAAATATGACCACCAGCACGTGTACTATATTTTATTATATTTGAGACTAGAGTGAATATTTCTAAACTTTTTTCCACAACATTTATTGCTAATGTATCATATTCATCTTCGGTATTTTTACCACTTGTTTGATTTAATGTACCACTTCCACATTGTGTATTTGTATTACTACATTTTGGTGATACTGCATTTGTTATACCAACAATACTTGATGCTGTTGCATTTGCAATTGAACAATAAAGACATGACATTGTTAATAGTGATAATTTTTCTAATTTCACTGGTGTTAATGGCTCAAGAATTGGCAATGATACAACACTATGAACAATATTAATATCATTTACAACTGAATGTAAACTATAACGTATTGTATGTGCTTCTGAATTATTTGATGGTAGGCAAAAATTTTTTCGATTTAAAAACGTTTGATATTTACGACTATAACGTGACAAATGTGGAAGATTTGTACACATATCCAATAAAGTATCGCCAGCGCTTATATTTTGCAATGTTCCAATATTATTTGCCGTAAACATCATCTAAAACATAATTCATTAATTTTAATTAATAATTATATTAATTTAATAATATTTAATTAACAAGAATTTTTATTTTATTTTTTAACTAAACATCATTTATAACATAATTCATTAATTTTAATTAATAATTATATTAATTTAATAATATTTAATAATAATATTTAATAACAAGAATTTGTATCTAATTTTTTAAATAAACATGATCTGTAACATAATTAATTAATTTTAATTAATAATTATATTAATTTAATAATATTTAATAATAATATTTAAAAACAAGAATTTTTATCTAATTTTTTAAATAAATATCATCTGTAACATAATTAATTAATTTTAATTAATAATTATACTAGTTAAATAATATTTAATAACAAGAATTTTTATCTAATTTTTTAAATAATCATAAAACATCATCTGTAACATAATTAATGAATTTTAATTAATAATTATATTAATTTAATAATATTTAATAATAATATTTAATAACAAGAATTTGTATCTAATTTTTTAAATAAACATGATCTGTAACATAATTAATTAATTTTAATTAATAATTATATTAATTTAATAATATTTAATAATAATATTTAAAAACAAGAATTTTTATCTAATTTTTTAAATAAATATCATAAAACATCATCTGTAACATAATTAATTAATTTTAATTAATAATTATGTTAATTTAATAATATTTAATAATAATATTTAAAAACAAGAATTTTTATCTAATTTTTTAAATAAATATCATCTGTAACATAATTAATTAATTTTAATTAATAATTATATTAGTTAAATAATATTTAATAACAAGAATTTTTATCTAATTTTTTAAATAAATATCATAAAACATCATCTGTAACATAATTAATTAATTTTAATTAATAATTATATTAATTTAATAATATTTAATAATAATATTTAAAAACAAGAATTTTTATCTAATTTTTTAAATAAATATCATAAAACATCATCTGTAACATAATTAATTAATTTTAATTAATAATTATATTAATTTAATAATATTTAATAATAATATTTAAAAACAAGAATTTTTATCTAATTTTTTAAATAAATATCATCTGTAACATAATTAATTAATTTTAATTAATAATTATATTAGTTAAATAATATTTAATAACAAGAAGTTTTATCTAATTTTTAAATAAACATCATCTGTAACATAATTAATTAATTTTAATTAATAATTATATTAATTTAATAATATTTAATAATAGTATTTAAAAACAAGAATTTTTATAATTTTTTAAATAAATATCATCTGTAATATAATTAATTAATTTTAATTAATAATTATATTAATTTAATAATATTTAAATAATAATATTTAATAACAAGAAGTTTTATCTAATTTTTTATATACCTTTATATCAGATGATTGTTCATTGGAAACATTCTCAGGGAGTTTATTTCCATCTGAATTATCAATTCGCACTGACAAAGATGGAATAAATTCTTGAAGAGGCATTGTTAATTGTTCAAGAATATTACTTGATAAATCACTTCGGCTTCTTTTTGCTTCTTTGATTTGTTGTTGTTGTTGTTGTTGTTGTTGATTTGATTCTTTCTCGCCATTTGTCGATAATGGCGGTGTTGTGATAGATGGTAATTTTGCATTTCGAAGAATTGTGACTAGAGCAATTTCTTCTGCTTTTACAAGAAGTGATTGTCCAACACAAAGTGAACGAATTGCCAATAGTAATTGTTTCGTTGTTAAAATTGTCGATGATCCATCGCCAGGTTGGGATTGATTTTGGGGTAATTTTCCCACTAAATAGACCAATAGAATTTTGCATGCTTGCCAAACAACAGGAATCTGATTTTTTGATACTGAAAATAAAATTTAAAAAAAAAAATACAAAAGCTTAGATAATTTCTCATTTTAGAAGAAAAAAAAATAAACGATTTTCTTTAATTATTTGAATTATATTTATAGCACGATGAGAAATCAAGGTGACACTCAAAATATAAACCATAATAACTACTTTTCAACTTTTGCAAGATGTCGCTTATTTAGCTATCTATATATATATATATAGCTAAAATTAACAAAGATCAATCAAATTTAAATAAATTAAAATAATTTTTCCTTAAATAAAAAAAGATAATTGTTATTTTAAAACTGATTACTATTTCTCCAATAAGTTTTAATTTAATTTTTTTTTAACTATATAATGATTAATATATGTATACGTGTTAGACAAGAAAACGGCCAGGTCATTGTGAGTGAGAAAAAAAAAAAAAAACTTACATGAATTCGCGTAACCACTGATGTAATCTGCGACTAAAGCAGCAAAAGACGTATAAAAGGCCTCATGGGATTCATCATGAATTGAAAATTCTGATTCACTGGAAAAAAAAAAATAAACGTTAAATAGATCGATAAATACGTCTCGTCGTTTGCACACAAGTTAAGAGAGCATCCATTTCTATGACTGTCACCTTAATAGTAAAGGCGGTTAGATTACAATTTTTTTCACATTGTTTTACATTAATATTAATACCTACCTTTTGACAATTGCTTTAACAAGATCAATAATTTCATTTTTATTAAATGAACCATAAGATGCAGATAAAATTGGCTTAATAATTGACGACCAGTCAACGGAGCCACCGCTCTTCGCCGCCATTTTGAAAAACTGAATTTTGCACTCACACATATATACAAGGAAATAAAAAAAAAAAAAAAAACGGAAAATTTTTTTTTTTACCTCTTATTTATATAAAAATTATATAAAATTTATTTTTTTGTTATTTGAAAATTTAGAAAAGAAAATTTATTATTTACATTATATGATTTAGTTTATTATTTAAAATTTAAACATTCGTTTGACTCTGGTTATGGTTAAGTAGAAAACTAAACAAATTTACAAGAATAAATAAATAAACTATAAAATAAATATATATATTATTTTAATATTAATTTTAATTATTTTAATTAAATTATTACTAAAGTTTTTTTTAATTATTTTTTAAAAATTCCTTATTTTGTTATTAAAATAAAAATTTTTATATTTATTCTGCAATATTACCTTCTATATTTCGTCGAATATCCAATAATTCGATTGTTTATTTAATATAAAAGATTAATTTTAATTATTGTAAATAATATAAAACGTCAAAAACTAATTGTTTACAATGATAAAATTAAATTAATAGAAAATTAGTGGCGCCATCTGTTGGTGACTCCCGACGTACCTGCAAAATGACTTTTTTTGGTCCTTTTTGACGATTTTTCATTGGAGAGATAGGAAAGTTGAGTTAATTGAAATTTTTCATTTAGGAGCGCTGCTGTACCGAAATTTTATCTACCCATCCCTGGTTTTTACTTTTCTATTGAAAAGCTCTCATTGGTCAGTTTCATATTTACGCGGTGAATGAGGTGCGCGCTCATTGGTTGCTGTTGGCGCGTAAATATGAAACTGACCAATGAGAGCTTTTCAATAGAAAAGTGAAAACCAGGGATGGGTAGATAAAATTTCGGTACAGCAGCGCTCCTAAATGAAAAATTTCAATTAACTCAACTTTCCTATCTCTCCAATGGAAAATCGTCAAAAAGGACCAAAAAAAGTCATTTCTATGGTACGTCGGGAGTCACCAACAGATGGCGCCACTAATTTTCTATTAATTTAATTTTATTATTGTAAACAATTAGTTTTTGACGTTTTATATTATTAAAATTAATCTTTTATATTAAATAAACAATTGAATTGTTGGATGTTCGAGGAAATAAAGATTAAAACTTGCAGAAATACGATAAATAATCCAAATTTAAAAGTATTTCTATATATAAAATAACGAGAAATCTATTATTAAATAAATAAAAATGTATAATGCGTAAACAAATTCTAATATTAAATTAGTTTTTTTTTTAAATTAGAAAAATAAATTTTAATTTTATTATACAAAAACGGGGATTAAATGAAAAAAAAGAAGGTGAGTTATTAATTAAAATAATAATTTACGTAATTTAAGAAGGGTTATTGAGATATAAAAGACTTTTTCAAGATTAAGTTGTAATCAAAACCAAGCACTCACGTTTAAGAGTCACTCGCTTCCGACTGCAACTCTTTTAATTTACAATTGCAGCTAAAGACAATAATTACACCACAAGCGTAATGTTTTTTTTTTTGTTTTTTTTTTTATATATGTGAGTTGTGAAATTGTCTCAAAGTTTTTTTTTTTTTTTTTTTTGTAATGTCATATAAGATTTAGATTGTTAAATCAGATCACGACGTGTCGACGGTACAATTGGCGTAATCTTTTAGTTTTTTTTTTTCATTTTTATCAATTTTTTTTTTTTTTTTTTTTTAATCTTGAGCTTAAGAATTACAAGATTCCACGTGTATAGCTACTGGCGGTTTTGGAGTTATACAATTTCCTAATAACCCATAATTATTATACTAGTGACCTTTTGTTTATCGCCTCGTTGAAGAACAATATATGCCTAATATTTTTATTTTTTTTTAAGAAGAAAGAACATAAAAAAAGGGACAAAAAAAAATAAAAGAAAGGATTACGATTATTTTAACATAATTTCTGGATTTTTTTTTCATCTATATAATTAATAACAATTTCGATGACTTCTCGTGTATATCAACATTGTGATTTTTTTTAGTATTATGTACAATTGTTTATGGAGTTTCGTATGGGCTTGGCAAAACCAAAAAATAAAATCAAAAAAAATTTTTTTTTTTTACCAATACGCCCGATTCGCTTTAGAAAAAAAAAATCGATTTGTTGTTACAAATGCAAGTATTTTAGTTTTTTTTTTTTTAAATATTTTTCTCTGTGAAAAGAAAATTTAAAATAAATAAAATTTTGAAAATTAAATTTTTTTAGTTAAACATTTTTAAATAATAAATTTAGATTAAAAAGGGAAATTTAATTTTACTATTACTGATTTTTTTTTTAAAGAAAATAGAAGAGAATATAAAGCGATTTCTATTATTCTTTTTTTTTAATGAGTATTTTTTTAATTCTATACAACAAAATTTTAATATACTAACATTAGTAACAACAGTCGCTTTAATCTTGACAAAGGCATATATATTTTTTGCAGAATGAAAAGACGGAGCACTTTGCTCAGAGTCAATTTTTTAAGAATAGGGTCGAGTTTTTTCTAAAAAAAAAAAATTAAAAAAAAAGATGCGATAAGCTTAATATTTATATTTTCGAAAACTAAATGATTTGAAGCTATTTGTCATTGACGAGAAAAAAAAAAAAAATTTCAGTCCTGCTGCATCCAATATATATATATTTTTTTTTTGTTAATCATTTGGGTAAATTTGTTCAGTATTACAAGAAAGTAACGTTATGTTTCCCTTTATTTATTAATAATGTAGCAGGTAAGTGTATAAGTTACTGTTGTCACGTTACTAACTACAATACAGATAAAAATACAGGCACTTTGGGTTAGATTCGTGGGTCTGTCCTATCGCTCCTTTTTTTTTTTCTATTTGTTCAACTCGGAACCGCCACGCTTGACTCAACGAAATAATATATAGTAAAATTAAAAAAAAAAAAAAAAAAAATTATAATAATATATATATAAATAAAAAAAAAAAGTACCTTGGAATTGTTACAACGACGGCCACACAAAATTCAGTCTTTCAAATAAAACAATATTTACAGGTCTTATATCACGCATTGTCAATCGATCGTAGAGTTATACAACTTTATTTTTCTTTTAAATTTTTTTTGGTCGAAAATTTGCAAAAGTAAAAAAATGAGATTTTTCTCATTTCTTTCGCATTTCTGATTGAACTATCGACAGACCCCCGTACCAATGCCCTTGTGCCTTAGACACAATTTAAAAATACCGCATCAAAGCAGTAGAACACGATCGAACATTTTTTCTCTTTTCATTCTTTTATACCTTTAATAATTATATACGTTTAAAGAATCTTACATACTCCTCTACATTTTTTTTTCTTTTTTTTTTTTACTTTCATTCAAATTTTTTTTTTTTTTTAAACCTTTTTTCAGTGTACACGTGCAAACATATAATAAAAGAAAAAAAAAATTATAATAGCAAATATCGGAAATATCTTTCACTAATTTCTATAAAAAAAAAAAAAAAAAGAAGGATCATTTTTCAAAAAACATATATGTTTTAGAAAACGTCTCAATATGCCTTTTGTGCAGCAGCCCGTCAACGGGATTACTTTTCTTTCGTTTCCATTTTTTTTCTTCTTCTTCTTCTTTTTCCTTTACATCCTCTGATCTCTCATTTTGAAATACAAAGTTTACAAAAAGACACGTCCGAGTTTTTTTTTTGAGAAGACAAATGTTTTTTTTTTTTTTTCATCATCCTCTCGAGGGGAATTTTCCTCCAATGGCAGTAGATAATTATTCCTTTGTAAGTTTTTTCGTTTTATTATTTATTGCTAAGTTTAGTCTCCTTTCGCTCTGCGATACGAGCTATTGATACAATGAGCATGAATAGCAAAGTCGAAAAAATGATACTAAAAATGACTTTACTTTGTTTGTTTTTCTTTTTTTTTCAATGGGAAATCAATTTCCAAATCCTTTGGTGGCGTAGCTTTCTTCAAGGATTTAGTGATTAAATAAAATAAAAGAAAAAAAATTTTTTTATCTCTTCCACCGCACTCGGAGGCACGGATGACAGTCTTTCCGTTTTTTTTTTTCACTTATTTTTTTTTATAATATAATGACGGTGCGTAAAAAGATCGTTGGCGTCTTATAAAACACCTACTTATTCTTCCACTTTTTTTTTCACCATATTATATCTAGATTAACAAGAGTTCACATTGCCTTTTGCCAAAAAAAAAAATTAAAAAAAAAATTTACATTTATGTTTACTTCTCTCTGTGTACAATTGCACACAAACGACGACAATATGTGAGAAGAGTAAACTTTCACTTTGTACGGTCAAGAAAAAACTTTTTAGAAAACCTAAAGGTTTTTTTTTTCACACTAGGAGAAGAATTCGGGTATTTTAAAAAAGCCCCGAATTTTGTTTCCGAGAAAAACAAAAATTAAAAGAAACATTAGTTCATATGCCACTTGTTGGCTTTTGTTTTTCTTTTTTTTGGGGAGGGGGGAGAAAAATAGAGGTTTTGTAGAAGATATATGTAAACCGAAGCACGTCTTGCAACGAAGATAAGCAGAAACGTTTTCTTTTTTTTTTTTTTTTTTTTTTCGCATTTTATCATGTAGTGAACAAGAAAGCCATTCATTTGTTGAGAAAAAGAGAGAAAGAAAGGGAGAAAAAGAGAGTGAAAGAGAGAGTAATAGCAAATCTTTCCTCTATAAATATCTCTCCCTTTTTTTTTTTTTAAAAAAAAGTTTGCTGATTATTCATTTTGTTGATTTACTTCCTCCTTATTATCGCTGTCTTGTTGATTTATATTAGATTTATTGTTTCCAGATTGATTTCCTGTATTGTTCTCGGCAATTTTATCATTATGAGAATCAACTTTATCACTGGAATCCATTTTTACGTTGCCTATAAGATATTTATTTATTAAATATAGTTTTTTTTTTTTGTAATTAAAAAAAAAAAAAAAATTAAAATTTAGATTCTTTTTTTGTTAGTTACAAATTTGTTTTTTTATTTAATATTTTTTTCTTTTAATATACAAACCTGAGCCAGAATAATATTGTTGTTGCATTTTCATATTGCGTTGTTGTTGATGAATATTCGTTCGATGACGATTTATTTGAGATTGCTGCTGTTGTTGTGGATTTGTCATACAATTTTGTTGTTGCTGTGAAGGATTATTTGGTCCTGGTGGAAATGGAACCACAGGCCTTTGAATTGGAGGTGGATATCTTTGTTGAGAAGATTGTAGTCCTGCACGAGGCGGTGGTGGCATTCCCATTCCACGAACATTTTGTTGTAGAACCTTTTTTTTTTTTTATCGCAAGAGGAAAAAAAAACGATATTTTTTTTGTAGATGAATACATTAATTTGAAATTTTACAATAACATGCGACAAGAAAAAAAAATAAATACAGAAATTTAATAAATTGCAAAAAATTATAGAAATTTAGTACAAAAAAAAATAATAATTTAGTCAGTCCATTATATTTCATTTAAGGTTTAACTCAACATAATCTCGAAGCAAAAAATAGTTTTTAACAGAACTAAAAAAAAAAATTGATTTTACCCAATTTTCAAAATTAATTAATTATTTAACAAAAAAATTTTTTCGCGCAAAATAATTTATTTTGAAAATTGTACATTCAAAATTTGTTAAATTTTATTTATCGTTTTATTTTTTAACTTTTTAATTTGAGTTTAATGTTAATGGGCTAAGCACCCTTAAAGTTGTTACGATTTTTTTTTTATTATTAAATCTATCTGAAAATTTAATTAACTAATAATTTTAATAATTAAGGACGTTCATCCACGGAAATGTAGACCTCTAGAAAAAAATAATTAATTAACATTTCAATAATTAAAATAATATTATTAATTGTACTTTCGGAAAAATGAGATATTAATTTTCAAGAAAAAAAATTTTAAACCTGAAAAATTTATTTATTTATACAATTTGCATAGGATAACATTTTTTTGTTGTATCGCTTCTACAGAATTTTTTAAAAATGATTCGATTTCAATGAAATATGGCTTATTTTCTTCGGAAAATGATTCTCTACAACTTCACCGTGGGATTTTTTAAACAAGCAAGCCGTTTGGAAAATATGGCTATTTGTTTAAAAGAAAAATTTGAATTTTTAAACAAATAGCCATATTTTCCAAACGGCTTGCTTGTTTAAAAAATCCCACGGTGAAGTTGTAGAGAATCATTTTCCGAAGAAAATAAGCCATATTTCATTGAAATCGAATCATTTTTAAAAAATTCTGTAGAAGCGATACAACAAAAAAATGTTATCCTATGCAAATTGTATAAATAAATAAATTTTGCAAGTTTTAAATTTTTTTCTTGAAAATTAATATCTCATCTTTCAGAAAGTACAATTAATAATATTATTTTAATTATTTAAATGTTAATTAATTATTTTTTTCAAGAGGTCTGCATTTCCGTGGATGAACGTCCTTAATTGTCCATCTGAATTTTAAATTAGGTTTTTTGTTCTGCTTTTTTTTTTTTTTTGGAGTGTTCGAAAAGAATTTCTACAAATTATCACCATGAAAAAAAATAGTCCGATACTTAGATGAAATACAATGGATACAATAATTTATATTTAGTTTCCTTTGTTTATTCGAAAAAAGATATTTTTTTTCTCAAACTAATTGATTAAAAAAGATAAGTATTATTTGAAGAAATATTTTCTAATTCGTTTTATCAAAAAATTTCTATTTTAGGTATTTTAACGAAATGCAATTATAGAAAAAAGAAAGAAGAAAGAAGAAGAAGAATTAATTGAAATGGTACATACATAGTTAGTGTAGCTGCTTACCAGAGCAGACTGACTGACGCCCTGATATTGTTGATATTTATGATGTTGCGTAGGACTCGGTTGTGGTTGTTGAGAGGATGTTTGCTGTTTTCTCGATTTTGGCGATGGTATTTGTGGGGCTAAAAAAAAAAAGAACAATTTAATTTACAGACCTCAAAAAAAAATAATAGAAATTATATAAAAAAAAGAAAATCACTCACTTGAACCAAAAACAGAGGTCAATACATCCTGTTGATTACCCGATGGGCTTTTCAATTGTCTCGGTTGTTCTTGTTGTTGATGTTTACTTAAAAATGTTGCCGCCGCATTAGCGGGTCCTGGTAATCCACCAGTTGGATTACGATAGCCTTGCGCTGCCAATTGTAATCCCGAGCTCGATAAAAATTGTGAGCTAAAATTTTGTAAACCAACAGGTGCAGCATTACCCGTTGCTAAACTTTGACTATGTTGTCCAAAACCCTGTAGGCCATAATGTGTTCCCGTTTGTTGTGCACCGCCTCCAGGTTGATAAAATCCAGTTTGTGATCCTGGGAATACATCAGCCGATGTTGCACTATAATAACTATTTGCCGATGGTTGAACATTTGGTCCTGGCCTTTGTACAAGCTGTGAATTACCCATATAACTACCACTCACACCCAATACTTGATTTGGATCATATGGAATGTAAGCCAATTGATTTGGTTGTGGCGCTGATTGAGCTTGAAAATGTTGTGCTTTTGTTCCAATAGCGCCAATTGATTGTGACGATGGCTTTACGCTAGCCGACATTAATGAATTTGATGATGACGATATTAGCACTGTATTTGGATTATTGCTTAATTGTTGATTTTGTCCAAATGGAGGCGCAGCGGCTGTTGTTATTCGATATTGTGATAAATTACTTTGATACATATCGGGAGCTGGTGCATTTGGTGCATGTGGCGGTGCTTGTTGTAAATAGACATTTTGTTGATTAAATGAACTTTGTAAGGACGGCGCATATGGAGGGTATTGAGTAAATGGCGATCGACTTTGATCTAATTGGAATGCACCGTAAAGGCCGCCAGCTTGTGCTGGAAGTTGACCAGATCCGGTATTATAGAGCATTGCCGGTGGCGATGGAATTGCAGACATGCTACCGTATTGAGCCGCTTGTGAACCAGGATATTGGGGAAATTCCTGAAAATGAAAAATTTGTCAAAAAAAAAAAAAATAATTCCTTTTTTTCCTGAAAATGAAAAAACCAAATAATACCTGATAATTAATATGAGACGGTTGTCCAGTGGAATTGAAAGGTGGAGGACTAAGTGGTCCCTGAAGACTAACTGGAGGATGTCCAATGGGACTTTGTCCTGGTCCAATGGGACTCGGTCCTTGAACAGAAGAACCAGATTGCGCAGCGCTACCACCAGAAGTTTGTTGTTGCGGCTTTACCTGCGGGGGAACCAGCTGCGCATCAGGCAAAGAGTCAGATTTTTCCCTCAGGGGACACAGTTATTATATAAGTTAATTCACGAAAAACTAATTGTTAATTTTGTTAAATTCAATAGTTTTAAATATTAAAAAAAAATTGTAAAAAAAAAACAAACTTTTCTCTCACCTTGCAAACATTTGTTGAAGTTGCAATTTCATTCTTCATATTATTCTGATTATATTGTTGATGACTATAATTGTCATCGTCATTATTTTCCACAAATGCTTGTGGAAAACTATTTGCATTATTAACAACATTTCCATCTTCATGTTCAACAACTGTTGGCATTGGCGGTGCATTTTCCCAAACTTTTTTAACTGATGCAATTTTTAAATTTAATTCAGCAGTTGAACTACTTTGACCGCCAGTTATATGTATTGATCTTGTTATACCTAAACTTTTACTTTTATCCTCTGTCAATTGTGAAAGATCTGAATCAAACGTAAAGTCCAGCTTCATGTCCGCATTATCTTCACTTTTATTAAATGACAAAGGCATTTGTATTGGTTCTTGATTTTTTTCTTTAATAATATCACCAGGTTTTGTTGAAAATGCAGCCGATAGAGCTTGTTGTTGTTGTTGTTGTTGAATTTGATTGCCATCATCATCAATATCTCTTTTATCAATTCTCGATTGCGTTTTCATATGATTTGAGTATTTTGATTTCATAGCCAAATCGGATGAATTTGTTTTCGTTGTTTTTGAATAATTGGTATTTTCAAAAATAAGCGTTTGAACTGGCGGTGAACTTGTGTCGGTGACATTTTTATCAATATCTTTATTTATTTTCTTATCACAATTTGGCGAATTTCTTTGACTACTGCCACCTGATGTTGTTTGTTCATTTGCCTCATGTACATGATCAGTTTGCGTTGATAATCCCGATATTAATTGAATATCAGTTGTAACACCAGATGGTGAATTTGCTCTCAATTGACTTGTAAATGGTTTATCCCATGCATTAACCGATGGCGGTGGCGCTGGACCACCGCTTGATGAATCTTTTATATAATTATTCGATTTGCCCTCATTATCGCTACCAAGCTGTTGTTGTTGTTTCGCTAATCTTTGTTTTTGAAAGCGTGGTGCCAATTTTTGACGACTTGCATTACGATCAAATGATTTTTGCGGCATATTTGCTGGCGGTAAAATTGGCTGTCCCAATAGTGTTGGAATTTTTTGCACTTGCTGTGGCGTTGGCTGTGGACCATTTGATTTTGATTTTGATCTTTCACGTTCACGTTCTTTTTCTTTATCACGTCTTGTTGATGTTGTTATTGACGACGATGACGATGATGTTGTTATTGTTTTATTATCATCTTTTAAATTATGTCTCGAGTCTTTAACATTTTTCTTTGAACGTACCTCTTGAAATCCATCGGAATCAATTTTATCCTCAGTACTATTTACACCATCATCACCACCAGTTGAATAATTATTTGTATCTGATTCACCATCATTTGGCTTTTTGTCCTTTGATATTGATTTTTTATTTATATCATTTAATGCCTGATTCACAAGATTTGGATCATTTAATTTTATTTCATCGACACGATTCACTGTACTTTCTTTATTTAATGATTTTAATTGAACATTTGCTGAACCTTGACTTCTTGGTCTACCATTTTGTGTTTGAACATTTTGCATCAATGGAGGTATATTTGATGAATTATTTCTTTGATTATTAAACGCTGTATTTTGAACGTTACGTTTTTCAGCACCTGGCGCACGTGACGATGCACCACTGGAAGACTTGGAATTTTTATCACGTTGATCACGATTATTTCCCAATTGATCGTTACGACGCGATTGTGAACCAAGATTCGCACCTCCTCTACTAAATGGTTTTCGATTATTACGTGAATCTTTTCTATCATCAATATGTTCATCGCTATTTTCTGATGTTGTCTCCCAATCTTCATTGCCAATGTCAGATGAATTTTGTTTTGAAATATTATTACCACCCGTTTGACCAACGACACCTCGGAATCTTGTTTCTCTATTCATGTCTCTAGTCTGAAAGGGGAAAAAAAAATTAGAATAAAGAAAAGAATTTTAAAAAAAACTGACTTACCTTTCTATTTCCACTGTGATTTCGTTTAGGTCTCTCGTCTTTTCTGCTTTGATTTCTCGATGTTGCATTTGTATGATTTTCCTGTTTAATTTGTTGATTTGGAGATTTTGTATGTCTTCCGGTAATACCGGCAGTTAATGCCTGTTGTTTAGCAATTGTTTTATCATCCGTTGATTCTAAATTACCACCATTATTTGCATCATTTTCTGTTGTTGTTGTTGTTGTTGTAATTGGATTTTGTTGACCAACATTTTTTTCATCCATACTTCTTTCTGATGAAAATGGACTTTTACTTGAAGGTGGACCATAGCCCTCCATTCTTCCTCCAGTTGTTGTTCCTCGCAATCGATAACCACCTCTTCCTCTTCGCGATGGTTCACCAGATGGTGCAAAACCTTGTCTACCATCATAACCAGGTCTTTTATTATCCTGTCGAATTTGTGAATAATCATTTCGTTTATCGTCACGTCTTGACATTTCACGATTGCGATCTTCTTTTTCACCTTTTTGAAATGATTTTGGCGATTTTGCTCTTCTTTCATCCTTTGGTAATTCCGCTGAACTTGAAATTTCATCGCCACTTATTTCTGAATCTGTATGTCCATAGGATCCACTTCTTGCCGAGCCGGGCCTACCAGATATTCTTGAACCTCCTCGTCTACCTCTTGTTTCTGAACCACGCCAACGTTGATTATATACATTAAAACCACCCCATTGTCTTCCTCTTGTTTCTCTTCCCCTTGAACTTCCACTATTTGCACGATTTCTCGATGATTTCTCACGTTTATCATCTTTATTATCATCTTTACTTTCTTCAATAACATCTTCTCTTTTATCAACACTTAATTTCTCCATACTTTGTTTTAAGTCGCCAACAATTTTATCCTCCTTTAATTCAATTTTTTCTTCTTCCTTTTCAAATGTCGGTGAAACAGCATCGGCCCATACTTTTGATGTTTCTGAAGTTCTTTCCAATTTTCTATTATTCCAAACTTCAGTTTCTTTTTTACCATCGACTGTTAATTCTTTTAGTGTATCAATTTTCTTCTCTTGCTCAATAGAACCACGTTTCAATTGTGTTAAACAACGTTTTTCTGATTTTAATTCATCAGCTTCGAGTTTTTCCCTCGTCACTGGTCCTGGCGGTTGTCTTCTATCACGTTCACGTATATCATCACGGAATATAATATCGGATTTCTTTGATTCCTCATAATCGGAGAGATCATTTATCCATGAGCCGCTATCACGTGATTTATGAAAATCTTCATCGCGCAACGATGTTCTTGATTCACGTGATGTTCTACTGTCACGTGAATCTGGTCTCTGTGGTCGTTCACTACGTTCAGAGCGATCATCGCGCGGTATATTTCGACGATTATCAAATGACGATGATCTCTCTTGTAAATTACGATCATCATGAATATCACGTCGATCATCGCCACGCCATTCATTACTCTCAGTTCTTTCACGTTGATTATCACGTTCATCGAAAGAATCTGCACTCGATACCTGTTGAAAAAAAATACATTTTTTAAAAAAAATATAAAAAACAAAAAAAAATGAAATTTACCTTCATATGAGGATCGTAATCTTTCTTGTCTCTTATATCACGATCTCCATGTCTATTATCTCTTTCTCTTGGTTCACGATCTCTCATATCTCTCGATTCTCTGTTATCTTTATCGTCATAGTGTCTGTCGCGTTCCCAAGAATCGCGTGAATGTCTATCATCATATTCATAATCTTTATAGCCACGTGTATAATCGTCATAATAACCAGGTTTACGATTGTCATAAGAACGATGAGATGAATGACGATAACGTTCATCTCTTGATAAATGTGGTCCACGATGATCACGCGATGGTGGACGTTCCTCATCCATTGGACTTGTAACATCAGAATCTTTACTTCGACGCTGAGGCTGTGACATTTTCATCGGATCTGCTAAATCAAAATAATAATTAATTCAAAAATTTAAAAAAAAATTTAATAGAATTTCATGCAAAAAAAAGGAGGGCAGGGAAAAAAAAGACACCTACTCAATGAATTATTATGATTCGGAACCCATCTGTTGGGCTCAATTTGCTGTGAGTAGGTGATAACAGATTGTGAGGTGATATTGCGTTCGGCATTAGGTGAAACTCGATTGTACGCGGTGCCACTAACACCACTTCTTTCTGCTTGTTGTTTTTGAAAACGTGGCGGTAAATTATGTTGAAAATGACGCGAAAAAGCTGGCGGATCACGTTCACGCATTTCACGTTGATCACGATCGCGATCACGTTCACGTTCACGTTGTTCGCGATTATTATCAACTTGTTGTCTTATAAATGATGCTCTCTCGCGAAATTCACTTGACACCTGCTCAACACCACCACCACCACCACTACCAACAACAACAACAACACCACCACCCCCGCGAGAATCTCTTTTCTCTTCTTTACCCTCTGATGATGTACGTGAACGTTCTTGACTTTCACGATCACGATTTTCTTTATCTCGTTCCCATTCGGGCACTGGAATTGACACTGGAGGCACTGTTGTTATTACAACTTTTGTTTCCGATGATTCATCATCTTTTTGTTTAGCTTGTTTCTCCTTTAATTTTTGTTCTAAATTTTGCAATTTTTTCGCTGCCGCCTGCTTTGTTTGCTCCTGATAACGTTTCTCCTCTTCTTCTTTTCTTTGACGTGCTCTTTCAACAGCTGACGCAACTCTTTCGCCTTGCTCGCGGCGACGTTGATTCCAAATTTCCTCTTCTTCAACACCTACAAAAAAAAGAAATTAATCATATAAATTTCCCATAAAAAAAAAAAAACCTAATTCTTTCTTCGAGCATTTGTAATTTTGAACAAATGGAAAATTCGTACAAATAAAAATTCGTAATTAAAATTATCTGAAATAAAAAGTCATATAAATTAAATTAGAAAAAAAAAAATTCTGTTTAGAAATTGAAATAAATTTCTACCTCTCAAGGAATGATTTGAACGATGTTGTTGCTGAGATGAATAACCACTAGTTGTTGATTGATTGGATGAACCACGAAAATCACGAGGTGATGTATTTTGATTCCATGTACGTAATGGAGGTTGTTCGCGATTTTCCTTTAAATCACGATTATCTCTCAGCTTATTATTATCGCGTTCATCAATTAAAATTTCATCATTCTTTTCTTCTTTTATCTCCTTTTTATCATCTTTAATTGGCTCAGCGTCGAGTTCATCGTCGCTGAATGCTAATTTCTGATTATAATCAATAACATCATGAGCTGCCCAACCAGCGTCACGTGATATATCGTCCATTTTTGTAAGATCTTCCTCTTTAATAATAGGTCGAGTCACCAATTGTTCATCGTCCGGCGGATTTTGGCGATCTCGTTCCTGTTGTTGTTGTTGCTGTTGTTGCAATTGTTGACGTTGCGCATTTGTAAAACGCTCCGGCGGATAGTTAAATCTAGGTCGTGGACCTCCCGGTCCAATATTTCCCGTGAATTGCGAGGGGAAACCTCCTTGAGGAAAGCTTCCTCTATACATCTAGATATAATAAAATAAATTTTATTATCAATTTTTTAAAATAAATTTAATTTGATTTTTTTTTGAAACTTACAAAAGGGGGAATAATTCCTCGATAATGATGAACATTTGGACCGACTTGATGAGGACCAGAGGGAATTGAACTTTGATTGTTTGGCGGGCCTGCCTGGCCCATAGCCATGCCTGGCGATTGGGCCAAGTTCGGACGACCTCCATTGGGTCCCTCTGTATGTCCTGGTGGACATACGATGTTTATAAGGGGGCCCTGGGCCACCTGAGTATTCCCATTTCCGGGTCCAGTTGCCACGGTTCCAACTCCTCCTGCTGCACGACTTCCACCTTGTATCCAACTTCCTTCGGCTGTAAAATATTTAAAAAGAAATTAATTCCCCATTTGCCAATCAATTTTTTTTTCTTTTCTTTCTACACACATACATATTTCAAAAACAAATCTCTTTCTTTTCGCTTCAAATTTATTCTCCTCTATACATTCCTGTTATTTTTCGAAAAAAATTTCAAATAGACCTAAAAAATTTTTCAATTATCCAAAAATATTATTAATTACAGTGCGTGAGAATAAATTTCAACCAATGAATGAGAAATTAAACGCCAATAAAAAAAAAAAAAAATATTTAGAAACATACTTTGGGGTCGTAGACTTGGCCCAGGACCATATTGTGCATTTAATTCTCGATTCTGTTGAGATTGTTGCTGTTGCTGACCTGCTATTCCACCTCCTTTACGTCAAGAGAAAAAAAAAAATTTTTACTTTTTTTAATAAACTCATTACCGAGAAAAAAAACAACTAATTTTTGCAATATTTGCTAATTTGAAGAAAATGGAACAGCAAAACAAAAAAAAAAGAAATTAAATTTCTCTTCTGGCAAAGCAGATGCATCAACCATTTTTCTTCTTGGTTTCCTTTTTTTTCAAAAAATTAGGGATATTTTTTTTTTTGGCAAGCAGCGTCCTCACGAGTAACTAATAAATTTTATCCGATTTTTTCAAAATTTCAGGTAAATATTTATATAAAAAAAAAAAAAAAAATGAAGAGTGTTAATGATATGGTGACATGATTTTTAGGAGATGGTAGCTGCATCTGCTCAAAAAAATTTGAACAAAATTTTATCTATGCGATTCATATAAGTGAAAGCATAAAAAAATTGGAAAAATCATAAATAATGAGACAAAGAAAATGTAATGCAATTTTCTAAAAAAATGAAGAACGAAATAAAAAAATTTAGGAAGACCGTTACAAAAGTATTTTTTTTGAATTTTTGAAAATATATTTTTTTAATTTTCTTTTTGGAACGGTCATTGTTTTTTTTCAAAGCAATTCTACGTGAAGACGAAATTGAATCTAGGAGAGATTATTTAATTGGCGAGGAAAGTAACGTCCCACCTGAGTGGTTGTGGGAAAGTGGCTGTTGCTGTAACAATGAATGATGAAGAGCAGCGACCGAAATCGCATTGGATGTCATCGAGGACTGTTGGATCTGACTCTGAATGGAGACTGAAGCAGGGGGCTGTCCACCACTTAGACTGGGGAACTCGTGTTGGAACTGTGGGGACTGGTGGGCGAGGAAACTCAGTCCGAGGGAACTTCTTGACCCTCTCCCGCCCCCCACGAGACTCGCATAACCGATCACTGTTGTCATGACGGGTGGACCTATTAATTACGCCGACCAAATATCGCAAATCGATAGCGCTTTTTTATTATCATTATCATAATCATCCAAATCACAAATCATTTTCTAAAAAAAAAAAAATCTCCCAATGATTATAAAATGTGAGTCGGATGAAGCAATTTTACAAAAAGAGTATATGTTTTCAAAAATACATTTTCAGGAATTTTTTTTTTTTAAATATACTTTTAATCACAGAATATCAAAAGCTTAAATCTAGAATTAACGTAGGTAGCATTTTGTCGCCTCGTTAAGAACGCTACATTGCCAAATGCAAAATTGATTCTTCTTTGGCTATAAGGACAATTTATTATTTTATAAATTTCTTAAACACGTGGGTTTTTTTTTTTTTTTTTTTTTGGATTAATTTTTTCAGTTATTTTAAAAATGAAATAAAACATACCAACATCTCCGGGTCTGCTCATAATTGCACTCCATGATGATTTGTTTCCTACGTCTGATGGATGAGGTGATGAAGAATTCTGTTGTCCTGGCAATGGCGGATGCTGTGTCACTGTTGATGAAGGACTGGTGCCAGTTACACATTGTGATTGGGACGAATTTGTCTGAAAAAAAATACAAAATTAGAAAATCAGAAAGGGAAAATTTGCTTTTTTTTTAAAAAAAATTACATTATTGCTGTCGAGAGTGTTTGCTGTTGTGGTAGTTGTGTTTGTTGATGATGAAACTTCTTTAGTTGTAGCCCAACCGCTGCCACCGCTTGGTACAAGACTTACAGCCGGATCGCTGCTGCTGTGTTCACTTTTTAAACTAGGCAAATTAGCAGGTGGTCGCCGTGCCGAAGGCACCTTTCCCAAACTTTGCATTCCATGTTTGCGCGGTAATGTACTTTTTTGTTGCTGTTGTTCTAAAGATTCACCCTAGGAAAAAATAAAATTTTTAATTAAAAAAAGAAAATCAAAAAATTTTTAAAAACAAAAAAAACAAAAATTTACTCACCCTGCTCACGCGATACAAACTATTGATATCTAATGATTGAAACTTTGATTTGCCTTTCTCCCCCTTCGACACAATCCCCGACAGAGTAGACATGCTGTCTGCAGGCAACCATTTAGTACTACTCAGACCCAACGAACGAACCCTTTGTCTGAAAATAAACAAATTCAAGTAAAAATATAATAGAAAATTAAATCATTTTCTAATTCTTTAAAAATTTCTCAAAGGACAAATACGTCGTTATTACGTTAAAATGAAAATAAATTTGTTTATTATAGAAAAAAAAATTATAAATTTAAACAATAATAATCATGTGTATTTTAAATTTACTTATGACAATAATAAATAAAAGTAAATTGAAAATATTTTAACCTTGAAATTTTTCAAGGCAAATAACTGATTTGATTTACTGAATAAAAGAATTGTTTTACTGGAGCATTACAGATAGATTGGCTAAAGCGTTCATCCTTGGTGAGTCATGAACAAAATTGTGATTTGACATTTTATGAAATTATCCACACAAAAGAATTAACTTTTTTTTTTTCCAATTAACTATTTAATCCTTTTTTATTGTTAAAAAAAAAACTTTTTGTTTTGAATAAATTAGTATTTTATTAAAGAATCAAGATAAAGAAAATAATATTTTTCCTATTGACATTCTTACTTATCACGTCATAACAACACTGATATCTATTGCCAATGACAAATTTGAAAAAAAAAAAAAATTCGTTTGTGCAATACACAATCATATGTAAATGACATATTTTAAATCATCTACCAAAAGAAAATTAGATATTTTTCAATCAAATTAAAAAAAAAAGAAAGAATTTAATTGTCTTCATTCGAACAATAATAAAAAGAAACGAGTACAAAAAAAAAATAATATTGATACCACTGTATTTGTCAACAAAAGAAACAAACTTTCATAAATGTAAAATATAGAAATTAAAAATAAAATTTATTTAAAGAAAAAAAAATTAGTCCTTTAAAAATTACAATTTATTTTAACTAGAAAAATATTGTGAAGACGCACCGTGAAAGGCAAACTGGGCTCTTTGAATTAAATGATAATGTCTCCACGAGTTATCTTTAACGACTAACAACAGCGCGCATTGAATCTGTCAAACTTTTTATTTTAAAATTCATTATTACAAGCAATTTTATTATTCAAATCTAATTTAATACAAAATTTAAAATAAAATCACTAATTTTCACCAATAACAACAACAAAAAAAAAAAAAGAAATTAGAGCGTCGCAATATATGAGCAATAAAACGTAAGAAAGTTTACCGAGGGGGGTGCGGGAGTTCGCTGGCCGACAACGGAAAACCTTTGTCCAACGACCTCGAAATTTGCGATCATAAACGACATCGACTTTGCGACAGAAGAAAACGACCTTGAAATTATAAAGCTTATTTCAAATTGAGACGCTTAACAAGTAAACGGAACCCATCCCCATTTTATCCCATCACTAATGTCAAAAATCCCCCGAGAAAAACAATGGCTTCTCTCTAAAAAAAAAAAAAATCCTAATTTCAACACAATCACTTTTTTTTAAAAAAGTAAAATCAACTAATTATAATGAAAATAACGGTAGAGTTTATAAACCAACAGAAGGGGGAGGGGAGGGGGGAAAAAAGTAACCTGGAGGAGCTTCCACGTAAGAAAAAGATCCGCACGGGAAAATTAAATTCTGGAAATATCAACTCACCTTGGTCCGTCCAAATGGGTGGCGAATTCACAAACGGGTTCAAATCCCAATAAAACTACTTAAAGCACGGATCGCCACGGATTACAGTTCCACTTATTATCAACCGCACCTGCGAGACACACTCCAAACTTCTTCTTCTCTACTCACACAAATCGACCAAGATGGCGAATGCGCGACTCTCGGCCTCTTCTTCCGCGATCAATACAATTACGTCATGCGTCCAATGAACTTGGCTCGCACAGACGCACCACTCGTTACTAACTTAAAAGTCTCTCGTCAAAATCCCGAAGGATATATCCAATAAATTGACAACTTACAATAATCCACTTAAATCAAAATCACTTTTGGCAACGATATAAAGTTCTCACGACTCTTTTAAACCAGGTGTTTCTTCTCCCTTGAGGAGAGTAATTTTTCGGGACAAAATTTCCAGTAAACCGGAAGCCGGCTTGCGCCTGCGAGTGAAGCGTCCTAAACAACTACGTGATACAACTTAAAAATTTTATTACAATTAAATCAAATTAAATTGATATATTGAATTAGAAAATTATAATTTAGATTTAAATATTAAAACAGTGATAAGCAATCTTATTTATAAAGATCTTTTGTTTTAACTAATCGTTTGGAGAAAATTTAAATTGTACTTGATTTGACTCAGATAGTCATTATTGTTTGTCACGTGATTCAAAATGGCTACCAACTGACAGCAAGCAAAGTATAACTATATGTGTATTTGTGTATGGAATTTATCTTTTTTATGGAAAAGGAATATATATATATATATATTCCAGTCAAATTATTTATTCTTTTGTAAATTAGAAAATTATAATTAAATATGGTTTGTATTATCAATTTTATATTACGATCTATATTTAAATAATTTAAAAAATATATATCTACATGCATTTTTATATGTCAATTTTAATGTTATTGTTTAATTTAAAGGTTATAATTAAATTACAGAGTGTCACGCTTCATACTGACGTCGGTGATATTAAAATAGAATTGTTTTGCGAAATGTGTCCTAAAACATGTGAGGTAAGAAAAATAATTTTTTTTTGTAATTAAAAATTGTCTTTTTAAAATAAATAATAAAAATTAAATTTTAGAATTTTCTAGCACTCTGTGCAAGTGACTATTACAATAATTGTATATTTCATCGTAATATTAAAAGTTTTATGATACAAACTGGTGATCCTTTACAAACTGGAAAAGGTGGTAATTCTATTTGGAATAGAAAATTTGAAGATGAATTTAAAGAAGAATTAAAACATAATACAAGAGGTCTTGTTTCAATGGCTAATAATGGACCAAATACAAATGGAAGTCAATTTTTTATCACATATGGTCCACAACCACATCTTGATTTAAAATACACTTTATTTGGAAAGTAAGTAAAAAAAAAAAATATTAATTAGTCATTTATAATTAAAATTTTTATTTATTTTTAATTTCTCAAGAGTCATCGATGGAATGGATACATTGGATCAATTAGAAAAACTTCCAGTAAATCCGAAAAATTATAAACCACTAACGGAAACAAGATTAAATAGTGTTACGATACACGCGAATCCACTAGCTGGTTGATTTAAATTACACGAAAAAAAAAATTAACTTTGGTAAGAGAAATATTTATTTATTAAAAGTAGACTTTTTTTTCCATTATACAATTTCTTTTTTATCTTCAAATTATAAAATATTTTTTTTTTCGAATTATAAAATATTTACATATTTTGATTTTTATACTGAATCTTCATTCTATCATTATTAGGATCAAATGGACTCTCTAAATATAATTGTGCTGGATATTTTTTGCCCATTATTTCAATTTCATATTCTCCTGATTCTAAAAATTTATTTGTTACAAAATCCCCTTTTGGATTAGTGACATACCTAAAAAAACAATATTTTAAATTATAAAATATTAGGCAAAATATTTTTTTTTATACTTACCCCTGACCAATGCTTTTATCTAATGTATAAGCATAATCTCCTTGTCTTAAATATCCAACAACAATTCCATTTCTATATATTGTTTCCAATCCCCAAACTGGTATTTGACTGTAAAAAAAAGAAAATTATTTCTAATTCATCATTTTTTTTGGGGGAGAAAAAAAAAATTATTTACTCTTTGAGTATAAAATGTGCAAGACGTTTTTTTACTCCATTCTCCTTGAGTTTTTGAACAATTTCTCTTCCCAAATATTCTTTATCATTTCGACACATAAAAGAGAGTCCAGCTTCAATTGGATTATCATCTGATCTTAAATCGTAACCCCATAGTGGATATCCTGTTGGAGATTAAGATTTTTTATTTTTAAATTTTTGAATTAAAAAAATTTTTTTTTTTTTTTTTACCTTTTTCTCTACGCAAACTATAAAGTGCTCTAAATCCAGCGAGTTTTAATGAAGATTCATCAATTTTTTTCAATGCATTATAAACAGTTTCACATGATTCTAAAGGAATATGAATTTGATAACCAAGTTCACCAACTTCCGTAAAACGTAATATTCTCGTTAATTTTCCATTAATTTTCAATAACATTGAATGTGAAAATGGCAATTCTTCATCTCCAATATCGGTGTCGACAATTTTTTGCAGAATCTTTTGACTGAAATTAACTTTAAATAACTTTTTGTTTATTAATTTATTATATACTTTTTTTTTTTTTGCATTAATTTTTGTTTCTTATTTTTACCTTTTTGGACCTTCAATACTTAAAATTCCAATTTGATCAGTTGCTGTATGTAGACTAACGTGAAATTCTTTTCTCTTTATTATTTCACGCATATGGGCCCATGTATGATAAGCAGACATTCCACTAGTCACTAGAAAAAAAAATAAAATTTATTGTAAAAATAAAATTTATTGTAAAAATAAAATTTCTTTTTTAGTACCAATGTAAAGTGCCTTTCCTTGAAAAATTGGATCTATAACACCAGCTGATCCAGCGGAAATAGAAGTGACGGTACAATTTGCCTCAACACCACCGTCATCATTTAACATGCATGTGTCAACAATTTCATTGTTTTTCACATTTGTATCACTTATAAAGAGATAATCGGCAACTTTTTGAACATCAGGACCACAAAGGTAAAATTTGCCAAAATATGATAAATCAAATAATGCTGCATTATTTCTACAAGCGTGTGCCTCTTCTTTTATCTGAATTCAATCAATGAAAAAAAAAAAATATTTCATTAATTAAATTTTTATAAATAATTTTATAATCTATACCTAAGTAGATTTTTTTTTTTTTTTAAATTTCCTCAAGACTAACAATATCATGGTACTTGGAAAAAGTAAATTGATAATCGCCTTCCAATATTGAAAGATATTTATTATTTTCATTTTTCGGTGATCCATAACTTCCACAATAATCATATGATTCTATTGTGATATTTTCATTTTTTAAAAAGAATCCCGGCTTTTCCCAACCTTGACTTTCTTCCATTATTGCACCCTCATTTATGAGTAACTGAAAAAAAAAAGAAATCAATTCCATTGAAATTAAATTTATTTTTAATTAGTATACCTTATGAAAAGGACCAGTTTTGAAATTTCTTCCACTTAATGGTTGATCGTGAGGGAAAACAGTACTGTAATTTTTCACATATGCCTCATGAGATCTTTCATTTGCCCATATTGCATCTTTCATTTGTTCTGGAGTGAATCTAAAAACACAACAAATTTTTCTTTGTCCTAAATAAGAATTATTTTTTTTAATCTTACCTACGAATATCGTATTTAAACATATATTTCTCAGGTCTTCCATTTATTATCCATTTTGATATTTGTTCTCCACATCCAGCTCCAAACATCATTCCCGCACTATTATATCCACATGAATAGAAAAATCCCTCACATCTTGGATCTTCTCCTATAATATTTATTTTTTAATTTTCTTTCTTATTTTAAATTATATTTGTTTTAGAAAATTCTCTTATTATTACCCATAATTGGTTTATGATCTGGTGTAAAACTTTCGGGACCACAAACAGTTGTTCTTATTCCAGTTGTTGATAATTTGGGAATTAATTTCACCATTGCTTCAATATGTGAATTAAATACATTCCAATCTAATTCGTATAGGCTAAATGAAAAATCTTTGGCAACCTAAAAATCGAGTAAAAAAGAAAAATTAGTATATTAAATATAATTAATGGAAAATTTTGTAAAATTACTTACAGATTGTAAGATTATTGGATTTGGTTCATATCCTCCTATAGACAATGATTCACCTTGTGGTTTAATATAAATTTTTCCATCATGATCGCGAATATTTGGCAAATCTTTCACATTTTTCATTGGTTCAGTAACAATATATGCATGTTTCATTGGAATTAAGGGAATTTCAACGCCAATCATTTTTGCAATATTTCTCGACCATGCACCACATGCATTTAAAATACAATTTGTTTTTATTATTCCATATGGTGTTTCAACGCCAGTTACTTTTTGTGAACCATATTCGGGTTTATCGATGAGAATTTTCGTTACTGGACAATCTTCAAATATCTGGGCGAAAAAAAAATTTTTTTAACTCCAATTAGAGAAATAAAAACCAATTTTTTAAAATAATTATTAATTTCTGAGCAAAAACTTTTTTTTTTAAATTCAATTGTTTAAAAAAATTAAATTTTTAATTTATATTTAAAAAAAACATTTATTTAAAAATTGTAAAATTATTTCTGTAATTAAATTAAAATAATTATTAAATATTTAATCGAAAATAAAAATAATTTAATTTTCACAAAATAATTAAATGTAAAAAATAATTGAAATAAATTAGATTTTTAATTTTAAAAAAAATTTGTTCATATTGAAAGTAAAATTCTCAAATTAAAATTAAAATTACCTTTGCTCCATTAGATTTTGCTGATTGTATCAATGAATTAACCATCATTGCAGGATCAATTATACCATCATTTGGCGAATAAAGTGCACCATAAAATGCATTTTCATCGATAGGAGGAAATAAATTTTTTGCTTCCTTAGGCGATATTAAAGATGATTCGATTCCAAATGATTTTCCAATTGTATATAATCTTTTATATTCATCCATACGCACCTTTTGGAAAAAAAAAGAATTTTATTATCCTTGATAATCTATTTTTTTTTATAAAAAAAAAATTATTCTTCTTTTTCCAAGAAATATTTATTTTTCTACCTTATCATAGGCTATAAAAATTCCACCATTATTTATCCATCCTGGATTAATTCCAGTTTCTCGTTCTAAATTCTCATATACTTTTCTTGAATTTCGAAGTAATTCCACTTCAACATCGTTTGGTCGTAAACTCCAAACCATACCAGCTGTATGCCATGTTGTACCAGATGTTAATTTTGATTTTTCAAGAAGAATTGCATTTTTTCCATTTTTTGCTAAATTATAGAGAGCATTACATCCGGCACTACCTCCACCTGAAAAAAAGAATTTTTTTCCTTTTATTATTTTTTTTTGAATAAAATTTTTAATTTAAATTTAATTTCGTTTTTTTTTTCTTAAATACATAATCAAATATTTTGTTATCTTATATTTAAAAATAATTTTTTTAATTTACCTTTATCAATATCTATCTTTTATTGTAATTCTTTTTTTTTTTTTTTTAACAAAAAAGATAAAAAATTCACGCAGTACGTTAATCCAAGTTCATTACTAAACACGTGTGTTATGTAGATAATAATAGTTACATAATAATGTAGATTATTTTCAAGCGCGTGTTAGATGAATTATAATCAATAATGTTTATTCATATTTATTTGTTGACCAAATTCATTGTTCTGAATATTGATAAATTAGAAATGTTTTTTTTTTGTAAAAAAAATTATTGAAATTTATAAAATAAAAATTGTTGTCTTTTTTTGCAGTTCAAAAACAAGAATTATTTTGCAAATACCTACCTATAATTACAACGTCAGCTGACTCTGGTAAATTCACAGTTGATGGAATATTTTCAGATGTTGATTTCTTCTTTTTATTGAGAAGAAATTTTTTATCTATTTGATCACTCCATTTAGTTAACTATGATTAAAAATTAAATTCACAATGTAAATAACATTAATGTTCCTTTGTTAGCAAATTTTCTTTGTTTCATTGATAAAAAAAAATGGAAAAATAAATTACTGAGATAGCTGAATAAATAATTAAAAATCAAATGTTTTTTCAAAAGAAAAAAAAATACCTTATTTTTCGAAAAACGATACATCCTGTCCAAGGATATGTTATCCTTGAAAGAGATCCTTTTTTTTTTGGAAAAAAAACTGATCAACCACAAACTTGGCTTTGATTTTTTTTAAACATTATACGTATTTTCATTCCGCTTATCAAATCACTAAATTGTTTATAATTTGAAGCACGTTCGTTTCTTAAAGAATGATTAAAAATTAATTCGCAAATTAAAAATATATTATTAATATTTTATATAATTAAATTATAATAAAATTTTGCCAAGATTTGTAAAAAAAAAAAAAATTATTTATTATAAATTAAAAAAAGCAGAAGATACATTTCTTATAGATACTCGAAATGTTTTGATGCATTTGTCAACTTCGCTTGTCATATTTAAACTCCGTGCAGAGAAAGATTATTATTATACTAGCAAGAGGGGTCGATATCAAAAAATTATGATGCAACTAGATCGAAGAGAATCAAATTACTATGTTGTATTTTTCGCTGGTTTCTTTGTTTTTGTTTTTTTTTTCTTTTATGCAAACGAAAAACATGTTTTTAAATTTATTCTAATATTATCGCGAAAAAAAAAAACTTGTTCAATTTTTTTTTTTTAAATGAGAAATAAATAAATTTATTTTTCACTATTTTTTATAATGCAGTTAATATAAAAATTACAAAAATTATTGTAATTTAAAAAATTTTAATTTTTTATTATTATTTTTATGAAAAATTAAATTTTATTAATAAAAAAAAGATTTGCTTAAATACGTATATTTAAATGAAAAAAAAAATGTTTTTAATTAAATAATTGAAAATAATGTCTGAGGGAGGGAAAAAAAAAATTTTTTTGTTTGTTATTAATACTCACTGAGAATTGTTATCTAGTGTCGGAGCGCAAAGCGCGTTCGTTGATCTCCGAGAGTGTGCGAAAGACAAAAAGCTAAGTGGATAAAAGATTCACGAATTCAAGATAAACATACAATATAGTATAGATATATGTATGTATATTGTATATATATACATAGTGGTGACTGCAACTGAGTGACTGGTAGAGCAGGTTTTAAAATGAGTGTTGGCGACGTGAATTGATTGCAACCACTTGCCATACAAAGATGTGTACATTCTTTTAAACTTATTGGTACAATGTCTCACACTAATAAGCACACTCAATAGTAGTCTGTATTGTTCAGCCGTCTCGTTTCGTTGGATACACTTCTTTTTTTTCTCTCCAATATTCATTGTTCCCCTACTTTGACAATTCAGAATAAATTAATCATATAAAAAAAAAAGTTATGTCTTTTAATAAGAAAAAATTTTCCAAAACGCATCATAATCCCAAGAAATAATTTTTGCATAAATATTTCTAAAAAAAAGCTTTCTATTATTCAACCATATTTTTAAATGATTTCAAAATAAAAAAAAATTTAATTTTAAGGAAAAATCTCGGTACAATGAAATACAACACTTGATTGTACTTACAATTAAATTGCAATTTAATTAAATTTCTATATATAATAATTTATAAGTGAATTTTTCTATTATTGTTTATAAATAACAAAACTTTTAATTAAAAAAAAAAAAAAAGAAAAAAAAATCGCTTTCTAAAATTGACACTGTCTCAGGTAACATTTTCACTCAATTAATTTACACTATTTTCGCTTATACAATTCTTTATACATTTGCGCATTTGTTGAAAGAAAAAAAAATTTGCAACTATTGGAAAAAAAAAAAATTCAAGACTAGAAATCATAAAAAATAAAACATAACATACCTTAAGAATAATTATTTACATAAATTGAAAAATATCACGACTCTAGGCGCATATTGGCGTCCAATTATCACAAAATTTAAATTTCCTTTCAAATTACTAATAATAATAATAATTAAGTCCTTTCTTTTTTTTGTGCTGATCTGATATTCATAGCCAATTTTCTCTGGAAGAATAATGAAAAAAAAAAAAATATTTTCAAATATCAACTATAGTTACATAAATATAGTAACAATAATAATAATAAATATCGAAAATTTGTATGTTTTGACAATAATCTAAATGGAATATTTTAAATGACGCTTATTAATGCTAGAGCGATGTATGTTCCTCGCTAGCGAGACTGTCTGTGTCATCAGTATCAGAATTTGTCGCAGCTTGTACTCTTGCATATTCATCAGTGTCAATACTTTTACAAAAATGAATTGCGTACTTTAATTTTTGTCTTAAAACTGGTTTACACGAATATCTTGGCATTTTTAATAGGAAAAAGCATGTATAACTCTCTGGCAAAAAATGATCAGGTGGATTGTATTTGTCCATCACCTAAAAAAAAAAAAAGAAATTGTATTATAAAAAGTAATTAAAAAAAAACGTTGCTAATTAATTATATACCTGTAAAACAAAATCTCTTCCTCGAAAATCGGCAATTGTTCGTGGCAAACGTGTTCTTCCCCAAACAAAACGTAAAAATAAAGATCTCTCCTGATTTGAAAATTCTTCCATAACTTCCCAAAACCATTGCATTAATGGCGATGTTGCTTCTATTCCTGCGAAAAATAAAAAACAATAATTAAACAAAAAATAAATAAATAAAATTCAATGAAAAAGAAAATTTTTTCAAACCTTTGTATGTTGCTACTGATTTCAATAAACTAAGAGGGATATCAGGACTTCCACAGACCATTGTTTCCAATTCAGAACCACTGAATAATGTTAATAATGGAACAGGAACAACTTTTGATAAACCTTCTCGTACCGCATTTACTTGTGCATCAAATTCATGAAGCCTATAATTTAGTGCTAATCTTACATATTCCCGTCTATTTTCCGGTGTTATTTTTCTATATCTGGAAAAAAAAGGTAAAATCATATTTTTTAAATACATTTAGAGAAATGTAGAGAACATTTAACATTATAGAATAAATATTTAAAAAAATATATATTAATAATTAACAATTAAATTGATTATTAAGATTATAAATTTAAAAAAAGGTCATTGTACAAAGTCTAAAGAATTGTAAACACAATTTAATAAATCTAATCTAATCTTATCATTTCGCCGATATATTTTAATAATTTTGCAAATGATTTAACTTTTTTTTTTTTCTTTCGATAAAAATGAAATTATTTTTTGTAAAAAGAAAAGACTAAAAATATAAGTTATATATTATAATTACAGCAAAAATATTTCCAAGAAGAATTTCTCTTTTACTACCGTAAATTATTTTTTTTAATTTTTAATTATGAATTTTATTTTATTATTTTCTTTTTTTAATTTAAAAAAAAAAATGGAATAATTAAAAATAAAGATTCACCTATTTGATAGAGGAACATCATGACCAACAGCCGATGGAGTTGAAAATGGCATTTCTAAACTTTGAAAAACTTTTTCATCTGGATCCATATCTCTAATGCATAATAATCCCGGTACGTAACCTCTATCAACTTCAGTTAAATCAGCTGGTGTTAGAGAAATTCCAGCTAATTGTTTCCATACTGGTTCAGCTAAATTTAAACTCAATGGACTACCAGTTCTTATTGCTATTCCCATTAAAATTCCTAAAAATTGGAACATATTCATATGTAATTGTGATGTTGCAAGTGGATTTAGTAAAAAACAATCTCTATTTGTTCCACTATCATCACGACCATTTGGAGTTGGAATTAATAATGGTAATGATCCATTTTGAAGTTCATCGCACATCTCTGCAATACTTTCGCTATAACCACCGCCACAATCATCAACACTCTCGCCTAGAAACAAAAAAAAAATTACAATTTGAAAAAAATTACAATTTGAAAAAAATTATTTTGAAAAAAATAACAATTTAGAAAACTCACCGACAAATTTGACTTTCCATACGCGATGAGGTAGGAAAAGAACTTCCTGTGTTAGAAAAGACATTTTGCCAACCATTTGACCAAAAACTGATTTTATACCATCGGGACCAGCTAAACCACCTTTACTTCTTGATCTTTTCACCTGAATTCTATTTAATTCAATGACAGGACCATGTTGTCTATCTCGAACCATCGTTGCTTGAACAACTTTTCTAAATGTCGCCTCCTTTATACTGTAAACCAACATTGGTGCCAATTTATTTAATCCCAAATGACCCGAAGTACTGAACATGGCAATATTTGGACATAATAATTCCGAAAAATGATGCAAAAGAACAAGACGATTGCGTAAAGCTGAAAATGATAAATCCTTAACCAAATCATATTCCATTGGTGTTACAGCCGGTAATTTTGTATGCGTTGTTTTTGTTGTACTCCACGCCAAAGTATGAGCACTTCCACAAGCGACTCTCGTTATTTTTTTCCCCTGTAATGTATGAACAATTCTTGGACTTTGTAATGCACTCGTCGTTCCATCGCCCAATTGTCCTTCATCATTATCGCCCCATGTGAATACTTCACCCTTATCCGAACAAGCAACACAATGTAAAGAACCAGTTGCTATTGAAATAATTTTCTTTCCCTGTAGAGCAGCAACTTTTCTTGGTCTTCTCACATGATCATCAGTTCCATGACCCAAACGATGATAATCACCTTTACCCCAAGTATAAACAGCACCCGATCTTGTTAATGCCACTGAAAATTGACTTCCACATTCAACTTTAATCACTCCCAATCCAGCGAGTGATTCTATTTTCATTGGTACCTTACAGCCATCGCTTCCACCGCGTCCTAATTTTCCATAATCACCATCGCCCCAACTCCAAACATTATCATCGTCAGTGACACATAAAGTTTGTGCATCACCACTTCCGCATGCAACATCAATAACTTTATAACCCTTCAATGCATAAACAACTTTTGGTCTCAATTGATCATCACTATCGCCATGACCCAAACGTCCATATCGACCCTTACCCCATGTGTACAGCCAACCAGCGCTTGTAATTCCAGCATTATGATGTCCACCACATGCAATATCAACAATCTCAGTTCCCAATAAAGCCTCAATTAATCTTGGTTTCTCGTACGATAAACGATTACCATGTCCTAATTTTCCATCATCACCTTCGCCCCAAGAATAAATATGACCCTCCGAACTCAATGCAAGACAATGTTTACCACCTGAATTAACAGCAACTTTTTTTATAAAAATATGTTGTATTGACTCAAGTAAAGTTGGTACCATCACCGAATCAGCGCCACCAATACCAAGACGACCAGCCGCTCCATAACCGGTTGAATAAATTTTTCCATCGGCCGTCACAGCAAATAATGTTTGCTCACCACCTGCCAATTGAATAGGCCTCAATGCCGATAAACTTTCACAAGGCGATGGTACCTTAATTTTTGCTCCCTCTAATCCTCCCAATTGTCCCCGATGATTATGTCCCCAGCCATAAATTGCTCCCGAACCATCCCAGGACAATGTCCAATCCTCTGGACGACGATTTAACCATTGCAAAAGTTGTTCATCGTGCTCATGTTTAAAAATACTATGATTCTCCTGATCCTTTAAATTTCCATCCTCATCCGTCACCATTTCATTAATACGCTTTGCCACCTCGATACAAAATGATTTTGGCAATGTTGTTCGATTAATCAATGATTTTGCAACACGCGCCGCCAAACAATATCTTCTAAACCACGACCATTTATGTATCTCCCCACAACATGGCATTGTTTCCAATTCCAAATCACAAGCTAATGCAACTAAAGTTTTGAAAAAATCACTATGCATCAATTGTTTACCACCGCGTACTATTGGATCTTCATATTCATATTGTCGTAACAATGCCAATGGTAATGAACCCAATAAATTTGTAAGCGCCGAATCTTGACGTATACTCGGTCCATTTTGATAGACAACTTGTAATTTTTTCAAAGCCCACATTCTTTGTTGCGCTGATAAATTACCCAATTGTGAACATTGCGCCAAAGTTGCTGCCAATCTTGTTATTATATTTTTATCCGAATTTATCAAACAATTATCCAAAAGGCATTCCACAAGGGCAATACTTGGCTGTGACAATACAGCTCTATCCGATCCAAGTTCATGCGGTGCTAATGTGGCAACAATTGGATGTACCGTAAATCGCCAACCCCATCCATTAACCGAACCATCCGATGAAAATCTCCATCTCAATTCATCACCTTGAATACGAATTTCACTTGACCATTCACTCCATTCACGTCCCGATTTAATGGCAATTAATCTTCCACCACTGTCCATTAATGTAAGTGGATCATGTCGTCTTTCCGTTGAACAAAGACGATCAAATTCAATTCTCAATGCTTCAGCGCCGGGTATTTTCACATGACCCGTTAATGTTGTATCATCAATATAAGGATGTGGCGTTTCCTGTATCACAGGCTGTGGACTATTATTACTAAAATTTGAATTAGCTGCCGCATCTTCAAGTTCAGTGACACACAATTCAAGAATCATATTACCAATATTTCCATTAATTTTACCCAATGATATTAAAACAGAAGATATTATATTTTTTGCATTATCAGTAACTCTCTGCGCCACAGCAAGTTTCAATAGATCCATCAACATTCTTGCATCATCCTCGCTCAACATTGTTGTAAATTCATCCAACGTTCCACTATCAGAATTAATTACTTCACCAACAACTTGTGCATTCGATGTTAATGTCGCTGCAATTACGCTCATTGCACTTGTCGACATTTTTGAAGCCCTCGATGATAAACTAGCGGAACTTGACATCGATGGAAAAATAGTCAATGGAAATTCCTCCGACTCTGGCGTTGCCCTTGGACTTAAATTAACCTCCGCTGGTGCTTCACCACCACCTTGGGCAATTTCACCAACATTTTGATAAACAGTCGATGCATCCTCCGGCGAAGTGGCTTTTTTAAACGACGACAAATTAATATGACTCTGTAAAGCAGTGACAATTGCTATTCGCGCTTGAATAATATGCAAAGCCTTAATAACATGCTGCAATGCTTGTTGTTTCGCAATATTACTCTCCAATGACAAAATAATATTCGACAATGAAGGTCTTTGAATTTTTGTATTTAAAATCGAATTCTCACCAATTGGCTCCGTTGTACCTTGACCCAATGGATCTTTCATTGTTGGAAATGTAACAGGCTCCTGATTACTATTAGCTGGCTGATCTGTCAAAATCCAAGCAACACTGTGACTCGATCCACAAGCAACTTTATTCACCTTCGCCTCTTCCAATCCATGAACAATCGATGGTTTTCGATTAACAATTATCGAACCATTACCCTGTTGTCCATGATCATTATCACCCCATGCATAAACATGTCCTAAATCCGTAACAGCCAAACAATGTAATGCACCAACAGCAACGTGTACAACTTTTTTTCCCCTCAATCCTTCAACGACAGTTGGTCTTCTCACATGATTATCATTACCATGACCAAGACGAAAATAATCCCCTTTACCCCATGTCCAAACCTCACCGTATTTTGTCAATGCCAATGAAAATTGTGCTCCACATTCAACTTGTACAACTCCCAATCCACTGAGACGATCCACCAATAATGGCGAATAGCAACCATCACTTCCGCCTCGGCCCAATTTTCCAAAATCACCATCGCCCCATGAATAAACCGAGCCATTCTCGGTTAATGCCATTGTTTGCGCATCACGACTTCCACAAGCAACCTGTATCACTCTCTGTCCAATTAATCCCTCAACTAATTTTGGTTTCAATTGCGTTATTGCATCGCCATGTCCAAGTCTTCCATATTCACCCAAACCCCATGTATACAATTCTCCATTACTTGCAATCGCCGCCGAATGTCCCGAACCACATGCAATATCACGTATTCTTTTCGCTTTCAAAACATCAATTAATCTTGGCTTATCCAATGAAATACGATTACCATGTCCCAATTTACCATCCTCACCTTCGCCCCATGAAAATATTTTTCCATCCTGCGTTAATGCTAAAGCATGCTTTCCACCTGAATGTACAGCTACTTTTTTAATCACATACTGCGATAAAAATGGAATTGGTTTTGGTTCATAAACATTATTATTGTCACCCAATCCTAAACGTCCATTTGTCCCTTCACCACAAGCATAAAGTTTACCCTCCTGACTGACAATAAACAAAGTTTTACTACCACCGGCAATATGTATTGGTTTCAATTTCGACAATACTTGACTGTAAATTGGCAATTTAATTTTCGATCCTTTCAATCCACCAAGCTGATCCTTGTCATTTAGTCCCCAAACATAAACAGCGGAATTTTGCTGATCAGTGGCTCGTTGTGCCATCATCTGCTCCTGCACCACTTCCCAATCAGATGCAAGAAATGACACCGAATTAGCAAGTTGATAGACCTTCTTCTTGCCAATAATTTGCAATGAATGAATTTTACAATCAATACCACCGTTTCGACATTGTTTTATCGAAATTTCCAAACAGGGATAATATTCCTTGATGTCGTACAATAAAACCAGAATTGTATCAATTGCTTTTGGTGTTATTGTCACCAATTCGACAAGATTTGTAAAACAATCACCAACACTTATTCCAATCAACGAAGGCGTATAACTACTATCCTGTGGATCGATAACAATTTTCAATGAATGCACCAATATTCCCGGTAGCATTTCCAATCGTATCCAATGTTTACCCAATGCTCCACAACTTTGCCAATATTTTCCCGAACCATCAACTAAACGTGTTGCCCAATTTTCCCTCGACGAAACACTCAATGTTCGTATACATTTCGACCAATCGTCAATTAATGCCGATTCAGAAATCTCCTGTCGATGATATCGTCCCGGCTTACCAGCGTAAACAGCCGCCGAACCAGGTTCAGCAATTCTATTAAAACCATGCCTATGCTGACGTTTTGTATAAAAACAATTTTCACAAAGATTAAAATTCTCACAACTCTTGCATTTAAATCTTGGTCCTGATATTGGTGATAAATGACATAAATTACAAGCGACAGCATGATGACAACATGGTACACGATCCATTTCAGCAACACAACCAGTCCAACTACTTTGCTGTGGAAAATCCACTGAAACATCCTTTCCATTATTTAAAACACCAGTAACAACACCAATACTCTGATGATTCACCGAACCCCATTTATATTTTGGCATTGCTATTGATGATTTAACTTTCACTTTATCGCCAATTTTCAACATTGATGGACCACCCGGTAATTGAGGTGGATGTCCCAATAATTCAATATGTATAAAACGAACCCAATATGAATCGCCTTTATGCTGCCAAGCAACTTGTACATTTAAATCATGTAAACATTCTGGATCAATTTTCACAACTTGTCCAACATCGCCATATTCAACTTGTTCATAAGTTTTACAACATCGTACCAACATTCCCGATGTAACATTATCACGTACATAAATTGCATATTCATCAACCGATAGAAAATCACTTCTTTTCATAAAACTCGGCTGTGCTATTGATTCATTAACAATTGATTCCTCCTGTTCACTTGATTCTTCACCAGAATCTGATAAATCATCCAAACTTGATGTCTCATCATTCAATATTGTATCGGCATTCTCCAATAACCAACTAACAACATTCTCAGGCGTTATGTTCCCCTCACCGACACTGAGGCTCTTTATAGCAAATTCCACATTTTTTCTATGAAATCCCATTTCTCGTAATTGGCTAACCAAAGGCGGTCCCTTCTTTTCAGTTTTGCAGTGACGTTTTTGACTTGATGTTAGCGACAATAGTGAACAGTCCGAAGCTGGTGTTTCCGGTTCCGAGACATAACGATTTATCGCCGTGTGTTTTAATTCCGAGGCAAGATATTGGGAAACTGCCAAAGCGGCCGCTTCCAATTCCCCTTGTTTGAAAATCGGTTTCAATGGCTGTGGTTTTATTGCCCTTGATAATAAAACCTGAAACAAAAAAAAAAAAATGTAAATACAAAGTAAAAATTATTATTAAATTAAATTTATAATAAATAAAACCTGAAAAAGAGTTCTACGAATCTGATTTTCCTCTCCGATTTCCTGTTCCTGTGTTACTTCTATTTCTTCTTCTTCTTCATCTCCTTCTTCATTTTCTTCAATTTCCTCATTCTTATTCTCCATTGTCGAACATTTAAGCACCCTTCGTAATTTATTTTGATGTTCAATTAAATTTTTCCCCGCATTCAAAGCGGCCAATTGCTGCTGCTGTATTCTCAATATCGAAATATTAACCGCCCCGGCAATAACCGGCATTCCACCTGGTCGTTTATCAATTCCACAATGTCCCAATAATAAATTACCCCATATTCCCAATAGCGATTCTGACATTAACATTCGATCTAAATGAAATTTTTCTTCAATTATTTTTAAACCAACAAATGATATTTTTCGCCTCATACCATTATTGTGCATTTGTATTATTAATTTTGAATGTTGTGTAAATTTACAAATTGTACCAATTTGTCCATCGACATCAACTTTTCCACCAATTCTTGGTCTTGTATCTAAACCACCAACAACAATTAACGCCGCCATTACCGTCTGTTGAATAGCCAAACTATTTTCACCTCCATTTTCATTCATTTGAATATGAAATAAAGGACCATCACTCAATAAATCCGATGCTAATGATAATTTACCCTCGAGAAAATTATTTAAAACCAAATTCCAACCTGGTAAAGAATGCAATGAACGTATCAATGAAATCAATTCCTCAACTAATGTTGAACTTCTCGATGCTGTTAATGATACACGACATTTATTTGCATGTAATTCAGGATTCATTTCATTACACATCAACGCCATTTGACCAAGTAATTTAAATGTTTTATCTAAAAATAAATTCATTGCTGTATTATCCATTGTTGACCATGATGGTAAAACAATACTCAAAAAACGTATTGCTATTATTTGTTTATAAATATTAATATTCTCTTCAATAATCATTGATAAAAGAAAATCAATCCATGCCGATGTACTTAATGAACGGCAAATAATTGATGAATTTGCAATTGCTTTTAATAATCCTAATGTTGCCCAACTATCATGATGATCTTTTGCCAATTGTGTTTGTATTGTTGTATCAATTTTACTTGCTGATGATATTATACCACGTAAAACAGATGCAATTGTTTTTATTGCCGATGGTTGAACATTATTTGCTTCAATACCACATGATAATAAAATAACGCGCAATAAATTTGTACATGCTTTTTTTAAATATGTCGTTGGATGTAATTCACGTATATTCTCCTTATACATTTTATTTGTGTCCATTGGTGAATCATCATCTGAATCACTTTCAGGTGGTGTTGGTGGTTCTGCTAATTTTAAATCATATTTTCCTTCTTTACCTGAAATATATTGATATTAATATTAGAAATTTTATTAAAAATATATTAGAAAAGAAAATTATTTTGAAAATTTAAAAATAAAATTAGTTTTTTTAATTATTTATTATTACTAATTTTTATTATTCAAATAATCAAACAAAATGTTCTATATAACAAATAAAAAATTAAATTTTAATAAAATTTCAATTCTTCTTTCGCAATATTCAATTAATTTTGATAAATTATTTTTCTAGTAGAAAATTAAATCACTGCAAAATAATCAAAATTTTACAATAATAAAATTTAATTTCTCAAGTAACTGAATTTTATAAATTAATAATTCATATCATTAATTAATAATAAATTAATTTTTCCCAAATACGCTAAACTCGAAAAAAATAATAAACTTTAAAAAAAAAAAAAAAAAATTTGAAAAAATAATGTAAATTTTGTTTTTTTTTAAATTTAACTCTCTTTTCTTATTATAAAACAAAACGTAACATTCGTGTTGCATTGAAAAAATCGAATTTTAATTATTAGAAAAGTTCTGCTAAATTTTTGAACAAAAAATAGCAATTTTTTCATTTTAGAAATTCCATCTGTAAAAAATGTTGGTTTCATTTAAAAAATATTGATTTTAAAAAAAATACTAGTACAAAAATATAATTGTCCATATTTTTGTCCTCATTAGTATCTTAGTAAAAAATTTTTTCAAGTTTTGATAATTAATTTTTGTTAAAAAAATCATTTCAAAAATTTTTCACAATTTTTTTTTTTTAATTTTGATTTAAAAAAACTTTTAGCCTCAAAGTAGACTAAATATAATAAATTAAATTTATAAATCATTATAATATAAATATTAAATAAAATAAATCACAAATTTTTATTTTTTTAAAATTTAAATTTCATTTTTGAAAAATAATTTTTAAAAAATCCAAGTTTTATGAGAAACCAGAAAAATTGACAATTCTTTTTTGCAAGCTGTAACTAAATTAGAATTTTTAAGATTAAATAAATAAATTAATTAGATTAAATTAAATTACATTAAATTAAATAAATAAATAAAATTAATAAGTTAAATAAATTAATAAATACGTGAATAAAAATACAATAAAATGAATAAAATAAATTAATAAATTAAATCATAAATAAATATAATATAAATATTAAATAAAATAAATCACAAATTTTTATTTTTTTAAAATTTAAATTTCATTTTTGAAAAATAATTTTTAAAAAATCCAAGCTTTATGAGAAACCAAAAAAATTGACAATTCTTTTTTGCAAGCTGTAACTGAATTAGAATTTTTAAGATTAAATTAAATTAAATTAAATTAACTTAAATAAATTAATTAAATTAATAAGTTAAATAAATTAATTAAATTAATAAGTTAAATAAATTAATAAATACGTGAATTAAAATAAAATAAAATGAATAAAATAAATTACCCATTCGATATGAGTTTGTTGTACCATTATCCCATTTGACTCTAATCCAACCATCCTCACCAAGTTCACCAATAACTGTTCCCTCACCAGGTGGTGGACTATCCTGATCACCCCATTTCCAATCAACACCACGTACAACTCTTGTATTAATTTTCATCAAAGCAGCCAATTCAATTCCACTTAATTGTACAGCCAATGGTTTACTTTTATGAACAACATCTTCGTAAATTGCCACATTTTCTTTTATTTTTGAAACATTATTTCTCGCCGATGATGATGGTCCAATTTGTCTCAATAATGTTAAAACACTTGAGAGAACTCCCGAATTAATTAATAGTCCAATTTCATTTGAATGTTGATAATTTGTTAACATTCCCAATATTGTTAATATAAATCTTGCTCTCGGTAATTTTCTCAACCACGTATATGTATCTTGATTTAAACTACTTTTGCCACTTGCTTTTGGTTTACTTGATAATTCAGCTTGTATAACATAAGCTCTTAATGCTTGTACAGCCCAATGTGTAACTTTTGCCTCAGCTAATATTACCTTAACACGTAAATAAGGTGTGACTAATTGAATATTTTTCAAACAATGTGAAATTCCACTTGACAATAATTTATTCTCATGTGTTAAACCCAACCAACCATTTAATAATGAATATTTCACTGATGTTATTAAATGTTCTTTTTTTAATAATTGTTGAATAATATGTAAACCCTTGACACGCATTTTAACACGTTGCATTTGACAATACATTGCACGACGTAATGTTTCAATATCACCACCCTCTTCGGTAACAACAAAATTAATAATATTTCTCATCAATTCATTGGCGTCCATTATTAATGGTTTATATTTTACTTTATCAGTCAATTGTTTAATTACATTTGTTGAGAAATCTTCTAATTTTGGTGTTAATGGCATTGTTATCATACTTTTTGAATTTTCACCTTTTACCTTTGCATTTTGAATTGATGTATTAACAATATCCTCTGGTTTTGCTGGTGAATCTTTACTTTTTCTTATATCAGCAATAACAGTTTGTACAGCTTTTTTAAATTTTGGTACAGTATATAATATTTTCAAATCCTTAAGTCCTTTTAATTCATCACTTGTCGCTGATCTAATTTCATATAATAAAAATCGACATCTCTCTTGCGCTGGTGCACAAACTTCTTTATAACTACGATTTTGTTGTTGTCTTGTTCTTATTAAATTCCATTTTGTTTGATGTATCATTCTCACCATATCAGCTAATGATTTTGTTAATTTTACATTACCATCAATAATTTCACGATCAATAATTTCAATAGTTTGATATCCAAGTGCAAGATGTTTTATAATAACAGCCATTAATAAACGACCAATTTCCTCAACAGGATGATCACAACAAAAATCAACGTGCGATAATAAATTATTCATTTTACAAAATCTATCAATAATATTTAAAAATGATTCAACATAATTATCAGTCTTATGATTTTCAGCTAATGCATGAATAAAGGCCGTTATTTTATCATCAATTAATTTTCTATCTTTTGTAAAAATTGGATTAACACTTGGTTCAGTTGGTGAATTTGCTGCTGTTGAATTATTACTTCGCGCTTCATCTTTTTCTTCTTCATATGGATTTGGTGGTTGAAGAATTTGTAGACCACCACGTAAAAAATTTGCCTCAAGCCATAAACCAGCTTCCTCTTCAGCTGGTTGTATTGCTAAACTTTGACGTAATCTATAAGCATGTAAACCCAATACAAAACTCAATGATCTCTCCATATCCAATAATGATAGACAAACATCAGTAACTTCAATTGTAAATTGTGTTGTTTCTAATTCAGGCTGACAATAATGTCCAACAAAACATGAATCCATCATTGTTTGTGAATCATTTAAATTTGAAATATTTATTATTGTTGAATTTAAATTCTCACGATTTAATATTAAACGATTAAAAAATTCCATTGCACCCTCATGACGTATATCTTGAACATCATAAACATTATTATTAATTACAATCCATAATCCACCATCACGATTATGATTTTCCAAATCGGCCCAACGAATTAATGATGGTTCATCTTGTACTTTACAACCACCATGTTGTGGTGCAATTATACCAGGCCATGATAAATCATCAGCATCATCTTTTTCAATTGTTGGCGATAATCTATTAAATTGATCCAATATATCCAATAGCGGTGATAATATATCCATCCAATTCATATTTAATAATAACATTGGATAATCAATTTGCAATAATATTAAACAAACAATTAATTCCGGTAGTAGAACATTTAAAATATCACCTTTTAATATTGTAATAACATAAACAAAATATTTACTATTTGCCGCTGCCAATTCAATGGCAATTGGTAATATTTCTTTGACATGATGACAAATTTGACAAATATATTTATTTAATAATGATTCAACGCCAATTATTTCCTGATCATTATTTATTGATTTATTAATGCACGACAACATTTGTGCAATTAATAAACGTTGAAATTTTAATAAAAGAGATAAACTTGGTGAATTGTCAATTTTCAAAAAATTATCATTTGGTAATGCTTGAAATCGTGATTGTGTGATATTTGTACCATTTCGAATTAATTGTTTTACTAATTGAAATAAAGAAATTGTACAATTATCACTGAATTCTTTTGTTTTATCATCAATATTTGATGGTCCTGGTGGTGTTTCCGTTACAATTGTAACAGCAATTGGTGGTGTTGATGAAACAGATGAAGATGTCGATGGTAATGATGTTGATTTATTATCAGATGATGAATTTTTCTCTAAATTTTCAGTGATTTCATTTTTAATTGCCATTTTTAATGCCAATTCTAAACCACCATCGGCCATTAAACTTGAAACTAATAAATCGGCCATAAATTGTTGTCCCTTATTAATCATTGATGGCTCTAAACTTGGTGAATTTGTTAAAAATGCCGATAATGTATTTGCACGTTCATTTGCTGTTGGTAATAAAATACTCCAACCTGTTTGTAATACAGCCTGTGCGGCTGTTTGTATTGTTGCTAATATTCCTGGATTACTTGCAAGATTAACGCATTTTTGTTTTATTGAATTTAAAAGTGGACCACTTTCCAATCCAATTGATTTACCATCAAAATTATGTGTTATCATTGCATGTAATTGTAATCGAAGTAAATTTAACGACGAAACAAGTAAACATTCAAGATCCTGTGTCGGTGGTCTTGTCACTGGTAAACCCTCCGATGATTTTGCTAACAATATATCAAGATATTTAAATGTTTCTTCGCATATATCGACGACAAATGCAATTTTCGATGCAACTGACCATGTTGATGTTGACCATGCAAAACTTTGCGTTGGACCACAAACTAATCCAATAATACTTTTTGTTGACAAAGTCGGACACAATGTTGGCTCGGCAACTGTTGCCGATAATGAAGGATCAATTTGTCCAAAATCATTTCTTCCCCAGCCATAAACTAATTGATCTTCAGTTAATACTAAAATATGTCCACTTCCAACTGAAAGATCACGTATTTTTTTATTTTTCATAGCATCAACTATTTTTGGATAACGAATATGTTCCTCATTTGAATGACCAAGTCGATAGCCATCACCTTTGCCCCATGTATAAATTGTCCCGTCATTTGTTAATGCTGCTGAAAATTGTCCACCGCAATATACTTTAATAACTTGTAAATCCAATAGTTTATCAATTATTTTTGGACTTTTTGAACCGTCCGATCCACCACGGCCCAATTTTCCATAATCACCATCGCCCCATGAAAAAACAATTCCCGATTGTGTTACACAAAGTGTTTGTGAATCACCACTACCACATGCAACATGATTTACTTTATGTCCATTTAATGCTGTAACTAATGTTGGTATCATTACATCATCACAAAATCCATGACCCAATCTTCCATAACTACCACGACCCCATGTAAATAAATCACCATTTTTTGTAACAGCCGCCGAATATGTTCTTCCACATGCAATAAAATTAACACCTTTATCATTTAATATTTCAATTTGCATTGGTTCATCTAATGAAATACTATCACCATGTCCAAGTCTACCACCATCTCCATTACCCCATGAATAAACACAACCATCATCAGTTAGTGCAAGATAATGTTTACCATCTGGATGTGATGCAATCATTGTGACAATTTTCTCATGAAATCCATCAATTTTCTGTGGATATTGTATTTCTGAACCATAATACATCATAAATACTTTTCCATTTAATGATAATATCATTAATGCTCTTTCGGTGCATGTTAATTGTTTAACGCCAATTTCAGCAATTGCATCACAATAAAATGGCGATGTATCGCTACCAAATTTTATTCCACCCCACGCTAATACCTCTTGAAATGATGATTGATTTTTACCATCGGCAATAACTGGTGGCAATAATGGCGTTGCCAAACGACTTAAATGACACATTATTATAACAGCTGCTTTTCTTAAATCAACAGCAACACTATCATCATCAGGTAAACGTAAATATTTCAATAAAACTTGACAAGGACCAGTTGTTAAATTATCATCAATTCTTCGTGTTTTTTGCGCAGCAATACTATTTAAACGACGAAGTAATGGAATTAATGGCGCACAACTACCAGGTGGTATTACACGATTATCTTGATTTTTTGATTTTCCACTAAGATGCAATAGAAGAATAACCGAATCCAAAATACTTGACAATGTTCCTTTTTGTGTTGCCAATTCTAATAATAAACAAAGTGCTGTATGCTGATCAGTCACTGGCACTGGACACCATGATTTTCCCGTAATAACTTCTCTGGAAAAAAATTGAATTTAGAAAATTTTTTTTTTTAATATATAGTATATAATTACCCTGTGACAACTTGTCGTAAAAATTTTGCCGATCTTTCAACAACTTCAAGCCAAACTTGTGATACATTATTTTCATCAAATAAAGTTGCCTCCGGTAATGATTGTAGTGCTTCCAATGATTCTGTTAATAATTCACTGCAAATATCAATATCCTCACCGGAACGCCATGCACGTCTTAAATATGCAAAGGAAAAATTTAAAGCAGCACGCGAACCAACACGTGCTAATCCAAGCGATGCTTTTTCCCTCGGTTGTACACTAAAATGAAAAAAAATTATTTTGAATATAATTACAGAAATTAATAAAAAAATATATTAATTACAATTTTTGTTGTTTGATGATAGTTTTTGGTGATGGTAAAGTTTCTCTTATTTCCTGCGGTTTATAACGTGATAAAGCTGTAAAATATCGACGTGCAATAACTAAACGTTGTCGTAATCTTGTTGCCGATAATGTACTATTAGCTGCCTCGTGTATTAAACCTCTTTGTTCTCTTATTGATGAATCAATGCAATTTGATAAATCACTTGATGCTGAAAAATTTAAATATTATGCTAAATTAATTTAAATTATATTTAAATATTGTCCTAAATTAATTTAAATTATATTTAAATATTATCCTAAATTAATTTAAATTTTATTTAAATATTATCCTAAATTAATTTAAATTTTATTTAAATATTATCCTAAATAATAAAGCTGGCACCTAGTTATTAGAACCCATTTAATTTTCGAAATTTTCAAGTTGGTATTGAAAAATTTCAAACATCAAAAGGAAACGATATATAATTCAAACGTTATTAATTAGAAAAGAAATGAATATGAGGAAAAAATATCAAAAATAAATTTAAATATTTTTTAAAATAAATAATGAAAATAATAACAACATTAAAATTTACAATTACAAATGATTCTATTATTATTTATTAATGAATTCATTTAAAAAGGGGGAGAATATTATTGTTTTTTTTAAGCAAATAGAAGTTAAAGAAAATTAATTTAATTTTGAAAAAATTTTACATTCAAATTCTACGAAAAAATTTTTAATTTTTCTCCAGAATAAAATTTAACAGTTCGCAATTTTTTTTTTTTCATTCTTTTGCGAACTAAAGGAAGTTAAAAAAAAACTTGCGACCTCAAGACGAAATTACAAAGTTTTTTCTTTGATAATTCGGGGAAAAAAAATTCCAATTTCTCCCTTGAATAAAATTTAACACTAGTAATAATTTTTTCCATCTTTTTGAGATTCAAAGAAGCTGAAAAAAATATTGCAAGTGTTAAATTTTATTTAAGAGAGAGATTGGAATTTTTTTTTCCGAATCTTCAAGGAAAATTATTTTCGTAGAATTTAAATGGAAAATCTTTTTAAAATTAAATTAATTTTTTTTAACTTCTACTTGCTTTAAAAAAATTATATTCTCCCCCTTTTAAAATGCATTAATTAATAAATAATAATAAAATCATTTATAATTGTAAATTTTAATGTTATTTTCATTATTTATTTTAAAAAATATTTAAATTTATTTTTGATATTTTTTTGTTGTATTCATTTGTTTTCTAATTAATAACCTTTGAATTATATACTTTTCTTTTGATGTTTGAGATTTTTTGGTTGTTTTTTTTTGTTTCAATACCAATTTGAAAATTTCAATAATTAAATGGATGCTAATAACTTTCAGCTTATATAGAAAAAAGAAAAGAAGAAATAAATAGAAAATATATTTACATGGTTGTGGACCCCATAACCAAGAATCAATCATATGTTCCGTGGGAATATTATTTTCAACTAATGATGTTACTCTCGATGCTTCTTCTTCATCCAATTTTTGACATGGTATACAATTACAACCACTTTGTGGACCACAAATTCCATCGCAACAAGGACAAGAAAGTACTCTTTGATTACAATAATAATGTCCACTGTCACCTATAAAATTAGAAGAAAAAAAAAAAATAATTAAAAAACCAATAATTAAATAAATAAGATTGTTTCGACTTAATTATTATTTTTCAATTGTTTTGAATTTAATTTTTTTTATTTACCTTTTTTCGCAAGTACACCAGCAATATTTATTAAACCATCACTAAAATGACCAACAATTTCACCAACACGAACCATTTCATTCCACAATTCTGCCAATCCATCTCGTCGGAAAAATCTTTGTAAATCAGTTTTCAACCATTTGGCATCGAGACGATCTTCTGGTCTCACAGTTATATTTAACTGTTCACTCATTTTTGTTTGCTTCTGTTTTTTTTCAAAATAAAACTCTGAAAAAAAATTATTAAAACATAATTTTTATTTAAATTATTCAATAAACTGTCATTTTGAAAAAACTACTAATGAATTTCTCTTAATTATTATTTATACGAAACAAATAGGTTAAGTTATGTAAATTAAGACTTAAAAACAGAAATATAAAATTCTTAAAATATATATAAAATTATTTATTAAACACAACAAACCTCATTCTGGAAATTCAATTGAATTAGAAAGAAAGACTTTTTTTTTATTTCTAAAAATTTCGTTGAATTCTATTTTTTACGAAATTAAAAACATTTTTACTATTTTTTAGCAGCAGTTTTGTTGCTGACATTAAAAATTGCACAGAAAAATTCGATAATAACAAATTTTACAGTGGGTGTCGGTTGAGAACCAAGATGACGACTAAAGGTACGTTCACACAATACTAAAAACCAAACTCTGAAATGTAGTATCCAAATTTTTGTCCAAAATTCATATTTCAGATATTGTTCTCTAATTGACCGCAGCGCTTATACTTTAGTGGATATTTTTAAAAACAAACTGAAACTGTCATTTAAAACTAATGTAGTTTATTCATGTTTTTTGCTGCATGCATATGGCAGCTGATAATAAAAAATAAATAAAAAAAAATAACTTATCAATATTGAATATAGTTTTAAAAATTCCACAATTATAACCACAATTGCAAAACATTGAATTAATATTAACATGCTGTTGATTTATTTAAAAAAAGAAAAATATCTAATTGTTTAAACATATTGAATAATATTAATGGGTAACGGTCAAAGTGCCCTAAAAGGGCTTGAAATTGAAGAAAAAGCTATTGAAATAACTGATTTTTGGACACATCATTGTGCAAATATTGATGGTTCTAATAATGGTAATTTATCAGTTTTTATTAGTGAACCATCATTACATTCAACACCTGGTTTTGGAAAGCCAACGCCTTTGGAAAAAAATGCAAAGGTTTGTTTATAATAAATATATATTAATTTTTTAATTCTCAAAATTATATATATAATTTATAATTTTAGAATTTAATGCTACATCGTCATCCAAATATTTTAAAATATATCTCATCATGGTCAAAGGGTAGTAAATTTTTTCTCACAACTGAAGAAGTTAAACCACTTGTTAAAGTTATTGGAACAGAGACAACATTACAAATTTGTATTGGTTTACATAATATTTTATGTGCCTTATTATTTCTTCATGAAAAAGCATTGTCATCGCATAATAATATTTGCAGTAGTTCAATATATGTTGCTGCTGATGGTTCATGGAAATTAGGTGGTTTAGAGCATCTTTGTCAATTTTCCGAAATGTCATTAGCATATTTTAGAAAAATTAAAACTTATCGTTATGAAAAAGCAATATCGCCTATTGAAGATGAATTATTAAATAATATTTCATTGGATCCAATAGTTATTGATCGTTATGCTTTTGGAGTATTAGCTGAAGATGTTTTAAGATTAAAAAACGATGGTAAGTAATGGAATATAATTTTTAAATAAAATTAATTCGATAAATTTTGTATTTTTTTATTTTATAGATGATGTACCAGGATTAAAAGAGTTTAAAGAATTTTGTAAACAGGAATTAAAAACTTCTGATACATCTTTAATGGTTACTTTATCATCGTTGCTTAATCATTCATTTTTTTCACACGATTTTATGAAAATACATGCATTTCTTACTGAATTGCCATTAAAAACTGAAATTGAGAAAAAAGAATTTTTTCTGTAAGGAAAATATTTTACTATACATAAAAATCAATTTAACGAGCAATTAATATATATATTTTTTTTATCTTTTTCAGAAATATAGCAGAAAAATTAGAAAGATTTCCAGAAAAAATTGTAGCCGAACAATTGGGAAAATTACTATTATCCAGATTAGTTTTATTAGATCCAACAGCGCAAGCAAAACTTTTGCCTTTTATTTTAAAACCAAAAACTAATCAAGGTAAAAAAAATAGTAATTAATAAAAATTTCAATATAAAAATCTAAATTTTTTTCAGATGATATTAAAGACCAAGGACTATTTACAGTACAAACATTTAAAGAACATTTAATTCCAAAATTATTGCAAATGTTTTGTGTACGTGATGCATCAATTCGATTAATACTTTTATCGCATTTAAATTTATTTATAAATGTCTTTGAAAAAGAAGAATTAAAAACATTAGTATTACCGGAACTTCTTGTGGGAATAAAAGATACCGATGATTATCTTGTTAGTACAACATTACATGCACTTGCCGATCTTGTTCCTATTTTGGGTTCAACAATTGTTATTGGTGGTAATAGAGGGAAATTATTTGCCGATGGACGTCCTATGAAAATACAAAGGCATAAAAAATCAGGTATAAATTTAAATCGAATAACTGATTCATCAATGCTTTCATTACCAGAACGACCATCACCAGATGGTGGTGAAGATAAAGAGGAAATAAATTTTTCTTATACTGAAGAAGAAAATTGGTCTGATTGGGAAACACAAGAAATTGAAAATAATGAAATTAAAAATTTAGAATTTATTATCAATAGAAATAAAGAAACAAATGAAAATATTTATCAATCAAATGAAACTGAAATTATTGATAAAACATTAAAATCAACGAATATAGAAAAAAAATGTAAATATTTAAAAAATTCTATTTCCGATATAAATGAACTTGATATAAAAAATTCAAAATCAATTAATAATGATAATAATGATGATTTTGATTTTTTCACCGATATGGAGCCTGTTATACAAAAACCTCAAATTATACAAATAGATAAAGTAGTTGAAAAAAAAACTATTTTCGACGTTAAATTAACAAATAGTAATTCAACAATTGAAGAAGATAATGGTTGGGGAGATGATTTAAACGATTGGGATATTGACAATGTGGAATTAAAAGAGTGATAAACAGTGTTGTAAATATAGAAAAACTGATGTTACGCACATGTTGTGTATTTTTATATATATATCAATTATTTTTCTCTTCTAATTTGAAATATGCAATCTTTAATTCAGTTTTCATTTGTTGCCATTTCAATTATGTACATAAAATTTAATTTAAAAAAAAAAATTTGCAAAGATAAGTTTTTCTGAATTTGATATTATATAAAAATGTACCTTTCATTGCCATATAAATTTTCTGTATATAAATATATATGCACAATTGTAATATATTTTTCATTGTTCTCGAAATGTATATATATAATACGAGGAATTTTTATTATCTTTTGTATAATGTAAAAAAAAGTATTTTACTGAAATTGTTCGAAAATCTGTTGCGTAAAACGTTTAGATTTAATTTGTTTAATAAAATTATTATAATGTTAAAAAAAAAACTTAATTTCTATTTCTAAATTCAAAAAAAACAAATTTTAAAATAATTGAATTAACTGGAATTAATTCACCTGAGAGAGCCAATCAGAATTCAAGTATTTAAAAGTGACCGCACCCTGATGGACAAATTCAAAAAAAAGAGAGGCAACAAGTTGTAATGTCAAAATTTTTAGGTTATATTATTTGTCAAAAAAGAAGTTTTATATACCTTTTTTTCACAGCTGCCACATTTATTTTCGATTAATTATATAAAACAGTAATTAATTATTCAAAAAGAGGTTACGTTTAAAAAAAAATACAGTATAATTATTATTATATAGTTATGGTTATAGTTTTATTTCTCTTCGTGGTTTATTTTTTACGCTTCCATTGTTTTTAATTAATTGAAATCTAAAAAGGATTAATTACTTTTTCAATTTTATTTTAGGTTTTTATGTTAATTTTACAAACAGTATATAGGTATTATATCATACGTCATCATACGAAAAAATAATACGTGGATGGAAATTACAAATAAAATAAACAAAATATTCGTGGAGTTAAAAAAAGAAAATTACAACGTCACTTGACGATAAGGTAAATTTCCCTAATTAATATAAATAGAAAAGAAAATTTTCGAATTATTAAATATAAATAAAAACAAATATAAAGTATATGAAAATTATAAATTTATTAGAGATAATAATAATTTTCTTAACAAATATTTTAGGTTATAAAAAATATATTATTGAATAATGAAAAACAAATTTTTTGCAATTAATTTAAAGTATTGAAAATTTAAATATGAATTTATCATTTATTACTTAATGAAATATTTATTAACATTTTTAATTTTTTTAATTTCATGATTTGCAGAAATTTGTATTTGCCAACGGGTTTTTATTTATTCTTTTTTTTTTTTTTTTGTTAATAAAAAATTAAGAAGACTTGCGCTTATAATAAATTTCTAACAACGCATGCGTTTGAATATTTGCCGCAAGAATAAAAACTTTTCAATCTATTATATGACGCGCTTCTGTAAACGTCACTTTTTAAAAAAGAAATTGCATTTTAACACAAATTTTCTTTAACAATGAAAAATTTGAAATTTAAAAATCAAAGTGCATTATTATATTCTTTTATTTGAAAATTATCCTCTTAATTATTCACAAAATAATTTCCATTATTATCAAAATATTTATTTTTTAAAAATTGCAATTTCATTTATGATTTTAAAAAACAATTTCATTTAAATAAATACTATTTATTTAATTATTTATTTTTAATTTAAAAAAAAAAAAATTCTAATAAAATGTTTAATAATATTCTAAATCTTTAATTCAAAAATTTAAATTACATTAAAATGTTAATAGTGTTTTATGTGTGAAATATGAAATTCGTGATAAGGATAAATTTCTGAGATCTTAATTATATTTTTTATGCATATATTAAAAAAAAGGGTGCCAATTTTTGTGTGAATAATTTCAATATTGTTTAAATAAGTCGAGAAATAAAGGAATAATGTCGTTTTTTACCTGTTGTTTTCACCGGGTAAGTCAATCGAATTGTCAGCTTTTTTTTTTTTTTTACTTTAAATCCCTAAACAAAAATCACAAAATTAATTTATAAAAAAAATGAAATTAAAGGAAATTAATTTTTATCTATAATAATTAGTTTATTTTATAAAAAATGAAATTAAAGGAAATTAATTTTTATCTATAATAATTAATTTATAATAATAATTGTAATTATGAATTTATTTTCCATAGGAAAAAAATGAACCGGAAAAAAAAAATTCAATCCTGTTCTATATGGAGTATCACCAATAAATTAAATTTGAATCTTATATTTATATATATAATATTGGGTTTTCTATATAAAAATCATTTATAAAAAGAAAGGGGAAAAATGAGAATATCTTAATTTAATATATATTGGTCAGTAAAAGTTTGTTTTTAGCCCTGACCGTAATTTTCAAAAGCCTCAATGTCAACACGCATGAATTCCTCGAGACGTGAAAAAACATATATTTAATTTTTTTTTTTTTCCCCACAAGAATATGTAAATTGTATATAATAGAGGGGGGGAGAACATAATTTTTCCTCTCGCTCTCACCCCTATCGTTCAGGTGGCAAAATTGCTAAACAGAAAAATGATGTTGTATTTGTTTGGCCGCAAATGGTTGTAAAATACACTTCTTCATATATAAAAGAGAGAAAGAGAGAAAGAGAGAGAGAGAGACGTGATGAGACCGTATAACACACATTAGGGGTGAATGGATACATTTTCCGCTACTTAACGGATTTTATGCCCACATATCAAAGACTTTTGTGTCCTTGCTCTAATCAGTATTGATATATTAATAGATAAAGCCTTTCTTCTTCTTCATTTTTAGCAATAATTTATAGATATATATTAAATAAATGAAAAATTTTTTTATTAAAAATTATATTATATAATTTTTTTTTTCTTTTTATTTTCAGAGAAATCGTAGACAAGACGAATCTCAAATTCCAATAATGGCGAGAGAACCACCGGAAATCTCATGGGAAAATACATTGGGTTCACCAAATGGTGTGCCATTTGATGAGGAGACAAAAATTTTACTTCGAGATTGTTTAAATATTTCTATGCCACCACAAATTACATTGACCGAATTAATGAAACGAAGTGATGCTTTTCCTATTCCATTTCCAATTAATAGTCCTCGATGTTTTGCTCTAAAGAGTCGAGGAATTAGTACTGATATTTTGGAGGTTTGAATTTTTTTTTTTCTATATTTTTCCCGATTTTTTTCTTTATAGAAAATTTGTTTTCAAAAATTGAAATAAATTTAATATTAAATTATTTTATTTAGATGAATGCAAATTCGGTGTATCCTATAATTCACGAGGCAATGCTTCCATTAATTGCTGGATGGTTGAAATATAAACGACAATATGGTACGGCTGTTGAAAAATCTGTATACAAAAATATGGGCCTCATTCAATTTATTCATCGGCTTTTGATAAAGAGAGCAATTTGTTTCTTAAATCCAAGTGATTCTTATAAATTGATTGATAATAGTTCAGGAGAAGGTGGTTGGGAGCATATTGGCACTGATAATGAAAAAGATCCGCTGGTATTTATTTAATGTGGCAAATTTATAATAAAAATATTATCCTAAAAATTGATTTTACAAAAAAAAAATCAATTTTTGAAAAATAAAATTCTTTTTTCAGGTCCTGGCAAAAGTTTTATCATATGACGAGATAAAATTATCGGCAATGATGGTTATTTCATCTCATACTGAATTTATCAATGATGGTTCGCGAGAAAATAGAGGAGTCGTCACTCCTGATCCGGATTCAATTCAACCGAGGGGAGTTATCTTAGGACCCGTAGGAAGCAGGTATATAATTTAAATCAAATTTTTTGAATTTACAAACTTAATAAAAAAAAATCCATTTTTTAGATTCGAGAGACCTCAAACAATGGAATATCAAGATATCTTAATTACACCTCTTCAGAATAATATGGACAATGGGTAAAATTAATTTTCTTATCAAATTTATAATAATCTGCAAAATGCAAACTAGATTTGAAAAAAAATAAACTATTTTTTATCTAAAAAAAAAAATAGAGAGAAAATGAACAATTAATTATTTGATATTATATAGTTATGGTCCAGCAGTTGATGGAACATCAGAGGAAATACGTGGACTTCGTGTATTATGGGCAAAATTTTATGGTGTAGAATATCATCCACTATTTGAAGATGGAATTCGACGTGTGAGATCAAAAGATAATAAAAGATATATTCTTCTAACAAATCAATTAATTTTTGATATTGAAAATTATATGAAGAGAACATTATTATCGGTTGAGATAATTTTACTTGAAGCAAATACACGCGCTGAAAAACAAAATACAACTGCCTTTATACACGTTGTTGGATTTGGTCTTGGTAAATTTGACAAAAGTACATTTCGCCAATTGCTTTTATTGATGTTTTATCAATGTTCTTTTTTTAATTCTCTTAATATTGCTGTTTTTTTTTAATTTCTACAAAAGAAGTGAAAAGAAAATTTTGATCTATATGTTTGCATGGCGACTTTTTTTTTATGGTAGAAAAAAAATTCGGTGATTAAAAAAAAACAATTTTTTTTCAGGAGTCTGGAAAGTTATGCAAGATCAGGAAATATATTTTTTGAAAACATTTGAAATTGCTATTCGCAAAATGAATAAAAAATTGAAATTTGTATCCGATATAATGTTTTCGTATTTTAGATCACAAAAATGTGGCGATGTTGGAAATGGTGACTATCTTGGAGGTATGATAAAAAAAATAAAACTTCCTTTTTTTTGAATATAGATTCTAATTTTTATTTTTCTTTTAGATATAAAGATACATTTTGCATTAAGAGAACCTCATAGTAGATTAATGAGATCTGCGGACGCTAATAAACTTTTAGTTGTTACCTATGCAGCTGATGGTAATTCTTTGCCAGGTATAAAAAATTTTTTTGAAATTATTTCTCTTAAATTTAAAAATATGTAAATTTTTTTTTTTTAAATAATAGGCAATTGTTTTTGGAATGGTTATTTGGCATCGAGTGGAGATCCAGCGGCAGCTTGCAGCACTCAAATAGCAGAACTTCATACAGCAAAAATTAATTCAAAATTGTGCGGTGCCGCTTTACATATAGTTTCTCCGGAACATGGAATTTTACACATTTCCGATTATGCGAAACTTCATCTTGCTTAGGTATCTTATTGTTTTATTTTTCATTAAAAAGAAAAAAAATATTCAACGATATTTTCTAAAATTTATACATTTAAATAAAATAAACATTGATAGAATTTCAAAATAGATAAGGAATTCTGAAATTTCCTTTTCCTTCCTTCAAATATATTTTTTTTAATTAAAATAATTTAAAAACTTTTTTTAATATCCAAATTAAAAATTGTATCTTTTTTTCTTCTTTTTTTATGAATGAAATTAACTATTTTGGAAATATTTATCTATAGGAGAGAATGAGCCCTTTGGGCCCAGGTCAGCGAAGACTTTCACGATCACCACGTAGTCAAAGAAGTAGAAGTGCGGACGTTGATTGTTTAAAAAAATTCGCGGAACGTAAATTATATGAAGAAAGAAAATTGCCAGACGTTTGTGATTATAATAAATTTGATTCAACATCGCGACTAATGCCATTGTCGAGCGATGATAATGATGTTATTATTAATCGTCCAAAATCATCAACTCGCGTTTACGTTGAGTTTCATCAGAAAAATGATTTTGAACCTGAACGAACGAAAATTCAGGATTCAAATCGATGGCTACCGGTTATTAATCGAAAAGTATGTCCCGAAAATATTGATGAACATAAATACGCTAAACAACCTGCAAGTCGTAGTTTAAGTTCCGAAAGTGGTTATTCAAGGCAGGACAATTATTTTCGTGAGAGAAAAAATTCACAATTTGAACTTTATGGAAGGGAAACTTTTGAAAAAACAAGGTAAAAAAATGCTTTCCATTAAAATTATTTTTATTCACAATTTAAATTGTTTTATGAATTAAATAAGAAATATTTTTTATTTTAACGTTTTCCTTTTTAATAGATGGTTATTGTCGGAGATTTCTACTTCTAAATATATTCCCTTGCCATTGGCAAGAAAATACAGTGAAGGAAGTAGTTCAAAACCAATTTCTAATCGATGGATGACATTTACCAGATATCCATCACCATCTCCAATTGTACGAAGAAATCCAGAAAGAAGATCTTTCAATAGTGATACAAAAAGAATGGAAAATAATTGGTCGGATAGGGAAAATCCAAAAAAACGCTCCATAACCGAATATAAAGCAGTTCAAAGTAATAAAAATAGAATTTTTTCTATTTTTCTATTTATTTGTTATGAAATTAAATTTATTTTCACAAATTTTCAGTTATGAAACAGCCGAGTATCGATTCAGTGAGATTAAATCAAAGAATACGTGAATTGTACGATATTAAAACTGAAAATGAATGGCCAAAAAGATTAAAATCATCATTGGGTGAAAATAATTTATGGATAAGCAAAAGTAGCAGCGAAGAAGAAAAATATCCATCACAAAATAATAGTCAAGAATTAGAATTTAATGATAGAACAAAAAAATTAGTGCAACATAAAAAAAGTACTGATTCATCATTTGAAATTGATTGGGATGAAAGATTGAGAAAATTTCATGAGAAATTACGTTTCAGTGAAGATTTGACTATTGATAAAAAAGTACAAGCTCGAAATCGTACTTATTCAGATGACTATGATGATTACAGTAGAAGACAATCAAATACCGAACATTTTGTATGGGAAATTAATTTTTTGAAAAAAAAAATTTTTATTAATAATTAAATTAAATTTTTTTTTCAGGATAAAGGTATTAAGAGAAATTCGGATGCAAGTTCGCGTTCAAGAGTGAGTTACGCTGAAATTGATTTTAGCGATTTAAGTAAAAGAGGATCAAGAACAAGTGACGCAAGTTATGCGAGTATAAGTACCTATAGTCCAAAAAGAGGAAGTGTCGAGAGTAAAATATTAACACAAAAGGAATTAATTTCACAAAGGGCTTTCAATAAATCAGAAGAGAGAAGACCAAGTACTCCAGTGCCACCAAAAAAAATGAATTCACCTCTCAATTCCGAAGAATCATTAAATCAACGTGGTAAGAAAAAAAATAGTACAAGATATAAAGTTTACCTCACATAATAATTGTAAAACAAAATTGCGGTACAATTTATTTTTATAAGAAGGTATACAATATTTTTTTTCCATTTTTTAATTTTCAACTCTTTATTTTATTTTTTTCTTCTTAAAAAAACTTTTTCTCCAATTATTTGCTTTTGTTACAAATTTCATTTTCTTTTCATTCACATTTGCAAATTCGTTTGAAAAAATTTTTAGTCTCTTTTTTGACATTTAATTATTAGGAACACAGAATTAGTAGATAAAAAAAATTATAAATAGTTTTATGTTCCTTTATTGTGAAAATTGTTATCAAGTTTCATGATAAAAAAAAAAAAATAAAAATAACGTGTGGGTGAGACTGATTTCTAAATTAATATATTATATGTGTAGGTGTGCTTGTGTGTAAATTCTCGAGAAAAAAAAAAAAGTAATATATATTTATATAATAATTGAGATTTATGTACAAAGCAAATAATTACCTTCAAAGTTAAAAATAAATTACTGCTCTTAAAAAAAATTTTATCCCCTTATTTTATTTATTAATTACAAAATTTTCAATTTTAATTAAAATTATTAATTAACAAAATAAATTTTATGATTTATCACTAGATAGATTACCATCACTGAGAGTTTCTTTTACAAATGAAATTTTCACTCGTTTACGAACTGAATTTGTAACGATATTATTTAATGAAGAATTTTGTGAATTTACTAATCTAGACGTTGGTAAATTATTATTATTATTATTATTATTTATTCTTGAATCTAATGGTAAAATTGATGATTCTTCATTGTCATCTTCAATTTTTAATCGTTTTTTCATACAATTTTCATTTTGCAAATTACCAATAATTTTCACTAATTGTGAATTATTTGAATTTATCGATGAACGATTTGATTTCGTGAAATTTGTTATTTTTTGACCACGAATCCAATCGGTGAATGTATTACTATTATTATTGTTATTATAATTATTTTGAGAATGTCCTGAATTTTGAAATGAATTATTATTATTATTATTGGAACGATTATGATTTAAAGGTGCAATCATTAATAAATTATTTCCATTTTTATCACAAATTTGTGATGTATGTCGTGTTGCAGAACTAAAACTTACTAATGGAAATGAATTAACACTTTCGTTTAGTAGTTTATCAGTTTTTAAAATTGATTTTTGATTATTATTTTGACTGAGAAAATGCGATTCGCATTTTATTCTCATATCCTGTCTTTGTTTTTGATGATTATGATGATGATGATTTGAACCATTTCGTTCCTGGGACTTTTGCCATTCTAAAACGTTGCTCAGGAGTCTAATGTACCTGAAATTTTTTTAATTTGTAAAAAAAGGTTTGACTATTTTAATTATAATAAAAATACTCACTTAATTGACATTCTTAAAATTTCATTTTTTGATAGTTTCTTGTCAGGTGGATGAGTTGGGACCAATTTTCGAAGTTCGGCAAAAGCACCACTCACATTTTGTTGCCTCCAACGTTCTCGGCTATTTGTAAATAATTTTCTAACACCTTGACCACCTGTTCTGGTTGTTGGTGAACTTAAATCTAAATTACCCGATGTTGAAATAGTTTCGATCTGGAAAATGAAAAAAAATTTTTTTTTTCCATCACTAAGAAGAATATTTACCATTTTTTTTTTTTTTTTGACAATTCGAAAATAAATTATTACCGAATTTGATCGAATTTTTCTCCTTTTATTTTGATCTTCATCGTCGTCCGTATCGTGTGAATAAAATTCATCCGACATTGTGGCTTCTTCTTCTGTGTCCCTAAGTGTTCCCGGTGAATCTCCAGGTTCTTCTGCCAATTCTCCGTCGCCCGAAAGAAACGATTCGGCTGGAGAACTACGATCTGCCTCCACTGTTCCATTTCCGGTTCCATTGTACGTTAACATTGGCTAAAAAAAAAATTCAATTCCCAAATATTTTTTTCTAAATTTCCATTTTTTGGGAAAAATTTTCTATTATTAGAGTAAATGAATTTTTTCACTGTTCCGAAATTTTTTTCAACTTCTTCAGGAAATAGTTAATTAAAACTAACTAAAACACATTCAACTATTAATTAAAACACTAATTAATTTGAAAAAAAACTAATTTTTGTTCTCACCATTTTTTTTATATAAAAAAAAAAAAATTCTTGAGTAAGACAGAAAAAAAAGTAAAGACACTGTAAAATTTTTTGATTTTTTTTTTTTTTTCTTTGCAGTTCCCAGCAGAGTTAGATGGAAACCGTAAACTATTAATATTTATGTGGTCATTTAGAAAAATTGGAAAAGCAACTGTAAATGTCAACTGTACTAATTTGACTGACAGAAAATCGAGAAACCCCTGGAAGATCAAAATTTCCTAGGGCGGAGCACAACATGAACGTGGGTGGAGTTCATCTCTGGACCATCCCATATCAAACATATATATATATTCTCCTCCAGCATCCGTTCTTCATCTCAAAAAAAAAGAAATTTTCGAAAATTGAATTTTTCATTTCAAAAAAATGAATTTAATTAATTTCAAGGTCTATTTTTAATTTCAATTTTAATTTTGAATTTGAAAAATAAATGTCAGTATAATTTTAATAATTTTTCGCATCTTTTTTTTTTGGCATTTAGTAATAAAACTAGATTTTTTTAATAATTATTTTATTTTTTTACATTTTGTTTTTAAGAAAAATATTTGAATTTATTTTCTATAATTTGATTTTTTATTTACTTTTCAGCTCTATTGAAAAGAATATATATTATTTGAAATATCAAAATTTTAAGTGCGTCTATAAAATTGATGTTTTCTGATGAACTTCCGGGAAAGGAGAACAAAAGGACAAGAAATGGGGAGAAAAGACAATATTTAAATTACATTGGAAATCTCAAGTTTCTACAAAATGAAAATTAATTAAAACGGATTATTATTTCTCAATTACTGAATTTTAAATGGATAATTAAATTACGTATAGTAAAAAAAAAAAAAAAAGTCTCGAGAACGCATTTTCCCAAACAATCAAATTTCGATTAAGGTATTGTTGTGGTAAGAGCGTCGAATATAATAAAAAAAAAAGGAAGTGCGACCCTAGTTTAAATCTAAAACTATATGTATCATATTAAGGGTCGATGAGATGACGATCCCATAGATATGCAGTCAAGTGACCACCAGTCACGTGTTAGTTTATTGTGACACTCGAAGGGGGTGCTAAGGATTTTCCGCAGTGATGAGTCTTTGAGGGTGTCATCCTGTGAAACCGATTAAATTATTTCTATTGAATCATTGACAACATTAACAAACAATCTGCGTGGGAGCAGGTCCCAGGATTATTATTCAAAGTATTTTTTAATTTCTTTTGCAATTTTTAATTTATTTTTTCGATTTATTTTATTTATATTTTATTTATATTTTATTTATTTTATTTATATTTTATTTTATTTATTTATATTTAAAAAGAAAAATTTGATATTATCATATCCGATATGATATTTGACTTCTTTTCCGGATATTAAAAAGGCTTTTATTATGACGCTAATTAAAAAAGGTGTATATTTAATCCTTTACAGTTTATGGACTTAAGAATATTATAATCCTCTCTTTCTCTTTCATTATCGTCGATTTGTTAATGAAATCTGTGAGAATTAATTTTTTCATGGAAGGCCAAGACGCGAACAACTTGAACTTGTATTTTAAAGAGAGAAGGGTGTAGAGAGAAATTCACTGTTGCCAGAATCCAGAGAATTGAAGGGCGGAGCATCCCTTATCAGTGGATAACACTCCTCTCCCACAAAGTAAATATAAAATTCATAACTGCTTCTATTTCCTTCCACCGTCAAAAAAAACAAAAATATAGTAAAATTTTCAAACTATTGTTCATATTTTTAGTTTCAGTTTATTTAAATAAATTATTAATTTTTTTTTAATTTGAAAAAATTATAAATTTTTGTTTATTTTAAAGAAACGAAAATTTCTTATCTTGGAAAAATATTTCTATATTTATCATATTTTGAGCTTCCAGATGGTTTCAAAAGACAAATTTACCAAATTTAATTGTATTCTTCGAATCTTATCGCATATTTTTTGTGTCTCAGGAGAATTTTGAAATTTTATTTCGATTTTTGGTTCCGCTAAAAGTGAGATAATTTTTTTTTTAAATAAATTTCAATAATTAATGATAAAATCGAAAAAGTTGAAAATAATTTATTTATAATAATTACAAATGAATTAGGATAATTTTATATTTTTTTTTACTAGTATTCAATAAATATATATATATGTGTGTTTCTCGAGTGAAAACTAATAATGGGATTAATACCAGGGTGGCTGGTCGTTGATGATAAGGAAAATTGATTTCTCCCCTGAATTTCTACCCCTTCTTGTTCCTACAATCCGTTTGACGTTCATGGGACACTGCGCAAACCAAACTTGGCACGCCTCCTTTTTTCCATTGACACACCCTTAACAATAATTTGTATTTGTGATAAAAAAAAAAATTCGCACATACAACATTATCAATAATAGAATCTAAAAAAAAAAAAAATTTGCCCTTTTTTTAACCCCTTGATAGTCGTTTCAATCTATTTATGAGAATTAAATTTTTAACTCCGAAAATTTCATTTCTCAATGTGATAATAATTTTATTATTATTTTATTTATAATCATTTTATTATTTCCTTACACAATAATTCTGGAAATTAATTAACTAATTTAATAAAACAAGTTGATTAATTTGTTTCAGAATTAATTGATTAAAAAAAGCATAGTGTTACTTATTTTCTATTAAAATAATTATTTTATTTAGTTGGTAAAATTTCCCATCGAAGATCACAAAGTTAAATGATTTAGTCGCTCTGATTCCTAGTTTTTATTCATCGTCACGATCATATTTTAACCACAATTCCCACAACCCCTGTGGGAAAATACAGATTCAACATACTTAAACGATTCTCTTTTTTTTTTAATCTTTACTTTTATTTTCAAATATATTAAAGGCAAATTGTACAATAATAGAGAATAGTAATTAAAGTATATTAAAAAAAAATCTAAAATTGAAATTTAGATCATATTTTTTTTTTCCAAAATTTACTTAAATAACTATAATTTTTATTGCTTCAGGTTTTTTTTTTAATATTTGCGACACTAAAAATTAAGTACATTTTAAAAAACTCGACACTGTAAATTATGATTTAAATTGATCGTAATCAGACACGTGGCTAGATAATATGCGTTAAGCCGATATTTACGATACAATTATTAGGGTCGGGTGGCACAAATTTTTTTTCCAAGTATTAAAAATTTTCGACTTAAATTTTTCAAAATTATTTTATTTATTTACTATTTTTTTTTACAATTTTGCTATTTTTTTTATCGTATCTACTATTTTATGATTACAGAAAATAAAATTTGTGAATAAAAAAAGAAAATTGATTTATTTCGTTATTCCGAAATTATTATTTTATTTCTGAATCTGTTCTTAAAAAATGACTTTAACTATATATACGCTACAAGAGTGGCGAATTTTAATAATATTTAAATTTAGATTTAATATTTAATATTTGTCTATATAGATAAAAATTCTTGTAATATATTTATCGCAATAGTTTAATTAACATTAACAGTCTTTTGATTTTTTTTATCTATATACATTTTTCTATCATCTAAAAAATATTTTACGTGATATAAAAATATTGAGAGAAAGATTTATTAATTTTATGTCACAGTGTGATTTTTTATTTAAAAAATTAAAAATTTATTTTCGATTTCATGATTTTATAAAAAAAAATGTTTCACAATTCTCTGTGCTTTAGTTGTATTAATTTTTGGAAATTTTAAATAGAAAAATATAATTACATAAAGAGAATATATATATATATATAATATTAATAATTAGAATACTGATTTCCATCGACAATACCCTGCTTTAAATATCACAATATCCGATTGTGGACAATATTTATAATACTACTAAGTTTTTTTTTCTTAAGAAAAAGAAAACTAGTTAAAAATCTCACAAATTTTCTAAAAAAAATAGAAAATTCTTTCATTTCTCTCCCAATCTAAATTATATAAAAAGTTACATTTTTTTTTTTAAACTAAAATATTTTTTGTTTTTTTTTCTAATGAAAAGCAAATAATAGTATTAATAATGGTACAGCGATAACGCAAAAAATATATATGGAAGTTCTTGGCTCACACGTTGATGTGACAACAAATTCTTCATTCCATTGTGAATCATTAACACCAACTGGCAATTCTAAAACAGTTCGTTCGCTACTAAAAAAATTAAATGGCAACGAACATTCACTGGTTATATTTTCACATGCATGCACTGGATTCGATGTATTGTATGCAGTTTTAAGAAGATCAAATTTTATTCTCAAATAATTTGTTTGCACTTCATTTTCTGAATTAAAAACAAAAAAATAATATCCATTTGCTGGAACTCTGTAAAATTATAATTAAATATCAAAATTTTTATAAATATTTTTTGAAATAATAATGGTAATTAATTAAAATAATTTTTTTATTAATTATAATTTTCAAGTATTTAAAATTTAATTTTTAAAAATTTTTCACAAACCTATAAGTCACAGTATTTGCAATTGATGCTGTATTATGTTCACTTTCATGTTGTGGTGTACACATTCGATGTGGTGTAAGGGGTAAATTTAATATTAATCCCTTACATTCCAAGAGTCTCTCCTCGGAACTACTGAATGAACTCCAAAATTCAGAATTACTTCTATCGTTCAATGTTGTTTCATTAACTGTTCCTCTATCATCAGCAATTCCGTCTGGCGTTAATAAACCCTGAAAAAAAAAAATTATTAACAAAAAATTAAATTAAAATTATATTTACTTAATTACCTCTTCAATAGCAGCATCATCGTCTTCGTCATTTCGATTCAATTCATCATGAAGTGGTGACGATAAAATAAAATCTCGTTTTTTTCTTTTTTTTTCATTTTCAATTTTTGTTGTACTTTTTAATTTCATTGCAAGTCTTTGCTTCAATTTTTCATCATCAATTTCATTTAATAATTGTTGAAAAAGTTTCTGTCCCTTTTCACCTTGGGAAATAATTTTTCTCATAACTTCACCAAAAACTTCAACTGAACTTGGTTCATTATCATCAATATTTTCCATTTTTCCTCGATTTGTTGAATCGTTAATTTTATCATTAGTTTTAATTGATAATTGCTCATTAGAAATCATTGAATTATAATTTTCATTTGATTTATTTAATTTTTCGATATTATTATTATTATTTATTAAAGTATCATTAGAAATTTTATAATTTCTTTCATTATTAGATTTAGTTAAATTTTCATTTTTATTAATTTCAATTGACTGTCGTTTTTGATCTAAAATATCAAAAAGATCCCTTGGATCAAATTCTTTAATTGCCGGTGGTTTATCAATATTATCACTTTCACGATAAACACCTTCATATTTATGATAAGAATTTTCCTTTTGTTTATTTTTCATTTCATTTGTTTTTTTAGTTAATAATGCCAAAATATTTCTCATTGCATTTGCATCTAATTCATGACTCGATGGATTATAATTAATTGAACTGAATGTACGATTTTTATGTGATATTTTTGAATTATGATGATGAAATTTTACATCTTGATGAATTTTTGTCATTTTATCGGGCGCATTACTTGGACTTCGATCGTTCTGAAATTAATAAAAATTAGCTTGAAAATTATTACAAAAATTTTTTTTTTTTTTTTAAATTCTTTTATACCTGAATAGTTCCATTTATTTTTAATAATCCTTTTTCTTCTGCAACTTGAAGTAATTCTTCAAGTTCCTCGCTACTGTCATCGCCAATAAATGTACATTCATGTAAATGTTTGTGACCTCTTACAATTGTTAAAGAAGCACCAGGCCATCTAAAATTAATTTTATATTAAAATTTGAGATATGAAAATTCATTTTAAAATAGATATATAAATAAAAAAAATATTTGATAAAATTATTTTGAAAATTTTTTTTTGTCGCCTTTTTTTTTTTTTTAATTGAATTTTCTCGAATTCTACCTTACACAAGTAGAAACAGTCACACTTGAACCTTTTAAAAGGTAAAATCCCCAATATTCCTTCATATCGTCTTCCAAAACTAAATGCCTCGTCATTGACACTGGAATTAAATCTCCCTTAATGTTTGGCTCATTGCTCATTAAATAGGCATTAAAAGTTGTATTAACCCTGACCACCTGTCTCTGTAATTAAAAAAAAAGGATTTTAATTTCAATTCATTTTTTTTAATTGTAAAAATATAAAAATATTGTACCTGGCACCATGTAGTGGATATTTTTCCATCGATCAGTCTTTGATCAGAAATTGTTAGCGGATAAAGTTGAACCGAATAAACACGATATCTTAAATAAATGGGACCAGCTACCAAAATTGCCGGAAGAAATGTTCCAAGGACACATAAACGAATGAGTCTCAATGGTACCTTGAGCTCCAATTTCCGGCATTGCATTTGTCTCCTTCTATTGACTCCTTCCTCTGCAAAAAAAAAAAAGTCGAACAATAAAATTTTTTTATTATTAACACTATTTCCTGATTTTTTTTTCAATCATTATTTTATTAAAAATTAGTTGTTTATATTAATTTAATTATTTTAAACTATTTTTAATTATTTTCAATTATTTTTAATTAGTTTTAATAATTTAAAAATAATTATACAAAATGATTTAAAATAATTAATAATTATTTAGTATGTATTAAAATTCTTTTTATCAAATTTTTTTTTTACAATTATCAGCGACGAATAAAATATTAAAATTTCTAATTCATGTCGATCGTATTTGAATCGCAAAATAGTTAATTAAATCCTATTGTGCTATGATTTTGCATCAACTTCATATGCTTTTTAAATGACGCAGTGACAACAAAGATGACTCGCTAATGACTAAACTTCAATAAAACTACGAAGTTACAAATATTAATATAAAAGGTATATAAAAAGTTTTTTTTTTTTTTTCAAATTACTCCAAACAATATTTTGTAATCAAATATTTTGTGAGATATCAATCTTGAAAAATATAATTCCAAAATACGTAACAAGATTAATAAGTTCTTTTTTTATATAATTAATTATCATTTAAGATTTTATGATAATTTTCCCAAAAAGGACACAAAATTTTACATTTACTATTTAAAATTTCAAAAATTTTAAGGAATAATAAAAATAAAATTTATTTAATCAATTTTATCTGTACTTATCTTTTTACATCTTTATGTAATCTATTTATGAGTCTACATGTTTCTTACTTATTAATAATTTCTCTCTATATAGATTTGCATGAATTATAAAAGTTGAGATACAAAGGAAAATTCCAGAAATTTCAAACTCTATCAAGAATTTTCAAGAATTATTTTCAAAAAAATTAATTCGCAAATTAATAAATTCATTAATAATAATAATTGATTTTTTATTTTTTGTAAAAAAAAAATAAAATGCCAATTAAAATTTATCCTTTAAAACGTATTTTCAAATAAAATAAAATTCTTGAAGGTCCATTATCGATAATAATTATACTCTTTTTTTTTTTTTGGATTTGATAAGAATTTCTTTTACCTGGTGACATTATCTTAGATGCCTTAAAAAGATATATAAAATTAATTAATTGAGAATGTTAATAATTTTGTTATAATTTTCATTATTTATTGATCTTATTCAAAAAAATTAATTATTTTAATAAATACAAAAAAAGAAAAATGTGAAAAAAAATGTACATTAAGAAATTCATAAGGAAAAAAATTCTTTCTCACACATTAATCGATTTATTCTTATCAATTCGTATAATTTAGTAAAGAGAGAAAAAAAAACTAGAGTCTAAAAGCTTTGAACTTTAACACGTGACTTTTTAACGTTTACAAACAAAATGAGAGATAGTGTGATAGAAGATGAAAAATCTTGAAAATAAAAAAAAATTGTTTATGATTTAAAAAAAAAAAAATAAAATTTACATTTAAATTTTATTCACAAAATTGAGTGAATTTTTACTAAATTTATTTTATTGACTTTTTCAAATTTCAATAATAAAATTTTATTAATTCATCTTTTTTATTTATAATTAAAAATTTTCCATTGTTTCAAAGATCATTATTCTTTGTCAATAGCGAACTTGGTGTCAAGCCAAGTTTAAATTTACCATTGCACTTTCTACGATGAAACTAAATATTTAAAATTTTTATTTATTTTTTCTTATTCAATTTTAAGAATATTAATTATATGAAAACAAAAAAAGAAAATTAAGAGAATTAAGCTCTAAATGCTTACCAAAAGAAAATTGTCTCAATGGTGTTGTTGACATTTTGTAATTAATTAAAAAAAAAGCAACTTAAATACCCTTTCTGTTAATTAAAATTTAATTAATCAAATTAAAAATAAAATTTTTATTTTTTCACTCTGAATCACTAGCACAAACTCGATAAAAAGTTTCTAGTGTCATTAATATATTCACATATAGAAATTAGAACACAAGGCTGTGAGGAATAAAACTTTTTAAAACTAATTGTTCATAAATATAATTCGCGCCTTCCTCCTTCTACATTTCACTTATGACTGACGATAAACTACAGCGCAACAATTTTAATTCATTCGTATGTCTTTAATTTTTTTTCCATCGACGGACATATTTTTTTTTCGCAGATAAATTTGAATGAAAAATTAAAGACATTTAGTTAAAAGATTTAATAAAGAAGAAAAATTCCTTCAATAGTAATTAAGTCGTAGATTATTATTACTTTAAGCCTTGTGTATTAGAATTTCTTATCTCTTTTTTATTTGATAAATATATATATATATATATACAATATTAATTGGCATCTTATTTGATTAAAGATTAACTTTATATTTTTTACATGACTCAACATTCACTTGTCTAGTTCATTTTTTTTGCAAAATTAAACAAAAAAAAATTGTTATATTACAAGAGATATGAAATTCATTTATTTCTATTAAATTTTCTTTAATAAAATTTTAATTATTGATTTTTAATTCTGAAATTTAAAAATTTTATCATAATTACGAATTGTCTTACTTTTTCTTTTTCTTTTCTTTATTCCGAGTCGTTTTTTGTTACACTTTCCCACATGTAAATATTCATTCCATTCGAGGCGAGAAAACAATTTTTCTGTGGATGAACGCTAATTGAAACTGTTGCATGTATTAATGGTTTATCGGCTGTTAATTTTGTTAATAATTTTTGTGAAACTAATTCCCAAACATAAAGATGTCCATCGCTTGAGCCGGAAAGAATTCTCATATCATTACAATCGACACTTGACTCAAGACATAAATCAGTTCTTGGAATACCTGAATATTCACCAAGAAGTTCGCCTGTTTCCTTATCGATTAATCTAATAATTCCATCGGCACAACTGACTAAAATACATTGACCATCTCTGGTAAAACTTGCACAGGTTACAATTTCTAAAAAAAAGGAAAAAAATTTAATAAATCAAATAAATAAAATTGAAATAGAAAAATATAATTTTTCACACCTCCCATGTAGTCCGTGAGAAGTTCACCATTTCTCATATCGTATCTTCGAATTTTACAATCAAAAGAAGATGATAAAATTTCATAATCAGAAACTTTAACACTTGAAATTGAATCTTTTGCATCGTTTAACGTTTGAGCGGGATCTTGGGCTCTTGATCGAACATCCCAACACATTACAGAATTATCACGAGAACCTGAGACAACCATTGATGATTCCTCATTATATCTATAAATTTTTGATAAAAGAAATTAGAAATTAAGAAAAAAAAATTATTTAATTGTAGACATTTTTTTTTTTCAAATACCTTACAGACGTAACAGGTGCAACGTGTCCTCTATATCTACGAGTCGGTGTTCCTGTTGCAACATCCCAAAGAATTACAGATTTATCTAATCCACCAGAAACTATTTGACCACTGTCACAAGATGATTGTGCATCCATTACTTCATCGCCATGACCGCTATAAGTTTTTAAAAGAGATCCCGTGTAAGGATTCCAAAGTTTAACTCTTCTATTCGATCCGCATGTTAAACAATAAGCACCGTCGACTATGAAAATTAATATAAAATTTAATTTTTCAACAAAAATTATAAAAAATTTATTTTTAATCTTACCACTAAATCTTACAGCTCGAACAGCACCTTGTTGACAGTCAATAGATTTTAAAAATTTATATTCCATTGTTAGAAAAATTATAACAAAACCTAACCTCAAAAAGTTTCAATAACAACTAAACGTTTGTTGATAAATAATTAATATATTGTTTTAAAAAAAATATGTTAAATCTTTACATTTAATAATATATTTAATTTGCACAATTAATAATAAGGTTTTAATTATTAAAAACAATAAACACACTTTGACAGCTGTTTATATTTTAACTTCATGTTACTGCCACTAGATGTCATTCTCGCGCGATATTTGAAAAAGAATATTACAATTAAAGTAAATAAGAAAAAAAAGTATATTATTTTATTAATAAAAGAATTTTGATTAAAATAAAAAAATATGGAATAATAAAAAGAGAGGCCTCAAAAAAAGATGAGTAATAAAAGAATTTATATATAGAAAGGTTGGTATTCTTTTCAGTTTAGGTTGGTATCTCTTTATTTGTTATTGTCATTTGACAGTTCAGGAAAATTGTGTTACAAAAAATGTATTATAATTTTAACATGAAATACAGAACATATTTTAATAATTATTTATCTAAACTTACAAATTATTAAATAATTCTTATTGGTAAATATCAAAATTAGAATAAATTTCGTTTTTTTTTATCTGAACTTAACCTAAAAATTACTCGTCAATTATTTCCTTTTTTAAATAATTGTTTTTTCAAAATTGGTGCAAGTTAAAAAATTTTAAATTTCCAATAATTTTTTATCATGTCACTTGCTTTTTCAGCAATCATAATTGTTGGTGCATTAGTATTGCCACGAATTATTTTTGGCATTATCGATGCATCAACAACTCGTAATTTCTTTATTCCATAAACTTTTAATTCTGAATCAACAACAGCTTCTTTATCAGATTTTGGACCCATTTTACAAGTTCCCACTGGATGATAATCAGTATTTGTATAATATTTCATTAAACAATACCAATAATCATCACTATTAAATTTCTCTTTACACAATGGTTTAAATGTTTTCATTAATGTCATTTTATTATCTTGAAATATTTTTGTCTTAAATATTTTGAGAAAAATTCTTATTCCTTCCAAAAGACGTTGACGATCTGGATTTTTGGAAAAAAAACCTTGACGAATTATTGGTGGAGAATTTATTGGATCAGTTGCATTTAGAGTTATTGTTCCTCTACTATTTGGAGTTAATAAAATTGGATGAACATTTATCATATTATATGAATTTGGAAGAGTGATAATATTATTGCTAAAGGGTACAAAATTATATTCAATATCTGGTTGATTTTCTTTTTCAAAACTTGTTTTAACAAATGCGGCACTCTCCAATGGACCAATTGATGAAAGTGGTCCAGTTTGATTTTTTAAATATTGCTCTAGATCATGAATTCTTTTTTTCAAACTTTTTTCTGTTGATGTTTTATTGAGTTTAATACGAAGACCATCAATTGCCACATGATCTTGTAAATTTTGTCCCACTTGTAAATCTTTTATAATATTAATATTGTGTTTCTTAAGTTCTTTAGATGGTCCAATTCCAGAAAGCATTAACAATTTTGGAGAATCAATTGTACCTGCTGATATAATTATTTCTTTTTTTGCAAATACAATTTTTTTTTCTCCATTTTTATTTATGTATTCAACGCCAATTGCCTCTTTTGTTTTTGAATTTATTTTAATTTTTCTAACTAATGCCTCTGTTTCGATAAATAAATTTCCTCTTTTTTCTCTTATTGGATCAATAAAAGCATCATTTGAACTTTGACGTTTTCCATTAAGTGTCGTTGTTTGTATATTCATTACACCAATTTGTTTATTTGCATTCACATCTATGTATTCATAGCCTAATTCTTGCCAGGCTTTTGTTAAAATTTGTGCATTTTTATCGTGATAGGAAAGTTTTTCCACTGCTAAATAACCACCTTTATTGTGATAATATGGATTTGCTTTTACAATCTGAAAAAAAAAATTTTCTATTTAACAAAATTGAAAAAAAAAAATTAATTTTAACTCACATTATCATCGAGATTATTTTCCGATTTTTTAAAATAGGGCAAAACATCTTTATAACTCCAGCCTTTGTTTCCTAATTTAGCCCAATCATTAAAGTCCGAAGGTGATCCTCTGACGTATAACATTCCATTTGTAGAACTCGTACCACCCATTAGCTTTCGAAAATAGATAAAAGAATGTAAAAAATTTTTTAAAAAAATATATATTTAAAAATTAATTAATTTTACAATATATATTTACTTTTCCTCGTGGCATCATACAACCATTGTCAGCACGACATGAATTTTCATCAGCTTCAGTTTTATAATTCCAATCAATATTACTGCCAAAAAATATAAAGGGAGTCGATGGCATTTCGTTAATTCTTAATTCTTCACCACCAGCTTCCAATAGAAGGACCTATAAAATAATTTCCATTTATTTCTAAATTAAGTTTTTTTTATTATATTGAAAAAAAAAATATTTTTCTTAATTAAAATATATTTACATTCCAATTTTTCTTTTCCGTTAATCGATTTGCAAGAACACAACCCGCTGAACCTGCTCCCACTATAATAAAATCTAATTCTCTTGTTATTTCACGGGACGATTTTCTATGTTTTGAATTTCCTAATAAAATCGAAAGAATTGTTATAAACATTATTGTTTGCGATGGACATGTTGTACATTTTTCACCCAAATCACATAAATCTTGAAAAAGTGGTCCTGGAATCCAAACCATGATTGAAATTTTCTCTAAAACAATTTTTTATTATTTATTTATTTATTTATAAGTAATAAAATATTAATTTCATTTTACATACCTTGTTTAATTTTTATAATTTAAATAGAGAAATTAACGTAGACAAGTTTATAAACGTTATTTGTAGAATGAACTGAATTGATAAGCGGTAAAAAAAAAATTTATAAAAATGGGGTTGTGATAAAATACATTTTTTGGCCATGAATATTGTATTTAATGATTATTATCGATTAGATATTTTTAAAAAGGTGCAATTAGTTATGACTAATAGTTTAAATATGCTTTTACCTTTCTTGTTAATATTATCATTATTTCAAAAATTGCATTCTCTATAATGAAATAATAAACTAATTAACGTCACATTTAATATGTAAAATAATGTCATAATGAAAAAAATGTTTAAATAATTAAATAAAAATTAGAAATTCATAAAAATGAGACTCTTTAATATAAGAATTGTTTTTTTTTGAAAGTATTGTGTACAATATATATATTTTTTTTTAAACATAAATGACTTGTGGGGTTGTAACAATAATAAATACTTATTAATACATTAAGTCGTTTATATTTTTTCGGCATTGAAGAATTAGTATAAACTTTCAGCAAACTGACAATGTGAAACGCCTCATAGCCTTGATCATTCTCACTTAAATTTATATCAAATAACTTTTTTTTCTTTTATTATTTATATATACTTTTTTTTCATTTTCTTTTGCTCATTATTATTTTCTTTTTTTTTTAAAGATACAAGATTTTCAAATATTCGCGACAAAACAATTGGCGAATGATTTTTATTTTTTGGACATCGTCCACTGACTCAGTGTTTTAAAAACACTTTTTTGTTTTTTATTGTAAGAGAAAATTGAAAAAATTAATTCGCTCAACTAAATTTATTTTAGTTTACACGAATATTTGCGCGCGTGTAAAACAATGATGATAATGATGATGATAATAAAGAAAACATTTAAAAAATATTCTTAATAATAAAATTTAACTTTTTTTTTTTTTCCTTTTTTTTTCTTTTTTCCTGTTAAGATATGACAAAAGTGCACCAACGACTGTGCATTTATTTATTACATTTTCTTTTTTTTTTCTTTTTTTTTTTTTTTTTTTTTTTTTGTAAATCTACAATATATCGACAATTGTGTTTCGCATTTCATTAAAAAATAAGAGTGAAAAATCTCTAACAATCGATAAAGATCTGTTTTTTTTTTAATTTTTAATTTTTTTAAATCGATATTAAAAAATCAATTTCATCACAAATAAAAGATTCTAACAAAAATATAGAGCTGCGCGAATAAAAATTTATTATTTGAATTTATAAAGCGCAAGAAACATTGAGTCAAGCAAACGGAGTTTCACATTTTGAATTTCGTCTGTACAAACCGAATTTACTAATATAAAGGTTCTCAAAGAAAGGCATTCGCACAGTCCTAAAAAAAAAAAAAATTAAAAAAAAAAAAATAAAATAAAATATTTTACCCAACGGACTCGATGATGCACGGTTTATAATTTTTTTTTTTTAAAGCAAAAATATCATCGATCCGTAGGAAACTATACAAGATAAACAATCTACAGTAGACTTATTTGATAACGCACTTTTAAACGCCTTTTTTTTTTTTAGTAGGTGCTTTCTTTCTATCTAATTACATTACAGCTATATAATATAATATAATATAATATTATCAATAATAATATAATATAATAATCGTCTATACATCGTTTATCTGTACAAGTATTTATCAGTCGTAAATCTGGCAACTGTCTTATAATGTAAATCTTGATAACATTTTTTTTTTTTTTTTCATGTCAAATGAAATCAGGAAAAAAAGCTGAATTATCTCTACTATTAAAATCAGCACTGCTTTTTCTTTTTAAAGAATTAGAGAGAGAAAGAAGGGGGGGACAGTTACTAGATTAATGAACTTTTTTTACGTATTTAGAATTAGAATTCGGATGAGTCGAGATTTATGGATTTTGTACAATGCGATCCATCTTTGCGTTAGACCCAAAAACACATTTGTTTTTTCAAAAAATGTTTTTTTTTTTAGTATTTCTAGTTGTTTTTCATGGTGAACATCAAAAATTTGTTTTCTTTTCTTTTTCTGACGATTGAGCTCACACTTGACTAGATTCGTCATTGGTGCACCTCCCTCGCTGCTATGTATTTTCATCTAGCAATTCCTGGGCCTGCTTTGGCATTTGCCAGCAATGAAGACTTCTATCTTTACTGCCAGCAATTATCTACAGGAGAAAAAGAAAAGAATAAATACAACAAAAAATTTTAATTTTAAAATAATAATAATAATACTTACCCTCTTATTTACAATGGCCATACTCAAGAGCATTTTTCCCGGGCCAGGAATACTGCACACTAATTTCTTCTCCTGAAAGAAAAAACGAAATTATTTTTTAGTTTCTTTTTTTTAAATGAAAAACAAAATTTAATAAATTTTTTGCAAATTTTACCTTAACATCGAAAATATAAATATTTCCGTCATAACAACCAGCAAATAAAAGTCTTTCATACAAATACATACACACAATACCAACACCGGCATTGTATTGTACTTTCTGTTCACCGGTCTGCAAAAAATAGAAAAATTTACTTTTTTTTTCGAATAATTGAAAAAAACAATTATTTGAAAATATATATTATTATTAAATATTAAAAATAAATAAACTTACAACGAAGTCATAAACGGGAATGGACGTGCTACTGGTGCCAAAATAAATCAAACTATTGTGCCTCAGCAAACTATAAACCGTGTAATTTCTTTGACCACTTATTTGTCGTAGAAATAATCCAGTAAAAGCGTCGCGTATTGTTATCGGTTGATTTCGTGATGCGACAATAAGAACTTTTCTTGGTCCTTCATTTGTCGCTTTTAATGCCAAAACTGATTTATTCGAAAATTGAATTCTATCTCCTTTTAGGGATGATGCCTAAAAATTTTAAATGAGAATAAAAATTAAATTAGCAAAATAAAAAAAAAACTAAAAATTTTAATTCGAAAAAATTATTTTTTAAGAAAATTTGGTGAAAATATATTTTTAAATTTAAAAAAAAAATTGTTACCTTTATGTGATAACGGGCAACGTGACCTGAAGTGGTGCCAATGAAAATAGCTCCCCATGCTTGATCCATACACTGTACAGCACTTCCCATAATAATTGGACTTTGCATTTGTTCTCCAGTCTAAAAAAAAAAATGAAAATTAATAAATAAATTGAAACTATCGTAATTAATAAACACAATTGTTTCAAATAATTAATGTAAAAATTAAACTAATAAAATTTTGTATTAAATCAAGTCCACTTCTGGACCGAAAGGCTGAAGCTTAATTAATAAATATATAACTATTTAATAAATTAATAGAGCAATATTTTCTTTAAAAAAAAGGCTTTTTTAAATTAACGTTTTTTTAAAAAAAAATTGATAAATACCGAAATGTCATAACAGCGCATATGTCCATCCAAAGAGCCAGAGTACATCCATTGTCGATTTAAATTTGCCGTATCAGGATTTAAAACATAAAGGCACGTAACTGCATGTGTATGACCTTTGTAAATATTTAAAATTCCATTCGAGGTCAAACTGTATCGATAAATTGCTCCATCCTCACTTGCAGCCAAGAATGAATCGCCAATGATCTAAGAATTTAATTTGCTTTTACTTTAAATATTATATTAACTACACAATTCACTAAATTAATTTTTTTTTTCGAAATTCTGAATTATTTTTAAACATTTGCAAAAAATAAAATTTATTTATACTTCAAAAATTAATTTTAAAAAATAATTTTATATCTTAATATTAATATTAATATTAATTACCAATAGTAATGAAAATAATATTCAAATATTTTTACTGTTTCTAATTAATTTTTCACTAATTTTTATATTAAAAATTTAATTTATTTAAATTGCAAATTTTGAAAACTAAATTAAAAATTACAAAAATTTAAAAAAGATCAAAACTATTATAAGGTAATAATTATAAATATTAAAAAAATGTATTTTTAATGGAAATAATAAAAGTGCATTTTCTTTCCTACAAGTTGTTTTTATTTATGGCAAAAAAAAAACATAAAAATGAATTGTTAATAACTTGTTTTTATATATAAAACAATAAAAATATTTTTTTTCCAAATAAAATTAAATTATATTTATTTAAACGTGAAATATTTATTTTTTTTTTTAAACAGGAGAAATGTCGTTGAAAAAAATTTGTTTATTAAAAAAATATAAAATACGAAAAAAAAAAGTCTACTTTCTAGTTCTTCTCTTTCTTCTCTTTTGGCTTCTTACCTTGATATCTAAAATCGGTCCCTTATGAACAGTGTATTGAATTTTTGAAATCTCGCCAACATCCGTATTGTCCACTTCCATATTCTGTTGGGATTGAATTTTATTTTCCTCCGTTACATTAGGTCCATTTGTTAATGTTAATTCATTGTTATCAAAATTTTGTTGAGTATTTAAATTATCACTGTCTTTTTCTTTCTCTGATTTATTATTTTTCTTTATTATTGAAATAGTTTTTTCTTCTTTTTCCAATTCATTTGTTTCTTTCGATAATTCTTTTATGTTTATAATTCCTTTTGCTGATTCCTCGATTTCTTTTGTTGGTTCATTGATTTCTTTCACTGGTTCAATAATTTCTTTTTCACCTGTTTCTTTATTAATCTCTTTCTCGGTTTCTTCCTGTTTTCCTTTGGGCAAATCATTTTTCTCCACTTCTTTTGTTTCTTCATTCTTTTCTTTCTCTTCGTTCTTCTTTAAATTGATATTATTTTTCTCCTCTTGTTCTTTTTCCTTTTCATTCTCTTTTTTGGCCTTTGCTTCTTTTTCAATTTCCGCTATTTTCGATTTCATTTCTTCAATTGGCACTTCTTGATTCGTTAAATCATTTTCTGAATTAATTTTCACAATTTCAAGTTTTTTCCCCGAATATGGTTTTAATATATACATTGTTGTCTCGGAATTTTTACTACCTGAATCAGTGATAAAATTTTCATCTATTGAAAATCTTCGAACTTGTTGCATATTCATAATTTCTTGATGTAATAAAATTGAATTTTCCAATGGATTTTTATTGAAAACATTAATTTTCGTTAAACCAAGACGTTTTAATACACCATTTGGTAAATCATCTTTCATATAGGTATATTTAATGTCAACTAATTTTACTTTACAATTTTCCATTTCATCTTGTGTTAATTTACGTTTTTTTCGATCTTTTCGTTTTGTACGTAATTCCAATTTTATTAAATCACGTATCGTTGAATAAAGTATTTTTTCATTGACTTTCTTCTTTTTTTGCGGTGGTTCTGGTGTATTTGCAATTGAATTACCACATGTTCGTGAACGTTCATCTTCACTTTCCAAATGACGTGAACTTCGTCGTGTTGGTTGACTTGATCTTCCGGCACGTGATAAACTTCTTGTTGGTCTTTTACGTTTACGTGTTGAATCAATTGATATTGATGAATCATCAGATATTGGTGACATCAATGCTGAACGTGTTGAATCTTTATCGGAGAATTCTTTAAAATTTGGATGTGAAAATATTTGTTGTTCCGAATCAGTTGGACTTGTTAATTGATTTTTTTCCTCTATAATTGTTTCTTGAGCTTTCTGATTTATTTCAATTAAATTATTTTGAGTATCATTGACAGATTTATCTAATGTGGAATTAATTCGTTGTACTTCCTCATTTAGACGACATTCCTCTTCATTAATTTCGCTAATTAAGAGATTTTTCGATATTTCATTTTCCTGTGATATTGGCAAACTTGGCGGTTCTAATTTTGTGTCAATTTTTTCATTTTCTTTTGATTCTTCTTTTTCATCTTTGGAAATTATTTCATTTTCTTGCATTTTTTTCTTCTTTTCAACGGCTTTTGCTTTTTTTGCTTCGGCCATTTCACGTTTAAATGATTGTTCAAGTAGACCAAGTGCAGTATTATTTTTCTTTGTTTTATCCTTTGACGATTCTAATGGTTCGAGAATACTTTCATCGGAATAAATTAATGCTGTGTCAATAGCTTTAACTTTAACGTGTTTTTTATCTAAAAATTCATTATCTTTTTTTTCTTTTCTTGGACTTGGAACTTTTTTTGATTTCTCTGATTTTGGACTTGTTTCAAATTTCTTTTTTGTCGCTGCCTCAAAACGATTTATTAATGCTGCTGTCGATGCGCCTTTTATTAATTTTTTATTTATTTTTTCCTCATCATTTTTATTTTCCACTATTTGAACTTTTTTCTCCGGTGAATCTTTCTTTTTGAATTTATCACGTTCATGTTTTCCCTTAATTTTCACGAATATTTTCTCTGATGTATTAAGCGATGGAAGTTCTTTGATTTTCTTTTTTTTCACAGCAATTTCTTGTTCTTCATCATCATCATCATTATCACTTTTTGAACTTTTCATCATTACACTCTTGGGACGTTTGCGACTAATTTCAATTTTTTTTGTTATTTTCATTTTTTCTTCACGTTTTTTCAAATCATCATCATCACCGCTGCTGGGAATTAATTTTGATATTGTTGGTTTCATTGCACTTTTTGGACGTATTCGTTGTGTGTCTATTGTATTTTTTAATGATGGTTTTTTATTATTTAAATTTAACATTGCAACTTCTTCATCGCCACTTGTTACTTCGGAACTTTCTGTTACTTTTGATGTTATTTTCATTGCACTTTTTGGTCGTTTTGTAATATCAAATTTTTTCTTTAATTTCTTATCGTCATCGTCGCTAAATTTTTCTGAAAATAATTTCATCGCACTTTTTGGTCTTCTTTGAATTTTTTTATTCTTCTTTTCATTATCATCTTCACTTGATGATTTTTTTGTCACTTTCATAACACTTTTTGGTCGTTTCGATATTTTTATTTCTTCTTTTTTCTCACGTTTATCAATTTCCTCATTTTCTGCTTCGATGGTGACATTTTTTTTCATTCTTGATTGTGATCTTTCGGCTAATTTTTTTAATCTATCGAGTGATATATTTTCTTGTTCTTCATCATCATCGGAATTTATATGTTTTTTGTGTCGACCTTTTGTTAATTTCTTTTGTTTCTCCTTGGTGATTCTTTTAATTTCTTCATCTTCAGAACTTGAATCAGTTAATGTTGTCTTTCGTAATTTTGATTGTGAACGTTCAGTTTTTGTTAATTTTTTTGTTTTCTTTTCGGAAATTTTTCCAATTTCCTCATCATCACTATTAATTGATAATTTTTTTATTTTCGAAGATTTTTCTTTTATTATTGAACTTTCTTTAATTGGTGTTGATAATTCTTTTTCAAATGATGCAATTTCATCATCCTCGGGACTTGAAATTTTCGATCTTTTATCAATATCTGAATTCAATGAATTTATCTCATTATTATCCTTTGTTGATGCATCGGCCATCATTTGATAAAGTTTTTGCTTTTCAAGCATTAATTTTTGTATTTCATCGTCAATTTCTTTCATTCTTGCAACAAGTGATTGTGTTGTGACTGGTTTCACTGATTGTTTAATAGCATCTTTTATCTCGTCCTTGATCTTCTTATCTTTCTTTCTTTTCATTCTTCTTCTACGTTTTAATTTATGTAAAGATTTCTCCGATTTCAATTCATCTTTATCTTCCATTTTTGAATGTACAGTTTCCGTTTCACTTGGATTCAACCTAACCTCAAAATCTGTTGAATTTTCCACTTTTTCCTGATTTACAATATTCTCCTCAACACTTGCCTCTTTTTCATCCAATATTATTTCTGAAACAAGACTTGGAAGATCAGATTTAACTAAACATTTATTATTATCGTTTAACAATTCATTACCTATTTTTTGTTCGTAATTATCTTTAACAATCATAACACCTGACTGAAGCACAATTTCGGAAAGTTTTTTCGGTTTATTGTTCGACTTAACCTCAATTGTTGAATTGTTTATTGAATCAATTTCTAATTTATCATCACTATCATTGGATTTTTTGGCTAAAAGAGGTAAATCATTTTCAATTAGTATAAATTCAGATGGGGATTGTGAATTTTCATTATCATTAGAAATTGTAATAGGAGATTTCGAATTAATTTGTGATTCGTCTTTATTATTGTCGTCAATTTGCATTGTTTTTTCTTTATCATCACTTACTAAATATTCCACGCACTTTTTTTCCTCTTGATTAATAATATTCGAATTAAATTCAATTTCACTTAGAGATTTTTCTTTCGTATCAACGATATCCACGTGCGAACTTTCGTTTAGCAAATGACTCAAATCGCCGGTTTCGCGCGATTCACTATGTGTCACGTGACAAATTATAGATGGCGTTACTTCAATCGCGGGAGTTTTCAATTCATTATTATCAAAAACATTTTCAAAAACACTATCGATGGGATTTTTTACAATTTCAGAATCAAATAGTTGTTTAACACTTTCTTCGGGTTCTTCTTTTTTATCGAAAACCGTGTCTGGCATTTCTAATCTAACATTGTCTTTAATTAAAAATTGTTCACTGACACTTTCATCTAATTGTTCGATAAGCGATTTGTTATTTAATTTTTCAACTTCACTTAATGGTAAATCAATTTCGCGTTCAGTTAAAATTGGTGGTAAATCATCATTTAATCTTAAATTTGTATCACTATCGTCAATACCAAAATGAAAAAGTTCTGGTTTTTCAACACTTTGTTCATCAAATATTTCATCAGTTTTTGGTGATAATACACATGAATTTATATCTGAATAAACAATATTTGTTTCTTGTAAATCAGCTTCAAGGACAACATTATCAAAAATATTTTCCATTGGATTTATATCCTCAATAATTAATTGTTTACTTTTTTGTTCATCTTCAATATCAAAAGTTGATTTTATATCGGAAATATCATCCTCCTTTAATGACATATTGCCAAAAAATACTTCTTTTGCTGGACAAACATCAATTGGATCTTCAATTAAATCCTGTAAAATATTAGGATAATTTTCAATTTCCATTGCATAATATTTTGCTATCTCTTCTGATGGTACTGTATCTGGAAGTGCATCGCTTATTAATTTTTTCTTTTTTATTGTTGTTTGTGAATTTTTACCATAAACTTTTAATTTTCTCACTGGTTTATAAGCTTGTGTTGTTTCTTTTGAATTTTCAATATTTAATAATTTCACGTGTGTTTTAATTGTTTTTTCTTTAATATCAATCTTTTTACTATTAACTTTATTATCAGAAGATAATTTTTCTTTAGATATTTTCTCCGTATTAATTTCAGATGAAATGTCAATTTTTTTATTATCGTGTTTCAATATTTTTAAATCGTTTTTATTTTTCTTTAAAATTAATTCGCATTTCTCTTGTTTTCTTTTTATTTCAATTGTTTTTGTTTGTGAACAACTTGATTGATCTGACTCTGATGATATTGATGATCGTCTAATTGGTGTTTCAATTTTTTTCTCAATAACAACAAGTGGTGTTAATTGATTTTTTATTTTCTTAACAATCTTTGGTTTATTTTTTAATTTCAATTCTTTTCCACCTTCAGATTTTATGAATTTAAATTTACATTCGTCTTCCATTTCTTTATCGTTGACATTATTTTTATTTGGATCAAGTTTAGTTGGTGTAATTATCTCTTGTGCTGCTTTAGCGGCAAGACGAGGATCACGTGAAATTATTTTAGATTCGTCGTTATTTAATTTTTGATTTATAATTCGATTATTTTCCATTTCCTCAATTTTTTTATTACTTTCGATAATTTTATTTTGTTTATTATTTTCATTTGTCTTTTTACCCTCGTTAGAAGTTTCAATAACACGTGATTTACTTGCTATGGGAATATTTAGAAGATTTGTTGTTAATGAAATTGGATTTTGAACAATTTCCTTCATCTTTTGTTGTTCCTTTTTCTTTCGTTCGAGTGTTCGTGCTTTATATGCTTGAATGTCAATTCGTTTTGTCTTCTTATCATCGCCACTTTTTAATTGATTTTTTCCCTTGGTTTTTGTTGTTTTAGTTACATTCTGAAAAAATAATTTATTTTTATTAATAATATAATTATTTTTTAATTATATAATTTTTTAAAAAAATGAAATTTACACTTTTTGAAATAATTAAATAATCGATAATAATATTTTTAATATTTTATCTAAATCTATTATTACTTTGTAATATATTTAATCTTTAATTTGTTCACGATAACAGGAAAGCAATGCATAAAAGAGATAAAATATTTAGAATTTGCAGTTGTCAGTTCATCTTATCTCTTTTTCATATAGGCAGCTATCAGATTTCATTCGTTAAATTCTAATTCTTGGAGATTTTTCAAATTTTTTAAAAACACATCTCAAAATAACATTAATTATTTTTTCATAAAACTTAATTTTTCTATTATTTTTAGTTATTTAAAATTTCAATTTTTTATTTTTAAATTAGGTAATATGAATTATTTTATTTAAGTAAAAAAAAAATTAAACTCACCTTCGACGAAATTTGTGACTTTTTACACGTTTTTAATGGTTCCTCGGAGATTTTCGCCTCAACAGGAGAAGAGATTTTTGTCTCAGATGTTTTTTCAACTTTATTCATTTCTGTGTCTTGAATTACATTTGAAATTTTTTCATCATTTTCAGATGACTCCAATTTTTCCTCCACTTTCTGTTTTTCCATTTCGTTTTCCTTTTCTTTCACTTGTTCTTGTTCTTTTTCTTGTTCTTCTTCTTGTTCTTCTTTTTCAGTCTCTTTTTCTTTTTCCACTTCCTTTGGCAAATTATCACTCGAAACAATAGTTTCATTCACCTCGGGAATTTGAACTTGATTTTTACCTTGTGTTATTGTCTGTGTTTCAGCATTAGTGCGATAATTAGACAATTGTGTCGCGTTATTATCATCAGTTTGCGGTGGTGATTCTGTTGTTTCTGGCATTTGTTTCAATTGGGCTTTCGTTTTCATTGATTGCATTTTCACCTGTCCATAATCGACATTTACCTTAACTGGTGAATGAACAATTGTTCGAATTGATGAATCTTTATTTTGTGAAATTGGCAATTTTTTTTCACTACGTTTTTCATCAGGTGTTATTGGTTCAGTTTTCACTTCTTTTTTAATCTCATCTTCAGTTAATAATTTCATTGGTATTTCTTTCTCCGAACCGGATATTGAATTACGTTTAGTTTTCTTCTTATGTCGACGTGTTTTCTTTTTCTTTTTACCTTTTTTCTCACGCTTTTTTCGTTTACGCGATTTTTTTTCTTTATGTCGTTCTTTTTCACGTTTACGTTTTTCAATATCGGCGGCAACTTCATCGCGAATTGCTTCATTTAAAGATTTTTTCTTTGCAACTTTTTCACGTTCCTTAATAACTTTGAGTAATTTTGTAACATCAGGTGCAATATTTTCACTGCTTGTACTATCGCTTGACGTTGATGAACTCGATGAACTATCATTTTCACTGTCGCCATCGCTTTCTGTTATTTCACCATCTTCAAGATGTTCTTTTTGTTGACGAGCAAGTAATCGTTCGGCACTTTCATCGTTATTCCTCTCAGGAACTGGTGTTTCGTCCCATTGATAAGATTTCTTTTGAGATCGTTCGTTTATCTGAAAAATTTTTAATTAGAAATTAAAAAATATCAAAATTTAGCGATTTTTATTTATATACTTACCTCAAGTGATCGTGTTTCTTTTGCTTTTGAATGTAATTCATTGTCAGCTCGTCGTAACATTAAAGCATTGAATTCTTTTTCTAAAGTATCACTCATTGTACGTCCATGTTTTGCTTCCCATTCTTCTTTGGTTAAATTTCTAAATGTATCAACATTTTCCCGCTTTTTTCGCGTCCACATTTGTTGAAGTTCTAAACTTTGTTCGGCAATTGGTTTCGATGAGGCTTTTGCCTTTGCAATACCAGCGCTAAATATATCGTCTAATGTACGTTCCATGGTGCCAAGTGTTGGATATTTACCCGGTGGTTTTGTAACAACTTCACTTCGATTTGGTTTTGTACGTGGTGGTTCAATAACAACATTACTAGTAACATTTACAGGTTTTCCTTTTGGTATACCTGGTTTAAAAATATCATCAAGAACAGATGTAAGATGAGCTGGACTTTCAGTACCTAAATTTGTTGTTGATCCACTCTCAAGTAATTCGCGTGCAAGTTGTGCTTTTAAATGTGCTTGTTTTTTCTTTAATTCTTTAATTTCGGCTTCACGTTGTGCTTCACGTTGAGCTTCACGTAATTTTGCCTCACGTACTTTTGTCTCACGTATTTTTGCCTCGCGAGCTTCACGCGCCTGTTGTTCTTTCAATGCTTGTTGTTCCTTTAATTCCTGTTCACGTTGTTCACGTTGTTCACGAAGAATTTGTTCACGTGCTTGTTGTTCGCGAATTTGTATATCCCTCAAATGTGCCTCACGAATTTGTGCCTCTCTTAATGCTTGATTTTCCCTCAATGAATTTCGAAATGTCACATCGCCATTTTCTCGTTCGCGCGACGATTTTCCCTCTTTTAATAATCGTGATGCTGAAAAAAAAAATAAAATAATTTTTAGAATCTTTTGAATAATATTATAAAGGAGAAAAAAAAATTTTTTTACCTTGTTCGTGAGATTCACTCTGATTATTTGTATCCTTAACTCGAATAACGTGAACAATTTTCTTTTCATGATGACGATTTCTCTTTTTTTCAACAACTGGTTGAATAGTAATTGAAGTTTGCGGTGATGTTTGTTTTGGTAAATGTGTATATTCATCCTCAGAAATAATTTGTTGTTCCTGTTGATGTTTTTTATTGGCAAGTACCATTTGTTGTAGAAAATCCTCTGAATTCATCATTTCAATTTCACCATCCTCACCACCAGGCATTGGATCCAAATGTAAAACAGCGCTTAAATGTTGAATAAATTCAGTTGGTAAATTTGTAATATCAACCGATTCACGTACACCAGGATCAAGCATTGCGCTTAATTGTGTCATAAATTGATCACCATCATAATTTTGAACTTTTTCCTCTTCTGATATTCTCATTTCTTGTGACAATGATGTTTTACGTTCCTTTACCAATTGTTTCATTGCCATATCAAAACGTCTCAAACTTGTATTATTAATCATATTATTAATATCATTTTTACTCATTTTTAAAAATTGATTAATCACACGATTACGCCATATTTCTTGATTGGCAGCCGTTTCTTTTTTACCTGATTTCTTTTGTTGTTCCTTTTCATAAGATGTTGATGGTTTCTCTTCTTTTTTATTATTATTATCCTTTGAACGTCTTCTTTTACGTTTCTCATCGTCTTTATCATTTGTTTCATTTGTTTCTTGTAATATTTCTTTTTCCTTTAATTTTTTCTTTCTTGTTCGTAAATCTTCATTTTCATCGGCTTGCAATTGTTGTTGCCATTCATCAACTTTATGTATTCGTTTAATTTTATTTAAATTAAAAACAACTTTTGGTCTCATTTGATCATCGGCTACTTGACCATCGTCTTCAATTTCTGGTTCTTGTAAACGTGATTCTTCCTCATTTGTATCATTCGGTGGTAAATCAATTAATGGCGCTGGTCCATATTCAATTTTTTTTCTTTTCTCCTCTTTTTTCGATTCTTTATTTGTTGAATCTTTTTTATCATTTTTTGATTTTTTCGATTTTTTTTCACGTTTTATTTCAATATCAATATCGGTATTTTTCTCACCATTACTCTCTGTCATGTTCATTAATTGTTTGGCAAATTCCATTGCTTCTTGCATTTCTTCGAGTTCATCCTCCATGTTGAGCATTGATAATGATTCGGGAATATTGGGTGGTTCAACGGGTAATGGAGGTGGTGCTTGATGATCTTGTGGTAATGGTGGTGGATAATCGGGAAGTGTTGGTGGCATTGTTGGAATTACTGATGGAATAGTGAATGGTGGAATAAATCCAGCGGGTTGTGCCATTGGCGGTACGTGCATTGATGGAACATAATTTGTATAATCTGTAATACCAGAGGGCCATGTGGGTGGGACAATTTCATTTGTTGCAACAAAATCCATTCTTTGTTGTGACGAGAGTCTTGGATCAAATACTTTTGGTGGTTGTATCACATCTTCAAAATTATGGGATTTAAATCCTTTTTCCTCGATAATTGTTACAGTTGGCGGTGGTCCACGTGGATCAAATGCCGGTGGTGGTTGAAGAATATCATTATTTTGTTTCATATCAAATGATGAATTTGAATGTTCTTCCCGATGATCGAGCTTTTTGGATTTTTTTATATTCACAATTGGTTTAGTATCACATTCTTGAATAAATTCAAACATTGGCGGTGGTTCAAGGGGTTTTTCTTGATTTTGCTGTGTTTCAAATGGCTCATTTGATTCATCAAGAAGATCGGGAAATGCTTCCATTGGATCGAACATTGGTGGCGGTTCAAGTGGTTTTTTGTGTGTTTTAAATGAATCCGAAGAATCCGGGGAATCATATTGATGCATTAATTCCTGTAATTCAAAAATTGGTGGTGGTTCTAGAGGTACTTGGGTTTCGGATGATTCATTTTGTTCGCGGCTCGAATCAAATAGGGAATTTTGTGTCTCATCACCAGATTGAACTTCTGGAATATTATTGACAAATGTTTTCTCTTTTGATTGATTACTTAATTCATCATTATCATCAGGGACTTTATTATCTTCTTTACATGTTGAATCTTGATCCGGTTGAGGGAAATTACCCTCCATTTGATCTAATTGCTCGAAAAATAAATTCGATTCCTGTTGCGATAATTCGGGTAATGCTTCAATTGAATCGAAAATTTGCACCTGCCCTTGACTTTGATCAAATGCAGATTGTAAATCTTGTAATTCACTTTGATTTTGAAGAATATCTGTCGATGGTTCAATATCAACCGATAGCCTTGTATTAACGTCCTGTTGTTCGAAATTTGAACTTTGTGATTCCTCTTGAAGAATTTCCTTTGGCGGCTCGGTCGATTTAAAGGCAGTGAAGAGTTGAACATCAGATTGTTGACGATTGCCGACAAAATCATTATCATCAGCATAATCATCCTGCAATTGAATCTCTTCTTGATTTGAATTTGTTTTTTCAAATCGAAAATTCGACTCCTGTAAATCATTATCGATTACAGTTTCATTTTCAAAATCAACAGATGTTACAACTTCATTATCTGTTGTTTCTTCAAAATTCGCTTCAATTGTTTGATCAAATAATGTGCCATTATTAAAATTTGATAATTCACTTTGTACTGGATCGGTGACATTTTCAGCGAATGGAGGATCAATGTCAAATTGTAAATTTTCACTATTCTCACACAATAAATCGTTTCTTTCTTCAATTTGAAATTCGGACATTATTTTTCCACTTGCGAGAAATTCAACTGATTGATTATCAACTTGATCTTGTGTTGTAAATTCAGTAACATCATTGACATTCGATGTTGTTGGTTGTGAAAAATTCACATCACAATTTGCAATTCTTGTATCGAGTTGAGCAATAAATGCTTCCTCTTGCGGATCATCCAAATATAAACAATCTTCTCCAAATGGATCACCATCTTTTGAGCCTTGCCTCGACAATTTTGGTTTCTCATTCGTGCCATTGAATACTGCGAAAAAAAGAAAATTTATTAAAATACAAATATAATTTTAATTAAAATTATAATACAAATTTTATAGAGGAAAAAAAAATTCATAATTTTTTTTTTTATTATTTTACCTTTTATACGATATAAAAGACTAAAATCTTTTTAAAAATTGATTCAGTCTTTATATATGATTAAAAATTGAATCAGTTTCAATATCGTCTAGCGGTAATTAAATTACATCCGAGAGTTAATGATGTTACTTTCAATTACCTTGACCTAGCGTTTTCTATTTTTGAAATATGCAAGTGCATTAAACATTTTTCGAGAATTTTGTAGAAAAAAAAGAAAAAAAAAAAACTTGTACAACAAAACGATCATTACATTCTCTTTATATATATGTATATATATATGAAATGTATATATAGAGACAGATATCTATATAACGCATTCGCGTGAGTTATCATAAAGATGCAATTCACGATGATCGATAGATAAGCAAGTAGGACAAGATTTTTATGTAGTATTCTTCAATGATTCAATGAAACTTTCTTATATTTACATTGACTGTCAATATTATGTTATTTTGTGAATTTCATAATAATAACTATAAACAATAAATGCCAAGAATTATCTTGAAAATTGCTATTTATGAAATATAAACTTACACATAAAACATTGAAATGCAATCAATTTCTATTGAAATTACCTTCCGGCTTGGACTTTGTACATTAGGTTTTTTTTTTTGTTTTTACTATTAAAATCAGTTATATTATTTTTTTTCCTCTTTGTTTTGTTAATCAATAATTATTTACATTGTAAATTAATCAAGTTTTCTTTTTACTCTATAAAAAAAAAAAAAAAATTATTTACTTTTTCTAGCAAAATGAAAATTTAATTAAAAAATTGTTGGAAAAAAAATTTTTTTTTTTTTTTGAAACTAAAAAGAAATTCCTCTGTTGACATTTTTTTAATTGAAATGCAAATGAATTGAAAAGTTAAAAAAAAAATTCTTCATTTAAATTTCAGTTTGAGAGGTAACCAGTTTGTGTATATAATACTGCAAAATATTGTTGACCGCATACTTGCATAATTAACACATTTATCATGCATTTAAGAAAGTAATTAGATTACTAGACTTAATGGTTTAATGAATTGAAATGATAGTAGAGTAATTAAAAAAAAATAAAAATTGAAGGACACCCCACAGGGGTCAGTGACCTATCATTGTCACACAAAGTAATTTTAACTCCAAAAAAAAATTTGTTTCTAAATTATCCATTTTTTTTAGCTAACAAATATTATCAGTATAAATAATTTAGAATTTATTTAATAACGATTATTATAGATAATTAAGCATTTAATTTACTTTAAATTACATTTTAATTAATATTTAATTTCTCTCAATGAGAAATTATTTTTCAACGAATTTTAAGTAGATTCAAATAAATTATTAAAATCAAATTAATTTAATTCAATAATAAATTTAAAACAATATTTAAATATATGAAAGTTAAATTCCACAATATTATTAAATTTTGAATTATGTTAAAAAATTAATTCATTCTGTAATTATTATTAAAATTTATTTCAATGATAAATTTAATCCATTTATGCATTTGTCCTCTAATTAAAATTAATGATAAAAAAGATGAAATTATTTTTCCAAATTCAATAAAAAGTAAATGTTCGTTAAATTTAATTAAATAATGAAATATATATTTTTTAATTATAATTCTTATTCAATTTATATTATTTTCGTAATATTAAATAGAAATATTTACTTTATTTTAATATTTTTAAAAAAATGCCGTACCCATGGCAATAAAATAATAGTAATAATTTATATTTGAATTAAATTTTAGATGTCTCTCAAATAATGAAAGAAAAAAAAAATCACAGTTTTATGTAACTTTAAATAAAAAAAAAAAGAATATAATCTTTCTAAATTTAATAACACTGTCATTTAGAAAGTTATTATACTAATAAATTACATCACACAAGACACATAAAATTCTTAAAAGAAAAATGTAGTTAAAAAAAAAAAATGTAACCATCATTCGAATATGATTAGAAAATTCTAATTTCCAGTTTCAAAAGAAATGCAATAAACTGTCTAATTAATAACGGAAATAATTGATAAGACAAGACTATTTTTTAATATCTGAAATTGATAACATATTAATTGAAAAATTCAATTTCAGATTACTTTTTTTTTTTTAATATAGAGAAATAAATGTTTACCAGTATTATCCTGTTCGTTTCCAATGATATTTGTATCATTCCTTAATGTTGATGTATCCAAATCAACACGTCCAATGACTTTAAAATCATTAAACGTTAAATCTAATTCAGGTGGACCGTGCCTGAGTTCTGGTATACCTTTTTGTGATGTTGATGGATCATCAGATCCAATAGATTGTGGTGAAAAATTATCCTCCCAAAAATTAATACTATCCTCCTCAGTAAATGATGATAATGTTTGTTTTAATTTATCCACCGTCTTGGATATTTTCTGTTGTCGTTCCTCCTCTGAACCCAAATGCGGTTCCTGATAATCATCAAAAAAATTTCTTTTCTCACCATCGCGAATATATCTATGTTGCTGTAATTGTTGTTGTTGTTGTTGTTGTTGTTGTTGCTGCTGCTGCTGTTGAAGTCGCTGTGGATTAATTCGTTCATTATCTCTAATTGGTCCCCTACCATGGGGACCCGGAAATCGTACCGGTCGGAAACCACCGTGAAAATTTCCCGGTCCATTATTATAGAAATGTCTTTGGTGTCCCTGATTGTGTCCAATATTATGTCCCTGAAATTGTGGTCCATTATTTGAATGTCGATTAAATCTTTCGGAATTATCCCGCCAACCATCTTGTCCACCACCGCCTGGTGATCGACCTTGTCTTCGATTTGATCCAAAATTCTGATTTAAATTAAAATTTTGATGATTTTGATTTGATCGTCGATTTTGTGTGAAATTTGGATGTGGACCATTAAAACCACCATGTGGTTTTTGTGGACGATTACTTCGCGGTCCGAAGCCTCTTCCTCGAAAACCACTGTTACTCATCACACTCTGTTCAATGCACAGTTTGTCCCTAACCTGAGCCTCATCGACTACATAAGGGATGCTTAATATTTACTTCCTTCTCTGAAATCATAAAAAAAAAAACCAAAAAAAAAAATCACACTGATTTTCTCATTTTCTTTTTCAGAATTTAATTCAGAGAACGATTACCGGGTATACCGAGAAAAGTGCGGTCATTTCTATCATTTCAGAAGTCAAGTGAAATTTTACCAAAAAATTCGCTTATTATTATTATTATTATTATTATTATTACATCGAGAAACAAAAAACAATAAACAAACTGTCAGGAGAATAAAAAAAAGTGAAATAAATTCCAATTAGTATATTCTAGAACGGGATATATTCCCCACACTTGTTAACGACATGTCTTATACAGTCTGTCATGTTTTTTTATTTAACCCTGTTTTGTCCCGGAGGAAGACCTCGCACAAAACTCAGCTCCGTTATCGTTGTCTGAATAATAAAAACACAAATTTATGATTTTCACTTGTTTATCACAATTGCTAAAAATGATATCAATAAAAAGAAACACGGACGCACCTTGACTAAAACGATAAAATACGTTTTACTGCGCAAAACGAACGTGTTTTCACGAGCAGATCGCCATATTGCGTGAGCACTGTTATCATTATTGTCCGCTGTTATTTTGGAGCAGCTCGGAAGCAATTGATGTAAAATAAATATTTAGAAGAAAAAAAAAAATTTTCTTTTAAATCTTTAAAGAAAAAAAAAAAAAAGAATATTACTAAAGATTCATATTTTCATATTTCAATGAAAAGAATAAATTATTAACACTTACTTGAAATTTTGTTAATCATTTATCCATTGATAATCCGATAATCCTTTATAATCATTTTTATGAAAAAATATTCACACATACACTACTTTTTTTTGTTTTTTGTTGAACTCAAATTCTTCGATTTTGTTATGACACAATTATAAATGCTCCAGAACTGATGATTTCACTATTATATTATAATAACCTAACAAATCAAGACATCACAGAGAGGTTAGCTTGTTACTTTCATTTCAATTCAACAATACTTTAATTATACACCAATATCAGGTAATAATATAATTAAATTTATCAATTATGTACAAAATAATAAATTGGCCGTTTTAATATACGGTTTTATAATCGATTTAATAATTATTATTTTCGCACATGTGATCAATCCTGTTAGCAGCGAAAAACTGTTATTAAGGATGCATCACAAGGCCAATCAACTACAAAACTTCTGCTTGTTTTCGTTTCTGATTGGTTAATGAAAACCTGCTGTATAGTTTACGCCATTCACAAGAATGCTTGATCGTGATTGGTTCTTAACAACGACATCTGTTTCCGGTTTCACTTTCATTTAAAGTTTTCATTGTATATAAATGTATTTCCAATATTTGTCTTTGAATGAATATTCGAAGACACATTGAGAGGATTTAATTAAATAATTTTTCAATAATTTCTTCTTGTGGAATATTAAATATTGTTCAAACTGATTTGAATTATTGTTGAGAACTATGTGAGTCAAGTGTATTGTAGAAAGCGCTATGACGATTTCCGGCTGTCAGACTAATGTTGCGATTGCGTGTAGAGCCGCGAGAATCTCTTGGTACTAGTAAAACGTCAGTGTTTTATTGTTTTTTATAAGTGAAGTATTCGTGACAGTGAACTTGTTTGGAATTCGACAGTTAGTGGAGAAAAAAAAAAACTGGTAAGTAACGGTGTTTACAATAAACTCCTATGGTTAAGATGCATCAGCAATGTAGGAAAGATTCTTGGAAATTCATGTAAAAATGGTTGTTGCTCTATGCAGCACACACCTATCGATTTTTTAACCTCCCAACCACACTAGTTTCTTTTTATTTTCTCCATTTGCACATTATTCACTTATAATATTATTGTGATTATAATTTCTCTTACATTTATTTTATTTTCACACAAAATTTATATACACATTCAATTATTAATTAATTTACACATTTAATTATTTTTTTCAAGATATAGAAATAAAAATATTGCTTGTCTTATCATTGTTGCATTTTGTTTACGTATTTTTTTTCGATTTACATGAATTTACATATTTTTAAAATGTTTTCATTAAAAACCAAATTTATTGCATTTTATATAGGGGAGGATTTTTTTAAAAATTATTTTTAATAAAAATGAAAAATAATATTTTTAATAGAAAAAAAGTTTATGTTTAAAAAATTTTTTTAATTTAAAAAAACTGGAAATTGAAAGAATGTGAGGTAAATGAGAAATATGTAATAGTATTTAAATTACTTTATCAAACGAATTTTTTCTTTTTTGCTAAAAAAAATTGATTTTTATTAATGATAACTCACAATATTGATAAAAATCAATGTCGTAAAGATCCTCGAACCATGCCGTTATTGGAGATTGAACGGACATTTCACGTTTAGTGCAGTTACATCGCGTGACTGAAAGTAAACGAGCGTGTTTGATATTCTCGTACACACGCTTTTTTTTTCTTTTTTTTTTTGATAATATAATCAGTTGATTATAAAAGATTCGGGAGCGCCCTAGAAAGACAATTTTCTTAATTTCTAGTTAAAAATTTGATTAAAAATAATAAAATATAATAATGAATTATTAATTTAAAATTTTATTCCTAGAATTAGAAACAGACCTTAAAGAGAAAGTTAATTGTTTCTTGTATAATATCTGTTGATAGAATAATGATACACAAATTCCATATTTATCTTTTGGAAGAAAAAAATAAATTTCAATTTTTCAAAAATAGAATAAATTTTCTTAAAATAAAAAAATTATTTTTTATTTAAAAAATTGATTTAGTGTTTCTTTTTTTTACAGAGAAGGAAGATAAAATTTTATCTATTTTTAAAAATGGATGACATAAAAAATATTTTGCAAAGAAATTTATTAGAATTTGGAATTTAGATTTGAGAAAATTTTTTTCTTTTTTTTTAATCTTCAAATTGGCTTCTTGAAAAATATTACGCCAGAGGAATTAACAATTAACATTGACCTCTTTGGATCTAATTATTCATCACGTAATTGAAGCTCTCAAAATACAAGTCTAGATTTATCCAAGTTTTTTTTTTTTGTCGATTAGACGAGAAATATAAAAGTGAAAGTAAGGATAATAATTGTTGTAATTTATTATCGAGAAAGGAAATTAAAACAATTTAGCAAAAAAAAAGGTAAAATTTTACACATTTATAAAATTAATTTTGAAACTTAATACAAATTTCATTTTGGAGCAATTTTTTTTTTTTAGATGGCAAAAAGGAAGATTTTGAAAAAGGAGAAATTTTATACTATATTAAAATCTAAATCGCTGAAGCTGGTTTTTTTCTCTCTCTCTCTCTCGGTTATTTGGAGTTTGATTAATGATTGGAATCTAAAGTAAAAGGCATAAAATCAATAAGGGTATTGTGTTGTAGCCTTTTACAGAAGAGCGTTTATACAACCTTGCAACGAGTGATGAAACACCCCACTTTTCTCCCAATAGATATACTTGAGGTGACCTGTAGTGTGCTGCGCCGACCTTGGTCATGGTCACGCAGGTCGCTGGCACACCAGTCTACTCTAATGCCAAAGAAAATTGTCACGATTGTTCTTATTCTGCACTATTGCCAGTGCATTAAAGACAACAACAAAAAAAACAAACTTTCCATTGAAAAATATCCTCCATTAACGATATTTATTTTACAACAATCTTTTCACCGAAAAATTTTCCTAATCAATTAATTAAGTTTTTTCATCAGGAAAAACTTTAGAATAAAAAACTAAAGTGCCTGAAGTTTTATATTCATCGTTAAAAATTTCCCCAAAAAAAAAAAATTGTCAAAAATAATAATCTGTATAAATTGTATATATAAAAGAATAATTTCCTGCGCGGAGAAATTGACCTGCAATTTAAATTACAGTTACGTTAATACCCAGGTTCAATGTTCGAGATCTAAATGTCGTTAGTCAACTTTCACATAGTAAAACAGCAATAATAAAATTCCTAATTACTCAACGAAAGTTGACAAAAAAAAGTCTCACCTTTTTTTTGAAGATTTGACTGAAAAAATTCATGATTTTTTCCGACTCCAATTTTATTGTCAAAAGAAATAGAGAGAGAGAGAGATATTAGCCTATAAATGAAAATAGAATTTATTATTATTATATTGACAAAGTGAGACAGAACTGTCGATGTATAGATAGAATGTGGAAGCCAATTAATTGTTAATCAATATTCGATTCACGCACGACGATAATGACGCACTCTGAAAATGATTAGTCTTCTATTCTGCCAATAATGATAAAATAAAATCCAATTTTAAAATGAAAAAAAAAAAGTTGAGTGTTTAATGAGAATGTGAAAAATTTTTGCAAAATAATTATCAATTAGTTATTTTGTTTATCATAATTAGGAAAAATGAAATTTCCGGTTTTTTTTTCTCTAATTGACTTTTTTTTTCTACTTCCATGTTTTGAAAACTTAAAGAGCTTTTTAAAAACTTTCGTTAAATTGGAGAAACTGATCTGTAAATTCATATCCTGGGACATTAAATTTTAGATATAGGAATGATGCTCATTTACACTAGGCGATAAATATTCATTAAAAAAAAACCCCTCAATTTTGAACGGGACGATAATTACGGTATTTTCTTAATTAGATAATACGATAAATTGCAAGGGTATGACTCAAAAAATATTTAAGCAACGATTTTCTCCTTTTTATTATTTATTTTCTCCGCTTTAGTTATTTTCATTTTTTAATTTATTTTTTTTCACATTCTTTTGTTTCTATTTTCTTTTTTTTTGTTTTCAATTCTCAATTTTCTTGAATTTATTTATTTCTCCGATATTTAATTTTAAAAGCGTAATTTATTGACAATTTTATTTTTTATTTACAGGATTTAAATTAACGTGAAAAGGCGGAGAGATATTTCGAAACTTCTTTATAGAGAGGATTCTCTCTCTCTTTCTCTTTTCGTAAATAATTCGAAGCTCTGCATAAATAATAAGCACAGAGAGATCGTATTTGGTGGATGTCTCTAGTTTTTCTTTTTTGAAAAATTCTTGGTCCAGAATATTGGAGGTCAACTTACTTTTATCGATTTAAAAATAGAATTAATGGGGAAAAAAAATCATCATCATCATCATGAGCAATAAAAAAAAATCACGTGACTAGATATCTCCGCCGGAACATGATTCTCGAGGGCGGAAAAAAAAATTAATTGTGAGGGAGAAATAATTGGTGCCAGTCGTAGTTGATATTTGAACGTTGTGAGAAGTGTTTTTCCAATGGATCCTGGCTGATTTTGCGCGGCTGAAATGAGAGAAAAAGAATATATGTATATAGCGGTAGGAAAATTGGAGTCCTTTTTCTCTTCGCGCGCGTGCGGAAGTTATCGACTTGCGCCGAAGCAATTGTGTTCGGTTATTCCCGCGAATCCTCGGTTGTCCTTTTGTCCTCTCTCTCTCTCTCGTCATTTAGAAATTTTTGCAAATTTCTTATTCTCCTCCTGATCATGGTGGTGATTCGGTGACGTATCTTCTCGTAGTTTTCGAGTCATTTTCCACACACAAAAAAAGAGGTGGAAAAAAAAAATCACTGTTCTGTGCTCCTCATGATCCCAGAGAGTCGTCCTTCTGAGGAAATTCTCTCAGCTTCAAAATCGAGGTGATCGTCAATCCAAGGACCAGAGGTGACCCTGTATCACAAAAAAAAAAAAAAAAAAAAGATTTAACACTCTTTTTTTCCTTTAGAAACGAGATTTCTTTATTTCATTTTTGTGATTATCCTCCACGACATTCATTTGACATTTAGTTAGACTTCAAAGTGTTTTTTCAAAATTAATTTTCCATTTTGTAATTTTTTGAGAAATGTTATTTTTTTCAAATTCTTATGGTGGTTTTGATTTTTTGAAAGTGGTGCTACTGAAAAAGAAATTGGAGGTATTTTTTTTTTTTTATCTATCATAATGACGAATCATTGCATGTACTAAAGACGGGGTATACACGTGGTGTTTGCACTTGCGCGCAAAACGATACAAGCTATTGATTTTCTCTACTCCTATACACCTTTCTCTTCTTCGGTTAGAATTTGCTTTTCCACCTTCTCTGTTTCTATCTATGTCTCTCTCTTTCTACCCATTTACGATCATTGCAAACTACCTTATCGGTTGACAAGATCGATCCATCGATCAATTGCCCTTTGAAGATCATTCTGCCATACAGAAAAAAAAAAGTAGAAAAAAAAAATGATCACTGTCGAAAAGTTCATTGGAGCAGAATTAATTTGAACTCGTTCTTTTTTCGAGTGAACAAATCACTCGTCTATGAGCGGATAATATTGCTAAATATTGTGCAACGGTCGAGAGAATTTTTATTTGTAGCACAATTTAGTGTTGCAATCATTTTTTTTTTCTTTATTTAGTTTTGGCGTTTTTTTTATTTTCGTTTCACCTTTTGGTCGACTTTCTATGGTTTCGAATTTTAATTTTATATATTGAATTTAATAATTCAATTTACTTTGAATGACATTGAAATATTCAAATCACTTTGCAATAGACTGAAAGTATTTTTCTTATTATTTTCAAACATCTGGTTTTTGTTTGCTATTATTCATTATTCATGAATAGTGACATTAGTGGAATTTGAAAATAAAAATGATGTAAATCTTGTATTTTAAAAACAAAAAATTATGAGAACATTTTTTTTTATAAATAACAGTGAATAAATAAAATAGTAATAATGAAAAAAAAAATGATTGAGTAAAGAGAAACAAAAAGCTGATGATTTATTTTTTTTTCAGGAGACAGAGTTGTCGTTCGCTTGAAAAAGTAACGTCGACAGTCGACGTTGAAGAAGAAATTTAGGTGTCAACGGAAAGGTTAACAGGAAAGAGGGACAGTAAATTGCAGCAAATATGCCGGCCCCAACGTCAGCTGAAGCGCATGGCGAGACAGGCCCGCCGAGAACGGAACTGCAGGAATTGCAAATGAAATCACAGCAAACGGCAGATGAGGTGAAAAATTCATTAAATTTTTCCTATTCTAAAAATGAAAAAATTATCTGCAAATTTTATTTCCATTTTTTTTTTGTATAAAATTTCATCTTCTTTATTTTTTTTTGCCAAATATGCTAATGAGTTGCCAAATTTGTTTTTGTAGCAAGAATTTAATTTTTGAAAAAGTTTTCCCATTAAGAAGTTTTTCGATTTTTTTTTTACAGGAAAATTCATTTTAACTGAAAACATTTTATTGAAAAGTTTTTCAATAGAAAAATTTTATCTCTAATTTTTTTTGAGCATATATATATATAGCGAGGAATCAATTATCATCTGATAATAATTTTTTTAGTGTATCCGAAAGATTCTTGAAAAAAAAAAATCGAGAGAGGAAAACTAAATGAGATATATTCTTATCTTTTCGACGTTAATCTCCCAGGCCTTTTTGAACTTCCAAAAAAAAAAAAAAAAAACAACTAATAAGGCTTTATATATTTTTTTTCTTACTCACATTTATTTGAAAATCATATATAAAAAGTCGTAAAATTTTAATTACATAAAATTAGATAAATTCGTAAAAGCAAAATAGGGCACAATTACGAAACTAATATATAATAATTCTAATTATCAAATTAATTAAAATTAAAATTTATGAAAATTGAATTAATATTGTGATAAGGATTTTAATTATCAAATTAATGATAATTTTTTTATTAATTTCAAATAAATTTAATTAACAAATTGTTAGTGAAAATAAAATTAACAGTGATTACAAATTATTAAAAAATAATATTTTTAAAAAATACTTCAAAAAAATATTTAAAAATTATTAATCACATTTATCAATGATAAATTGTCAATTAATTGAATAGTTGATAAATTGAATTTTAATATTAATAGAGAGTATTATTATTATTATTATTATAATGGAAGTTTTAATTTAATTCGAGAAATAATTGCTACCACTTAATAATAATTATTATTTTTTAATTATTTTTTTTTAATTATTTAATTTTTTAAATTTCAGTCGCTGGAAAGTACGAGACGAATGTTGGCATTATGCGAGGAGGTAAGTCACTTTTAAAAGCAAGACTATTTTTTCCTCGTATATTCTATAATTGTCTCTTGAAATCAGGGACTTGAAAGCTTTACAAGGCTCGTCGCATCGACGTCCTGTTTTAATCACTAATCGCATGGCGAGCACACATTGCATTCCTTCTTTGCTTCAAATTAATATGTAAACGCTATTCTATTCAATGAATTCATTCTAATTGAATTTGAATCGAAAATTTTTTTTTTCTCTCTCTCTTCTTTTTACTCGTTGAAATGATAAACGTCGAACGATCAGCGTTTGTAAAGCTAAAACTATTTAATCATATATGTAATCAAGAGCATAAAATATTGTAAAACCACACAGACACCACGTCTCCAGCCTTAAAGCCATTTTTTAAAAAAATTAGTTAATTTAATAATTATTTAACAGAAATTGAAAATAAAATCGCCTAAAAAAATAAATTAAGATTGATGCTGTGATGCGTTGCCTGTGTGGTAAATTGGCTCTCGGATTAGATTCTTAGGTGTAAGATTATAAAAAAAAAAAAAAAAAAGTGATGACTCGTCGTCGTCGTCGTCGTTCCAAGTAAAGATGCGAATTGGAAAAAAAAAATCTGCGTGTTATCCTCCGTTTTGAAGGATTCGTCTTCTAGGGCCCACCGCATTGCATCCTGTGTCTGTGTACCTTCCTCATGTGATTTCATCGACTGTTCCATCGACGTCAGTGTGTGGAAGATGATCCCCTTCTATTTTTTTTTTTTGCATCTGTTTTTTGACCTTCTATTCCGTGGCACACCCCTAATTGATCCTTCTATGTGTTATTTTTTTTCTTTTTTTTTTGTTCACTGTTCTTTCAAATGCTCCTGTTTTTACCCTCTCACTCCACTCTTTATTCTCTCAGCGAGCAATAAAACGTCGACGAGCGTAGGATGACTACATTTTTATCAAGAGGGGTTGGTGGATGAACCCTCTTTTGTCAGTCCCCCCTTTTTTTTATCTCTCTCTTTCTCTCTTTTTTTTCCATTCATTTCTATTTTTCGGCTCGTTATTTTTATCTCTATTTTTCGTTTTTTAGTTTTGCTATTTTTTATTTGAATATTTTTATTTTTCAAATATCGCTTTTTTTCTGTTTCGTTATTGAGATATATTTTTTTTTTATTTAATGTCATTTGAAAATAAATATATTAGAATAAAAAAATTAATTTTTAATTTAAATAATTAAAAAATTGCAATGGAGAAAAATTAAAAATCACACGAGTGCATTGATCTAGTAATCGTGAATAAGAGGAATTGATAAAAATGATAAGACGCAAGAAGCTGGTATCGAAAGTGGAGGCGTTGAATGACCTTTCACCTCGTAAATAGCTTTCTTGATACAGTCGGAGACATTAGCTGCACTTGTCTCATCGATTTTTCAAAGGGCTCTAAGTCATAACTGACTTCTTTTTTAAATTTCATAATTTTATTATTTTATTTATTTTTATTGAAATAAATAATTTTTTTTTTTTTACTATTTCTAATTATAATTTTTTTTTTAAATTTTTTAGTAAAAATATTTCTAATTATTATAATTGAAAATGGATCATTTTAATCAAAAACAAATTTGAAATATTCTCACAATAATTATTTAGAAAAAAAAATTTTTTTTTTTAAATTTGAATGTAAAATAACGGAACCACTTTCATTATTCCAGAATAATATTTTGCCTTGACATTTACCATTTTTATCAATATCAAATATATAATTTTCAACTCAGTTTGTATATTCGTATCGATATTTTTCCATAAGGAATTATTTTTTCTTTATTGAAATTGGAAAAAATTGAAAATTTAAACAAAATTATTTTTAATTAAACTATAAAAAAATTAATTTGAAAATAAAAAAATTTGATAAATATTTCAAAAATGAAATTATTAAAAATAAATTATAAATTAATTAAATTCCTACGCTCGTCGAAAATTATTTGCAATCAAAATAGTTTCTGCCTAATAATTGTCTCTCTCTCTATTTTTCTCTTTCTATTTCTCTCTCTCTCTCTCTCTCCAGATCTTTTGTCAATCGATCAATTTTTTCAAATTGATCAAATGGTTTTATGGTATTACACAAAAAAAAAAAAAATTAGGAATTTTTATGATAATTGTGTTGATGTACGTACACACAACCACACGTGCTGTGTTGCTGCTGCTGTTGCTGCCAAATTGCTGGCGTTGCTCTTTTGCTGTCTTTCTATGATGTTAGTGGCTGACCTGTTGTACTATCTGTGTTTTAAGTGTCTAAAAAAAAAAAAACTTAAAAAAAATACTACTACTGAAATCCAGACACAAAAAAAAGATAGTCTAAAAAAAAAAATTCACACCTAGGCAGGCACGAGGATCCAGCATCTCGCACTTTTTTGTCCTATTTTTTTCCCTTTTTCTGTTTTTTTTAAAAGAATTTTTTTTTTCTAATCCAATAACCAAAACGCATGATTTTTATAATTCTCCTTTTTTTCAATGCTTTTAGAAATTGAAAAAAAAAATAATGTTTAAAATTCAGATTCTGAAAATATTAATATTTAAAAAAAAAAATGAAAATTCAAATTATTTTTTATTTATTTATTTATCATTGTTACTGGCACAATATCCTTGACCCTGTTTTCTGCAAATTTTATATACGATATCTTAATTCCGATTTTTAATCTCTTGGATATTTGAAAGGGCATGCACACGCATGGTGAGCCCACTTGCATTATCTTTGATGTCTCTATACCTTTGCTCTATTTTTCTGTCTAATTTTCCATTTCTCTGTATCTCTCTCTCTCTCTCTATTTCTCTCTCACCATTATTTTCAATCCTATACACTGAGGCGTGACGTCATCGCATATTTCAAGGACAATTTTTTTTGATTATTTAATAGGGGGAAAAAATTATTAAATTTTTTTTTTGAAAATTGCTCTTTTCCAATTTCATAATAATTTTTTTTTCGAATAAAATTGAAAATACCATTTTTGCCGTAATGAGAAAAAAAAATTACTTTCTCGTGTAAATTGTTTCCTTTCAACAATAATGACTCGTGACTTGATTATGTATATTTAAAATAATGATTGAAACAAATATGACGTAATTTTTCCTTTATAAAATAAAAAAAAAAGTGCGAAGAATTTCTATTATAAATATTTTTTTTTATTATTTCTCTTTTATGCAAAAATATATTATTTTTTTTTCTTTTTTTAAATCTACAGTCTATAGTTTTAATGTAATCGATTGACTTGTATACTGTCTCATATTTTATTGAAAGAATTTATTTATTTTTATATTTAAAATTGTCACCCTTGTGAATTTATTGTTGAAATCAATCACGATTCATTGAAACTTTTTCAAAATCTCCTCGACTTTTATTGATTTATTTGTATAGATATTTTAATATTCAAATTAAATCCTCCAAGAGTTTATTTTCAATTTATTTTAAAGGTTTATTTTTCCTTTTTTTTTATTACAATTCTTAAATAACGAAATTCGATTTTTTTTCCAAATTAAAATTTTCTTTTTGTTTTATTATATGAATTCTAATGGTTTTTTAAAAATTTTTTTCAGGTAGAGATTATTAGAAATTATTTTATTTTTTCTGAATATTGGAAAATGTCTTGAAATTTATGGGAACGTGTTACGCCTCGAGTTTTTATATATTATTGATGTCCTCAATATATAATAATGATAATAATTAAATTGGAAATTCTGCACTCAACTCATCTACTCACTCAACTCATTCTCAATCGTTTTGGACTGATATATCACCAATCACCATATCACCTTCCTGAAAAATGATGATTTTTTTTTTTAAACCAGCCAGAACAAGTACACGTCTGGACAGGTACACACCGTCACTCTCGCAAAGAATTAACGAGAGGCTCGAATTTAAAATTATTATTTCATTTGAAATAATGATAAAAATTTTAATGCAAGCAAAAATTTCTATTTAAAGAAGACATAAAGATTAATATTCAATTATAATAATAATAATAATAATTGCCAAAGCGTGGGAAAAATGAAAAAAAAAAGAAATCGCTCGAGTCGAGCAATTAAAATCGGTTTTATTTATTTTTACCATTTTTAGAATTTTCATTATAAAGTTTAATGTTTTTTTTTGTTTTCTTTTTCTAGTCTATATTATTCGAACTGTTGCAATTAAATTAGTTTTGCTTTTTTTGAAAATTTTCAAAAAAAAATTATTTAATTTAAATATTTGTTAAATAATTTTTGATTTTGATTATTTAAAATAATTTAATATTCAACATTTTTTTTTTTGAAGTTATTTCGGTTTTTTTATTTTTAATTTCTTTTTTCGTTTCTTAATTTAATTCGAGCCTATCGGGGGTTTTTTTTTTTGGATAAAATGCGGTTCAATGACGGGAGTGACGAGACAGACGATCCTTCAGGTTCTATTCTATTATAATTGTTAAAAAACTAATACTTAAAAGAGGAAGCACACGAACTGCTTTCCTTAATAAAAAAAAGAAAAATTAAATAATACACACGAGAATAGAAGAAAAAAATATATATTCCTCGATTTTTCCCGTAACAGAGAATATCGATTCGTAAAAAAAAGTGTAAAGAAAAAATTTTAGAATTTAATTTATAATTTAAATTATCATTTTTGATATTTAAAAAAAAAATAATTTAATTTTATAATTCTTTTTTATAAATTCTATTTATTGGGGAAAAATATTTTAATATGAAATTTTTTTTTCAAAAAAAAATTTTTGGAATCTCCAAAAAAAATTTGGCGATTAGAATAAAGAAAATAAAAAAAGTAAATAGAGAGAAGAATAAAAAAAAAAAGAAAGAAATTGTTAAATTTTTAGAATTAATTTTTTGCTATATGAATGTCGAGAGGAAATCGTGTGCTTCCTCTTTTGCAAAAGCTTTTGAAAAGCATCACGCATCGTTTACTCTTTTATACTATCCATATATACTAATTACCTACTAATATTACTATATATACTATATACGAACTCTTTAACACTGGTGGTGGTTGTTTGTGTTGTGCTGCCTCATTTCTGTAGAGCAAGGAGGCCGGCATCCGTACTCTGGTCGCACTCGATGACCAGGGAGGTGAGTCTATCGCTCTTTTACCAAAAAAAAAAAAAAAAAAAAAATATATAAAAAGCAAATTCTACCGATTCAGAAGGAAAAAAAAAACAAAAAATAAAAAATTCCCTTTTTTAATCCCCAACGTTTTTTCAGAAGCCAGACTTGTTCAAATTCAACAATTTTTATTAATAGTTTTATAGAAAGTAAAGGAATTAACTTATTAAATATTTAATTTTTTTTACAAATTAAAATTAAAAATATTTTAGCATTAATTTTTTTTTTCATCCTAATTTTCTTTTATTTCGAAAAATATATGAAAAAAAACTAATTGTAAAATAGAATTGAAATTTTATCCCTTTTTTTATAAATTTCTGCCCAAAGGTAACAAAATTTGCTCTTGTAGCATGAATAATAAAAAAAATTTTTTTGATATACACGTCCTTGCTTTCGTTGGTTGGTAAGGTGTTGGTTGACAATCGTACGAGAATAATAATTTACTAAAAAAGAAGAAATAATTAAAAAAAAAAGTAACTTGATTGCTGTTACAATAAGTGTAATTTAATATTATATAAATTAATTTGTGGAAAATTAGTTGGTCTTGAAGAAACCAATAATGGTGAGGCTGATAAATTTGCTTAATTAAAGGGCCAATCATGATAGGCTTTAGTCTCTTCCCAAGGGGTTACAGTTCCTCAAAGTATACACTTCACCCAAAACATTAACTGTGATGAAAAATAATATAAAAAAAAATTTAGAACAAAAAAAAAATTTTAAACAAAAAAAAATTTAGAACAAAAAAAAATAAATTTAATATTAAGAAAAAAGGACAAACATTCTTGACACTTGACAAAGAAAAAAAAATCGATTTTTAGATTTTTAGTAACACTTGATTTTTAGAATTAGGATTTTTATTTTCTACTCTTATCTCTATAAATTTTTACTTTCACTATTTTTTTTATCTTTTTCAAACAATTTTTCAAAACAAAATTTTCAATGCCGGTAGTGCTACTATTTGAATACTGCTACTACTATACAACAACTTCTAGAACCTATTTTTTTTTTTTATTTTATTCTTACCAAAACGGACTTAATTTTTTTTTCTGATACATGCTATTACTAATTTTAATACTATTTCTACTAGTTCTAGTAATTACTAATTTTACTACTACTAAACTAATATTGGAATACTATTTACTAAATTACTACTGCTACCGCTACTGCTACGCTCTACTACAGAAAAAAAAAATCTATTTTTTTTATTTTTTTTTTTTATTAATGTTATAATATTAATACTCACAGTAGCTTGTCAAAGATCTCTGTCTCTTTCTCTGTGTTTGTCTATGTTCCTTATAACCGATTATGTCCTGTCCAATTATTAAAAAAAAAGAAAAAAAAACCTGGCCAAAAAAATTCGAAATTTTTTTAACAATTAAAATTTATTCATGAAGCTGATTTCAAAAAAAAAAATTCATTCACAGTGTAATATTTATCGTCAGCTTTTTGAGAGTCCCAAAAAATATAGTTTCAATTTGAATTAAATTTAAAAAATTTTTTATTTTAAGGGCCATATAAAAAAAAATATAAAAGAACTCGTAAAAAAAAAAAATTACAGACAATAAAATTATTGTGACAATAAAATGAAAATAATATAATACGACAATAAAATATTTGAAATCAATTTACAATTGCAATTATTTATGTATTAAATTTGCTACACGGTAATAAAAAAAATTGTTTTTGTAATTTTATTTTTTTTTTTAATAATTATGGTTTTATTGGAACTTTCCTAAAAGCTGTCGCATAAAATTACACGGAAAATAACAACTTTTTAAATTAAAAAAAAAAAAATGGAAAAAATGCGTGTTTGTGCGCGTGCACATTTTTTCCCAATTTTTTTTTTTCACTTCAAAATATATTTTTTTTCTCTACGTACTTTTTTTTAATTTTCTTACTCCAATTTCGAATTTTTTTCAAAAAAAAAAATTAAATTTTTTTTTTTGAACGGATTAATTGATTTAAAACTAAAAATTAATATTTACGATTATTTTTTTTAATTTAATATATACATTTGGAATTTTCAGAGTGAAAAAAAAAAATATTTTTTTTCTCCGTTTTGGGAATTTTTATTTAGTAAAAAAATTTTTGGAGGGCGCGCGACTAATTTATTTTTAAAAAAATTTATTTTAAAAAATTTATTTTAAAAGACTAATTTATTAAAATCATTTCGTGCGCGCTCGCAGACACGTTTTCATTATTAGTTTACATCTAAAAAAAAAAAGGCTTCTAGCTGTGTTGCTTTATAATTCTAGCGATAATTCGTTTCACATATATTTGCAACATATTTGTTATAGCAGTAGCTGTCTGTACCATGTAATAATTGTTAGATATCATTTTTTTTCAGTTTTTAATTATCTCTCATTGCATTTATTTTCTACTTTTTTTTTCTTTTAAAAATTATTTAATTTGTTAAATAAATATTTTATTTCAATCGAATTAACAAATATAAAAAAAACAGTATTCATTTTTTTAAATGTTTTTAATTTACCATTTTTGATTTTGATACTTTTATCAATAAATTTCTCATATCTAGAAAATAGTAAAAAAAATATTATTTTTCATAATCATTTCATTCGCGTTTTTTATTTTTGTCCTGAAAAAAAATTTATCACTCGTTAAATAATTTTTTGGAAAATATAAAAATTGACAATTTTGATTTTTTATTTTAAAAAAAATTTGTTTTAATTTAAAAAGTTGTTATTTAATTCTGTTTCAAATTTTGAGATTTTAATATCGCAAAAACAACTTGTTGGAAATTTTCTCATTAAGAAATTTAATTCTATCTCACTACCGAGAGAAGTTTATTTAAATTAACATCAGCGAGTGGTAATTTGTTTGTAATAAGCTTTTTTGTTTATTTTGCCTCTCATCACACTATCTCATGGACCCTATTTATTATTTTACACCGTTCGTTTCGTCTCAAGAATATTTTCTTTTTTCAAAACTGAAAAATAATTATTATTACCAAAAAAAAAAATAAAATTTATTGTTAATAATAATTAAATTTTTTATTTTAATAATTAACTAAAATTATTTATATAAATTAATAAAATAATTATTTTAAACAAAAAAGTCGAAACGTGCGGTGCATTTTTTTTTTTGTCCGAATTTTTTCCGCAGTTTTTTTTTTTGCATCACTGAATGATTTTTCATTTCCGTTTCGTGGGCCAATTGTAGAGCGAGGAAACCGGAGCGAACGTACTGACGATGTTAGACCACCAAGGCGGTAAGCAAGAAATTTTTGAAAAGCAAAATTAAATGCAAAATTGAATTCGATTTTTTAAATGTGGCTATATTATATTTGGTCGCGGCTGCTGCTATATATTTATCTTCTCTCTGGCCAAAAGGACCGTGTTTAAATGTGCGAATTTTTCCTATATATTTCTAATCTTGATTCTAAATTCTTTTTTTTTTTCTATAACTTACTAATATTCTAACCATTTTTTTTTTGTCTTATTGCTTATTTCGCTCGGTGTCTCTTCGTCGCTCTCGGCATATTTTAATTATTGCCGTCAATTTTTAAAAAAGAGACAAAAAATATTTTTATTTATTTAATATTGAAAAAAAGATTTGACTGGAATAAATTTATTAGTATTTTTAAAAATAATTTTTTTTCTAAATTCTAATCGAATCTTTTTTTTTTTGCAGTGGAAAATTCATCTACGTTTGCACCAGATTGCTTCCAATTTGTATAGTAAAAAAAAAGAATAATTTAATTGAAGATAATAAATTATTGGATAAATTTTTTGAATAATGGAAGAAAAAGAAGAGAGAAATGAAAAGCTGATATAAACAAGTTGGAATTAAATTCCGGTGGAAACGAAGAGATTGAATTTATAATTAATCAAAAGTTGTCTGTTAGTAATAGCAGTTTACAACATTATCCAGAAGAGCATCTTTTTGTTTTCTGTGTTTTTGAATTTATATAATGGAAATATTCTCATAAAAGGTCTTTATCATTGTTATCATTTACGAGAAGATTACATCAATTTACATCGACGACTAACCATTTTATAAATCCTCTCATCCCTCCGGAGGACTAATTTATTATCAAGGGCTATTATATGCAACGTATAAACGACGCTAGATGAATATTTTAACTCTTTCGTTCCCAGGATTTACTTCTTGTAAATGTAAATTGCATTTTTTTTGTTCCTTTTTTTTGTTTTCCATATTTTCTCTCGCTTTCTTAATTCTTAACGATAAAATAAAAATTATTTTTTTTTTCGAAAAAAGGAGATAATTCCGGGAACGATGAGTTTTTTTTTTTTTTGACTCGGTGATTTTCTCTGATGTTAACGTCGGTTGCCTGTTTAGAGCCACGAGGTCGGGATGAAAAGCCTCGTTATGCTGGACGAACAAGGCGGTAAGCCATCTCACCTAGCTAGTTTAAAATAATATAATTGTCAAATTATTTAAAAAAAAAAATAGTAAAAAATAATTTTTTTTTTTTAAAATGATAATCATTAAATTGTCCAACACAAGCAGAGCTCGTACGAAAAAAAAAAAATAACCCACCTCGCCGACACATACGTTGACACACACGTTGAACACAAAAGCAAGTTGTACGTAAGTTCAAGTTGGTCCCGAGGCCAATGAAAAAGAAAAAAAAAAAAAAAAACTGAATCGGGGGACACCGAACGGAGCTCTTCTTACTCTCCTTGTGTACTTTTCAATGTACGTACGGAAAAAAAAATCTAAAAAAAAACCGCTTTTTTTTTTTTTACTAATCATCGATACTAATTTACTAATTACTAATATCATTTTCTCGCACTGACACCTTAATAGCCAACGTTCAAAAATAATTAAATCCTTTGTAAAAAAAAAGGTTTCACACTCGTGGTCCAAGTTCTTTTATTATAAAAACAATTTTCTCATTTTGAGATTCAATTTTTTTTATCTAATTTTTAATTTGATATTGATTTAACAAAAATGATTCTATGAAAAATGTTAATTTAAAAAAAAAATTCAGAATAATTATTTAATTTTAATAAATTATAAAAAAAAAAATTAATTTCACTTGAATACAAATAATTAAAAAAAATTTTTTTTGAGATTTCACAAACTTCGACCACACCGGTCTAATTTTCTACTCGTCACCTTCATCTTTTTTTTTTAATACCCGCAATTTTTCTACTAAAAAAAATGCATTCTTAGTTACGTAACAAATATTCAAACACAATCGTACTTCGTGCAAAAAACGAGAAACCATTGCTTTTTTTTATATTCAATTATGTTATTTGTAAATTTATTTATTCCTCCGAAGTATTGTCATTATATATTTCATCTGTAATTTTGAAACTTTCTCTCTTACTCTACCTCTCATAGAATACGTGTTTTTTTTTTTAAATATCAATGTATTGGATAAAATTGAATTTTTTAAAAAATTGTAATTTTTTTATTTATTTTAAAAAAAAAAATGTTGTGTGTATATTTGTTTGAGTGTATCGGTCTGAATGTTTTGCATGTTTGTATGAATGTTTTCTTGAATGTTGCACGTATGTATTTTTGTGTGTGAATATAATTGATTTTTTTTACCGAGCTTCTAAATTAAAAATTTTTGTCAAAAAAATTTTTTTCAAAATTTTTTTCTATTAAAATTTTATCTCTCCATATTGACAATTTTTCAAAAATTAAATTTGATTTATTATTTTAATAATAAAAATTATTTTTTTCTAATATTGGAACAAAAAAAAATAACGATGAAAAATTTGTATCGATAAAATAAATTGAATGACTGTGCGAATGAGAGAAATTCCCATTTTTTTTTTATTAAAATAAAATTAACTTTTCAATTTTTCTCGAAGGCCTGGTTTCTGGTAATTTGCACGAATCGTATTCGATTCGCAAAAGGTCATTTGAATCCGAATAAAGAAATTTTTTCCATGCCAATAAAAAATAATATTTCATCGAGAAAAATTTATTCCTTAAATTTTAAGCGAACAATTTTTTTTTTTTTAAATTATAATAATTATTTATAATCGGGGTGTTTTTTTTTCGCTCGGTAAAAAATGACCTCTCGCAAAAACAAAAATGTTTAAAAACAACCAGCCTTTAATTGTTTTAAAATAAAAAAAAAAAAGTCAACGATTTGGAAACTACTAGACTTGTATTTGTTAAATGTTAATCTTTACCGTTCCCTTGTCTCTTGTTGTTTCTTTTTCAAAAAAAAAAGTCTTTTAGTTTCCAGTCGTCAATTTTTCATAGTAGAGAATATTTTACTAAAAAATTTTCCTTTTTTTCCAAATCCCCCTATGATGAAAACAGAACAATTGGATCGAATCGAGGAGGGAATGGACCAGATCAATGCTGATATGCGAGAAGCTGAGAAAAACCTGACAGGAATGGAAAAATGCTGTGGACTTTGTGTACTTCCTTGTAACAAGTATGAAAATTTTCTTTTGATCATTTTTAAAACTCAATATTTACTTGGAAAAAAAATAATTATTTTTTAAAAATAGAATTTTCTCTTCTCATTTTCAGTCTAATTAAAAAAAAATGAATATAGTAACGAGAGAAGTATATTCAATTTATATTGCGTGACTTGAGACGAGAGAATAAAAAAAAAGAAATAACTTTTTCATTGGATTCTCGATTTATTCGTTTTATAAAAACAATTGTATTATACGATCTTAAAATAAATAAAACAGAGAATTTCTAACGATTGAAAATATAGAATACAACCGGAGATGCTATTCAGTTTGTTTTATATTTTTTTTTTTATCATAAAAATCATGGATTTCTTGTTTCAAAAAGAATAAAAATACAGCATACTTTTATTTTTTTTTATAGAAATTATTTAAATTTTGCAATAAATTCCGATTATATTGAAAAATTATTTTTTTTTTATTAAAGAGAAAAATTTCCAAGGAAATAGTGAAAATATTTTTCTTTTTGTCGAATTTTCTAAAGTGATTGACAATTTTCATTTATTGTTTTCTTTTTTTTTTTTTTTTTTCTAAAAGGGGTTCGAGCTTCAAAGAAGATGAGGGCACGTGGAAGGGAAACGACGATGGAAAAGTGGTGAACAATCAACCACAACGAGTGATGGATGAACGTAATGGTCTTGGACCACAAAGTGGCTATATCGCAAAAATTACTGGTGATGCTCGTGAAACAGAAATGGAGGAAAATATGGGTCAAGTGAACACAATGATCGGCAACTTGAGAAATATGGCAATCGACATGGGTAGCGAATTGGAAAACCAAAATCGTCAAATCGACAGGATCAATCGCAAGGTCTGTTATTTTATTATTTATTGTTAGAAAATAAAAAATTCTTGCAAAATATAAAAATTCCAATTCTAAATTCTCGATTCAAAATATTTCAAAAACAAACTTTCACTTAAGATCTCTTTTTATGAGAAAGAAAGATTAAATATTATTCAAGTGTACTTTAGTTATCAAAGAATTTCATATCTCTTTTATAATCTTATCCGATGATTTTTTTTTTTCTTTAAAAGTTCATTGAAACAATAATGATCTCGAGTGTGTGTTTTTTTTTCGAAATTTTAATTAAAAATTTTTTTTTTTAGGGCGAATCGAACGAGACGAGGATACAAGTGGCGAACGAGCGAGCCCATCAGCTGCTCAAATAAAAATACTTCCATGGAAAAATAATTTGTCAGAACTTCTACTTCGAGTTACTACTACTTACACCCCATTTTTTTCCATTATCGTCCCTTATACTTACTTATCGTCTCAGTGTCTACCTGTTCACTTACGTGCTATTTGCATATTTACTTAATAGTTATCTCTACATCATTATTTGCTGGCGCATCGTCTCAAAAAAAAATTTTTGTCGACAGCTTCTTAATTGCTGAAATAATAACGAAAAGATTCCTTCCTCTCTTTAGAAAAAAAAAAAAAAATTAAATTCTTAAAATTTTCGAAAAAAAAATGGAATCAAAAAATCAAAAAGGGAAAATGCGCTCGCAAATATCGTCCAAGACCTTTGAAGAACTGTTTAAATAAGGCCAAGAATTTTTTTTCTTTTTTTCTTAATAATTTTCCGATCTTACGCTGGTCGTACAGATTCAATTTTGAATCTTTATATCAATCAAGGGCCTATATTTCATCCTTCATATTTAAACAGTCCTCTCGAATCGTCGAGTATTAAAAAAAAAAAAATCGTTTCGAGTCCAAAAAAGAACTTCACTTTTTATCTCTAAAAATAATAATAATAAATTTCCGTTTTTTCCTACTATTAAATACGTAAATTTTTTGAAAAACGTGCATTTTTTCGGAAACATAAATAAAAATTCTATTTTTCTAGGAAATCTTTTTTCCCAAATATTTCTAAAAGTGAAGTTATATATATATATATAAAAATATTTATAAAAAAAAAAAAAAAAAAATAGGATTCGGAACGAATTGTTTGAAAAGCAATATATTTAAAACTTTGGTCCCTTTTAGATAATTCGTTGAAACAATTTTCAAATCTTTGTAGGTTCGAGAAGGTCTTATAAATATTTTAGAGATCTCGTTAATTAAAGACCATTGTCGGCGAACAACGATTATTAAAGTACGCATAGCGTCCAGCGATCGTCACTGATTCACAAAAAATCAAAATTTCTATATTTTTAAAATTCGACATTTTTTTTTTCCAATGAAATGTTTTTTAATTTTAAAAAAATTAATTTTTTTTCATCATTTTTAAAAAATAAAACGTTTTTAATAGAAGCATTATAGAACAGTGACGTCGCTTTTTACTGTTTCCATTTTTCATCTTGAGGATTTTTCGACCCCGGAGCGATTCGTCAAGCGAATACGTTGGAGGGGCGGTTGGCTTTGTAAGGCGAATTTGATAGGCTTGTTAAAAAAAAAAAATTAAACAAAAAAAATAAATAAATAAATAAATTAGAGGAACGCGTGTAGGATTTTAGAATTTTGCCTGCGATTCCTATGATGAATATTTACACCGAATTGTGCTGGGGTTTCCCAAAAGATAAAAAGAAAGAAAAAGGAATTTTTATTATTTCACAGCGAATATTAGCAAAAAAAGAAAAAGAAAAAGCTCGGAAAAAAAATTGTAATTTATTGTTTCTTTGCAAAAATAATTACTTCTCTTAAAACTACGTTTACTTTGAAATTTTGTCGCCTTTTAGTTATGTAGATATCTCTTCTACGAATTTTTGTAGAACAGAATGACGAATTGTAAAAAGTCAAAAACGAGAATGGAGTGACGATCGACGAGAGTTTTAACTTACAGGCTCATTTTTTTTTTTTGCAAAAAATTCTTGTCATTTTTTTTAAAATTATTTTACATTTTTAAAATAAATTTTTCTTTTATTTGAAAGGTAAAATATTTTTTTTAATTGTGTTTTATTGTAATTTTTGAAGCATTTTTTATTTAATAAAATTTTAATTTTGTGAAAAATGATAAGGGAAAAAAATTGCCCGGAAGTTAAACTCGAGTCATTGTAGCGTAGGTATATAACTCGCGCGCTTGTGAGCTCGCACTTGATGCGATGCCCTCAGGTCACAGTAAGGTTTAACTCCAAGAATGAAATAAAAAAAAAAAAAAAAAAATTGTATATTACTGTATTTACATAAAAAAAGGCTTGTACATGTACTGTAGACAAACAATATAGAAACGATAGTGAGATTTGGCTTTGAAGAGTAAAGGCGTCAATCTCGTATTTAAAAAAAAATATAAATAAAAAGCTATTGGCACTGCACCACTTATTAAAAAAACATTCACAAAATTCAAAATCGAAAGCACACGAAGCTATTTTTAAAGCTAATTCTTTTTTTCATCTATATTTCTATATAAATATATACATATATATATCATAATTCATCTCGCTCATTGCAAATTCTCCACTAAAACTATTTGAGAGTCAAAAAAAAAGAAAATTAATTTGTTATAATTAATAAATATAAATAATTGTACTATTTTTTTATTAATTATTTTCTTTAATACTTAATAATTTTAATTTAATACTTAATTACATTGTAATACGACTTAATTATATTTAAAAATAATAATGTAAATTTGACTATTGGAATTCAAATAGTTCTCAGTGGTGAATTATTTTGCAAATAGTGCCAATAGGTTTTTTGGAGAATTCAATGCTTGAAAGAAACTTTTTTCCTATTGAGTGCATTTGACGAGCAAAAATCATTTTTTTTTCTTTTTTGTCATTTACTCAGGGCGTAGTGAAAATAAAGCGCGATGCTCATCGCTAGGACTATATTATAAATAGAAAAACGAAATTCTAAAGTGATTTGATATCACTGTTTTCTTTTTTTTTTTTAATTATAGAGACAATTCAATAATAACATTGAAAACTTGATAATATTATATAATTATTACTGCTTAGTTGAGAAAAATTTTAGATTGATCGAACAAAAAAAAATGGGAACAAGTTCTGCTTAAAAAGAAAGTGAAAATTCGAAATTTATTTTAATTCACATACTTTTAAGTGTTAAGAAAAAAAAAGTCTTTTTAAATCTATAAATATATATATTGCTTATTAATCTAGTTATTATTATAGAAATTAAATATTGTTATCTTATCTTGTGGATGATGAGCATCGCAAACGAGATTGAAAATTAATTCAAATGACCAATGATTCAATTTCTTTTTGTTTCGTCAAATCAATGTAAAAAAAAAAAAATCTTCATTTTATTATAATAAAAATAGAATGTTTTCGATTATAACGAAATTTTCGAATCGTATCATTTAGAATTCAGCTCATCGTGATGGGAACAGAAAGTTATTTACAAAAAAAAAAAACTTATTTAGTGTTTGCGAGTCGAGCGATATTTCACGAATCGAAATTTTCCATTTATTTTCGAAGACAAAAAAAAAAAATGTAATTCTTTTAGAACAAAAGGGAAATTAATCTCCGTTGGCGAATGGCTACTTAGTCCACGAGTCTTAATTAATTAAATTATATTAATTACTATACGCTAATGAACAAGGAGAAGCCATTGACAAAATTCAAATTGTTTATTCATAACAAATTTTTTTTTTTTAAATACGTAAATTTAATTTTTTAATCATTTAATTATATTAATTAATTATTTAACAAAGTTAATTTATTCCGCTACTCAAATAAAAATTGACAATCAGTAGGGGAATAAATTAAAAACAAAAAGTTGTTTAAATTCTTAAATTATTGTTTAATTAATTTAATAGAAAATTTTAATAAAAAATTTAAAAAAAAAAAAAAGTAAAACAAAATTCAGTTTAAAATTATGTCGATGGCTTTTTTTTTTATTATCCTTGGAAAAAAAACCTAGCTCTCCGTTAACGATAGCCTAAAATATTTTTCAGTAATTTTTGCAATATTATCAATTTTAAATTATTAACTATTATTATTATTATATTGAGAAACGTGTCTTTTATTGGCAAATAAAGTACCATTTTTGGCGCGAATCGAGCAGGTATTTTCGATCGTGCACAGAAGAAAAAAAAATATAAATAAAAAAAAACCTAGTAGAATTGCACTGCGTTAGTAGACACGATGTACTTTAATTATTGCATTAAAAAAAAACAATTATATATTGAAAAAATAATCTCAGTACTAAAGAAAAAAAAAAACTACAAAAAAAAAAAAATACAATGATAAGACTCTGGTCAAGCTGAAGCTATAAGATTTTAATAGAGGTGTAAAATATCAAGATGGGCAAAAGTCAAGTAATTTTATTATTTGCCGTGAACTTCCTCGTTGAAAGAGTTATTAAAATAAAAGAAAAATTTTTTTAATTATGAATTAAATTTTTTTTAAAATTGATTTTATTTTAATAGCTCTTTCATTGAATTTTACTATTCATCTTCTTGGATCTTCAGCTGGCGTTGTGAACAAGTTGTATGTGAGAGAGAATGATAAAAAAAAAAAGAAGCTTTTGTCCATTTTATCACAAAAGCAATAATGTAACGCGCACATTTTCGAGTCACGATTTAAAAAAAAAAAAAAAAGCGTTTAATTTGTATGTATTATAATGTATGGCAGATAAAGAAATAAGAAGATGAAGAGGAAGTTTACGAATTGATGATGATAATCGACGCGAAATTCAGTTCGCTCGATTATTTACGAGATGGAATATCGAGTTTCCTGAAATTCTGTTAGCGTCTCTAAATGTATATTAAAACGCGATCTTATAAATATATTATACATACATATAAATATATATATATATTATATATATTCTGTTGATTGTACATTAAAAATAAAATTAAGTTATCCTAGAATTTAAAAAGCATTGTTTTTTGGCGCTTTTAGTTTTTGAATTCAATCATTTTTTGTAAAATCAAAATTCATTTTTGCCAATTTTTTAATGAGAAGTAGATGGTAAATAAAAAAATATACATTTGGTACACAACTTTGTATTTTTGAATACAAAATATATCTATACATAATAATATTAATAATAATATTAATAATAATTTGACGTAATATAACATATAATTCAAACCCACGTGGCAGTTTATCGATTTAAATCTTAAAATAAAAAAGAGTCCTTTTTTAAAAATGCTTAAAGTCCAAAAAATTTATTATAATAATAATAATAATTTGGGAAAAAGGAAAAAAATTAATTGACAAAATTGATAAATTCATAGCCCATTATAGAATTTCAAGGCTAAAATTCTGTACGCGTAGAATTTAAATTAGATACATATTTAGAAATATATATATATTTTTTTAATATTTATAACTTTACTTACAAATTAATTAAAAACAAAATTTAAAAATCTCTGAGAATAATGTGCTGTCACATTGAAAAATTAAAGGTGTTATTATAGATTCTATCATATAGATTACACAGGTCGATAAATTCAAAAAAAAAAAAAAAAAACATTTCAGAAGAAAAACATTTTAAAGCTAGAATTATAAAAATAAATCTTAATTAATAAAAAAAATGGTAAATTTAAAGTAATTTCCCGAAAAAAAAACAAAACCCGTGAAAATTTATCGACACCGATTTAAAATTATTATTTACCTTTTTTAAAGGTAAATTACAAAAAAAAACCCTTAACATTGAATTATTATAACATTAAAACCATATAATTTTTTTTTTTTAAATTTATAGTGGCACAGTAAATCAAAATCTTTCTTTTTTTAATTGTCCTAAAAGAAAATTAAAATTTTCTATTTAATAACTTCTTTTTTCTTTCTTCGTGCTATTCTATACTTTTTTTTTTTTGAATTCTTTATAAAATATTGGAGTAATTGAAAGTCTATATAAAAAGAAATATTTCTCCATCAACAATTAGAAAGCACGAAAATGCCAATAAAGCACAAAAAGTAGCCGTTTATATATATAATGAATTATATAATTTTCTTCAAAATTTCTATTATTTAATTTAGACGAGATTCTGGTCCAATGATAATATATCGGATTCCTGTAGATATTTTGGAATTTCAAATGGCAGGATATCAAAATTTGTTGTTGACATAATTGTTGGCCAGTCTCTGTTTATTCGATTTGAATTATCATTTTTCAAATTTTTATTCATTTGATTTTGAACGTCATTTGGTGATGATAACCATTGTGAAGAAATTTGTTTTCCTCTTTTTCGATTTAAATTCAAATTTGATATATCATTTTTTCCTAAGAGTTGAGGATTTATCATTTCACAATTTTGCATCGATATGTCCTAAAACAAAATTAATAATCAATATAAGATATTTACAATTTACTTTAAAAAAAAAAACAAAAAATGCGAAAAGTTGTTATTAATTTTCTCCATTAGTTCTGTAAATAAATATTAAAATAATAATATTAATTATTATTAATAATTAATTTACAAAATTAAATGATTCAAAAAATCAAATTGTTATAAATAATATTAAAACTAAAACATTCATACAAATTTTTTTTTTTAAATGTCAATTTTTCGCATTTTGTGGCTATAAAATATAAAAGAATTTGAAAAAAAAGAAACCTTCCAAGGCGAACGAGCAACACGCATATTTTTTTTTTTTCTACTTAAAATGGAAATTACTTAACCTAGGTAGTGTGATGGTAGAGAAATTCCAATCGCACTTCAAAAACGGTAAACGAAGAATAGCTGCTGCATTTCTCGAGGAAAACGAATGAAAAGCGAGGAGAAGGAAAAAAATAGTCAATATTTTTTAATTATATAGTCTTAACAAAATTACTTATATATTATAACTATCTCTCTCTCTCTCTTCACGTTCCTCTTTTTTTTCCCCCACAATTATTTTCTTCTTATTCATCCTGATGAAGCGAAGTTTCGTCACAAAAAAAAATAAATTATATTACAAAAATTATTTTTCACATTAACAATTTCAACCTGAAATTAGAAACAAAAATTCCGCGTACTTATTTTTTTTTTGTATTAAAGATAACTTAATTATAAATATTTCTAACTACAAATAATAAAATCATAAAGAACGTATATTATATAACAATTATAAAACTAGGAAAATGGAAAATTGAGGATTTTTAACATTCCAAATAAAATGTAATATTTTTTTTTTAACTAAGGGATCTTGGGAGAATGGCTAAAAAAGGAATTGAAACGCAGCAGACCTGATTATTTTGGTGATCATTTTCAGTATATTTCAATAACGATTGATCAACAGTAATGATAAATATATATACATCTTAGAGAGCTGAACGATTGATAAAATTCGACAGTCTCGATTTGAAAATTCGGGTCAAATTTTTGTTTTTTAACGCAAAAATTCCAATTTTTTTTATATATATATATAATTTAGAAAATTTAATAGTGAAGCCAAATTACAACTCGTAATGAATATTTTATCTTTGTTTCCGATTCTGTCGAATATATATTATTAAATTAAAATTTAATTTAAAAAAAAAATGTACCGAGCTGCACACTGTTATCCTTTTTTCTTTTTTAATGGCAGTCAAGAGCTTTTTGAGTTTAAACAAATTTACACTCGAATTCAATATTAGTTTGAAAAATAATTTTTTTTAAAGGGATAATTTTTTTTATATACACAAAGAAATTATTTTTAAAATGTCATTTATAAAGAAATAATTCTAAAATCTTTTGAGCATTTTTTTATAAAACATTTAAATTTGCTCAATTTTAAAATAAAATATATTCGAAGTCTCTGGACGTTTTTAAATATTAAATTAATATTTATTCGAATTCGTTGCACTGATGATAAAAATTTTATTCTCGCACTAAAAAGTGCTTTAATAAAATTGGCAGTGTGCGGTCGATCGCTTTCATTTGTGATTTTTTTGTCTATTATTAGCGAAAAATTCTAGAATTAACACCTGATGTTATCGGATAAATTTTTTGAGAGTGATAAAAAACTTCTGTAATACGTTGGAAAAAGTTCGTTTCTCTATATTTTGAAAAAATATTTTAATTTTATTAAAAAAAAAAAAATTTTCCATTTAAATTCAGAAACCTCTGTTATATATTTTACAAAAAAAAAAATATATACGGTTTCTTGAATAATAATAATAATATTTGGTTATTAGTCTATAGGGTTTCTTTTTATTATCATTCTAGAACTCTACTTTTTTTTTTTATGCTTCTCGTCATAATCGAAAAAAAATTTCTCCTCCAAGGAAATTAAACACAAAACTATTCTAAACGAATATTTTTACAACAGTTATTTCTTCATATTTTGAGATTTGCATACGTAGTTAATTTTCTATAAAACAGAAATAAAATTCGTCGCAAAATTCTGAAAAAAAATTTCTCTAATTTCAATTATCATTTTTTTTTCGATTCTTCAAAAATCTAAAACAAGATTTAAAGCAAATTATCCGAATTTCTTAAGCTTACTACGATCTTCAGTACGAGAAGATTGAAATGCTATTTACAAAAAGAAAATTAAAAAAAAAACATCGGATTCTCTCAATTAAAAAAAAAGAATATCACGAAATTCTTTTATCGAGAATCAAATAATTAAAAATTCCAAAAAATTGGTAAAAATTTTTTTTGAAAATTAATTATTATTCAAATAATTAATTTTCTTAACGAATACTATTAAAATTGATCTAGTGTTTTTAAAAAATATTGATATTAATTAATTATCGTCTCGAGAGAGAAAGAGAGAAAAAAAAAGAAAAAAAAAAAAATAATAATCACTTGCTCGTGATGCCTTTGGAAGGTTTCGGCTTCGTTAGGCAAACATATCCGGCACTCACGTCGCAACCGGAAACAAGAAGGTTCATGAGAACGCTGTTCGATTGTTGTGACGTGGTGGATTTCGATGCAGTGCCTTGTTGTTGTAATTTAACAAGGTCACCGCAACCACCGCCATCATCGTCATCGCCACCGTAATCAATATCAATCCCACTACCACCACCACCATCACCACCACCTACGCTAGAATCATCCTTTGATAGTAGTAGTCGTTCTCTCATATCCAATTGATTTTGCCAATGTTTTGACATATTATCCGATGTTACCAAACGTTGAAGAAGTTGACTGCCTTCTTGCAATTGATTCGTTATTATTTGGTTGTTTTCAAAATTTTCAGCTCTCTCACATTTGATACGCTTGTATTCATTCTCGGACTTGATCGAATAACCGTGAACTCGTTTATTTGACCGCTCACTGCAGAGTCGATCTGACTCAAGTTCTTTGCCTAGGAAAAAGTAGAATTCGCAAATAAATTATGGGGGAAATTTTCAGGCTTTTTTTTTTTTGACTTTTTCTCATTGTTGAAGAAAATTTTTTAAAATAGAATTTTCAAATTGTAAAATTTAATTTTCAAACGCGATTAATTCAATTTTCATACATAAAGCCTTAAAATTTCAAAACTAATAAAATCGACTCTTACAACGTAACATACAATGGGGAAAAAAATAATGAAAAATATGAAAACTCACCTTTAACTCGAATTTGACCAAGAACATGTGATGGATTGACCATGTCTCCTCCATGATCTTTGAATTTTCTTGCACTCGATTCATTCCTCAATAATTGTGCGAGACTCGAATTTTTCTTTTCTTCTATTAAATCATTATTCCTGAAATCCGAAAATTTAATCAAAATAAAATTTCTATTATGTAGAAAAAAAAATAATTTTAAATTAATTTTTCCTTTCTCCAAAAAAATTAAAAGCAATGAAAAATTGAAATTTGAATATTAAATTATGAAAATTCTAACCATTTCGATTTTTTGTCGTTTAATTGTGTTGGTCCCCACATGACCATGTCATTATTAATAAGTAATTCTAGTGCTTCGTCCTGATCGGACATAGGAATATAAGGTGCTCTTAGTGCTAATTCATCATCAGCCATAACGTCCGTTATACTTAACATCAACATTTCATCTTCGGAAAATCCATTCCCACTTCCGCTTGGACTACAAAGTGAATCTATACTTCGCTCTGGACTCTGAAAAAAATATTAATAGAATTTTTCTTCATTAAAAAAGGTAATTTAATTTTTAAATAAAATTTTCTTAACAAAAATAAAAAAATGTTACACTAAAATTGAATTTTAAAAATTGAAAATTTTACCCTGCTAAGAGTTGGTGAATAAAGTTCAGTACTACAACTCCCTCGACTTGGTGAATCACGATAAATAAATGGATCACGATCTTGAATGGAAATATCAAGATCCTTATTCTTGAGGGAATCACTGAGAAGCTCCTGATTTCTGAGTGCAGAATCCGTGAGATCACTTACTTCAGTTTGAAGTTCCGAACTCAATAAGGGACAGTAACTTTCATTTTCGAGGATAAATTCATCCAACATGTCCGAAAGAAATGGAGGATCCTCCAGTGGAACACAAACATCACCAGCCGTTGGTGCTAAATGTGTTAAATCCTCCGGTTCGTCTTTCAACACTGAAAATAGATAAAAAATTAAAATTTTACATAAATCCTCAAGTGATACTCGCTTGTTTTGTAAAACGACGCTTTTATCCAACTGCTAAAATAAATGACGTAGGAGTCTGCAAAACTGATGAATGAATCAATTTTTTTTCAAAAGAAAAGAATTTTGTTCTACTAAAGAATTTTTCAAATAAGAATCTAAGTCCTGACTTTGTAACTTTTTAAAATATTTATCAAAATTAGGTAAATTTTATCAGATTTACGAACAATTTCCAAAAAAAGAAATAATTTTTGCAATTGAAAAATTGTGAATTAAATTAAATAAAAAAAAAAAATTTCCTAACATGGTTTATTTAATTCAAAAGTTTAGAAGCAGTGTTATCCTATTAATAATGGAAAGAATCGAAGATATTGAAATCTAAAAAAACCGCAAATGTAAATTAAAAATCTAAAACCACAGATATTATGAAGATTATGAAATATATTAAAAATTAATTAAATTACACTATGAAGCAAAAAAGCACTGATTTTTATTTCAAAATTAATTTTTCCCTGGACAATTTTGTTTTTTATTTTAATATTTGAAAAATGATTTTAAAAAAAGAATTTAAAAAAACGTTTATTTTTATTAAAATTGTATGATGAAATGAAAATAATTTAAAAATGTTTAGCAATAAAAAGAGAATTAAAATAATTGTTTCTAAGAACTTACTGGTGAGGCCAGGTTGATCTTCACTATAAGTAAGAAAGCCCGTGTTCATGTCCTCGGTACGAGGAGCAAAAATACTTGCTGTTGCTGTTTGCGATAGTGGAAGTTGACTAAGTTGATCTTGATTAATTCCAAAAGCCGTTGATGTGGGAGGAAAATAGGGATAATTTTCAATATTTTCACCAATTGAACGAATTGGTTCCAATTCTTCTTCAGATTTATCCTAAAATAGAAAAACAAATTTATGAGCTTTTTTTCAAATTTCTCTTAAAATTTTACTATTTCTTTTTTTTTTTCCAAATATTTAATACCTGTTCAGAAATATCGTTTTCTTGATTTAAAATTGATATTTCTTTCAATTGATTATTATTATTATTTTTCGTAACAAAATTCTCTTCGGTTTCATTGATTAAATCATTGAAAATATTTTCATCTTTCTTATTTGATTCCTCCAAAAATTGACGTCCTACTTGTGGTTTGACTATTTGAACTTTTGGTGTTGGACGTTGTTCCAAAATATTTCTCGATTCCAAAAGATCAACTATCTCCAAAAGTGGAGGACGTAGATTATTGTCAAGCGCTTTCTCGTTTATTGACACTTCTCTCGCCTCAAGTTGACGAATGCTGTAAATTTCATCCTCACACTCCACTCCACTGGAAAAAAAAAGAAAAAAAATTCATTATATATTAGAAATTTTTGTAAATTAAATATTTTGTAAAAAAAAAAGAATTTAAAAAAAATTAATATAATAAGGGAAATTTTTCCTATGGGAAAAATTAAATGAGTTTATAAAAACAATCGAGTTTATTGATTTTTAAGAGATGAGGGCAAAATCTGATGCAAAAATCCATTTAATATATGTAACTCTGACGCAAGCACCGCTTGCAAATCGAGGTCTAAACTGTCTTCAACCGGTTGCAACTATCTAATAACTGTTTAAAATTGACCCTTCCAAGATATAATTCACGATGAAAAAAACTGGTCCATTTCCGATAATTAATCCATATTTAGGAATTTTTTTTTTTTTGTCATTTTTCGTATTTCCATACATATTTTAAAAAAAAAAAAAACTTTCTTATTATCAAATAAGTAAAAAATTAACAATAATAATTTTCAATAATTATTTTTTATTAAAAATTATTTGTTTAATAATGAAAAAAAATGAAGAGTTTTGAAAGTTTTTTTTTTCTTTCTTTACTTGGAAAAAAAAAAAAATCATGAGTTTCCAGTAAACTTTTTGATTGCAGTCGATGTTATAAAAGAGAGCCGAAGGCAAAATTTAATTGGGGGGTTTAAAGAAACGAAAGATAAATAAGGTTCTTTAAGGATGGAGATTAAAATCTTTTGAACCCTTGGGTATACTCGAGTGGTGCAACTCCCGGTAACAACTAACCAAAGATTTCATTTCGATGAGCAGGGACTGTGTACAATGATGATGAAATCCTTGCTGGCCTGGTTGCGCATGATACATATATATATATAATAAATTAAAACAAAGTCCTTTCGATTTTCGAATGAGAATAAATATTATTAATTCTCTTATGTAATTAGCATAATAATAATAATAATAATAATAATAATAAAATAGTAATAATAAAAAAATATCAAATATTAAAAAGAGAAATTATATTAAATAAAAATAAAAAAAATTATAGAAATAATAATTATGAATTTCAGATTTCAATTTTTTTTTTAATTCCTCAGTGAAAATTATTTTCTATTGTCAGACGATTAAAATTTGATAAATGTAAATTTTCAAAAAAAAAATTTAATAATTAAATTAACAAATAATTGACATTAATTTCTATTTTGACTAAAAATGCAATGTTCAATGAAACGATTTGTCCCATTTGCGCAACTATATAGTACTTAATAAGTCAATTGGGATCGTGCTAGATGGATTCTCATACAAACGTAAGATAGTATTTTGCATAGTGTCATATATAGACACTTAAAAATTCTTTTCGGAAATAATTTCTATTGGAGGTTTTTTTTTTATCCCCTTTACTTTTTTAAATTAATTTTTTTGCAAATATCTTTTTCTATTGGAAAATTAAATTTTTTTTTTCCAATTGTTTTAGAAAAAAATAACGATATTCAACTCCTGAGAAAAACAATAATTTTTTTAATTTACTATTTTTGTATAAAAAAAAACAGTTTCTGTTTCTAAAGTCGTTTTAAAATCTCCTAAAAAAATGGTTTTTCAAAATATTTGGTCTTGTTAAATATTTCATTAATAATTAATAATTAATAATTAATAATTAATAAATAAATAATTTGGATTTAATTTTTAATTCGATTACAATAAGAGATTAAAAAAAAAAAAATCACAAATGTTTCTATGTCTCTCATCGTTGAGACGATTAATTATAGAGAAATCAGATTTATTTACACATTTCCGCACATTCTAACTTGCTCTTATTGTAATTGGCAATTGCCCAGTATTTACAAAAGTTCATTTTAAATTCTTTTTTTTTCAAATTTTTTTGACATATTGATACGTGATCATTTAATATGAATTTTTTATTTTAATAAAAAAAAAATTATTCGAATAAATTTTTTTATAAAAAAATTAATTTATTTTTTATCTTAAAACAAAAAATTTAATTATTATCGAATAAAAATAATTGTCTACAATTTTTTTTTAAGTAAAAATATCCCTTTACCTTGATACTAATCTATTTGCTTAATGAGCCTGATCAAGAATTATTATTTGTAGAGCATAACGAGTATTAAAGTAACAATTTTTAATTTTTTATTCTTAATTGAATCTCGAAATTAAATAAAAATTGTTATTAATTATAATTATGTTAATATTATAATAATGTTTTTGTAAACTATAAGTCAATGATGAGGGTTAGAGCAGGTTAAATATGTATCGGTATTCGTTAAAAATAGAGTGACGGCCAACAGCCGGGCTAATCTTGCGTAACAAAAACACGTGGGTCAGTTTTTCTCTTCGTTCTTTTTCCCCAGCGGAAAATTCACATTAAAAAAAAAAATCCTCTCAATGAATTAAATATTTTAGAAAATTAGCTTCCTCAAAATTTTTATAATAGAAGACTTCCTCTCGTATATTTAATTAGAAGCTTGATTATTATTTGTCAACATTTTCTGAATTCAATTCTTTAACGATTCATCTTAATCAAACAATCTAATTATTTGATTAGTCCACTTGGCTTCTTGACAGACAAAAATGACACCCAATTCTTAACTGCAAAACAAAAAAAAAACAATAAACACTACGAATTTCTAATTTTTTATTTTGAAAAACTAGAAAATATTTCAAATTTCGTAATAAATTTATATTTTTCAAAATTAAATCTGGAAGAGGTCCAAATAATTTTGAAAAAAAATTTTTTTTTTCTCTCTTTTTGAGTGAAAAAAATTTTTGAATTTCAAAATTTTTCCAAAGACAAAATTTAGAAAAATATGAAAAAAAGGAATGACAAAAAAAAATTGTAAAAATAAAATTAGAAGACGATCTTCTTATCAATTGAAGAATCCAAATGTAATATTGTATAACCAAGAGGTCAAGAATTGAGAGATATGAATTTATCAAAACTATTTAAATGCCCATTAAAATATATATATTTAAATCCAGTGGGTCTAATATTTAAATTAATTTTTTTATAAGAGACAAAAATGTAAACAAAAATTCATGATAATAAAATGGAAGATAAAATTTCAGAATTTAGAATCTTTTCCCCCCCCAAAAAAAAAAGTTTGATGAAACTAGAGCGAATATCGTCGTTTCAGGGATTATAGCAAATTTTTACGTGACTCCTTCACCCCCGAGGGGAATATTACGATCTCTAAATTACATTCGAAGATGGGATGTAATTTTCCACAGCCATCAAAATCGAAAATTTATCTTTTTTTTTTTGTATTGAACCTTTTTTCACCCCTACGAAAATTTCTTTTTATTGATCTTTCTTTTCTCACAGAAAGAAACAGATTTCTTTTTTTCTATTTCGAATTCTTATGCAAAAAAAATTATTTTGTTTTTTTTTTTGTTACATTAAGGGCGAATTTTATATAATCAAATGATGAATATAATACTGATTGTGACGAGGCCGATCGTTTATTTTCTATATGGTTACAATCGATTGCGAGAGAGCAATAGACATATATAGAGAACTTGAGTTAATACAAAATGAAGCGTGAGTTCTTATGTAAAAGCAACGCGACTGTATTTCAAAAGCAATTAACGAACGTTTGCCAATTTTCAATGGAGCACAAAATATATATCGACCTTCTTCCATTATTTTCAATTTTTTCATGATAAGCATTTGCAACATGATAACAAGCGTCATACGACATTGTTATAAATCTACATTTCTAATCGGACGATTTGAAAATAGTTTTCATCTTTAAAAAAAATTCCCTCAATTTTAAATTAAAAAATTATTTCAAAATTTTTTTGAAAATCTCAAAAGAACAAATTTTTTACAAAAAAGGGGTAAAAATTATTTTCTCAAGATTAAATAATAAAATTTCAAATTTTTTGGCAAAAAGATGTCATTTAACAAGAATAGAATTAACGACAGGTTTTCTCGGGAAAATTTAAATAAATCAAAATTTTACCTAAGACTCTGCGTCGGAGAATACAAACTTGTTTTCTATTCACATTTATCTCAAAAGCAATTTTCTTTAATTTAAATTCGCGATTATAATGATGAACAATGATTATAAAAATAATAAGGAAAAAAAAAATTACTAATGACAAAGCAATTTTCAATTTTTTTCACGATTGGCAAAAATTAGAAAAACCAAAAAATATAAATAAATAAAAAATATTTAGAAACGAAAAAATGTTTTAAAAAAAATTACAAAAGGTAAAATATAAACTTTTATATAAAAATATAAATAGAAGTAATGATTCTCGTTATTTAATAATAGTAATAAAATTTAAAAAAAATATTTAAAAATGACAGGAATTTTTAGTCTCTTGTTTTTAATAGTTCTATATGACGTTCACGAAAGCTACACGTGGAGTTCTTATTATTTAACACCGGTTATCAGAGCTTAAGCCAACTCCCTTCTTTTCCCTCTTTCCCCTCCATAATACCTCGATTGTAATTTATAATCCTCACATTATTCCACGAACAAAAATTACAGCGTAAAAAACAAATCTTCAAATCCAACTAGTTTTTTCATTTTTCTTATCATATTATTTTCTTCCGTAAATAAAAAATTCTATCGTTTTTTTTTTTTATAGAATCCTGCGGATTAATTGAATCCAAAAGGTTTTTTAAAAATATTTTTCTATGTGAAGAAGAAAAAAAAATTTCATCAAATTCTCAAAATCGATTACCATGAGGTCTTTCTCTTCTTTCTTTCATTGTTTTTTGCAAAAAAGATTTTTTTTGCCAATCGTTGTCCCCGTTGGCTCGTGTAAGCTGAATTTAAAAATATCTATTACTTCGATACGTCACGACACTTCTTTTTTCTTTTCAAATAAAGAGTATTTGTAAAATTAAAATCACGAAAAATTTTTTGCCTCTCAAATTGTCCCTGAAGCGTCTCCCACGCTTGAATCAAAACACTGCTCTTTCTCTTCTCTCAAAGATCATCATACAGCTTCCCGCCACATATTTTGTTTTCACCTATATAGTTAATGATCTAGTTTGAATTAGACTTTTCATTCTCTCTGTCTCTTTTGCGTCTTTGTCTTCTTCATATATCACCCCTCGGTACTTCGACTTAACTTACATAATAACAACTTATATTTATATATTGTCTCTTTCTCTCTCTCTCTCTTTTTCTCTTTCGGAGTCACAAATGTAAATTGATGTCACAATTCTCTGGCGATTTAATGAAAGGGATCATCCAATAAAACCAGACACTTGTCTCTCTTTCGTTCGATCACCTCCCAAAACACCTTATTCTTCAGACACAACTCTTGTGATGGCCTTGAATTATTTTATTTTCATAAATTATTTCTTCTTTAATAAATAATTATCATTCTTTATTTGATAATTTCTCCTCAATTTTTAAAATTTATTAATTCTCAATGGAAAAATATTAAAATTCCATTCTTTTTTTTATTTCCAAAAATCACTGACATTTTCAAATTAAAATTGAGATCAGCTGATCAGAATCCATCAGCTTTAAAAACACTCTTGTGTTTGTTTTAAATTTCAATTTTCTCTGATAAACACTTTTTTTTTCTAAAAGGAATAAATTGACAAATAATAATAATTAAGGGAAGGAATAACAAGGGAGGGAAAAAAAAGTTTTTTTTTTTCTCAACGTATTCGCGCACGCACTTTTACCACTGTCTTGTTGAACTGAAAATTCTGTGAGCTTCTGGTGAAGAGAGATGCCCGAGAGAGAGAGAGAAAAAAAAAAAGAAGAGTGAGTGTCACACAGGCGCACATCAACTTCAAAAGTACTCAGACTCACATGCTCGATGCTCTTTAGGTCGCACGCGCGTTGTTTCGTAACTCCCTTCTTTCCAAAGCAGAATATTAAACTGCATAAATAAATTGAAAAAAAAATATTTTCAACTATCAAATCAGAGAATTATTTTGATTTTTTCTTCTATTTCTTCATAAAAATAAATTTTGTTCTGATTGAAAAAAAAACACGGCTCCACACTCTTCGATCCAAATGATTTTATCTCGAATGATAACTGGTCTCAAAGAATTGATGCTGGCGCAATATCTGCATTGGCGTCGAGATCAAGGTCAATCAGAGATTCATAGAGATGCTGCATTAGAATAGATCTCTTCGTTGTCTTGAAATTTTTTTTTTTCTAAAATGATCAATCAGTCCCTTGAAAATTATTAAAATAATTAGTACACCTTTTGCAAATAAATTTTTTTCCAATTAGGATTTCATTAAAAAAAAAAATTTGTAAATTAAATTAGAAAAAAAAGAAATTTCAATTTCCCTTCGTGGGAGAGATGATAATAAGGGAGGAAAATTTTTAAAAATGAAAAAAATTTTTTGTGTGAGGGTCGAAAACAAAAACTAAGGGTTTCGGATCCTTAAATAGAAGCCTCTAAAAATTCATCTTTCTTGGTTTCTCGTATTTCCCTCTAATTTATAAATGACACACTAAGGGAAAAAAAAAAATATTTCAAAAAAATTCGAGATGCAAAAGGAAAATGGAAAAAAAATTCAATGTGTTAAACACGTGATGAAAAATGGGTCCAAAATAGCGTGACGTGGAACAGTCCCTAAAAACGCCACGTGGACACGTACAATAATAGAATATAATTTTCAAGTGTTGAGAATTCTCACCATTATAAGTGTTGACAAAATTATGCTTACTCAGCAAATATTAGAATATTCTTAATTTTTTTTTTTTTATCACCCATACAAAAATTATTCCATTTTATCGTAATTATAATTCTTTTTCAAAATAATTACCCAAAAAAAAATAAATCGCTTGTCCTATTTGCTAAACAAATAAATAATAATTAATAATTAAAAAATTAACAAAAAATTTACTTTTTTTTCGGAGGGATTTTACGTAAAATTAAGTTAATTAATTCCTCATATATTTTTTCAAGCTTTCACTCAATATTTCATAAAATATAAATAAAAGGGGAAAAAAAGTCAATAATTCAAATTTGACAATAAATCAAATTACACCTTGTCATGTCCTAATATCATCAGGATATCGCTACATAATCTAAAGTAGTTATTTTTAGAAATCATAAAATCGAATTTCTTTTTAAGTAAAAGATATTAATTTTATTTACATATTTTTTTTTGTATAAAAATCTAATTTTCTTCTCTAAATTACGTTGTCATTTTTTTATTTATTATTATTATTATTATTAATATTATTATTGTTATTATTATTATTATTGTTATTCTAATTAATATTAAAATTTTAATTTTGATTGTATTTTCATGATTGATGGTTTTTATTGAATTTGGCACAAATTAAATGTAAGTAAACTATTATGAAAATTTAGTCGATTGATATCGTTTTTTCTCGAATCGAAAATAATAATTTCCACTTATTTTTGTAACACACAGATGTGAATGACTATTCGATCGTTCAATTCACGTGACAAATAATATTCAAAGATTCCGCGTTTCCTTGACGTAACTCTTTGAATCGTTGCCAATGTTTATGCGAGTGTTAATGAAAAGATATTTTCTATTTCAACGCTTCCTCGCATGACAAGTAAACAAAAGTGTAATGAATACGTTTTAACAATTCGATATAGTTACAAAAAAAAAATTCTTTAATTAAATTCATTCAATTTAGAAATAAAAAAAAATAAAAAAAATTCATTAATTTATAAATCAAATAATAATGTAACTTTTTTTCTTTACTTCCTGTCATTTATTTATTAATTGCTAATTAATAATAAAAATTGAAAACTAATCAGAATTTCTCGATTTAAAAATATTTCATATAACTGCAATAAAAAAAAAAATGAGGTACAAAATTAGATGATGCTTTTGATTGACCCCAGTAAAAAAAAAAATACTCTTACTGTTAGGTTTTCGAACTTTGATCCCCTTTTGAGATAAATATCGCTTTATAACCGATGATAATATTATCTTAGTCTCTTAAATACTCTTAATACTCTCTTTAAAATTTTTAACACAAATTTATTTGTCTGATAAAAGTAGCAAAAAAATGCACTGAATTTATTAAAAGAATGCAAAATTTTATCAAAATTCATTTTACAAATTATTTCCTTTTACTCAACAATGTTTAATAAAAAAAAATTATTTGTTAATAAAATAAATTATTTAAAAAATCGAAAATGGAAATTTAAATAAAACTTCAAAAATATTTAGATAAATTTAAATTTGTCACGATTAAAAAAAAAGACAAATTTAATTCCAATTTGATAAAGTTCAAAGGTAATGAGGACAGAAATATGAAGGTATATTTAATTAATGAGAAAAAAAAAAATTTTTTTAATTAGCCATGTTGAGATGGAATAATTTTGTTCTATTTTCTATTACCTAATCTTACTCGAGAGCGAATACATTGTTTATAACTGATAACTCTGAAAAAAAAACTATATTTGCAATATCATATTTGTAATTCTACTTTAACGATATAAATTCTATTTTTTTGAAAAAAAAGAGGAGGCTAGTAAAAATAAATTACAATAAAACATGCGAGGAAATAAAATCCATTTGAAATATATAAAATTACTTTAAAGTATATTTAATACTTGAAAGATAAACTGAGTGTCATTGTTCTCAAGTCAGTATATTGTTATTCTCGGTTTTATGACAGGAAAAATAGGAATTGTTACATGAAACAAGAGTAGTGGAATCGCCTCTCTCTCTCTCTCTCCCGAAAGTCAGAACTGGTTAAAACGACAATCTATGTACACAGAAACATGATCAATAATACACGCGAGTCCTACTTTTTGCTCCTCCCTAAACCAATTCTAAAAAAAGAGAGAAAAAAAACAATTCTATTAACTAATTAATATCTAATCACTTTTTAGTTTACTTCTTTTTTTCGTTCGACTATTTTTCCAAAATTTATTATTTTCGAGAATCAGGATCGTGAAGAAAATTTTGTGACATGGAAACACTTTCCTTTTTATTTCCGCTTTCGTTTTCGGTATCAACTTCGATCGAAGAGGTTCTCGCTGGGCAAAAACAGTGAGGGGGTGGTGGTGGTGGTCTATCGATCAGAGTGAACTTCAACAACGTCACGAGGTCACGGTTTCACAATTCACGCGTGCGCTTAAATAACTTTGAGCAAAAATATCCGAAATTGGGGTTGAAATTGTGAATTGGAAAGAGTGGACGAAATAAATAAAAAATGAGAAATTTATTCACGCTCCAAAAATAGCTTCAACTTTGATAATTGATTTTTTCAAATCTCGAAAGAATCTACGAAGATTGTAAAATTATTATTATTAATTTATTATTGTTCAGTTTAAATACTGACAATTTATTTTATTAAATGACCTAGTGCTTGAAAAATAAATAACGAATTTTTACATTGAATTAAAATTATGAAAGAAAATCAAAATCTACTTACCTAACAATGTAGTTAACACATACGACAGACTGAGGCTTGTGCTGCTTTAAACAATAAATAAGAGTTGCTTGAGTTATGACCCACGCGTATCCTCCTTTTTTTCCCAAAAATCTGTAGGCCATCGTTTCACATTGTCCTTTGCTGAATACTGAAAATAGAAAATTTGTTTTAAAATTTATTTTTAACTGAAAATGAATAAAAAAAAAATTTTTTTTAAACACATTTCTAATAAGTTAATTCTAAAGTGTTAAATAGATAAATAATTTGTTTATCAATAATATTTACTAAAACTTATCAACTAGTACTTGATTCTAATTTATTTTTCAACATTCTGTAAAAAAAAATTTTTACAAACTGAAAAGACATTTCAGTTAAATATCATTAGAATTACATAAATATATTATTTTTGAAAATAATTATTCTAAAACCTTTCTGAAAATGAATTTAAAATTATTAAGAAATTGTAAATAAAAAATTAATTCTATTGTAATAATAAAATTTAACAAAAATACTCACGAGATTTAAATGATTTATTAAGAATTCCATTGTCCTGCGCGTGATAAAAATCAAAAGCAGACTGTCCTACTAATTCACTGCTTTCCCAGCCCAAATATTCAGCCAATCTGCAAAATTAAAGCAAAAAAAAAAATGTTAATTTAAAAAAGAAATATTATTAAAATTTACAATTTTTATTATTATTAACATAATTCAAAGGAAATTTAAATTTATTTACATATTAAATTTAAAAAAAAAAAATGAAAAAAGAAAATTAGAGGAATATATTGAAGAAGATAAATTTACTTTTCATCGGCATAGGTAAATTTCATATTGAGATTATGCTTTGAGAGAAATGTCTGTCGACCCAATGGCACTTCAATATTACTAGGATGTGGTACAGGACATCCTACCACGACAAGAGATGCCATTAATTCATTTTCAGTTTCCTCCTCGCCACCGCTTGCTTCGTTAGAACTTCCATTTTCTGTTTGAAGTGATTTTTGAATCTGAGGAGTCGAGACTATTTGCCCAGTGCAATGAATAACCTGAAATTACATTTCAAAAACAATTTTTATCTCAATTTGTTTTTCTTTTTAGAAAACAAAAATTTTTTTCTTTATCTCAAGAGAAAAATAATTTTGACAATTAATATTTAAATATTTTATTATAATAATTATTCTTTTATTTTTTTTATTAAAATCGTCCTTTTCTTTTCGAAGAAGAAAATTTCATTTTATTTATATGCGCCCGTGATTTTTTTTAGAAGGAAAAAATTAATATATTTGTATTTTCCTCAAGAGGTAATAATAATAATTATTATTGCATTTGATAGATGGAATTCTTTTATCTCGGGAATATTTAGAGCATCATCTCTATATTTACCTTGTACGATGCACTCTTCAAATTAACTTTTCTTCCTTTGTTAGTTAATGTGCATTTTAATCGTAAAAAAAAATTACAAGATTGTTTCCCCGCCTCATCAAATTTTGTCGAGAGACTCTCACGTAATTCATCATGATCGCAAGGATGACTGTATTCATAGACACTTTGACCCATCATGTCCATCTAAATTAAAAAATTTTTATTAATATAATTTTTTTTTATTTCCTTTTAATTAATATTTAACAATAAAATAATATTATAATACTAAGAAAAATATTTTAAAAACTCTTTCGTTTATCGAAGTTTAGTTTCATTCTTTAATTTCGAAAAATTCTAAAAATAGAGAGCCCATTTGCATTTCAAAAAATAAATTCTTAAAAAAGATTTTGAAATCTTAAAACTAACAAAACTCGATAAGAGATTCTATAAAAACTTGGATAAACTTTGGCTTGGCAAAAAAAAAATTATTTTTAAAAAACTACAAACCTGTGAAACGCCCAGATATTCACTGACATTTTCGGAAAGATAAACCATATCACCATTGTTGGATAAAACCAACATAAATCCATCCAGTGCTTTGAGAAAAAATTCATCGAAATCTGATGGAGATTCTGCTTTTGACAAAGGAGTAGGAACTGTAACGAAAAAAAAGAACGAATAAATAAAAAAAAATTAGTAAATAAAGTTAAATTTTCTTTATAATTAAAAAAATTCTATTCACACGTGTGATATTCGAGCTTTTTAAAAATACATTTCTTTTTTTTAAAAACGTGACACAATTTTTTTAAATTTACATTAAATCCCGTTTATAATAAATAAAATTCGCTAGGCAAAAATTAAATATCTAATTTAATTCCGTTTTTTTTTGTACGGTAAAATTTTTTTTTTCCTCTTAAAAATTATCGAGAGAAATGAAAAATTAAATTTTTATTTTCTTACCACAATCGACTAAAGCGCGAACTTTCAAATAAGCAATTGCCAATCTCATAACACTTGCTTTATCTAAATGTGCAGCTTGTTCAGTTGTCATTGGAAGAACTCCTGCTAAATCTGTGAAGATATCTGTTTCTCGACTTCTTCGACATCTTGCAGCATCTCTCGATTTTTCCTTTCTCTTTTCATTACTCCTAGAAAACAAATTGACAATTAAAAAATTAAATAAATTTTTATTTCGCTTTCTTTTCTAATATATTTTTATTATAAAAAAAAATGAATAATATTTTCCTCTCAAATTTTATTATTTAAAAAATATTTATTCAAATTAATTTACTTCTAGAGAAAGAGTTGAAAAATTGATTTAAATTTAATTTTTCAAAAAAAAAAAATTAGTCTAATAAAATTATTTTACAATTGAAAGCAAAAAAAAATTCATAGCATCGACCTGGAAAATCTTATCTTTAAGTGTCTAATATTTGTCAAATTATCAGAAACGTGACATAGACGAAACCTGATAAGCGTATATGAATAAATAGTGAATTAAAATTATTTTTTTTTTCACTAAAAAAATTATTTTTATTTTCTATAATATTCAATAAAATTATTTTTCCCAAAAAAAAAATGGAAGAACAAAATTAAAAACGAAAAAATTTCTATTTTTCACGTACAAATAATCTTCGAAATCACTTTCGGAATTGAATATTATGTTGGAATTTCCTCCATAACAATCGTATGGATCAAAATGATAAAAATTCTCAGCACATGGCAAAACTGTCGATGAATTTAAATAATATGATGTATCATATAGAGGGCAATTATTAACTGTACAAGTGAGCCATCGTTCCTCAGTACAATATGAAAATGGCCTTTGACGAAAATTATTTTCACTTTCGTAAATTAAATTTTCATTATAATTATTTTCTTTTTGCGGAACGCGAATATCCTGACCAAAAACACAAAGACGATCTAAATCTTCTACATCAACTGGTCCATCACACCCTGGCAAATCGAAACAATAACGATTTTCCATTTCTTTTTTTATACATTAAAAAAAAAAAAATCACTCCCCCAACATTAATCCAATTGTCGTCATTATAAATCATTAAATCATTTGTGTTTACAAAAATTGATTAAAATCACCACTAATGATGAAATTTCCTTATACAAAAAAAATAAGAAATCATTGAAAATTGAATTCAAAAGAAAATAATGATTTTGAAACTTTTTCAATTTTGTTAATTACATTTTTTGTTTTTTTAAATATTTGGAACAAAGCAGATAATTTGACCCAGATTTTCATCATTATTATAAAAATGAAAGTAATATGTTTTGCAGAAACACGTCAAGAATGTAGATTAGTTATCGACCTTGTTAAATTTGATACAACTTTTTTTTTTTAATCTCTTTTTTTTTGTAATTAAAAAATTCTTTATTTTACATTTATAAGACTTGGACAATATTTAAGTATTTTTTTTCTTTTGAGTTAAAAATTACATTTACTTTTCAATAATAATTTGTTTCTTGGAATCATATTAAAAAGTGTCTAAGAAACGATTTTAAATCAATTAAGAAAATTTGAAAAAAAAATATTTTTTATTATTCAAAATTCAAAAAAGTCATAAATTTTCAAATAGAAAAAGTTTCACTTAACATTTCATTAATTACATTTAATTTTCAAAATAATTTTAATAACAAATTAATTTAATATTCAAAAAAAAAAAAAAAAGAATTAAAAAAAAATTGAAAACAAGTTTTGGACCGGTTCAGAGGAATCTTGTAACCAGCAACAAACTTGCGATCACTTCCGATTAATTTAAAACGCGCAAAATAAATTCGCGAGTCCACCTCTGATATTAAAAGTCCGAGGTTTAATTAACGACTAAATCCAAAAATTTCTAGATTTCTTCAATCCCAACTTGCTTCTTGATTTTTAGATTCTTATCAAAATGATAATAGAAGTCAATTGTCTTTGTTATCGATAAAGTGTCTGTACTTTCATCCACTCTGAGATTTCAATTTTGGCATTAAAAAAAATAATGAATGAATCAAAATAATAAAAAAAAAAAAACATCTTTTGAAGGGAAAATAATAATTATTAAAAATTATTTAATTATTATAATAATAAATTATAAATTATAAATTTAGATATTTTTAGAAATCATTTACTCACATAATAAAATAAATAGTGATAAAAAAAAAAAAATTCCATCAAATTGACAACAATAGAACAGTCAAGTATTGTTTTTGTTCTTGATGAATTTAAATCGAAAAAAATTACATTTATAAAGTGTGTGGCGTTTATAGCTATAGCACTGAAATACTAAACGGCTCATTAAAAAGAACTCATTGTTGATTATTTATCAGTGACGACAAATTATTGTGTTGTTACTTTAGAATGAATATACAAATAAAGTTTTTCATCATAATCTAATAAATAAAAAAAAATATAATATAGAATTTTGTAAAAAATTACTTTTTTCATTAAATTATTTTTCTCTTCATTTAGTCAATCATTATAATCAAAGAAATTACGTAATAAAACTACTTTTTATCTAATAAAAATATTAAATTTTCTTTCCTAGTAAAAAAAAAATATGTTTTTGTATTTATATTACCAAAACTGAATTTTTAAGTCTCAAGAATATTTAATTAAAAGTTTATTTAATATGAATAAATATTAGAGATAAAAATTCAAGAATGAAAAATAAAAAAAAAAATTTATTCTATATCACTAAAGACAAGTAGTAGGTCTATAAAATTCCCGATGAAATAATCAGTTAAGTGAAATTAATGATAGTTTCATTTTAAAAAAATTACATTTAATAGTCTATTGAGGTGAATAAACTTTTAATAAAATATTAAGTAACAATTTATAATAATTCGAAAAAGTTAATTAATTTTAAAATAACTTTCATATAATAGATTTTTATTATCCAGGAAAAGAATGTTTAAAAACTGCGTCATTTTTTCGCAAACAAAAAAAAAACCGTTTTTTATTCAAGGACAATATAGACATATGTATATATATCTATACATATATAATTGAAATTATTGAGTCTGCGGCAATGACTTTAATTATGTAAATAGATTCTATAGACAAATTAATTAATAATAAAAATGATTTTAGAATTTTCAAAATTTAATATATTTTTTTTTTTTCAAAAAGGTTTTTTTTAGTTATTTGATTCTTAAAAAAAAATTGTTATTCTATAATCAATTTAATGTGGCTCACATGTTTAAATAATCCACGAAATAATCACTTATTTGCACTTATGACAATTGAATAAATGGAATTTCAAAAAATTTTGTTTTTTTTTGTAAAAGTCAATAGAAAACGAGATTCTTCGATTATGGAGACTGTTGTATTGTGAATTAATCTTGTTCTGTGGGGATCAGTTTGAGGTGAAGGATTCAAACGGTACGGGGAGAACTTTTGACGTCATATAGAGACTGTTTACTGATTTGTGGCACGCGTGTGGCACAAACGAGACAAACTTATGACGATTATGACCAGAGTGTCTATAAAAGTTCTTTGTAAATACGATTCGATATTTTAAATTTATCTTTCTCTCTCTCTCTCGAAAGAGTGCCACTGACAGATAATCAGGTCGATTTTATTGGAATAAATTCTCATCAGTCACATCCTTTTTATTTGACCCGATTTTTTTCTTCTTCTTTCTCTCTCCCTTGTTCTCATAAATTAAAAAATTGTTTCGCACTCTAGAGTCTAATTCATTCCTCTCGTTCAATTTGCCACAAAGTCATTTTATTTTTAAAAAAAAAATTTGGTGCAATTTTTATTTTTACCAAAATGATAAATAGTTTGACTCGTGTAAAGAAGATTTATGTTAATTTTATGGAATAGAAGCAAAAGTATAAAAAAGAACAGGAAACTGAAAAATCTGAAAATAAAAAAAAAAATTAGAATGTAATTTTATTTACAAATTTTATTTTGAAAACTGATTCTATTTTTTTGGGGTAAATTATTTGATTTTAATTTAAAATTGCATGGAAAAGAAATTTTATTTTGAGATTCAATAAAGGGATTCTCGTTTTTCCTGCTCTGCTTCCTGCTTGTTTTTTTTATTTTTTTTATATAACTGGAGTCATCGCCCTTGTGAGATTCGAGATTAATTTAAAAAACAAAAATTATATTCTTTAAATTTAATTTCACTGTGAATAAAACGAAAATACAAATTTTAAGTGAAATTTAATTGAGTTAATTTTAGGATTAAATTTTTCTTAATCGCCTATAAGATATGAAAAATGAAAAATAAGATAAAGAAAGAAAAAAAAATGACTTTTTCAAAGTGTGTAGTTAATAATATAATTTGTGGAAAATTTTAACTTGCGAAAACAAAAATAATAAGGGTTTCATTTTTCTCATGTAAAATCTAAAGAGTGAAAGATAACACTTATCATTTATATAGTTTACCAAGAAAAAAAAAAATTAAACAGGAAAAGTCCTTTTTAACTGCAATGAAATTTCAAAATAGTCTTTAAAAAATAAAAAATAAAACTTACAAAAAGGTACAAAAAAATATTTTTTTAAACAGATTTTTATAACTTATAATTGTATCATAGTAAATAATAAATGATGGAAAATATCGTAAAGATAATAGAAATAAAAAAATACCTTCGCATATGATGAGATTGTGAAAATTATTACCTTCTTAGGTAATTCGTTTTTCTTTTTTTTTTATTTACTAAAAAGTACTCTTATTAATTTTTCAAGAAATTGAGATTTAAAATTTTATTAATTTCATTCAAGTTTTAGAAAAATTTTTAAAAATAAACAAGAAAATAAATTTCTAAAACTATTCATTAATTACAAAATATAATTATTTTAATCCTTTTTCATTATTTTGGTATTATTATTAAAAAAAAATAAAAATAAATAAAAAAAAAAACCTTCAAAAATTAAATTCAAGGTTTTAGCAACAAATATTATTAGAAATAAAGGTATGCCTTTAAAGCTCTTGGAAAGAAAACTTGGTCATGGTTCAAGAAATCCTTGAATTGTGAGTTTAATGAAAAACAATTGTTCACTTAATTTTTCTATAAACAAGAGTAACTTCTTTAATTTAAAAATATAATTTTCTCAAATAACATTTTTACAATTAATATGACAAAATATTAACATTTAAATTTTCAAATTCATTATTTCTTTTCTCTTTGTCTTTTATATTTTACAAAATCCACAACATTAATCATATAAGTAAACAAAGAAAATAATTGAAATAAATGATTTTTTTTAAAAACAATAAAAATAGATTTTTTAATAACATATGTTATATTCAGTTAATCATTATTTTGAAATTTTTGGCATATACAAGATTCGAAAGTAATGGAATTTTGTCAATTTAAAAATGTGTCTCTTTTACTACACTTTCAAAAAACATTAGGCTACCATCTTCTGAAATTTCCTTAATGAGAGCTAATTTTTTTTTTTTTAATAATATATACACATTAATACAAAAAGAATTGGAAACATATTTTTTTAAAAGAAAAGAACTTATCACTTTTTCTATATCAATGCAAATTGCATTGACTCAGAAGTGAATGACGAAAAAAAAATTTATTACGCATTCCACTAGAAATTAAATTTGTGAAAGTTTTGAATAAACTTGATTGCATCACATAGTGAAAACAAATAAAAGCATCAAGGACGAATTATTATTTTAAATTTCTGATATAAATTAAGAAAAAGAAAAATTATTTTAACTATCATCCCATCGATATTCCTAAGGAACACAATGGAATACTTGAGATTCATATCCAATATATACACATACATATACATTTTTACTAAAGTAATAAATTCAATTTACCTTTTTCTTTCCTTGGGCTTGTTTTTCTTAGTTTCCATCGTGATTTAATTATTTCCAAGTACGTTTTATGTAGACTTATTGTTGGAAAAAAAAAAAAAAAAATCAAGTCACTCACAATTTTTACTCCACACAAAGTTCACACTTGGACGCTTCAAAACTTTTTTTGTTTTTCCGTCAAAATTATCAATTTTCTATTTCTATCACTGTAAAATCGTGCACTTCAATATTATTATACAATATCGCAAAACAAAAACAAACCATTTTTCGTGAATCGTTGAACGCGTGTAAATAATATGGTGGTAATTTTTTTTTATGGTCACTGTTGTGATAATGTAGTAGTGGGGGAAATTTGGATGAATATGACGTCAAAAAAAAAAAAAACCATTAAAACAGATACAAGTGCTGCCATCTTACATCTTTACGATTAAGTACGACCTTGAAAAATGTCCCGGGAAAATTTAAAATCGATACTTGTAAAAACACCTTTAGTCTCAGCATCCAAACTCCGATCTGTCACATCTAGGTTACACGTATTCATAGTTTAGTTTATCTACTGTCAACGCGGCACGTTTTATTAACAATGAGAAAATAAGTATATATAGAAGTATAAATTTGAATTTATTTACAATGTTACGTACTTGTGGTAGAAATCTATTTTTCGGTAATTTGTCAAAAATATTATTTATATTTTTATTAAGTTGTATAGTGATACCCATATTGTGTAATGCACACGAACATTCTCATGAACATGAACATGATCATGAACCACCAAGTTTTAAATATTCAAAGCAAGCAAATGAAGAATTTGCTGAACAAATAAATTCAGCGCATCATAAACATGTTGAAGATTCAAAGCAGTCTGATGCCAGTGATATATTTGTACGTGCTATGGGTTCAACTTTACTTATTTCATTGGCGCCATTTCTTTTACTTTTTGTCTTACCAATAGATAATAGTCAAGAGCGACAACCTTTTTTAAAAATTCTTCTTAGTTTTGCATCTGGTGGTTTACTTGGTGATGCATTTTTACATTTAATACCACATGCATTGGTACCACATTCACATGGTTTGGACAATAATGAAGAATCACATTCACATGTTCATAATCATGATCATGGTGATCATGAAGAGCATGGTCACGATATGACTGTTGGATTATGTGTTTTATTAGGAATTGTGACATTTTTAATTGTTGAAAAATTAGTGAGAATATTGAAAGGCGACTCTGGACACAATCATTCACATAATAATACTACTGATATAAGTATCTCGGGATATTTAAATTTAGCAGCTGATTTTTTACATAATTTTACTGATGGTTTGGCTATTGGTGCTAGTTATTTAGCTGGAGAAAGTATTGGATATGTCACTACATTTACAATATTATTGCATGAAGTGCCTCATGAGATAGGAGATTTTGCTATTTTAGTACAAAGTGGCTGCAGTAAAAAAAAGGTATTAATTTTTTTTTCACTTTTTTTAATTTAGATATTTTATTTTTTTTAATTTAATTACAGGCAATATTATTACAATTGCCAACTGCTCTTGGCGCTTTATTAGGAACTTATATTTCGTTACTTGTGGAAGGAATGGGTAAATATTTATATTTCGCAAAAATATTTTTGTAGGTTCAAAAAATTAATATTTGATTTTTTTTTAGGAGATTTTGCAACACTATGGATTTTGCCATTCACAGCTGGTGGTTTTATTTACATAGCAACGGTATCAGTTATTCCTGAATTATTATCAGATACCAAATTTTGGCAATCTGTTAAAGAAATAATTGCCTTATTACTAGGAGTTTATATGATGGTACTTATTGCACAAAATGAATGATTTTAGTAAAATAACAATTTTCTTTTATATTAAAACATTTTTTTTTTCACTTACATTATTAAATTGTATAAGCAATTGTATATACATATAAATATAATCAACGATATAATTATAAAGATACCAGTTTTCTTAAAATTAAATAAATAGAATTTCTAATTAGACGCCTAATTTTTTTTTTTCTCCGATTACTTAAGCCTTATTGACTCAACTATTTTTAATAATGATTCAGGTTCTGGTTTTTCAGAAACTCCATTTACTGTAAAACCAGAATTTATCAATGATTGTTCAGTAATTGAACCAATGGCAATAATTTTTATTTCATTTAAAATTTTTGCTCTTTCACCTAAAGCTAATAATAAATTATTAACAATTGAAGGACTAAAAAATACAATTATTTCGGGTATTAATTTAAATATTCGTTCAATATCATTGTGAAGTGTTTCACAAGGCATTGTTTTATATGAAATTATTTTCTCAATTTGATATTCATTTTTTAATAAATAATTTTCAATAGTATCACGTGATATTTCACTACAAGGATAAAGTAATGATTTCTTTTTTAATTTGAAATCATTGATAATAAATTTAGCAAGATTTTCTGAATTACCACAATGAGAACCATAACAATTTGATAAATTTAAATATTTTTTAACTAAATTTTCTGTCGATGTTCCAATACAATAGATGGGATATTCTTTCCATTTATCTAAAATATTTGGATTTTTTGTTAAAATTAATTTAACAGCTTCCACTGAACGAGGACTTGTTAATATCATACCTGTAATTAAAAATTCTTATTAAATAATTTTTTTTCTAACCTATAAATGACGAAGATATTATATTACCTGAATAAGAATTTGAATTAAAAAGACATTTTTCTAATTCACTTTGATTGATAAATAAAAAACAAATTGTTGGCAAATATTCAAAATTATAACCAGCATTTTCAAAAATTTTTCTATAAATATCAATAGTTTCATTATCATTAGAAAAACTTTTACAAAGAACTATATTTAATTGTCCTTGTGACATTATAAGATGTTTTAAAAGACATTAACAAATAAATTAAAATTTACTTTTTATATATTAACAAAATCATAACCTATTATTGAATACAAACTCTATTAGGTAACACTATATATTAGGGTACATTTACAAAACGAACTGGACAAAATCGAATTAATGCACAGCGAAAAAGAGACATATCGAATTGTGAATAGGCCATTAGAATAAAAAACAACAATAAACGTGAGGAAACGCTTGTGTTGTTCTCATTCTATGACCGTTGTAAATGTTAAGTGAAAATTCATAAAAAAAAAATATATACTTAAATAACTATATATTTGTTTAATATTTTTTTTTTGTCATTTATATTACAGTGATTTTTATTCGAATTATTTTAGAATGACTAATAGATATTCTTTTGTTGAAAAAATTACATTTCACTAATTTTGATTATATATGACACTCGTCACTAATATTCAACAATTAAATTAACTCTTATAATTATGTATAATAACAATGTTTAATGTTGAAGTGAATTTTGTACAAGAAAATTCCCCTTCCAATATGTAAGTTACTTTTTATACAATTATTTTTTTTTTATTGAAAAATTAATAAAACTATTCAATTTGTAATGAACCTAACTAATTTGGATTAAAGATTATTTATATTTTCTAAAGGAATAAATCTGTGGAAAATTTATTGATATCAAGTCACGATGTTATCAGTAGTATTAATTCATCATCAATGTCAGGACAAATTTCTACAGGAAGCAATGGAAATGAAATTAATTCAGATAATTTTCATGATATATCATCAGATAATGCAAATATTATTCCAAGTCCTAATTTATCACCTAAATCAACTCCACATATTTCATCAATACAACTTGATTATTTAAAGGAACGAATTGATTTAAATTCAATATCACCAAAAGAATCAAAACGGGTATTAATTTAATAATTTATATAATTTATATTAAAGATTTATTTTTTTTATTATTTTTCTAAATTTCAGAAAGTTCAACAACTTACGCCAGATGATACTGATAAATATTTAACACAAAGTGGTAAAAACAAAGGAAGAAGTTCAACTCGTAGTAAAAAAAAATCATCATGGTATAATCTTCTTTATCCAACTTATAAATCGCGTTCAGAAGATTTTAAAAGAATTTTTAAAGATATACCAAATGAAGAGAGACTTGTTGTGGGTTAGTATTTTAAATTAAATTATTTGATTTTTTTATTAATTTTTTGTTTTTTTAATTAATTTTTTTGTTTTTTTTTAGATTATTCATGCGCATTGCAAAGAGAAATTCTTGTTCATGGCAGATTATATGTAACACAAAAATATATTTGCTTTTATGCGAATATTTTTATGTGGGAAACATTGGTATCATTACATTGGAAAGATGTGACATCAATTACTAAAGAAAAAACTGCTCTTGTTATTCCAAATGCAATTTCACTTACTACTGATAATGAAAAATATTTTTTAACTTCATTTGGTGCAAGAGATAAAACATATTTAATGTTGTTTCGTATTTGGCAAAATGCATTAATTGGCGAGGTAAAATTTTTGATATTAAATTTTTAATTTTTCTTTTTAATTTCTTTTTAATTTCTTTTTCTTCTTTTTTTAATTAATTTAGCCAATGGGTATGGCTGAAATGTGGCAACTTGTACATACATGCTATGGAAATGAATTAGGTTTAACTTCAGATGATGAAGATTACATTCCACCGCCACCACAAGCAATAACGAGTGATGAAAAATTATCAACACGTTTATCACTTGATTCATTTTCAGAGGTTTGTTTCGTTTTTTTTTCATTTAATTTTGCTATTATGTTATTTATTAAAATTTTTCTTTATTCAAATTATAGTCAGAGGGATTTAAATCAGAAAAAGCAGAGTCACCGATAAGTCTTGATATTGAAACGCATTTAAAACTTGAGTCAACATCAAAAAATGAAATAGTACTTGATCCAACTGATCTTAGTGATACAACAGAAAGTGATGTTGAAAAACAGGCTGGTAGGTTTCATTTAATTAGAATAAAAGAAAATAAATATTTATATTTGCTTTTTTTTTCAGTGAAATTACCTATTCGTTGTAATGCAGTGTGCACTTCTTCTCACGAAGGTCGACAACTTGTAAATACAACATTGCCCATTCATATAGATCAATTATTCACTCTTCTATTTACAAATTCGAAATTCTTTTTAGACTTTCATTCAGCAAGAAAAACAACAGGTATTTAATAAGTTTTTATTGAAAAATAAAAAAGGGAATTATTCTAATATTATTTAATTCAAATAGATTTAGTACGCTCTGCGTGGACTCAAAATCCAGAATCGGGACAAAAAATAAGAACAGTTACACTAACAATGTCTTTAACACAATCAGTTGGTCCAAGATCATCTCAAGTTACTGAGAATCAGGTAAAAATTTCTAAATTCCGTTTCTATTTGACAAATATTTAACTAAATTTTATTTTAGATCATGCTACCATGTAGTAGGCCAGGCCATTTGTATTCTATTGATGTGGAAAGTTCAAATGCTGGTATTCCATATGCCGATTCATTTAGTGTAGAAATTCATTATTGCTTAACAAGTGTAGGAGAAAATGAAACATGTCTCACTGTATTCGCTCAAATAAAATACAAGAAAAATGTTTGGGCAATAGTAAGAAGTAAGTAAGAATTCATTTTTTCTTTCAAATATTAAAAATAATCCAAACTTGAAAAATATTAGAATCTGGACCAAATTTTATTTTGGTATTTCATTGATTAATTTAAAAATTGATTTTACTTTTTTTTTTTTTTAATAGCATTCATTGAGAAAAATTGTTGGGCTGGTTTAGAGGAATATTTTAATAGTTTAATAAAAGCAATAAGTGTTGAGTGTGAGGAAAATAATACTGTTACCGGAGGAACAACAAATGGTTTAAAAAGAAAAACGAGAAGAAGAAGAAGAACAACAAATGTTGGTGTCTCATTACAAGCTCATGCTCCCGATCTTTTGTCAAATAATCCATCAAATATCGTCGTTTTACCACACAGTCAAGGTAATTTATTTTGTTTAATTAAATGTAAAAAATTATATTTTTTTTTTATTAATTAATAATTATTTTTTGCAGTAACAGATTTAAGAGGCGATGCAAATTCTATTCTTAGTTGGGTTCTTTTATTTGCAATTTTATTTTTAACTGTTATCAATGCACTGTTGTACTATAAATTATGGGGATTAGAAGAAGCTGCTACTTATACTGTCATGGATATGCATATTTTAAAGTAGGTTTATTTTTTTTTGAAAATGAAATCATACATCGGGAGAAAAAATAATTTTAATTATTTCCAAATCTCAGGAATACGCCAAAATCTGAGGAAGAATGGATTAATTTATTGCAACAGCAAGAAAGTTTACATAACGTTGAAATGAGAAAATGGCAAAGGGTTCTCCATACTGCCGCACAATTATTAAGACAGGTAAGAGACTCGATTACTGCCTTAAGTGAAACAATTAGAATATAAGATTATTTAATCTTATCTCGACGTTAAAGACCGAAGAGTCCCTGACGGAACTTCAAATGAGCATGCATCCAACGGCGACAGAAAAAATGTTCTCAATATTGAAGCCTGGAATTAAAACAAGAAATTCTGAAAATCGAGAATTGTAGCAATAAGTTAATTTACACGCATTTGTTAAAGATGACAGAAGCTTTTTTTGGAAACTATCAAGTAACAAATTAAATGTACTTTTGTGCTGATGAACTTAATTTTTTTTCGATAAATACAGGAAGTAAGCTTGTTTAAATATACTTGCATTTTATAAACTTGCCATTTTCATTCCGCGAATTGCAAATATTTCACAAAAAAAATAAGACTAAAAATAATATCAAATTTCAGTTGATAAAAGTATTAAGTGTAAAAATAAAAAAAAAAAAACAAATTGTATATAATAATAATTAGAATAAGAAAAATACATATGTATTATAGATTAATTATTATAATATTCATAATTATTAAAAGTATTCGACTTTTAATGTTTTAGAACTTAATTATTTATAGTAAAAAACGCAAACATAATTGTAAAAATAATAATTGAATGTTATTATAAGAATTTTAAATATTATGCATGTAATAATAGTTAAATGAAATAATATTGGAATTTTTTTTTAGCCATTTGCGGTTTCTTTGAAACTGTTATATTTTTTTAATAATTTTAAGTCCGATGTTTTATTAAAAAAAAAAAAAAAATGATTCAATTGCAAAAATGAATCACATAATTTTTTTTGTATAACATCTGAAATCAAACATTTTTTTATATTTATGTCAATTTTTATTGTGAATAAAAAGATCTTGTTCCAATAATTTTTGGAGTTTTAAATAAGAACAGTAAATCATATTAAATAAAATCCATTCTTTTTATTTCAAAATAAAAATAGACTAATATTATTAAAATTTAGTTTTTATTTAATAATACATTTTTTTATTTATTGTCAAATTTCAACATATATAAAACATTGTACATTATAATCGCATACACATCAGTCTCATTTTTTTGTCGATATTTAAACACATGAATTTTAATTTGTTCTTTTTTTTATATATCTGCGGCAAATCGAAAACTTTTTCTAAAATTGACAATTTTTTGTTTTCCTTTTTGTTCATTATTAATGCATAATTGATAACGTTTCACTTCAACTAAATCTGAAAGAACTTCCATTGTTTTGATATTTTCATTATCAAGAATGTCGATAGGTTTAAAAATATATAATGATCGATTATTTAAATTGGATTTTTGATTTTTTATACCAACGGCGGAAGCTCTTGTTTTATTGTTTTGTTTACAAAATATTGAACTATTTAACATGAAACGATCGCCAAACATTTTATTTTTTTTAAAGTCAATCATTAAATTATGAAGACTAGAATGATAATTGAGTACAATATTTTCATCCCATGTTAAAAGTGCTGAATATGTTGCTCTATTATATGTACGATAAAGACAATCTAATTCCATTAATGACATTATAATACGTTTTCTTATATTAAAAAATGGGAAATTCCATGAAATTTTTGTACAACTTGTTTTCATTTGATTTTTTAATATTTTATCCATTATAATAGGCATATTATAATCATAAATAATAAAATCTTCAACACCAAGTAATTTATGAGTATTTAAAAAATTTGTAACATCCAATAATGATGGAATTTTATTATCAATTGGCGAAATACAAAATGCATATTCACTTCCATCTAAAAATTTTGATAATTGTTTTATTGGTAAAATTATATTATCATTATTTGTTGTTGTTTCAAAATATGTAACACCAATGGGATTATTTTCTTCTTCAAGTTCACATTTTAAAAGATAACCACAAAATTCCTCATTATCTAAAATGTCTGTTGTATTTTTTAAAATAGAATAAGAAAATTTCCCAGATAAAATTTCACTTTCAATATTAATATTACAATGAAAATCAAAATTACTTCTTAATTTACCAAAAGCAATTGTTATTATTTCACGATTATTTTTTGTATACGATGAATAAACAAATAAATCATCATTTAAACGTTGCCATGATGAAAAAGGTTCATCAAATTCTAAATTCAATTTTTCTTGTTTTATGTCAATTTTTGTGCAATTATCAACAATATCTTTGTGCTCAACTTTACCAAAGTAATTAAATACATTTCGTAATTTATTATATTCATGTTGATAAAAAAGAAGTGAAATAAGACTAATAACAGCAACAATAAGTAAAATTGCTTGATAATATTTTCTCATTGTTCAAACAATTTTAAAATACTTAAAATAATTTGTGGTCAACTGGACAATACCAATAGTAACATTATTAATGATCTGAAACAAATTAATTTATTGTAAAAAAAACTTTCCAAACCAAATTGTTAGTTAATATTTCTAAAATATCCAATTCTCATTACCTTATAAATTTTTTACAAACACAAAATTCACTTTTATTTTTGTTGACTATAATTGTTTACAAAAAAAAAAAACGGTCAGGGCTGAGACGTTAACAAAAACAAAAAGGTGCGTTTACAACGAAATGAAAATACCCTTTTTTTCAGTAGTGTCACATTTGAGAGGTTTTCACCGAAAAATTAGTTCATACTCAACTGTTAGTGGCGCTACTTTATTTATTTTGAAAATTACTTAAATAACAAAATTGTTTACAAATTTTATATTCTATGTTAATAGTAATTTAATAAAGTTTGATAATTCTATTATAATCAACGAGGCAATGCGATAATTGCAATAGCTGCTGAAATAGCTGTCAAACAATATAGTGACATTGCAATTAATGATGACGATTGTATAAAAATAATTGCTACATAAGGAGTAATCATTGCACCAAAACGAGCCATTGCTGTACAGGTACTAACACCTCTATCACGTAAATAATTTGGATACATTTCTGGTGTATAAACATATGCCGCTTGAAAAACACCGGCAATTAAACCTCTACTTAAAAAAAGTCCCACAGTTAAAACAAATCGACTAAGTAAACATGCTCTACTTAAAAAATAAACAACAATTGCAAATAATAATAATTGAATAACCATTGTTAATTTTTTGCCTATTTTTTCAATTAAAAATATTGTTGAAAATATCCCAGGAAATTCAGCCAATGTTGTCCATAATATATCAATATAATCACTTCCAGATAAATTACAATTTGTTTGACAATTTTCATTTTTTTCTCTAATATTGCAACGATCTGAATTTGTATTAAGTAATTCTGTTGTTATTAATACAATGCCATAATAACAAAATGCACTTGCCATCCTAAAATAATTGATTTTTTGAGTAAAAGAAACAATTTTTCGAAAATAGAAAAGAAAAAATTAGAAGAATATATTTGACATTTACCAAACAATCCAAAGTAAAATTGTTGTTTTATACATTTGTCTACTAAGCAATTCGGACCATTTATTTCTGCTATTTGTTTGAACACGATCCAAAACAAGTCTACCAATTGGCATTGGTTTATTATTTTCTCGAGCAACTCGTTTTAATGTACACAATGCATTATCTATTTTACCAATGAGTAAATCAAAATAAACTGATTCTGGAAGCCACTGGAATTAGAATAGAATTTTTTTTTTTTTTCGAACAGACAAAATATATTTATATATACTTACTGGAGTGAAAAGAGAAAAAAGAAATAAAGGAATTGTTGATATTCCAAGAAGCCAACGCCATCCAAAATTTGGCATTACAATTAATGCTAAAACTATTCCAAAGCATGCTCCTAACGCCCAAAAACACTGTGGAGATAAAAAGAAAATTTAATAAATTATTAATAAATTTTTTTTTTGAAATTCAACTCACATCCAATAAAACAACACATTTTGCTCTCTGATCAGAAGGTAGAAATTCTGCATACAATGTTACACTGAAATAAAAAAAAAAATTTAAATAATTATTTTCATTTCGAAAAAAACGAAAAAAAAATTATTTTTCATTTTCGAAAGTAACTTACGACTGTGGAACACATCCAATGGCAAAACCAACTAATCCTCTCAATAGAAGAATCCATAAAAAATTTGGAGCAAATGAACTGAGAAATCCATAATAAAATAATAATAATCCACAAAGTGTTAATGTTTTTTTACGACCATATCTATCACTTAAATTACTCCAAAATGTTGAACTAAGAACCATACCCAAAAAAACTACCTATATAAAGGGAAAGAAAAAAAAAAAAAATTTATAACTATCGAAAAAGAAAATTATCTGATTGGAAAAAAATAAAATAATTACTGTTGTTATAAGAGCTTGTTCATATCTCGTTATTTTCCAATCACAATGTAAAATTGGACTTAAAATACTGAGAATTGTAATTTCCATACTATCAGCCATCCAACAAAGTCCTGTGATTAATGATAATTTTACTTGAAAACTTCCAAATCCAAGTGTATTAATTGCTTGTCCAACTGTAAATGTATCTGTAAAATTATAATTTATTTTATAAAAATTGGAATTTATAAATTATCATTTATTTTATAAAATTGGAATTTATAAATTATCATTTATTTTATAAAATTGAATTTATAAATTATCATTTATTTTATAAAATTGGAATTTATAAATTATCATTTATTTTATAAAATTGAATTTATAAATTATTATAAATTATAAATAATTATAAATTATTACAAATATTTACCATCTGATACAATAACTGCTGAATTAAGTTCCAATGATCTATGCATATCATCATTATTAAATTCACGTGTAGAAAGAGTTGAATTTAAATCAGGCCCATGAAATTCTTCCAATTCTTGATATGATCTTGAATTTTTTTGCTCATCGTAATAATTTGATATATTCATTATAAAAATAATATTAAACTCCTTATAAGGAGTATATTAATTATTGATAAAAATAAATCATATTTCCTTTTTTTTCAAATGAATTACATTGTTGATTATAACTAAAAAAAAAAATAGAACACAATATTTACTTAAAACGATCATATATATATAATTTATAATATATTGTTGACGTATACTATATGCGGGCCTTACAGGCAGGGCATTAGGTCCCAATAATTCCTGAAACGGCAGTCTAGATGTCGCCCGTATTGTTTCTTTATTTGAATTATTATAGAAATAAAATAATATAATTTTTTTTTTTTTTGCAAAACATTTTAAATAATTTAATTTTCATTATTTTTCAGTTTTTAAATCTGGGGGATATTGCTGCGATATATTAAAATATGAGTCAATGAATATCAAAAATGATTGAACAAACGACGGCTAATTTTCTTTCTGCTGGTAGAGTAATTTTAGCAAGTAGCTCACCAAGACGTCAAGAAATTATAAAAAAACTGGTAAATTTTTTTTAAAAAAAAAAAACCAAAAATTTTTTTTTATTTCACAGAAAATTAAAAGGCATTAAAATAAGCTGCAACGATTATTTTTATTAAAAATTATTATTTATATTATTATTTATTATTATTATTATTATTAGATCAGATTATAATAATTATAATAATAATAATAATAATAATGTATAATAATATAATTATAATATATTATAATAATTATATTATTAGATTTATTATATTTTTATTATTTTTTCTTTTTTTTTTATTTTTATTTTATTTTTTTTATTTTTTATTATTATTTTTTGGTATTAATACCAAAATGGATTAAAATAAGCGAAAATTAGATTAAAATAATAAGCGTTGGAGCTTATTTTAATACCTATTATAATTTTCTGTGTTTATTTATTGTTTTATAAAAATTAATTTTCAGAACATAAACGTTGAAGTAATACCATCTCAATATAATGAAAATTTAGAAAGATCTAAATACAATAATCATGGAGATTATATTAAAGATTTGGCCAAATTAAAAGTATTGGAGGTATTTCAACGATTAAAAAATGATGCCAAATTAATTATTGGAGCAGATACACTTGTATGTTACGGTGATTTAATTTTTGGAAAACCAAAAGATGAAAATGATGCATTTAGAATGTTATCTTGGTGGGATAATTTTTAAATTTCGCATATAATATAAATAATTTTTGCGTACTTATAAATTTCCTTTTTTTTCTAGTTTAAATAATAAAGTGCACACTGTATTCACTGGAGTATGTTTGAAAACACCAACAAAGGAAATTACATTTTATGAATCAACTGACGTTAAATTTGGAAATCTTACGGAGAATCAAATTAATGCATACATAAAAACAGGAGAACCATTGTAAGTTTATGAATTTAATTTTTTTTTTAATTATTAAAATTATTAAAATTTTTGAAATTATTTCATCTAAAGAGACAAAGCTGGAGCCTATGGAATACAAGGAATTGGTGGCTGTTTAGTTGAAAAAATAAATGGTGACTATTACACTGTAATGGGTTTACCCTTATATTCATTGATAAAGCATTTAAATAATCTATGTGATTAATTACAAAAAAAAAAATTTATTTTTAATAAAATCATTTTTAAGGAAGTAAAATTCTATTTTTCACCAAATCCTTAATATTATATTTTAAATTATTTTCAAAATAGAGAAAAAAAATCAAAAATTTGTTACAATTTTTATTTATTAAACATATAGTGTAATTTAGTTATTATATATAGTTTGTGTGTACATTATTTATTTCTTTTTTACAATCTCTGAAAAAGAAAAAAAATGTATTAAAAATTGATATACAATTAAAATCAACACTTTCAGTTTAATTTAAAGTAAATAATACTTGAAATAAAATTTATATATAGAAAATAAAAAAATAATATTTAAAGATTAGTGTTTGAAAAATTGATTGTACAATAATTCAAAAATTGCCAAGATTTAAAGCATTGGTTTTTTTTTTCTTTAGCTTTATATCAATTAATTTTTATTGCTAATTAAATATATATATATATATGTATAGAAAGATTCATTGCGTCAACATGGAGATGAACTAGCCGAAGTGCTTGTTTCAGTTGTTTTCGTCACTGATGAAGAGGGTAAGGAATTTGATTTATTAAGCCTCTGCTTTGCAACCATAAATTGTTCCATTAACTCGTGATGTGCTTCTAATCTTTCTATACAATGTAGACATGCAGTTTTTGGCAGCTGATCGTTTATATTCACCTATATGTAAATTTTTATTTAATTTATAGTCAAAATTCAATCTTATTATAAAATTTAATTAAAATAATTATCAATAGGTAAATTAAGGTAGAAAATAATTTTTTTTTTTAAATAACAAAAGCAATAATTACCGTGATTGGTAAGTAAGCGTTAATTTTATCAGCTAGTTTCATTCTTTCTCCTTCTTCACCGTATATGTGAATTACAAATCGATTCATTTTACTACACAATCTGCAAATAAAACCAGTTATCACAGCTCTGTCAGTACTGCCCATTTTGACTTTTTCCTTTAAAAATTGTTTTTAAATTAAATTTTGATACTCTTAAGTAAACAAAAATATAACAATATTACAATGTTGATGCTTTTGACATTCTTGTCAACTTAACATTAAGCTTCTAACACATTGTTTAAGAAAGCTCAGTGTGCGGTTACATTTCGTCATGAATATTAAGAGAAGTGTGAACATATCTTAAGGTTGTGGACAAATTTCTTTCACATAATAGACGTTCTCGTCAGAGTTGCCAATGACCCAAGTCGAAAAAAGCGCGCTTATATAAAATGCTTAATAATAAGAAAACGTTAATAAAGCAATATAAAACTATTTTCACTATTGAATTTAATTTTTTTGTTAATTATATTGCTTCTTAATAAAAAAAAAGTATTAATTTACTTAATGTACTTAAGTATGTAAAAATAATAATAATAATTATTATTATAATATTAATATCATTATTGTTATTATATTTTTATAAAATATATAATCTATTATTATTTATTAATTAATTATGTAATATATTATTTATTTTTGTTATTATCATTAAATTGTTATTTACTAATTGTCTATGATAAATGACGATATATATTTTTTTAAAACTTTAGCGAAATTTTTTTGTACTTTTTTATGAGGAAAAAAGTACAAAAAAAATTCGATTCATTTTTTTGAAATATATAGATGTAATACATTCATAGATACTTAATAATAATTTATTGAAAATAATGATAATAATAAATATTATATTGATGATAATAATAATAGATTATGAATATTTTATTTAAAAAATAATTATAATAATGATATAAATATAATAAAATTATTATTATTATTATTATTATTATTATTATTATTATTATTATTATATACTTAAGTATATTAAGGAAATTAGTATTTTTTTTATTAGGAAGCAATATAATTAACAAAAAAAAAAAAATTCAATAGTAAAAATATTTTTATATTGCTTTATTAAAGTTTTCTTATTATTAAGCATTTTATATAAGCGCGCTTTTTTCGACCTATAAGAGAATTGTCGTAACGCAAGCGCAGTAGCGTTTATGTAGGGTCATTGGCAACTCTGGTTTCTCGTTAAATTAAGTTTCTCAACCCTGAACAACAACGACCGGAACACGGGGAAAACGTTACTATTACGAGGTTATATATTAACTATATAAATTAAATAATAAATTACTTTTGAAAATGGAAAATCAAGTTTTAACACCAGTCACACCAACGGTTGAACAAATTAACGCTGATAAAATAACACAGGTATTTCTCATTGTTTCAAATGTTAAAAAGTTTATAACACATTATAATTACAAACAGTAATTATTTCTTCTCAACTACTTTTTAACTATAAAAATAGTTTTGGGGGAAATAATTAAAAATAAAATTAAAATAATAAAAAATATTTTTTTTACAACAGCTTGCAAATAAATATTGGGCGCCTCATACTGCAACATTTCATTTACCATTTGATCCTCAAATTGTTGATAATATTTATGTTGATGAAATATGTGTTACAAAATTTTCAATTCGACGAATAATGATGTTAGAATTTAGTCAATATTTGGAAAATTATTTATGGCCAAATTATATAACAGAAAATGCAACAAGAGCACATACAATATCAATTGTTGTGATGGTTAATGAAAAATTTCGTGAACGTGTACAAGTATGGGAGGCTTTCAAAAAACAACCAAATCAATTTTCTGGATTTTTTCAAAAAGTTCTTGAGGCATGCCTTGAAGAAAGTACATTTGATTATGATTTAAAAGAACAAACTGCACTTGTTGTTTTTCTTAATCATTGTTTTAATTCAATGGAAGTGAGTTTAGTGAGAGAAGAAATAAAACGATTAATTGCCCTCACAATGTGGACATCATTGCAGGAGGGTCGTAGAATTTTTGAATTTAAAAAACATCCCAAATGGAAGAAATATTGGGAAAAAATTTTAAAAAAAGATAATCCAAATTTAAAGGAAAAATTAGAATGGGAGAGAAAATTTTTACATAAATTGATGATTAAATTTATTAAAGTTTTAGAAGAAATTCCATTTGAAGGTAAAATTTAATAAAAATTATTAATTTAACAAAAATTATTAATTTAACAAAAATTATTAATTTAACAAAAATTATTAATTTAATAATAATAATTATGTAAAATTTATTATTATTTTATAGGAAATGTTTTACCGGATAGAGTTAGATATTGTGAGAGATTTTTAGAGCTTATGATTGATTTGGAGGCATTATTATTGACGAGACGATTTTTTAACACAGTAATGGACGATTGTCATTTAGTTGTACGATGTCAATTATCAAATTTGCTAAAACGAACCGAAGGTGGATTATTTGGTCAAGTAAGTAAAAAAAAAATTCTACATTTATTAGAAAATGGAATTTATTTCTAAAAAAGTTTATAAAAATACAAAAAAAAAAAAATTGGGAAAAAGTTTTAAGTACAAAAAAAAAAAAATTTGAAGAATATTTAATAGCCAAGATTAATTGCTATCATTTCTTCACCCCAATCGATACCTTCAACATTTTCAGTCCACATACAACAATTACACGTTTTTCCAAGAAGAAATGTCACTCTTTTTTGTCCAAATACACAAGCGTAAAGAATTAAAATTCCTTGCAATAAATTAATGAATATATCGCAATATATTAAGGCATTGTATTCTAATTGTGAAAATAATATTGATATCCACGATACACTCATTATTATAAATAATAAAACAAACATTCGAAAGCCATATTTCATTTTATGTTGTATTCGACTATATGTACTCATTTTTTTAATAGTATTTGCTGTTGTGAGTACAAAACAAAAATTTATTATTATACTAAAACCAATACACATAAAAAGAAATGAAAGTCCAAGCCATCCAATTGTTTCTTGTGGAGAATAATTAACACCACTTATTATTGGTTTATTTGTTTCTAATGTGAAATGTGAAAATATAACAATAAACGCTATTGATATTGTTGCACTCCAAACAAATGTTGAATAATAACAATATGTACGTGCATCAGTTACACGAAGATAAACATTTCTTGATCGAAATGTTTTCCATATATAATATCCAAATGCAGTGAGCCAAAAATATGCACCCAATAATGAGACATATAAAATAATATCTGTGAAATAGAATTAAATTAATTAAATCAACAAAATTGAGAAAAAGAAATTAATTAATTCACTTACCAATAATTAAAAAATTAATATGATTTCCAAATTGTTTAAATATTCGTATTGTTGATACACATTGGCTGATAATAAGACATAAACACATACTGCTAATTGAATTTCCAACAAGATTTCTTAATTGTGGTAAAACAAAATAAATTATTGCTACAATAAAATAGCTTATTATGGCAATTGCATGAAATATTGGATCAACAATGTATCTAATTAATTGATCCGTTTCCGTCCATTTACTCGTTAATTCTGGTACACATACCATTGCATATGTTGTGACAATTCCATCTCTACTTAAAATTGCTTTATCCGCACAATAATGACCAAATGGATAATCATAATGAATATTTTTTGATAATGCATCATCGTCAAAATAAAAATCTTCATCTTTCTTTACTTCATCATCATCATCATTTGATTTAATAACATAATGTCGTAACATTCCAGAAGGTAATATATACAATTTATCGGATCCAGTTTGACTATGATAAACATGCCATTGATGCTCTCCATTCTGACATCGAGGCAAACCAATTTTTAATTTATAATTACCAAGTTTTCCTGTAAAAAATTGTTTAGATGTTTATTTTCCATTTATTATTATATTATTAATAATAATATTTATTACCTTTAGGTTGTTTATTATTTCGTTCAAAGTGATTTTCACTATCAAAAATTGATTCCGTTGGTCGCCAAACTTGAGTCTCTTTTGTCTCATTAAGAGGAATGCATTTGTCATCTTTTAATAATTCATTTAATTCGCAACATTTGCCAATTAAAATTGAAAAATTTAAATTTCTCTGAGGTGTATAATCATTGTTTGTTTCAATGGCAAAACAAAAATTCACTCCAATTTCAAGGAATATAAAAAATATTATCATCAGTAAATACATGATCTTATCAAACTAGAATTACTACTTTTCTCTAGGAATATCATTTGAAATTATTTTAATTGTTTGTGAATTTGAATCACATTTCTATTTTTTTTAATTTTTTTGGTCTTTTTCATATAAAAAATATCAATATAACACTTGTTTTAAATTGTATATCATTATTTCTATTTATTTTATAAATATATTTTAATCTCAAATTTAGTTAGAGCGAATTGAATGATAGTTAAAAAAAAAAAATTAAAGACATTCAACAAATATGACGTACGCTTTTTAATATTCAAGTCACAATGTGTATTGTGACCAATAATCATGCATCCCACTAGTACTATACCTAATCTCTGACTCAACTATACACAATTACTGACGCCAAGCCAAACGCTTTCACATTGTCGTGCTATATCGTGTTTCATCGTTTAAAATCGTCAATTTTTGTAGAACGCGCGGTACACTTTTGAAAAGAAATTTTCATTTTTATATTGAATAAAATCATTTTTATTTTTATATAAATTCAACTGTTTTGAATATTGTGGATAAATTATTTTTTTTTTTCTAGCTTCTGGAAATGCTGAAATTTTATGCAAGATTTGAAATTAATGAAGAAACTGGAGAGCCATTAACGGATCATGATATGACACAATTACATTACACAAAAATTACATCCCTTCAGGTAAATAAATTTTTAAAAAAATTAATTTTTGCCCTATTTTTAATAAATTTTTCTAATTAAATTAATTTCTTTTTTTTTTTTTTTTAGAAAGTTGTATTTGCAAAATTTGAAGATTTACGAAATTTCTCATTGGCTAATGTTGCTAGTGTTGATACAAGGGATGCTCTGTACAAACATTTTGGTTTTCTAAGGTATGTTTCTAATTTTTTTTTTCTAATTTTCCAAAAGAAATTAATAAAAATTATTTTTTTTTGTTTTCAGTGAAGAAAAATTAAGATTAATAGCCAGTTACTTGTATTTAGTACCACCTGAGGATCGTAAAAATAATGAAAATTGGTTTCGTCTTGATCTAGACTTCCTGAGAGAATTATTGGTAAATATTTTTCATTAACATCAATAAAAAAAAGAAGTAATTATTTTTAAAGTAATTATTATTAAAGTAATTATTATAAGTAATTATTATTATTATTATTATTATTATTATTATTTTCTAGATATCAAGACACGAGCGTAGAGCATCACAATTGGAAGAATTAAACGAAATGCCTTTATATCCAACTGAAGAAGTTATTTGGAATGAGAGTATTGTTCCAACAGAATATTTTTCTGGCGAAGGATGTCTTGCATTACCAAAATTAAATTTACAATTTCTCACATTGCACGATTATCTATTGAGAAATTTTAATTTATTTCGCCTTGAATCAACTTGTAAGTACAGTGAAAGAAAATAAATATCAAATTTTATAAAAGTATTTTGGAAAATATTGTAAAAAGCGAAATTTCCATATAATACTTACTTTCAATTAATCAAATACGTTCTATCAAATTTTATTATAACTATTGTAAATTTTATAAAAGTTTACTAAAGATTAATATTTCTTATATGAAAATTTCGCTGTTTAAAATATTTTCCACTTGAAAATACTTTTATAAAATTTAATATTTATTTTCTTTCCATATACAATTTTTCATAACTTTTTTTTACAAATATATTTGTTCTATAAATTCTATTCCATGAAAATTCAAATGCAAAAATGATTGTATAAATTTTCTGGAATAATTATTAATTATTTATTATTATAGATGAAATCCGACAAGATATCGAGGATGCAGTTAGTAGATTAAGTCCATGGTAAATATATTCCTAAATATTAAATATTTGTGATTATTTTTTTTTCTACTGGAAATAATTTTTTTTTAGGCAAGCTGAAGACGGTGGAGTTTATTTTGGTGGATGGGCAAGAATGGCACAACCAATAACAGAATTTGCTGTTGTTGAAGTTGCAAAACCAAATATTGGAGAAAAAAGACCATCTCGTGTGCGAGCAGATATTACAATTAATTTAAGTGTCAGAAAAGAAATCAAATCAGAATGGGAGAATCTTAGAAAACATGATGTGTGTTTTCTCATAACGGTCAAACCAAAAAATCCAATTGGTATAAATTTTAAAAAAATTTCATTTTAATGAAAAAAAAAAAAAAAATGAACAGTAATAAATGGAAAATTAATTTCAGGTACTAAATATAGTCATAAATTGGCGTTTATACCACAAGTTGGTTTAACAACAGTACGTGGTTGTGAAGTTGAAGGTATGTTGGATTCAAATGGTCGTGTTATAGAAGATGGTCCAGAGCCAAGACCTATTTTACCAGGTGATACGCGTATCTATAGAGTTTGGTTGGATTCAAATCAATATCGAATCGATATGGATAATGCAAGTCATGGAAGCGAAGATGTTTATGAAAGTTTTAATATTATTATGAGAAGAAAACCAAAAGAAAATAATTTTAAAGCAGTATTGGAAACAATTCGTGAATTAATGAATACGGAATGTGTTGTTCCTGATTGGCTTCATAATATTATTTTAGGATATGGTGATCCAGCAGCTGCACATTATTCACGGTACTATATTATTATATAAATTTTTTTTTTTTTAAATAAATTATTTTACTTTTTATTTTTTTAATACAGAATGACAAATGAAATAGCAGATATGGATTTTAATGACACGTTCTTGGATATAAATCATCTTCGTTCGAGTTTTCCTGGATATGATATAAAATTATCGAGTGATGATTTAAAAAAATTAATAGGCCCATTTCGATTGACTTTTCAAGATGTTTTGGATAAACAAAATGGAAGGGAGGAGAAAAAGGAAATAATTGTACGACCTCATATTCCACCGAGTCGAGGTCCTTACAAAGCTAACGAACCAAGAAAGTAAGAATCAAAATTACTCATTTAAGAAAAAATAAGAAAAAATTGTTTAAAAATTTTTTTTTTCACAGAAATCAAATTCCATTTACTCCGACTCAAGTGGAAGCAATTCGTGCTGGAATGCAACCAGGATTAACTCTTGTTGTCGGTCCACCTGGTACAGGTAAAACGGATGTGGCAGTACAAATTATATCAAATCTTTATCATAATTTTCCAAATCAAAGAACTTTAATTGTAACGCACTCGAATCAAGCTTTAAATCAACTTTTTGAAAAAATTATGGCCCTCGATATTGATGAGAGACATCTTTTGCGTCTTGGTCACGGTGAAGAGGCTTTAGAAACTGAAAAAGATTTTAGTCGATACGGCCGAGTTAATTATGTATTGGCAAAAAGAATGAATCTTCTCGAGGAAGTTCAGAGATTAAAGGTAAATAAAAATTTGGAATTTAATTTTTATTCAATTATTATATAATAATAAAATTCTTGGTCTGTCGTTCTGTTCTAACTTGAAGTTGGCCTTTTCTGATTTCACGTGTTTTTTTGAATAGTAATCTTATGACGTGTCAAATTTTGACAATTTTTTTTCTCATTATTGCCAAAGTTGTATTAATTGTGTTTCCAAATTTCGGAATAAGTTTCTTTAAAATTCCAAATTTGAAAATTCAATTCACAAAGCTGAAGTACACAACGTTTACCAATGAAATTTTTTTTAAAGTTGTATATTGATTCAAAAATTGTATACAAATACAAAAAATTTATGATGAGAAAAAAGATGCGCCAGGAAATTTCGTACAAGATAGTAATTTGAAAAAAAATAATTTTTAAGATACCAGAGGCCAACGAATACCTATTAAATATTAATTATAAAAACACAGGCCTCGAATCAATTTAAAGACACAAAAAGTCGTTTTAGTCGATTTATATTCAAAAAAAAGTGGATAAAATACAAAAAAAATAAAAAATTGACAAAAATATTTTACAGATTTTTAAATAAAAATTTTTTTTTCAATAATAATTCTTTTCGATGGGTTAAAGTTGAAATTTTTAGAAATAATTAAATTTCAAAAGATATTGTTAATTTTCAAACAATTATTAAATTTTACAGAACTAAAAATAATTTATCAAACAATTTTTGGAAAACATTTTTTAAATTTAATTGAATTTTCAAAGAATATTATTAAAATAGTTAAAAATAATTGAATTTCCTTAGAGTTATAATTGAAATTATTGAATTTCAAAAAAAAAAAATTTTCGATGGAAAATTTTAGAAATAATTAAATTCAATTAATTTTGAATTCAAATTTTTGAGAATAATAAAATTTTATTTGATTTTAAATTGAAAATTTTTGGGAAATAATTGAATTTTAATTGAAATTTTGGATAATAATTTAATTTAAGTTCATTTTTCATTAAAAATTTGGATAATTAATTTTGAATAGAAATTTTAGAAAATAATTGAATTTTATTTCATTTTAAATTGAAAACTTGGTAAATAATTAAATTTTAAATTGAAAATTTTTGATAATTTTATTGGATTTTTAATTGATTTTGAATTAAAATTTCAGGCAATAATTGAATTTTAGTTTATTTTGAATTGAAATTTTTAAAAAATAATTGAATTTTATTGTGATATTTTTTTTTTAAATTATAAACAATTGTTAAATTTTATAAAAATTTTAATTGAAAAAATAATTTTAATATAATTGAATTTGTGATGTATTTCATTAAAATTATTAAAAATAATTCATTTAGTGAAGAATCATTTTAGTTCAAAATTTGTTAATTAATTGAATTGATGAAGATCTACATTTTATACTAGAAAAATGTATTTTATTTACATTTTTTTTTTCAAATGTAAAAAAAAAAAATGTCGCATTTTATTAAAAGAAGTCGATAAAAGTCGTATTTTTGAAAAAAGTCGTATAATCCGAGGCCTGTAAACATATAATTTTCATTATTATCATTTAATATGTAATAATATTCTAATAAATTAAATTATTATTGATAATATTAATCTCAATTAATAATAATATTAATTTCTTTATAACAAACAAATAATTAATTTGGCGCGCGTTTAATTTTGCTAGTTATTAAATAAAATAATAATTTTTTTTTTTTACAGGAGTCTTTGAAGGTAAAAGGTGATGTTGCCTACACATGTGAAACAGCAGGTCATTTTTTTATGTATCAAGTATTGACACGATGGGAAAGATTTGAAACAAGAATAAAACAACGAGGTGGTAATACAAGTAGTCATTCTATTCAATTTGTCAATCAGGAATTTCCTTTTCATAAATTTTTTGACAATGCACCACAACCATTATTTAAATGTCAGTCTTTTGATGAAGATTATGAAATTGCACAAAGTTGTTTTAGGTAATTTAAAATTTTTTTTAATAATTTTTAATAATTATTTGTAATAATTTTTAATAATTATTTTTAAATAATAATAAATAAATAATTTTTAGATATATTGAGCGAATTTTCACTCAACTTGATGAATTCCGTGCATTTGAACTTTTACGCTCAGGACTTGATCGTTCGAAATATTTATTGGTGAAAGAAGCTAAAATAATTGCAATGACTTGTACACATGCGGCGTTAAAAAGAAGAGAACTCGTTGATATGGGATTTACGTATGATAATATTCTTATGGAAGAATCGGCACAAATATTGGAAATTGAAACATTTATTCCTTTACTTTTACAAAATCCCCAGGATGGATATAATCGATTGAAACGATGGATTATGATTGGTGATCATCATCAATTACCGCCTGTAATAAAAAATATGGCATTTCAAAAATATTCAAATATGGAACAATCATTATTTGCTCGATTTGTTAGATTGGGAGTACCAACTGTTGATCTTGATGGTCAGGGTCGTGCGAGATCAAGTATATGTAATCTTTATAATTGGCGATATAAAAAACTTGGTAATTTAACGCACGTGGAAAATAGTTCTGAATATTTAGTGGCAAATTCTGGTTTTCTTTATGATTTTCAATTAATTAATGTTGAGGATTTCAATGGAGTGGGAGAAAGTGAGCCGAGTGCATATTTTTATCAAAATCTCGCCGAAGCCGAATATTGTGTTGCAGTTTTTATGTATATGCGTCTTTTAGGCTATCCTGCTGATAAAATTAGTATATTAACCACTTACAATGGACAAAAACATTTGATACGCGATGTCATCAATATAAGGTATTTATTTATTAATTTAATGACTTTTTGGCAATAAAAGTAATTGTTATTAATTTTTTTTTTTTAGATGCGCAAATAATCCTTTGATTGGTCGACCGAATAAAGTAACGACTGTTGACAAATATCAGGGTCAACAAAATGATTATATTATTTTGTCTTTAGTGAAAACACGAGCAGTTGGTCATTTACGTGATGCAAGACGTCTTGTTGTTGCAATGTCTCGTGCACGATTGGGACTCTATGTCTTTGCTCGTGCTTCGTTATTTAAAAATTGTTTTGAATTGACGCCAGCATTTAATCAACTAATGCTTCGTCCAATGAAATTAGTACTTTTGCCTCATGAGACATATCCTTCTACAAGATTAAATACTGATTCTCCATCTGTTCCTTCATTGGAAATTGAGGATATGCCACATATGGCTAAATTTGTTTATAATTATTATATGGAAAAAGTGAGCACAATGAAGGTAAATTGTTTTTATTATTGTGAATTTTGATATTGAAAAATTAGGAAAAAAAGTAAATTTGTAAATTATTTTTGGTGATAATTAATTGATTTTGCTCTTTAGGGTGTACACAAGGGTATAATGGAAGGTGTTGAAGATGAATTTCTTGAAAAAGCAACAAAAAGATATCATGAAGACGGACCACAACTTGAAAGAGAATCATCTGATGACGAAGATGAAGGTGACGATAAAGAAGCTGAAGTAATTACTACGTAATGGCTAAATTTTTAAAATAAAGGTATGTTACTTTTTACTATAAACTATTTTATTTGATTATAAGAGAATCGATTTTAAAGCCTGCAAAAAAAGTACAATAATCAATTTACTCAAAAAAATTCATATTTATTAAATCGCAAAATGGTTAATAAATCCTTTTATGTATTACAATAAAAGCAATGATTAGAGAACATTCGCTAAAGTAATTATTTCTATTCAAGGGATTATAGAACAAAATCTAATCATTTTCTTGTCACATTGAAAAATATAGAAATATTTCTTTTTTTTTCATTGATTACAAAATTTTGTTCGATAATAATTTGAAAAGAAATTTGAAAACTAGTTGGGAGTAATAAATATAAAACCACACAACGGTTTTAGGCAATCTCATTTTATAATTAATACAATTATTAATAAAAAGCATAAATTGTTTTTTTTTTTTTTGCTGACAATTTTATTATGAAACAAAAATTATGGAACGTGTAAATTGTACACAATTTGAATAATATAACAATTTTATGTTTCGTCTTATTTCATCGTTTTTTTTGCAATTCTTTTTTATTTTACAATCATCAGGCACAAGGTTTTTTTTTCCTCACAGTATAACTAATTTTCACTCATCTAATTTTATTAATACTATATTCCTGCGTTATTTTTTTTTTTTTAAATTTTAATTAAAGAATTATGCGTACACGTGGACATTCAACAAATATTTAAATTATAGCAAAGAATATAAATGCCACGTGTACACACATTTTAGAGTGTCCGACAAAAAAATTTGTTTTCCCTCGGTTACTTTTATTGAAAATTTTCTTTTCTTCGGGCAAAAAAATGTTTGTATATTTTTTTTTTAATTTTTATAAATATTATTAACGTATTATTATAATCTTTAACAAAAATTTTTAAATTGATAGATTTTTAGAAAATTTGGTATTTAATTCATTTCTTTATAATAAATTAAAGAAAATTGTGGAATGAAAATATTAAAAAAAAAAATTTTCGGACACCCAACATACACACGCACACACATTATGCATAAAAGGTGTACGTTAAGGCACATTGAAAATAACGACTATATAATAAAATGAAGATAAAACAAAATGCATTGAAATACTTTTGTCTATAGTTGGAAACAAAATTTGTTGCATAATTTTCTATAATAATAAAGCTCAGCTTAATATTTGTATAAATTTTCATATAATTTTAATTCACTAATTTTCACATTGTCTTTTACACTTAACACGAATGATTTAATTGAAATTATTGGAGAATTTTTCGCATAAATTTATATAAATAATGGAATTTAATGAAATGAAGTTCTATTAAAAAGCTAAAAGAAATAATTTTTTTTTCTCAACTTTCAGAGAATATGTTTTAATTTGAAAAATCGTGCAATGTTTTTTTTTGTGAGGAAATAAATACGATAATTTTAGATATGAAATTTAGAAATTTTCAATTAATTGGAGTGTTTCAATGCATATAAAGTCTATTCCTCCACCAACCCTTTTTTTTCTAATAATTATTATCTTATTGACAAAAAAATGTTTTTGTTTTATTATTATTTTCTTTAATCGAGTATAGAAGAAAATTTTTAAAAACTGCCACAATCACGTAAAATGCGTCCTGAAACTGGTTGAGGTGGTCGAAAGTTGTTAACTACCTGAAATAATTTTAGTTTTAAACACTATAGAAAAAAAAAAGTTTTGTAAAAAATAATAAATTTATTACCACTCCATGATTATCATGACATGGACATTCTGCACCACGTGGAAAATTTCTTAAACCTCGAAAAATGACCAACTGTTCGTGAGAAACTTCAATGTATTTTTTAAAAAGAATCCAAGTTACACTTTCGCTACAAGGTGGTGTTGTTAATGAACCCAAATATGTCCAATATCCATTATTATCTGAGAAAAAAATAATTTTTATTTTACAATACGATACAAGAAATTATTTTTTTAAAAAAATTCAAATTTTATCTTTGGAATATTATGCAAATAAAAAGTAATTTGCAGTGCTGTTGTGTGGGTATAAATATATATACAAAAAAAAATACCATCGCGTGATAAAAGTGCAGTATCACGGTTCATGTGCGAACCAATAAAAATCCCCAGTTTTTTTTTTTTTTTTTTTACCAACCTTTAGAGTCCGATTTGTTATAATCGGGACGAATAATTCGATCAGCCCAACGCATACACGGATTTGTGCATCTTTGTATACCGGCACGTCCACCCCGAACTAATTATTATTAATTGTTATTAATTTTTTTTTAAGAATCTAATTAATTAAAAAATAAAAAAAATATAAACCCTTTATATTATTGATTTTCAATTATGAGAGATAGTTACAATGCGAGAGCTTTCTTTAATTAAATAAATATACAACTTACCAGGAAGAAGTTTGTTTGGATCGATTGGATCAGTGATTTCGACACTTTCGTCTTTATGAATTACATTTGAAAGTAGATGCACTATTTTATTCATCTCCTCATGTTCTTCTCCAACCTTTAGTAAACAAATAAATGCAACTATAAATTATAATAATAATTAACTATGTCGAACAACTTTAATTTATCGAATTATTTTCTGAAAAAAAAGAAACCCGAATAATATAGAGCCAAAATGGATGAAATAAATTTATTTATATTTTTATGAAATATTTATTTGTATCAAATAATTTAATAATCAAATAATTATTATTTGAAATTGTATTTATTTCAAATACAGTTATTTGGTTTCAAAAATTATTTGGTAAATATTTATTTATTTGAATCAAATAAATTTTTTTTCAGTGTATTTAGCGCTTAGCAAAGCCATTTTCGTAAATTATCAATTTGTTATAAATAATAATTTTAAAAAAAATATATTTTTGCATTTATATATATATACTATATGTGAATGTGTTATCTTATTGTTAGCTATCTTTTGCCTTTGAAAGGAAGGTCATAATATTCATACATAACTGTTTTAGACAATTGTATTAACGCGCAATATCCATCACCTGATGATTGGTAAGACAACTGTTTGGGATTCAAGCTTCGAGATTATATAAGTTTGGTAAGTAACGACCATTGTGCATCCATATAAAAATAAGCTGAGCGCAGCACTTTGTAAATAAGCTTTACGTATAGCTTTCAAAACATTTTTTATTCGAATTTTTCTCAACAATATTTCCGGAATAAAATTGTAATTTAAAAAAAAAGAAAAAAAATCTCACCTTGAGAAATACTCCTAAAACAGCAAGACCATCAGATGCGTTTGCCGCTTCCATAAAACTATTGTATTTGCTTACGTTCCAATGCACCAAATGAAGCTAAAAAATATAACAAATAATTATTGAGTGATTCAATTTTTATTATTTTTATTAAAATTGTAAAAAAAAATAAAGAAAAATACTACCTCGCCAGCAAATGCTTGTCCATCGACTGTATGTTCCGATCCTCTTGAATCGCTGCAACCCCAATGGCAATGATACTGTTCAAGTTTATATACATCGTTCTTCAAAGGACCGCCAGTGAGGACTAAAAAAATATTAATTCAATTTTTTTTAATAATTTTTTTCTATCATTTTTTTGATTCAATTCTTTTTTAATAATTTTTTTCTATCATTTTTTTGATTCAATTCTTTTTTAATAATTTTTTTCAATCATTTTTTTTTATTCAATTCTTTTTTAATAATTTTTTTTGATTCAATTCTTTTTCAATAATTTTTTTCAGATTCAATTCTTTTAAATAATTTTTTTTTCAATTCTTTTTCAATAATTTTTTTCAGATTCAATTCTTTTTCAATAATTTTTTTCAGATTCATTTCTTTTTCAATAATTTTTTATAATACACAGTACGATCAAAAAAAAAAAAAAACCTTAATTTGAATCATTCTTTTTTTTCATAAAAATCCATACAACAAATATTTGACGAGATTTTTATTTTGATTTAAAATTTTTTTTTCAACACACCTTGTAAGGAAAAAAAAATTTCTTGCACAATTTAGTCGTTAAAAATAAATGTAATATATTTGTTTACTTTACATATAAGGATAGGTATACTAATAAATGAAATGAAGTATAACTATGAGCCGGATATACATGATTGAACGTTATAAGAACATTATTACGTAATACAAGAAATTGTTTTTAAAAAAAAATTATTTAAAAAAAAAAATTATTTTTTTAATTTCAAAAATTCTTAATTGAAAAAATTAGTAAAATTTTTATAAATAAAACAAAAGAAAAATAAATTGTCATCTGATTTTTATCAATTTATAGCAAATCAATATTATTATTACTTCCTGAATTCAATATAATAATGTTTTAATGTCTTGTCGTTTATTTATTCTTTTTAATGCCTGTCATATTATATATATATATATATATAATCACATGCTCTTAATATCCTATAGGGGTCCCACGTGAATATACATACATCCTATTAAAGCTAAAGCAATTTTATTTATTACGTACGACTATTTTAATAATGAAGTAGCTTTTTATAATGTTGATATCAAGCACGTGTGTATTCAAGTATCTAACAACAAAACATAGATTTTTAATTTAGAATTTCATTTTAAAAATTTTATATTATATAGAAAAATATTATATTATTATATAGAAAAATATTCTTTAATTTTTGGCAAATAAAAAAAAATTATATTCCGCAAAAAATTATTTGCAAAGCAATATTTATTTTTTTTTTTTAAGAAATAGATTAGTTTTTTTTTTTTAAATGAGAAATTTGAACTTTTTGATCTTATTTAGTGCATCGAAAAGAATAAAATAAAGAACATATACACACACATCATTCATTGCTGGCATCACGTGCTTTCTATGACGCATTATGTCACGAGATGTTTTATGTATATATATTTTTTTTTTCACGACTAATATCAACATGTGCAAATTAATAAAAAATTAAATTCAAAATAATAAACATAATTTCTTTCTATTATTTATTATTATCACTATAAAATTCATTAATTATAAAATTGGAAATAAGTGAATTCATTCTAATTAAACATTTATTTTTAATTAGCAAATTGATTTGCGAACAATAGAATTAAAAATAATTATTTTTTTGGTAAATATTGAAAAAAAAAAACAGTTAAAAATGAATAATTAAAGAAAATTAAAAATATTCCAGACTTAATCTTTGGAATATCATCAAGGTGCAGAGTTTTGATTGACAGATAAGAGAAATTTATCAAAAAGTCAACAAACCTATTTTAACTTGTAAACATGACTGTACATAGATAGAAAAAAGATGACTCAATTTTTGCAAAATAAGTACGATATTTTTTTTTCCATTTTCGAAATGCAGTGTGTAAGATTTAGAGGAAACTTAATTTTATATATTTTTTTTTTTCTATATAAAATATGCAAGCGATATGTCTAATTTACAATTTAATGTCTGAGTTGTTCATTTGATCGCAAATGTAAATTATTTCCGTCAATGTAAAATGTAAAGTCGAGAATAAAAAAATTTCAGAATCATTGTTTTTGGTTTCAGTTTCTTTTTGTCAAAAAAATTTACTATAAATTTTATATTACTAATTATTATAATTAATATAATAATAGTAATACAATAATTATATATTAATTAATTAATTATAATATAGTAGTAATTTATAATTTACTATAAACAATAAAAACCAATAATAAAATTTTTTTTTGTCAAAAAAAAAAAAAAAAAATTCGTAGTCCTTTTAAAATAATACAAAATTAATATAATAAAATACACTGAAAAAAAAATTTGATTCAAATACTCGATTACTTGATTATTATCAAATAAATATTTACTTGTATCAAATAAATATTTATTTGTATCAAATAATTATTATTTGAGATTATATTTATTTTAAATATAGAAATTATTGGTTCAAATACAATTTATTTAATTCGAATAAAAATTATTTCGTTCAAATAAAAATTATTTCGTTCAAATAAATATTTATTTGATAATACTCAAGTAATTGAGTATTTGAATCAAATAAAAATTTTATTTTTTTTCAGTTTAATAAATATTAAATTATCTTACGAGAGCCTTCTCCATCACAATCGACTTTCCAACAGTATCCTGGATTACCTAAAACCTTGGAAGATGTGGATTCATATTTCCATGTTAAAGGTTTGTCAATAAGAGCCTGATGATCACATGCAACAAGATTTGTTACAATATTTACAGGACTCTGTCTTGATCCTGCTGCCATGGGAAATTTTTCCCCCCAAGTGCTGGGTCCTGAAAAAAAAACAGTTTTAGTTTTTCTTTTTTTTTTTTTAATAGGAAATGAAAAAATAAAATTTGGTTTTGTAATTAAAAATAATTTTAAACCGAATTTTTTTTTTTTGTAATTTAAGATCCATTTTCTCGTGAAGCGAGAATATTTCTCCGAGAGACATCAATGCTAATATCACTTCTATTCGTTGATTACGGAATATAAAAAAAAATATTTTACATTCAAACTTTGTTTTCCCATACTATTGATTATAAATGAATAATTTAATACGTATTCGACCTTTGCAAAAAAATAAATCAAGAACATTAACATCAAGTTCGAATTTTTTCACGTACACTCTCAATATTTTTTTTTTTTTATTCTTCTCTGAATTATATAGAACAATAATAATAATAATTCAAAAAATTGAAGTCATTAAAGTAATTTAAAAAAATTATGTTTTAAAATTACACTTATGTTTTATGTAATAATTTGACTTAATTGGCGAAATAAAAAAAAAAGGAGAATAACAAAAGTATTTTAAATTGTTTAATGATAAATAATTTACACCTATAAATATATTTCCCTCTAACTAGATAATAATTTAACTATATATATTTTTATGTTTAGTCTTTTTCCAATGAGAATTAATGTATTAGTAAATAATAATAATTCATATAGGGCAGACAATAAAAATACAGTCTTTACTTATATAGTATAGTATACCAATTATTATTTTCATCGATCACTTGCGGTCGATGATTCTGTCTAGAATATATTTTTCTTGGTCAATTTTTATTTTTGTTGCCATAACATAAATAATTTTAATGGCAAACAAAAATATTCAAAAAAAATTTATTTTTAATTCAATTTTTACTTTTTTTTTTTTTATTTATTACCAATTATTGCTTTTTTTCAAAATTTTCAGTTTCATATTTTCCAAATCGAAAACAAAGAAACGATATTTTTTTTAAAAAAAAATTAAATTCATATTTAAAACTAAAATATCAGAAAAATCATTACTTTCTATTTATTCTCACATAAATTGAAAATATCTAAGTCAAAAAAAAAAAAAAAAAAATCAAAACTTTCACCAATAAAACATTTTCTTAATGAGAAAACAAAATCATCATATTTTGTAAAAACTCATTCATTAACGCTTCTAATTTAAGGCCATATATGTATAAAAATATATAAAGTGTCTTAATAATAATAATAATAATTAATAATAATCTTACAAAAAAAGTATTTATATTCTGTTTTATTAAAAAAAAAAAAACGAAATATTTTGTCATCAGTTCTGTATTAAGCAAGATACAAAAATAATTTTGAAAAAAAACAATAAAAACCAATAATAAATGACTTGAGAAATATATAAAATTGCAATACACTTTTTTTTCAAATAAATAACTGGTATCCCTGAAAAAGAGCCATGACACAGTTTTTACAAGAGTAGATGTTTAAGGTCCCCCCAAAGGAAAGAAATTTTTAAAAATTTATACTATAATTGAATAATATGGAAAAATTAAAAAAAAAAAAACAAAGAAAAAAACAACTATTTTTACGAGAACAAGTTATTTCCCAACGATAATAAAATATTTTTGTTAAATTTAATTTGAATACATAAAATACTGATTAGTATCATTCCACAAAAAAATTACTTGACACGATTTCAATCAGTAATTTTCATAACATCACTGATTAAAATCAGTTTCACTGATTTAATTTTATTAGTACTCTTATCTAAACTAAAAAAGGACACTAAAAAAAAATTTTATTTGATTAAAATAATCAGTTATTTGATTAGAAAATAAATATTTACTTGAACCAAATAATTTTTTTATTTGGAATTATTTTTTTCAAATACAAAAATTATTTGATTTTAAAAATTATTTAGTTCAAGTAAATATTTATTTGATAATTTGAAATAATACTGTAGAAATAAGTTTCGAACTTGTTTATTTAAGTCCAAAAATTAACCGTCTTTTTTTTATTTCTACTTTAAGAGATTTAATTACTAATTTTTATAAAAAAAAAATAATTGATTTTGATTCAAATAATCCTTTACTTGACTATTATCAAAATAAATTGGTAAAACTTACATTGAAAGATTGCAGCAAGTCTTCACTTTTTTATTATTTATCTTCTTATTAAAACTCGATTAATTGTCTTTTTTTGAAAACTATTCTCTTTACTAATAATAAGTAATGAAATATCAATACTAATTAAGAGAAATAAATAAATACCATTATGGATGGAATAATCCCACTCGGTGACAGACATAATGCCAGATGAGGTTGCAGTGAAAGAGTTGTAATTTAAAAATTAAGGTCCGAAAAGTTCAAATCCGAGTAAATATTCCCAATCGTTTTGCTTACTTTCTTTAACTTTCTAATGAAGATACTTGACAGCGTAAAAATATTCAAATATATATGATAAATATTAATATTGTTTGGTTTATTTTTCACAAAAATTACTCTTCTTTAATTATTTGAATTATATCTTTTATATATGTAAACAATTCACTCGCAGATGATCACCAATGAATAATATTCAATAAAAATATTTCTGTTAAATGCAATATTGTGTATGTATTTTTTTTTGTATATTGATATAAAATAATGTAGAAAAAGAAAGTTTATTATTAAAATTTGTAGGAATTTTTTTTAAAACTGAAGTTGTATTGTTTGAAACGATTGTAATACACTAATACAACAAAAACAATGATACGTGTGTGACGGCGGACTGGCGACTGTTAGCAACTGGCCTCAACTGGAACTGGATAAAACTTGTAACCGGCTTGAACGCGTGCGCGGTACTACACATACTATAAAATTATGATGATAAGCATAGTATGTGCACCAGGAATAGAATTTTTCCTTGTTCAAATAATCTTACTAGCGACTGACAGGAAAAAATCAATTTTATCTTTCTATTTATTTTTCTTTTATTAGAAAAAATTATTTTTTAATTTTAAATAGCTAAAAAAAAATTGTTTATGCAAAAAAAAAATAATTTAAATTCATTTTTTGTATTATTTATTAAAAAATTAGTTGCAAAAAAAAAATCCTTAATTTGCCTCTGCGCAGGAATTTTGTCCACATCCTGTCATTTAGATCTGCGCAGTAACTGATATTTTTTGAATTTTTTTTTAAAAAAAAGGTGAAATAAAAGCGAAATTTAATGTTTCCTCACATTTTTTTTTTTAATACTACACATAACTTGTACAACATGGAAAATATTTTATATAAAGCTACAAATGCACGCGCGTTTTAAAATAATTAATTATATATTTTTACTGGTGGCATAAGTATATAAAATTTAGAAATAGTGCACATGTCCATTATTCTCACAGCACTATGCCACAAGTTTACGTTAAGATAAAAAAAAAAATAAATTTCTGTTTAAAAAAATGCAAATTTAAAAAAAAGATTGAATAGTCGCAAACGTGTGGCAACATGTTGTGTTATGTGAGTCGAATCATTTTTTTTTTTTTTTAAATATTTTTTTATTAGTTCGATGATGTATCTATATACATATGCTTATCTCTTATATATTAATTGTTTTGGCGTGGTAACTACATAGAAGCTAAAATGTAAAATTAAAAATCAATGTTAATATCTGTTTTAGTAAAAAAAAAAAATTTCACAGTAAAAACTTGACTTATCAACTTATATGTGCGTCAAGTTTATCATTTCATTCGCAAAAGTCAAGTTTCTTTTTCATAAATTAATAGAAATTTCATTAATTGAAATTTAATATTAATTTAGATTCGCGCCGAAAAATATTATGCGCTAAGAAACTATTTCGCGTTCCCTGCACTTTTTTTTGTATTAGTATATATAATATTTTGTAGATTTATATAAAAAAAAAAGTATCGCGAAAAGCGTTAAAAAAAAAAAAAAAAAAATGCGCTTGTGGCAGTATTTCGGCGTGTCATTTTATATTATAATAATCAGAAATATTTTTTTTTTTTTTCTTTTCTATTTCTGAGTCGAAACTATTTTCTATCGAAGTACATACATTAAATGTATAGCAGGTATAATAGTTTAACAATTACATATCGAACAGAGAATTAATAATATAATGTACAATTGTAAAATAATAATTAATTAATCCTTTCCGATGTGATAACACAGGCTTTTTCAACAAATTTTTTTTTTTTTTCTTTTAGAAGAAAATTTTCTTGCAATTTTTTCTTTGGCAAAAATTCTATAACAAAATTTTTTTTTTTTTAAATTTTTGCTAATCATTTTATAAAAGCAATATTTTCTCTTCCTTTTTTATGCAAATTACATATCTTGATCTCAATAGCCTAGTTAATCTAATCTATACAATGTTCACAAAATCGTCCATTTTCTTTTTTATTATAAAAAATAATTTGTTTTTTAGGATTTTAACCAATTATTGTCGTTAAAATTTATTTATTAAACATTTTTTTTTTCATTTAAATAAAAATATTAATTAATTGACAAAATTCTTTGGGACGATTGAGTTTACATTAGTAAAGATTGTATCATCGGTGACGCTTTGGCCTTTAATTGTCGTCCCAATTAATTATATAGCTTAAAACTTAATCAGTGGAAGCATTGATCGAAAAAAAAAAAATTACTAGAAATAGTATTTATACCACATATGGTAAATGTCACATCGCATTTGACAGTCTCATTTTCATTAAAATTTATATTATATTTCCAATTATTATGCCGTTTTTAATTAATTATGAACATAAATGCGCGTACAAATAATTTTTGATAAATAATAAATCAACGACATTTCTAAATATTATTATGTACATTGTACATAACTACACAAAAATTGAATTAACTTTATTGTTCTTTGACGACTATATTTATGTATTTATCGAGTATATAAATTATAAATGGGAATATATTCACAACCGTCAGTTCTAGGGGGGAAAAAATTTAATGTACATACTATGCTTTTTTTTTTGTAAAAGAAAAAATGTTTTTTTAAAAGAATTTTTGTTTTAAATTGCAAATTGTCTTCGTTTTTTGTCTAAAATATTTAGCATAGTTTTATAAAAAAAAAATTATTTATGTACCCTATTACTTGGTCGAAAACACATTCTCATAAAATGTTAACAAAAATTTTTTTAAAAAATTTTTGCCAACATTTTTTTTTTAGTAAAATAAAGCAAATACTGACTCTTAGAGACAGAGTTGAATTCGTTAATTTTTTTCTCTGCGATGTATTTAAAAATTATATTATTAAAAAATTCCAAGTCTTCTGTTGTTTGGCAGTGATTTTTCGTTGGATTCTTTTTTCAAATGAAAAAGAAAAATGTCTGAGATTAAAAATTGTTAAAATAGCGAAAATCTTGATAAAGAATTTCTTTTTTTTTTTTTCTATTAAAGTATAGTGAAAAATATCTGACGCTAAGTACAATACTGCCAAAATTGTATTGTATTTAAATGGCACTATATTATGATTAACATACTGCACTGCAATTCAGTTGATTATTAGTATAAACAAAAATTATTCAATCAATAAGTAGGATGCCAGGTTACATCTGAACTCTAATTTACAATATATAAAATTCATTGCAAAAGGCAACGTGTGATTTCACGGGGTATTTGTCCCTTTAAAGGACAATAAAAAAAAAGAAATCAACTGCTGTAATCAATAAAAATAACTATTTTTGTTTTTAGAAACGTCATTAATATCCCTTTTTCATTTTTAATGAGTTCAGACGCAGGGAATTCGCTATTCGAACATAGCCAGTGTATTTAATGAATTTCGTTAGGGTGGAACATAGGGGGGAGGCTTTCTATAAGTTGGAGTTGGTTTTGGTCGATTTTGACGATTATTGTCACGATTAGTAGCAAATGGTGGTGGAGGTTGATATGGTTCTTCGGAATTTTCTTTTGCCAACATTGGTATATCAGCGCCGTCTTCTGATTTTTGATAATCAGGTGGTGGAAGTGGTGGTTTTTCTTCTTTCAAAATAATCGGTGATTTATTACCTAAAAATTAAAATTCCATTAAATATATTCTATTTTATTTTTAATTTATTTAAATTACCTGGATCGGGTTTTTCATCTAATTCATCTTGAAATATAACTGGAATTCCTTTATTTCTAAATGATTGTCTCTCGTCGTCTTGCTCGCTTACACTCATTTTTCCACTACGTCTTCTTTTATAAAATATACAGGCAATAATACCGGCCAATATAAGCATTGTTAAAATAATAATTGCTGGAAGTACAAATGTGATAAGATATTCGTCATTGCTTGCACCAACTGATCTTGAATCATCAAATGGTGGTATAATGCTATCTGGTTTATGAATACCAGTCAATTCTCCTAAACAGCTACCCAATGGTGTTAATGTTATTTGTTTAACAGGAAATGCATTATTTCCCATAATATTATCAACACGATCGGTTAATGTTTTGTCTTCTTTAACCACAACTTTACGAAGTTTATCAATTTCTTCATTTGGACAATTTTTTGTTGCCAATGTTGTATTACGCCATGTAACAACAGTACTTCCTCTAGTAATACTCTCTAATGAAACAGTACTTGTATCACTATCTCCAAATAATTCACATACTTTTTCAATGAATAAACGTTTTCTTTTTGCTGATTTTGCAAAATCTTCAAAAGGAACTTCCAATGTCATTGAAAATTCAACACTGTATTCTTTTGGAAGGGGAATTGATACATGAACTCTTAAACTGTCTCGAGCTGCTAAACCTTCTTTATCCCTAGCTTCTAGATGATAAATTTTTGACTTGACATCACCCTTCATTGGTACACCATAAAATTCTTGATTTTTACTATCAAATTGTAGCCATTCATCAGGAGAAATTTCCGATCCATCAGAATTTCGAAGAGATAAATTTAAATCACGAGTTGAACCATCTTTTATATCGTAGAATGTGTCCTGTAAAAAAAAATTTAATACGTAAATTAAAAGATTTTAATATTGTATTTAAAAAATATAAAAAAATCGACATACATCTGGTACTTTGAAAACAAATAATTGACCAAGAGTACAATTTAAACGATCAATTTGATTTCTTAGAATAGGATTGTAATTTGTTACTGGTGTTTCAGTTGTAAATTCTGATTTCGCATATTTTATTATTTCATTACTGCATTGACTGTGATCGCCAGGTCGATTAAGAATATTTGTCACATTTATTGATGGCAGGAAGATATTTTTCAAACGTGAACTTGGATTTCCATTTTTATCAACCAGAACCTAATAATATAAATATAAATATAAATATAAAATACATAAATATAAAATTCTTTTTTTTTTAAACTTACATGAAGAATTTGTTCTATTTTTTCAGCAGGACATTCTGAGAAATTTGAAAGAGTATCATTTGTCCATGATAAAATAGCTCGATGATTATTTTCCATATGAATATCGGTAAAAGTAATGTGTGAATTATTCTTGTCTTGAAATAGATTAACAAGATTTTCAACGGCCTAAAAAAAAAAACCCCAAATTATTCGAATCTATAAGAGAGATTGAAAATAAAAAAATATTTACCCTGAATTTCCAGTCAACATCATTGGAAAGTGCATGACGATGGAGAATATCCAAATATAAATGAAATTCAAATTGAACTCTCTTCGATGGTTGTTGTACATAAACTTCAAAGTCCTCTGAAACACTTTGTCCTCTACTATTTGTAGCTGTTAATTTAAAAACATGCCTTGAAACATCCTTCAGCAGTGGTCTGAAATTATGTTTAATTTTCAAAAACTTAAAAAATAATCACCTTTACTAAACAAAAAAAAGGAGCGAAAAATATTAAATGCTTACATCATATAAAGTTCCTGAGTTTCATTATTCAATTTAATCCAATCAAATTTAGGTGAAAGAGATAAATGTAAATTTCTTGTAAATCCATCAACATCGTCACGGAATGTATCATTTGATATTATTTGTATTTTACATTTTCCAGCGAGAACTGGTATTTTTTGTATTCTTCTCAATAAAACTGGTGGAGCATTGCTTATTGTAGTGGTGGTAGTTGTAGTGGTTGTGGTTGTAGTAGCGACAGTTGGTTTCAATGTAGAAATCGTTGTTGTTACAGGATCAATTGAACTCGATGTTTCCAATGTTTTCCAATGTTGTGTAGTGCTTGTATCACTAATCGATGTACTTGTTGATACATTGAAAGGAGAAAAATTAACAGTTATTTCCGTTGGAGTGGTCGTATCCTCTCGTGTTGAATAAATTGTACTTTCGTCTGTAGACTAAATAGAAAAATCAAATTTCAGAAATAAATTTTATCTCCTCCGAGTGACAAATGATAAACGTTTCATATTTACAATTATTTACAAAAAAAAAAAAATATATATTTCACAGCCACAAACAATAAAATTTTACATACTTTCTTATTCTTTACGGAAAGATAAAATTTTCTATTTAACTTGACGATTAAAAGTTGCTTTTTTAAATGACGTGCGATTTACAAAAAAATAAGTTCGATAAATGAAATAAATAAATTGACGTTTCAAAGACAAAAAAATATTTCTATCTTCCCTTATGTAAAAGAAAGTATAAAAATCTTTTCCCTAAATGTGTAAATAAATGATTATTATGAGGAAAAAGTAAACTAAGCATATAAAGCAAAAAGCAATTAAGCATTACCTCTTCGGAAGTTACGGTTAAGATAGAAACAGTTGTTTTATTCTCCTTTTCAATTGTTCTATCAACTGTATTTTGATTTATTATCGATGATAAAGTTGTTGAATTATCATTAAAATCAATTGGTACAATTGTATTTGCCTCTTCATCTTCTTCAGTTTGTTTTTCCATAAAATCATCAGTTGTATTAATAATTGTTGGCAATGTCGTTGAAATAAATGTACTAAATGTTGTATCGATCGTTGTAATTGATCCAAAAATAGTTTCATTAGAAGTTGAAAGATTTAATAAAGATGCAGTTGTCTCTGGCTTCATAGTCCTCGTAGTTTCAGTTGATAAAGATTGTGTATTCTGTGGAAATTGTTAGTAGATGCGTTTGTACAGCATTAAATCTATCGTTAGTAACACAATTCAATAGAGCAAACATTTTCGACATACAGTGGAACCTCGATTATCCAAACTTTTTTTTTTTTTTGGTCTTCATTTTATTAATATTTTTTATACCTTAATTATTATTTACTATATATTTTTAATTTAATATAAATATTTATATGTTCATTTAAAATATTATATTAAATATATAAACTGAAAAAAATTCATTAATTGATTAAAATACTCGATTACTTGACTATATTATCAAATAAATATTTATTTGTATCAAATAATTATTATTTGTGATATTTATTTCAAATATAAAAATTATTGGTTTAAATATAATTTAAATAAAAATTATTTAGCACAAGTTAAATATTTATTTGATAATATTTGAATTAAATAAAATTTTTTTCTTTTTCAATATAGTTTAACTGTGACATTATTTTATTTTAATTATATATATAAAAACATTTGAAATCCGAACCCGGTCCTTAGTTCGGATAATCGAGGTTCCACTGTACTGTTTGCTTAATTGATTGTGACACCAATATATACAGAAAAAGCAATGAATGATATGATTTGAGCACATTTTTTTTTTGAAAGCATGTTTACTTATTAAGTACATATCACTTAAACGATATTATAATCGTTAAAGTAATAAATACTTACGCTTGCAATAGAAGAAGAAGAAGAAGAAGAAGAAAAAGAAGATTGGGGAAAAGGAGAAGGAAGATCAGTAGAGGTAATTGTGGTAGATGAATTGTTAAAACCAGGTGCCGCTCCATGATCGAGTATCGGAACAATGTCGTGCTCGTCAATCTCTTCAATTTGCTATGAAACGAAAGTGTATTTATTCCCAAAAAATAATTCTATATAAGAATAATTAATATATATAAAAATTAATTTTCCAGAATAAAATACATGCAGAAATTAAAAGTAAAATAATTCACCTTCAGATCAATTGTTTCCTCTCCATGATGATGTCTATGTGGATGTTCAGATTCTGTTGCCGTATTGAGTTTCGTTGAACTTGAAACTTGAGGTAGTTGTGCATTTATATTATTCTCAGTTACTGATCCTTTATTAATATCTTCATCATCATTATCATCGTCATCATCATCGTAATCATCGTCATAATTTTCATCATCGTAACCACCGTATTCCTGACCATTTAAAGAATCACCTGAACCAGCATCTCGACGATTTCTTTCAAATATTATTTCTTTTGATGTATCAGCTTTTTTTACCCAACGAATAACTGGCAATTGTAAAATATCCGACAAAGCCTTATTTTGTACGGATAACATTACATCTTCTTTCTTTGAATAGCGTAGTTCCTCGCATTCAGACTTTATAACAAAATAGAATAAAACAATTAAATTTATTAAAATTAAAAAAAAAAAATTATTTTCCCTTACCTGCCAATGAATGGTAGTTAAATATGTTTCCCTATTCTGTTGCATTATTATTGAATCCTAAAAGAAAAAAAATAAATAAACGTAAATTAACGAAATTTAAAACAAAAATTTTTTATATTATTATATTACCGTGTTAAGATGAAATAATTCAGCGAGTTTTTCAATAGTTTTTACTTTTGTTTTACCATTCATATTTTCAAATTTGACATCTAATAAAATTGCCGATTGAAGTGGACCTTGGCCATTTTTGCAATGATTCTATAAATAAATTAAATTAAAAATTTTTCATTCAATTTTTTTTTTTTTTTTTTTTTTTTAGATACATACTTTTTCAATTTTGAACTTTGTAAATTTATCTCCATTAACAGACACAAAAAAATTATATTTTTCAATAATATTTTTCGTTTTTCCCAAAGCTTTTACAATTACATTATATTTTCCAATATCAGTTTTTGCTGGTACTCCTAATAAGGTGTTTGTTAATTCATCCCAATAAAGCCAAGAAGGAAATCCTTTACTATTATCTTTGATATGCACCTGTAAAAAATTTAACAAAAAATAATTAATAATTTAATTTTTAATTTTTTTTTTTTTTAAATTTGTACCTCATATCGTTGAATAATATGTCCAAGTGCATACTTTGGAAATTTCAATTTAAAAACATGTCCAACTATAACATTTCTATTAAGTTTCTCATTTATTTTACTGAATTTTTTTTTATTAGTCAATTTATGCTCCCAATATCGATGATCTCTATGTCGCTGTTCTCGATAAAAATCTTCATGTTGAATCACAACAGAATCAGTTTTACTTAACGATGACGGTTCGTCACCATCGTCAACAAATACTAGGTCATCTTCTGTTGAATTGAAAGCAATGCACAATTGCGGTAGAAATAAGACAAGTACTAAGAAAAATTGTTTCATCTTGAAATTTTTTGCAATGTTTCTTTTTCATATCATACTGCGTCTAGAAAAAAATAAATAAACAAATTAGATAAAAAAAATTCTTCTTTAAAATATTATTTTTTTTTTTTGTTTACAATTTGTTGAAATTTATTTTTATTCACACATGTCACTTTGTACGTTGAAACATTAATTAGAATTAATTAGGGTCACGTTTAAATTACCTTATTACTTTATTTTGCATCAATTATAAAAAATAGATTTGTTTTTACAGAACGAGTTTTTTTTTTTTACAAAAAATATTGTCATGTATCTTTTTACTTTGGATATGCCAGATATTAATAATTATTTCATTAATGCTGAATTGACAAAACTGCGACAAAAGTATTTTTCCATAACCTGATACCTCTAAAAAAACGATTGCAAAAAAAATTCATATTTGCATCATACAATTATAATATAAAAAAAAAAAAAATTGACATTTTTCAAATCTTATTCTAATTATGAAAATTTTTTTTAGACATTTACTTTTACATAATAAGAATGCAAGTGGATATAAGTAAAGTGATGACGTAGTGAGTCGCGGTATGCGCAGCCTAATCGTTTTATATCTTTTATAATTATAAAAAAATTTTTCATACATAACCTTAATTTTACTATTTTTATATTCCCCTATACATTTATATATAAATGAAACATATATTTTTAAATAAAATTTTTAAATTCACTTTTAATTAAAATAAATTATTTTGAATTTAAATAAAAAAAAGTTTTCTACTTGTCAAAAAATACCTTATAAAAAAAAACTTCTCTTTGTCTATGTTTTTCAATTTTCTTTTTAAAATTAAAAAGCATAAAAAATACAGTTAGAAATTATATAAATTTTATTATATACTTACAAAATTTACAAAGGTGATGTGCTCCTTTATAATCCTTATACACGTATTGGTGGGTGTGTGTCAAAGAAGTAACTAAAAACGCTGAAAAAAAAAAAAACGGAAGACGGTACAGACAGTGATAAATATGCAAGTGTGTTTTTGTTGTTCACTGAAATAAAGTACTTTAAAAGGAAAAAATCAAAGTAGAATCAACAATGGAAGGAAAATATTTCATTAAAGATGACAATAGTGGAATATAAAAAAAAATAGAAGATCACATTGAAGATTTTTGATGATTACAATGAATAAATGAAAACTTTCGAAAGGTAATGTATTTAATATATATATATATATATATAGGCAGGGCAGGTTGAGAGGGCAAAATTACAGAAAGAGAAGTATGGCCGACGATTGGCGACTGACGGACTGACGATGGCGACCGGCAAACTTTCAATTTTTAGGCTAACAAGCCTGAACTGCGCCGATGCCACTCGCTTTATGCACTTGTAGCATGACGAATGCTGACTGCTTACATTTATTACTTGGTTGGGTTCCGTGAACTCAAATTGCTAAACGGAGCTTTGGGCCCTTTCGCTTGCGACGCGTTGATTGCTCACTGTTTTTACTATTATAAAATATGTCTTCCCTTCAAAAAACATGTCTAAAAAATTATTCTTTAAATATTTAAAAAATTCGCATTTTTTCGTATGTGAATAGAAAAATAAAAATTTAACCAAGACATAAAATAATAAAAAGAAAAAAAATACGAATTGATCCTTTAAGAAATTAATTGGAAAACCCCACTTTAAAGTATATAATTATTTTTAGAAATATATATTTATTAAAATCTAGTTATTTTGGCCATATTCAAGAAATTGGTTAACTTTAAACTTTGGCAATATGCCAATATTCTAATTCGGTATAATACGAACTGTGGAGATAAAATATATATATATATGCGTACAATAAATGTTAAAATACTCTTGTTTGATTCGCCAGTAAAAAAATATTTAGTAAACTTAACTTTAAGGAAAAATTTCATATCTTTTATTTTCAATTAATTAATTATAATTTCACATTTTCATTAGCACGTCAAAATTTATTGTTGAATTAAACAAAAAAAAAAAAATTGTAAAAATAAAACATTTTAATTTTTCTATTTTTACTATTAACGTTTCTAATTAACGAAAAAAATATTCAATGATAGGCGTAGAATAAGAAATCTTTATTATAATTACAATAACAGTTATGCAAAAAAAAAAAAAAAAAAAAAAATGTTTATTCTACTGTACTGAATAAAAATGCTAAACATCCAAATGTTACAGTAGAACCATGATCAATAATTGCGCTACCCTCCCAACCTTCTTCATTATGAATTAAATTTGATTTTTTGTTTAAAATACATTTACAATTAAATCGTTTTGTATGTTCAGTTGTCGATGATTGATTATTATTAGAAATATTATTTCTATTTGCAATTTTTTTAATTTCTTCAACAGTATTTTTACCCCTCAAATGGTAATCAGTTTTTTTATTATTATTATTTAGATTATTATTTGAAAATGAACGTTTAACATAATCACATGAATATAATATATTGTCGACGACAGTTCCATGATCACTGTAGTTGAGCAATTCGTATCTTTTGGTGTACTGTAAAAAAATAAGGAAAAAATTAAAAATGGTTTAAAATAATTTTTCAATTGGAATAAATTTGAAAAAAAAACAGTTACCTCATCAAAAAAAATAATAGCATGTTTCGATGAAATGAAACTACAATTTCCATATCTTGTTAATGATAAATCACAATTAGGACCAGTTCCAACTGTAAATGTTTTATAGGACATAAATACTGGAGGACCCGAAACATGAGTTAATGGAAATAAAACTGCTCTAACTCTTAAATGACAATTTATAGAATTATATCCTTCATTTTCGGGATTTAATATTTGTTCCAATCTTTGTAAAGCCAATGCCTCAACTACTGGCCATTCTAATAATTTGATACCTTCTTTCGCTGGATTTGTTCTAAAAATATTCTCATAATTTGTATTTTCCTTTTTTTGTTCACATATTTGCATTTCAATATCCGGTATTATTTCCTTTTCATTTGAATTTGATGTTAATATTTCACTATCATTATTCAATTTTTCATCATTATTTCGTTTTATAATTGGCGTTAAAAAATCATCATTTCTATATGAATGAATAAAATCTAATTCCGGTGGATGAGCATAATAAAGTTTTATTGAACATGGAACTTTGATTTTTAAACGTTCTCCACAATGAATTTTTTTTCTAAACATTGGATTATTTGTATGGGCTTTACGAAGAAATTGTAATTTAACAGCATGTTGATCTATTTGACGATTTGCAAAACGATCCCATAATTTTACACGTTCTGTTGCGCTACTTGAATTTAATAATCGTTGATCCAAAAAATGATTAACATGATTTGGACACATCCAACGACCACTTGGAAATGCTGTTAATGGTGGATCTAAACAATCTTGATGAAAATATAAAGGACAATAATCACATGCAAGTAATGGCGCTTTTCTACAACTTCGTCCACATTCAAAACATAAACGAGCAGGTAATGGTACAATTGATCCATTTTCCATACAATGATTCTTTCCTAAAAATCAATATTTTATTTAAAAACTAGCAATATTAAACGCGCGCAAGCGCGCCAAATTAAGTATTTCATTATTTGTTATAGAGAAATTAAAAATTAATATTATCAATAATTATTTAAATTTATTAGAATATTATTCCATATTAAATGATAAAAATAAAAATTATATGTTTATAGGCCTCAGATTATTAATTATTAAATTATTAAATTTTAAATTCAAAGTCTTTTAAAATTCAATTATTTTCCAAATTTTCAATTTAAAATCAAATGAAATTCAATTATTATCCAAAATTTTCATTCAAAATCAACTGAAATTCACTTATTTTCCAAATTTTCAATTTAAATTCAAATAAAATAAAATTATTTTCTAAAATTTCATTTCAAAATTAATTATCAAAAATCAACTAAAATTGAATTATTATTTAAAATTGTAATTGAAATTTAATTATTTTCCAAAATTTCAATTCAAAATCTTTTAAAATTCAATTATTTTCCAAATTTTCAATTTAAAATCACATAAAATTCAATTATTATCCGAAATTTTAATTTACAATCAACTAAAATTCAAATATTTTCCAAATTTTTCTATTGAAAATTAACAAAAATTCAATTATTTAATTATTTTCCAAAATTTCAATTCCAAAATTAACTAAAATTCAATTATTTCCCAAAATTTTAATTCAAAATCAAAGAAAATTCAATTACTTTCCAAATTTTTAATTCAAAATCTTTTAAAATTCAATTATTTTCTAAATTTAAAATCAAATAAAATTTAATTATTTTCTAAAATTTCTATTCAAAATTAATTATCCAAATTTTCAATAAAAAATGAACTTAAATTAAATTATTATCCAAAATTTCAATTAAAATTCAATTATTTCCCAAAATTTCAATTCAAAATCAAAGAAAATTCAATTATTTTCTAAATTTAAAATCAAATAAAATTTAATTATTTTCTAAAATTTCAATTCAAAATTAATTATCAAAATTTTCAATAAAAAATCAACTAAAAATGAATTATTATCCAAAATTTTAATTGAAATTTAATTATTTTCCGAAATTTCAAATCAAAATTAAAGAAAATTTAATTATTCTAAAAAATTTGAATTTTCAATAATTTGAATTTAAAAGCATTTAAAATTTAATTATTTCTAAAATTTTCCATCGAAAATTTTTTGAAATTTAATAATTTCAATTATAACTCTAAGGGAATTCAATTATTTTTAAATATTTTTATAATATTCTTTGAAAATTCAACTATCTGAAACCATTTTTCAATTAAAAATGATTATCAAATTATTGTATTTTGTCTGTAATTTCTAATAAATTTTTTAGTGAAATCATCAAAAATTTTAATTAAAATCACTTGAAGTTCAATTAATTTCTAAAATCTCAATTTTTAAATCTTTTGAAAATTCAATTAAATTTTTAAAAATGTTTTCCAAAAATTTTTTTGATAAATTATTTTTAGTTCTGTAAAATTTTATTATTGTTTGAAAATTAACAATATCTTTTGAAATTTAATTATTTCTAAAATTTTCAAGTTTAATTTTGACACGACATAAGATTACTATTCAAAAAACACGTGAAATCATAAAAGACCATAACTTCAAGTTAGGACAGAAGGACAGACCAAGCATTTTATTATTATATAATTGATTTTTTCAATTTTTTTTTTTCACACTTTATTATACTTACCAACAATATTACAACCTTGTTGTTTTCTTCTTTTATTATGAATTAAATCAGTCTTATCAGTACCGGGAAATGTAATTGGAAGTTGTAATTCACGAGGTAAATCAAATTCCCTTGGATTTACTAATGATGCAGCAAATGCTAATATTTCTAATGCAGATTTTCTTTTTTTATTTTTTCCAATAATATCCTTTTTTGAATTACTTTTACATGCATGACATATCCATTCTCCTTGTGGAATATCAGATGGCTCTAACGGTGGATCACTAGTTTATAAATATTAAAATAAAAAAATAATTTTTTACCTTTATATTGATATAAAAAAAATTAGTTATTTATAAAAATTTCCAACTTACTGACACTGAAGATGAAAAGATGCTGGACATTTGTCACAACATATTAATTCTCCACCATCCTCACATGCATCACATGAATCACGATTGTGACCACGACCAGGTCGTTTAAAGTACGCATGTTTTTTTTCTAATTTATCTTTTTTTAATTTCACTGATTTAGCATCCTCTGATGTAGGTGGTGCAATAAGAGCTTGAATATGCTGTAAATACAAATTACATTAAAAAAAAAAAAAACCCTTAAAACAATAATTAATGAAAAATTCATACTTACAGGCATTAATCCCTCAAAAGAGGTTATATTAAAATCCATGTTGCTCATATTTTTTTTTTTTATTATTAAAAGCAATAAACTTTCAATAATTATGAAACAATTTAGTATCTAAACACAGAAATACACATATTTTATTCATCTAATTAATAATCAGAAGAAAAAAACATTCACAAACAGTAAATTTTTGGTTTTAGTGTTTTTTAGTTTACTTTGGGCCAATTCACATTAAAATAGTTTTCAATAACAATAAATCAAAATAATTGGTTGGAATAAAATTTGTCCAATAGCTTTTGATTGGATAGCAGAGTTCTATACGTCCAATCAAAATTACTTTTCACATTATTCTTCTTATTTTTCACTATCAATTTCAACATTTGAAATACATATTTCATTAAAAATAAAAAGAAATTGTATTTTATTATTTCAAAAATATATTTAAAAAAATATGACAAATATTACTAAATTAATAAAATTATTTTTATAATTTTTTCAATTATGATTGGTAGAAGAGAATAAAAGAAATAGAGGCGGGGTATGCGCAGATTCAGTGCGCAACGAGTTTCTCGTCAGTCGGTTACTAAACGATTCCTGTTCGCAATAGGGTTGATTTTTCATTAAATATTTTTGTCTTTTCTACTTTAAACTTATTACTTTTTTCATTTTACGTTATTGCTAAAAATTGTATATGCAAAGGAAAGTAGAATTTCTCGAGGGTAATAGGGATTATTTCCTATAAATATTTCGGACTATACGCAACATTGTCTCGTGGCGTACATTGATCTGCTTTAGATAATAAGTCAGTGTAATACTTTTCTCAAATAATAGGTTTATTTCTCTTTCAAGTTGTTAATTAATTCGCGATATATATTTATTGGTTTTTAATGAATATTTGAAAGAGAAATATTCGCGATAGAAGGTGTATATATAGATAAATATATATATATATATATATCAAATCGTTTCTCTCGTGGTAAAGCTTAAGAAAATGGCGACTGACTATAGAACTGATTACGTGTCGTTGGGCGACGCAACATGATAAGTGTACAAAAAATAGCTTATTTGATGAGATCAATATGTTATTGGTGTTTTATATTATCTAAAATAAATTAAATTTTCAAGAAAACATCAGTGAAATAAGAAAAAATGGTGAGTTTTTTTTTTTTTAATACTTTTGTTGTAATTTCATATACAATAAAAAATAATATATTATAAAGCATAATGTAAAAATTAGAGGGCGCTTCTAGTCCATCTCCATTCTAGTCCATCATCAGTTTTCCTTCATGAGAAGGGATAGATCAATAACCCCAAATAACCTGATTAGAAAAAAGTTCTTTTTAATTTATAAAAATTTAGCTAAGACAATTTCTTTTTGACAAATGAAAGTATATATCATTTTTTTTTTAAATTTATATAAAATAATAATATGTAATTATATAGTTGTAACAAAAGCATGCACATTAATCCAAGCATTAATTGTTAAGACAAATTTTCTTTTCCTGTCACAAAACAATGTAAATTTTTTTTTTTTTTTATTACTATATTAACCTATAATTTGTATTTGTAGAAAAATTTGTAAAATCTAATTAAAACCTGCTGTAATATTGATACTTTTAAAGTGTCAATATTATAGTACAAATAAATTATTTTTTTTTGAATGTTCATAGATATAGATTTAAACGTTTAATATCATTTAATTTTAAAAACTTTATACAAAATAGAAAAAATTGTTTTAAACAAAGAAATTGCAATCGATATTTTTCTTTATTGACATAAAATTGTATTTGTAAACTAATAATCTTGATTTGAAAATTTATTCCTTAAGAATTGACAGAAAAGTAAACAATCAAAACAAAAATTTAACTAATTTCATATTTTTTGTTTTTTTAAAATAGAAATAAAAAAAAACCATTTTTTAATTCAAACAGGTTTTTAAGTAAAATTGTTAAAAAATATCAAGAGTTACGTTTTTATAAATTTTTTTTGCCATTAGGAAATGTTTTGACAAAAATTGTAGTTTTTTACCAAAATCGTTTCTTGTTGTAAAAAAAAATTTGTAATTTTCGTTACACATTCAATAATTTATTATTTTTTTTTCTTTATAAAAAAAAATATCAAGTGGTACTAGTAATTTTTGTTTTTATTTTTCATCAATTGAATAAAATTTATTGTATTAAATTTTCTTTTTGAAATATAATTTATTTGGAACAAGTAAACATAAATTAAAATATCAATATTTTTAATTTAAAAAAAAAAATGTCAATAAAATCTTTTATTGTTCACTATGAGCCATTTTTTATGTAATGCTCTTGAAGAAATCTAGATCAAATTATATTGATCATAAATATAAAGTTATTGCAATATTTACTTTACAATGATGGGAAAAAAATTTTTTTTTAATTCATATCAATTGGTCAATTCGATAATGAGAAATATTCAATTGTATTTAAATATTTTTATATGAGAGATTTTTATTTATAATTTCTTTTATTATAAATTATTTTCTTTTTTGTTTGAAAAATAGAAATTCGGCAACAAATCGATTTAGGAAATTTTTTTTTTTTAAACCAGATTTAGATGAATGAATTTTGATATTGGCTATTTTTACACTTAATTTTTAATTCTGGTTAATTACCTATATATTTTTTAATATTCTCTAAGCAAATTAAATTATGAATGAATATGTAATGTAAAGAAATTGAGATGCAAAAATTTTTAAATATAAATTTTTTAATTATTTCAAATTAATTAATTTTCATTTATATTTTTTTTTTGTTATAGCCACGAATTGATCCTTTGTCACTGCTCAAATGCCTCAGTGTTTTACTTGGATCCACTGGAGGTATCAAAAGTAAAGAGGAAGTACATCGTTTAGCGAATCTTATGACTAAATTCTCTAAGAAATTAGTATCGAAATGTATATATATTCAAATTTTGAAAACAACAGATACCGATCTTCTTAGCCAGTAAGTAAAAATAGTTCAATATTATTTTTTTTGAGCATTAAAATTTGAGATCTAATTAAAAAAAAAATGATCAATTTTTGAATATGTAAAACAAAATTTCTTTATAATTTAGATATGAGATAAAAGAAAAATTTTTTGTTTTAGATTTATGGGCGCAGGTGGATGGAATCTTGTTCATATGTGGCTTACTGATGGTATTCTCGCAAAAAATTGGGCATTAATTCAAGAATTATTGGAACTTCTTTTACTATGTCCAGTGGACATTGAACGCTTAAAAAGCAATAATTGTCCAAAATTAATAAAAGGTTTATCTAAAGAAGGAAGCCATCAAGGTGTAAGAATATTAGCTAGCCGACTTGTTGAACAATGGTTGAAAATTGTAAAAGGCGAAGCAGCACCAAATTCGGTACCTGCACAAATTGTAACACTATCATCGTCATCAATAAAACCAACAACAATTCCAACTGCAATTGTACATCCAAGACCTGTTATTTCTACAATTCAAAGTAGTTCTTGTAGTACAAGTACAAGTAGTGCAACTGAGAAAAATGAGACTGATGTACAGATTGCACAAAATAATTGTTTAATTGATGCGGCTCAAGAAAATCAAGAACCATCAAATGATTATCATCGAATTACAGAGAAAACATTTCATTTACCAATTGATAATAAACAATCACAATGTTCTCAACAGAAAAAACAATCATTTGTCGTTGTACCATCATCACAATCGTCATTAGTTGTTCCAGTTTATAAAATTACAATACGCGATGGAAAACAAGTTTTAACGAAAGTCGATACTGATTCAACAAATATTATCAATATTTCCAATTCAGAAATAAATGGTGATATACATGAATTTCAAAATAATGAAAAATTAGATGATTATTCACAAAATGTGGAAAATGCCGATAAAACTGGCGATAAAGAAGAAACAACAGAATTGCCAAGCAGTGTCAATGAAATAACAACAATTGTTAATGCAAAAGAAAATTCTGATACTATTGATAGTGTAGATAAAATAAAAGATAATAAATCATCAGCCATTAGTAGTGAGAACAATAAGTCTGCTAATGATAAAGAAAATCGAGATTTTACAAAAAAAGATAATGACAAAAAAATCTATAATAGTAGCTCTAGTAGTAGTACTACTACTACTACAACTGTAACTGTTGAAAAAACAGAGAAAAAAAGCAGTCATCATAGTTCAAGCAGTAAAAGTTCTTCAAAACATTCTAGCTCACATCGTTCAAGTTCAAATTCTCATCGTTCTAGTTCATCATCATCATCATCATCATCTCATCGTTCAAAAACATCCAAAGATAAAACGAAAGATAAACATCATAACAATACTAGTAGTAACAGTAGTAGTAGTAGTAGTAGCAGTAAACATAGTTCAAACAGTAAAAGTAGATCTGAACGTGATAAAGAAAAACAGGAAAGAGAAAGGGAAAAACAAAAAAAAGATCAAGCAGAAAAGGATAAAGCAACATTGGAAAAAGTTCAAGGTCCAGCTTTAACTTCAAAATTAGGAAAAATACCTAAGAAAAAAACTGATGAGCCAAATGATATTAATGTAAAACGAAATTCAACAGATTCTAAAGAAATGACAAAAAAAAATTTGCCTATTGAGAAAAAAAATATTTCAATATCAATAGAAAATCGAAAAATTCAAGATTCGACGCGACCAAAAACAGTCAAGACATTTAATTCAAAATTTAGATCAACTGGATTAGAGGAAGAAGCAAAACCACCACCGCCAAGATCAGCGAGAAAGCCAAATATTGTTGTTGATAAACCAAAAATAATATCAACAAAAATATCATCATTGAAGAGACCATCGCCATTAAGAGAAAGCAGTTCGTCAGCTGATAAAAAAGCAAGATTAATGCTTGATAATTCAGTTACACCTCCAAATGATGAGAAAAAAGGTGGAATCAAATTAATTAAACCAAAACGTAAGTATGAATGAAAATTGATAAAAAAAAGGCAAAAACAAAGATTTAGATTAACAAGTATGAATGTGTATTTTAAAATTACATTACCTAACATTTTATTCATTTCACAGGTGATTGGCAACAGAAAAATATTTTTTTTTTTTTACAATTGTATATATTTTTTATTAATTTTTATTTATTATTATCGAGTAGAATTAGATTTCAAAAGTGGTAAGTTAATTTCATCATTGGCACATCGTGGATCTATAATGAGCTAAAATTAATCAAATTCAGGTAATGTTTTAAATATAATAATTAAATTATTAATTTTTTACATGTACAGCTAATAATAGATTAATGGTAATGTAATCTATTTATTATAAACTAATTGATAATTTTATAATTATGAGAATGTCCTCATTTTTATTATCATCATCTTCATCATCATCATCGTCATTATTGTAATCATCATCATCATCATCTTCATCATCACTATTAACAGTAGCAACACTGCCGTCATCAGCATAGGACATCTTTGTTATCGTCGTCGTCGTTGTTGTTATTATCATGGTCATCACCTTCAACATCTTACAACATCTACATTAGGTAAGACAGTCAAATAAATTTTTTTTTTTTGTTTAATTTTATTCTCTTCGTGTGTAGAATATGGAAAAAATAATCAAATAAATTGATCTAGTATCTGAATTTCTTTAAACTCATGAGTCTCTATATTTTTATTAGATTGATAAATAATTTAATAGGACGATTATAAAAATTTATTTCAATTTTCAAATATTAATCATTGAGTTGTGATCGTATACATTTAAACTATATTTGAAGTAATTGTCGAAGTAATAATTATAATTTTCTTTTTTGTTTATATATTTACCATCTAAAACAAAAAAACTATTTTTATTGATTTTAGATTTTTTGTTCATATTTACAAGGAAAATTATAAATTTTATTTGTGTCTATAAAATTTTATAGAAAATTATCTGTTTAAAATTAATTATTATTATCGAATATTACAAAAATAAACAAGAATTTGATTTTACATGTTAGTTGTAATAAAATTATTTTCAATTAGCTAATTTTTATTCTCAATTTTTCTAATATTCTGAATACCGGTGTTAAAATATTTATTAATAATAATTTATTGTCAAATTTTATTCGTTTTTTTTTAAATTAGATGTCTAGAGAAAAATAGTGTTTAATTTTACAAGTTAAATTTAATTTATTAAATCACAGACAATTTTTTTTGTTATGGAATTAATAAACAATTTTTTTTTGTATATGATCACAAACCGCGTCACTGCAATTTCAGTAATAATTGAAAATTACAAAAAATAATTTCCAAAAATCAAATTTTTATTGAAAATTTTAATTGGCAAACAAAAAATTATTATTTTAAAAAAAAGAAGAAATAGTCAATTTAATAAATTACACATACTTTCTTCTTCACAGTTCCTTGTGAGGCTGAGGGTTTTTTAAAAAAAAACCATCTTCTTTGACTGTTATCTAATTAAAAAAAATATTAATTCGAAGAAAAAAATTCAGTAAGCCCACGCGTTTATTTTTTTCACAGTTCAAACGTAAATTCATGAAATTAATTATTTTACTACCACTTGATTTTTTTAAAAATTATTTATTTCAAATACAATTTTTGAATTAAAAACAATTTTTTTTTCTACAAATTACAGTTGATATTAATTTATTTCTTCTTTTTGAATTAATTTGTTATAATTTTGAAAAGAATTAATTTTTTATATTAAATTTTTTATAATTTAACGAAAATAATCGATTAAATATTAAATGAAACGAAAAAAAAGTAATCCGTGAATAAGTATTTTCTTCTAGTTTTGCAACTTTATGCAACATTTTCTACGTTAATTTTGGAACATTCATTTTGATGATCAAATGGATGAGCACTCTTCAAGAATATTTAAGTATGTGGTCTTATGGACGACGGGCATTGAACGACTAAATGAAGGTCTTTAATTCCAACACAACGAAGAGAAATTTGCAACCTGACTGCAAAATGCAACATAATAAAAAGTTTTTTTTGTCTTCCTGATTTTCTAGATTTGTTTGCTTGCTTGCTGCTAATTGTATTGATATAAATATTAAATTGTTAAGAAAATTTCATAAAGGAAAAGAAATTAGAGACTGAAGGATGAAAAAAAGAAAAAAATAATTAATTTTACCCTCCTTTATGTTTCCAAATCGAGCATAAAATTAAAAAGGAATAAAATTTAGAAAGCGTTTTACGCGATAGAATTAGCGGACTACATAAAGATAAAAAAAAAAAAATAATAAAAAATTGGGTCTATTCAATAACTCAAAGCAAACGAAACAATTTGAAAAACGGATAATTCATAATTGAAAATGAATATAAGATGAACAGATGAAATTTAAATTGAAAGGAAAAATGATAAATGAAATACTGTAGTAAAATATATTGCCCTAACATAGTACCTGTTATAATGAAAATTTGAGTACAAAATATAAAATATAATTTTTTCATTATTGTCGAAAGCATTTCCTGACTATAATAAATAGTTTCTTTTAACTATTACTTTTTTAATTCTTTTCTTTACCAATTAAAATATATGGTAAGAAATATGTATAATTTGTTACACATAATTTAAACAAAAAAACAAAAAAAAAAAAACAAATTTTACTAAAAAATTGTTTAATTTAATTAAAAATAAAATTTTTCAAAAAAAATTTTATTTTCAAAATATTCCCTAACATAGCACAAATATTTTTTTTATTTAAAGAAAGTTTCCAGTAAGTTTGTAATGCAAAGTTTGGAAGTTTGTATGAAAAAAAATTGCATCAAACTTGTGTGGTAAATATAAAAATTTCCCCATGATGATAAGTTTGCATTGCAAATTTTGCTGAAAAATTTCATGAAAAAATTGCAAATAAAATTTTCGCAAAAAATTAGAGAAAAAAATTTTTCCTGCAAAATGTGCTATATTAAAAAGTTTCTACAGATAGCTTAATGTTATGATTTTATGATAAAATATATCACTTTTTTTACAAGAAAAAAAATAATCAAAAATTTAAATTTAAAATAAAAAAAAAAAAAGACTTAACGAAATCTCAGGCTGTGCTAGCCTTAATGAATATTCTCATTATTTTGATTCCCTTAATTCGAAACAGGAGGATTGAAATTAAAATAGAAATTTTGTTAATATAAGAGTGTAATGTATTATTTTCAATTATTTATATATTTATTTAAAAAAAAATTGTAAATTTTTTTTTTTATTTAATTATAAAGGTTTTTCAGCTTGATTTTAATCACTTGTGCGCAGTAAACAAAATTTTCGTTGGGGCTATGCACGTGGTATTCTGAGATTTTGTTAATCCAAAAGATGATTTAATTCTTTTGACCTCAGATGAAAACTTAGGGGGTCGACTGTTGAAGAACAAAAAGTGGTGAGTGGCCCCTTTTGTCCATATTTTTTTTTGTTTCCAAATTATTTTATTTGTTATAGAAAAATTTCTAGACAAAACTGAAAAAAAAATAATTTTTCACTAATTAATATAATTATGTGAAAAATTATATAACTCTTAAAATGAAAAAGGCCTTGTAATTTTTTAAAAAAAGTTATTAAAACTGATTTTACATTTTCTTAGGACGACTTTTTTTTCCAAAAAAAGGAAAAAAAAATGATTTGAAAATTAATTAATCTTAAAATCACATAGAATGATAATTGAAAAGTAATTAGTCGTAATTTGTTGGCAGTTTTATATTTTATTAACAATTGGGTCATTAGTAATAATAAAAATTAAATAATTTATATAATAAAACCTTAAATGATTTTATTGGGTTCAATTATAAATCTGTAAATGACGTAATAATTTTAATCATTTTCAATAATTTTATTGCAATTATTAGTTTTTAATATCATTTAGAAATTATTATATGATCTTTTTTCAAAAAAAAATGGAAATCTTAAATAAAAAAAAGGGATGAAGTAATTTTTAAAAATATAGATATAAAATATTTTTTCTGTTTTCTAAAAATATATTTAATAATTTCAGTTATTAATTTTGGCTGAATTTCTGAAATAATTAAAATTAAAATTTAGAATAATTTCAGATTCTGATTATGAATTGTTGCAAAATTCTTCAATAATTGAGGTAAAAAAATTATTTATTTTTTTAAAATATATTTTATCATGTAATATCAAATTAATTAATTTATATAAATATGAATTTTATTTTCAGAAATATCATCAATAGTATAAATTTTAATTCATTAAATTAAAAATAAATTTAATATTTCAAAAATTAAGAAAGTAACAAACGATTTGAAAGTACAAGTTTGATTATTTTGATCATTAAAAAAAAAATATGAATAATTCTAATTATTCGTTATTTGTGGATTCAAAATATTTTAAATATACATTACATTGCATTTATGTATAATTTGAGTCTAAAATCTAGTTCTTCAATAGTTTTTTTTGATAACGCAATATTATTTATGTATAATTTTCCTTAAATCTTTATTTATAGATGCAATAATTATTTTGGTTTTATTCAATATCTTATTGTATTTTTCAGGGAAAATTTTAATATCTTTTTCAGGATTTTTATTAACTTTTTTTTTTGTTAAGACAACAAAGTGAGTAATTTAATGCCTACAACTAAAATCGATTTTAATAGAAATCGCATATACGATAACTGAAAATTATAGTTGTCGATCTAATAAACAATCTTCGAAAATATTGAAAATTTTATAATTAAAAAAAACTTTTAATTATTGAGTTAATAAATTCATATATAATTAAAACAATATAGAATTCCATAAAATTCACTTTCAAATAGATTATAAATTTCTGACATAATATTATTATTATTCAATTTTTTTCTGAAAAATTTCTTTTTTTTTTATGATTTTTGTACATTAACAAATGACAAAAATGTTTTATATTCTTCAATAAAAGAATTGTTATATTTTCTTTTTTCTTTTTTTTTATCAAAATGTTAAGTTGGATAAATTGTTCTTTTAATAAAATAAAAGATCTTATTTATATAATGTATTTAATTATTTCAAGTAATGTAATTTATTTAATTAAAATATATATCGTAAATAGATTTTATGTACTTTTCTATATTTATTGAATAAACTTAGGCAATTATCTTTTATTTATTCATAAATATTTATATTAATTGTAAGAAAGAATGTGTGTGTGAGAAATTAAAATAGGTTTAAATATTTTAAAATAATTTCTTCAAAAAAATATCTTTGTTTTTGCCTTAATTATTAAATATATACTTTTTTTAAATGCTTTTTTTTAAAAAAAAAAAATAATATTTTTAATTGTTTACAGCTATGATTTTGCAAGAGAGTGATATGTTCATGGACGCTTTAACAGCAGCATCAACAAAGAATAAAGAACCAAGAAAGCGAAAACGACGAACTTCGATTTCAAAGGATGCTGGACCTGATGTTAAAAAATTAGATACTAGTAGTGAAAATAATCGTGATCATTCACCTCCATTAAATTCACCATCTGTTGCCTCATCACAAAAAAATGAAGATAAAGCATTATTGAAGCCAAATTTCAAGGTATAGATTATTTTTTTTTGCAAATATTTTAATAATTGTTCAATTTACAAATAGTAATATAATTTTTTTTTAGTTTTATCAAGATACATTGGAAATTGATGATGATGATGAAACAAAGGCAAAGAATAAGTCTGAAGTGAATTCTAAAGCGAGAACAGAAAATGAAGAAGAAGAAGCGGAAGAGGAAAGAGATGAAGACGAAGACGATGACGATGAAGAGCATGATGATGATGAGGAACATAAAATTAAAATTTCCAAGGATCAGGATAATGATGAAGATGAAGAAGAAAGAAGTACAAGTGAGTTAATAATTATTTCCACAATATATATTTAAATGTTAATATTTTATTTTTATTTTTATTTTTATTTTTAGCACCAACACCAACGGAAGATAGTTTTAGTGACAAGCCAATAATAGAATCCAATCAAGAAGTTTCGGAATCTAATGAAATTCGCTATGTTGATGGATTAAGAAGTGTTTTAATTATACAAAAACGTAAAGGTCCTAAGAAAAGTCTAAAATGGAAAGTCGAATTAGAATCAGTACGATATTTTGAATTAGACGAAACTGAGAGAGTTAATGTAACTAAAACATTCACTGACATGAAACAAATTGACAAACAAAATGAAAGAGAAGCCTTCCAAATGGCAAGAAAATTAAGTAGGTGTAAATTAAATTTTCCCCCTGGGAATTATTTTAGAAAAACTAACAAAATTTGTTTTTTACAGGTAATGAAGATTTAATGGAAGAAAAAACGAGGTGGAGAGCTTTGATTCCAATCGACGTTCCTCAAGCATTAGTTGAAGCTGGCAAAGACAGTAGGGAAAAAGATATTCAATATGCTCGTGAAAAAGGAATTCTTCAAGCGTTATATTTCCATCGAAACATGTAATTATTTACAAAGAAAAAATTTATTTTCATTTATTTTCTTATTTATTAATTTTTTTTTTTTTTAATACAGGATTCCTGATACGCCTGCAGAGCCAGAAGAGGAACGACTCTTGCCAGTGATAGAGGCGAAAGTAATTCCTCTCGATGATTTAACAGGAACAAAGGCAAATGAAAAAGATTTCACAACAATACCATGGCCAGAACCAAGGCCCCAACTTCCGAATCCACCAATTCCACCTGCGACAATGACTAATTTTCCATATCAACCGTATCCTCAGAATAATCCCCATCCAATGCTACCGTCAATGGGACCACCTCAACAAACTCCAATGGGACCAATAATGCCACAACCAATGATGAATCCAATGAATCAAATGGGCACAGAAATGGGAGTCCCAGTACCACCTGGAGGTGGTTGGAGAACAGGTGATGGTAAAGTTGTTGTTCCCGATATGCCGGGAATAATGCCAAATGTACCTGGTAATTATCCACAAGGTATGGAGGGTCCAATGGTACCACCGCCACCTGGAATGATGGGTCCACCAATGTATAATCAACCGGATGGTTTTATGTTGGGACCTGAAGATATGGGTTATAATAATGTTCCAAATAATTTTCAAGGTGGTCCTCCCGTTATGTTTGGACCGGGACCTAATTTTCAAGGTGGTCCCAGAGGAAGTGGACCAATGCACGTTAATCGTGGAAGAGGTGGACCACCACCACCACCTGGTGCTGGTTGGTTTCGTGGCGGTCCACCAGTTAGAGGTGTTGGATGGCGTGGAGGATGGAGAGGAAACACTAAACAGCCACCAGTTTGTAGACAATTTTCAAAAAGTGGTTACTGCCGTGCCGAAAATAAGTGTCAATTTCTTCATCCTGGCGTTAATTGTCCTCCATTTTAAATAATTTTTAAAAAAAACCTGTCTCTAACCATATGCCTGATAAAAAATGAAGTTTCTATTTTGTTGATAGTAAAAGTGCTTCAAATAATTGAAATTTACAAAAGAATTTTGGAATAGTTGCAGGCCATTATTTCATTTAATTCCCAATATCTAGAAACTTGAATTGTGATACTCATTTTGTTTTCGTAAACATTTTGATAAAAGTGTAGTGTTTTTTGGGAATAATCGCAACATATTTGAAAGTTCATAGGTTTTTTTTTTTTGAAAAGAGAAAACTTTCCTAAATGACTATTGAACAAAAAATTATCCAAGCAATATTTTTCCATTTTTTTGTGCTTTTTATTCTGTCAGAGAATTTTTATTGTATCCATAGCGCAAAAAAAAAAAAATTTAATTGACAGAAAGAAAAATTAATTTTTTTCTCACAAAAGGAAAGAAATTATTTTACCTTTTGTAAATGGATACACAAAAATAATGACAAATTTTTGACTTTTCATGCCATATCTTTGGAAACAAATGTACAGTATGTTTGAATTATTATTTTTTTTTTATTGCGCTGTTGAACAGCTCATGATATTCTCAAATATGACGCTAAAAAGACAAATCGATATCCGAATTGTTTATATATATTTTTTTTTTAAACATTTGTCTTAAGATTATTTTTTTTTCATTATTTTTGAATACACAGTTTGGACCAAGTTTGTATCAGTTTAACTACGTCAAAATGAAAACGAATATCATGATTCAAATCTAGAGATTCTAAAACATCTTCTATAACATTGAATTGAATTATCATTTATTAAAATGATTGTTGAAGAATTGCTTTTAATGGGTTTCAGTCGCAAAAAAAAAAAATTCTTTTTTTTTCTGTGCTTCAAATATTATTTTTCATCAATGTACATATGCACACTAAAAGTTCAAGCATAAATTATATGCATAATACTGCGTAATAAGTATATAAGTTTCCAGGTATTTTTTAAAACTGATATTATTAAAGGTCAATATATTTTGTACATATACAGTAAGGATATTTAAAATCAATAATGTTTAATTTACATATTATTGATTTAAAAAATTTTTTTTTTACTGTATATTATTATTGTATAATATTATGTAAAAAGCGTTCAAGCGAATTATTATTATGTGTGTTGGTTTGTAAATATAGATAATAAACATACTTTTACACACAGAGAGAAATTTCGAAAACAAATTCAAATATAAAAAATGTTATTAATTTATAAAAAAGGAGAAATTTTATTTCTTCATGATAAATTTGGACGCTTTGTCAACGTGAATTATTAAAGTTTCTGTTAATGTAAATACATAATAAAGTCAAAGTTTTGTCACAAACAAATTAAATTCGAGGGACGCTTTAAAATTAATATCTGTATAGATAGCTTTATTTTTAATCAAGTCAGTATATAATTAAAAAGAAAATTTAACTTAAAAGTAAAAAAAAAAAAGGTACTCAATGAATTTATAATCAAAAATTCGATTATTATTATTATTCATATTAACAAAACCTATGTACTTTTTTTTTTCTTTTTTTTTACTAGAAATAATGGTTAAGTTTATTGAATGCACACGATTGTTAAATTTGTAAATAATTGAAAATATGATTGTATGAAAGTCGCGCAGTTTTTCTGATAAATACACGATTCCAAAACTTATTTTTTTCTGTATTTGATTAACAAATAATAATACCTATTTTTCTTAGTGAAAAAAAGTTTTATTAAAACATATATTTTTTTTATTTATAAAAGTTTAGAATAATTTTTTACAAATTATTTGCGATTTTTTCGATTAGCGAATAAAGATAATGGAGGTGGTAATGGAAGTTTTAGAACAACTATTTTTTTGTTTTCTTTAAGTGGTAAGGCACAAATTAATCTTGCGAATTCAGTCATTTTTTTAAGACTTATACGAACTCCAATTTCAGTTGCAAATAATTCCAAATCTAATGAATAATCATTTATCGCAAGAGCTAAGATAATACAATGAATAATACCCTTATCTTTTATACTACTAGGTCGTAATCTGAAAATAGATGAAAAATTTTTAATTTAATGAAATGTAAAAATTAATTTCAAACTAAAAAAAAATTATTTTACCTTCCATTAACACTGTTTAAACTATATTTTTCCATGACATAGTCATTAACAATATTTGAATAAACACATATTTTAGTACCACGTTTTTTTGCATCTTTAATTGGAAGTTTAAACCATGTCATTACTGCATCAATATATAATAAAACTGCTAGTCTTTTATTGCAATTTGGAAGATTTTTTATACACTTCAAAGTATCAATAAAAAATTTAGATTTCCTGAAAAAAAAGCAAGATATTAATACAATTGAAAATTTTTTTTACAAGTTAATTATTTTTCTTACCCTTCCAATGAATCCTCCACTGATTCGAATTCCACTTGAAATAAATTTTTTAAAACTTCCTTTGGAACAATATCATTAATATCATAAACATCGGCTATATTTAATGCTTCTCTATTACACGGTGGTAAAATAGAATTTGTCAATAATTCTTCACTGTCTAATGAACCATTCATTTTTTCCACATCTACATCTACATAAAAAAAAAAAAAAGTAAATAATTTATTACAACACAAGATTAATAAAAATATTTACTTGAAACAGTTTTTTCCAGAAGTTCATTGACAGAATCCCCGCTTATTTTGGTCTTTTCATGTAATTCTGTTTTTCGTTTAACTTTCTTTGAACCAAATAATTTATTAAGTGTTGCAATTTTATCAGTGCTTGTATAATTGTCATTATTTAAATTACGATTTAAAACAGGTGCAACGTCCCATCGTTCGGCTTGTATAAGTTTTATTTTGCCCGTTATTTTGTCACGAATAGCCAACATTGTACACATTGGTTCCTTATCAACATTTGGCCTATAACCTTTGTATACAATTTTTCCATTTGATAAAGCAAGTACTGTTTTTTCACATTGTTCATTAGAAAATATACCACATTTCATATTATAAGTCTCATCATCTTTTAATTGTCCATTTTGAAAATTGACTAGAAAAATTAAGAAATTTTTGTTTTAAAAACTAAATAATAAAATAAACAAAATAAAACTTACCAATTATAGGTTGTAGACAATTTGTATCTTTTGAAAGAACAATAACGTCTGTTATTACTGCATCGGTTTTCATTTTTTTGTTTTTTTAAATTACTATTTTTTCTTGTAAAAACATTACTCTTTAAACAACTGTCAAGAACTATGTAAAATTAGAGAAAAGCCTTTTTTCTTTAAACACATTACAACAAGACTTATGATGATTGGTTACATATGGACATGTGGAAATATTTCCACCAATCAGCGATAACAAAATTGTAGTACAATGCAAACAGACCCTATTATTTTCTACATGAATATCAACACAAAGGCCATGTCATTGTAAACTTCAGTTGGCGTCGGTCTTCGGTCAAGTTAATTAGTTAAGTGTTATCTTTTACAATAACTTTTTTTTTTCTAATTCTCTAGTATCAAAAAGAAAATACTGTTTTCCATCATATTATTAGTGTGTCAATCTAAATGTGTTGTCGCATTTCTTAAAAGTGCTATAATGTGTTTTATATAATTAAAGAAAAATTTTTTTTTAAAAAATGAATGAAAAGGAACATTTTATTGGATAAATAATTTTATTGAAGGTGAGTAATAGAAATTTTGACTTTAAAATAAATTACTTCTTTGTGTGTATGTGTATGTAACATGTATGTTTGTCTCTCTGTGTGTGTGTATTTAAGGTGGGGGGTTATATATATAAATAATCAAAATTAATTACGGATTTTTTTTTATCTAACACAATTTTCTATTACAGCTAACTTGTTTTTCTATGACAATTAATATAGTTAATTTTTCTCTCTATTACAATTTTGATAAATATTTTTTTTTATACGTTATAAAATAAAATTCTGTAATTATTTACTAATCTTTTACTTTTGTGATATAAAAAACTATTTTTTTCAATTAGTCGTTTTTAAACATTGGAATTAAGTATTTAAATGTTAGTTTATATAAATAACAATTTTTGCAATAGTTTTCAATTTTGAAAAGCGTTCGCATTCCTAACTTTTTTTTATTCGTTTAGGACAAAGTGATTTAATATTTAAAAAAAATCCGTTAGGCAGTAAAGATTTATAATTCATTGAAAGGGAGTTTATATTTTTGCAAATTTTTTTTTATTTAAATACATAATTTTTTTTGTTTCGCTATTTGACTTTTTTTCTATTTTTACGGAAATATTAAATTTGATCAATACAAACAAATTTGCCATTCTAATTTATATTCTATTTGCGATTTAAATGAGAAAAAAAAAATGATTTTGATAGTAAATAAATTTGATGAAAGCCGAATTTTTGCGAATTTACTTTACTGAAAAGAATGTATATATATATATAGGTGTGCGCGAGTTTCCCGTCGATCAGGTTGGCGCCGTGTAAAGATCCCCTCCTGCATAAACCAGAGTTGGAACAGGTTTCAAGGCTGTGTGTTGTTCATCGTTGATTCCTTGACGAACGTGTATCACAGGATGATATAGGGAATGTTATATTTAAGTAGGATATACGAATATTATGACACAACTTTTTATTATATAGTCAAAAAGTAATTTAAAAAAAAAAGGAATAAATTATTTAAAATAAAAGGGAGGGGGGAAACAAAAAATGGAGAATAATTATGAAAATGAAAAAAATGTAATAGTAAACAATATTTGATTTAGCAAAAAAAAAAGCGTTGAATATTGTCGAGGTAAATTTGAGAAGATAGACTAAAGGCAAGCAAGCATACATACAAGCTATATAAATGAACAGACTTGTACAACACTGGTCTGGCTATAACCCGGAGTCTGCTGACGGTCGCCCCATGTATGGCAGCTTGTTTTATGCAGCCTGAATTACTATACACTCTGCTTTGCTGCACTTACCTTCAAACGCCGCACCAGTTTAATGCTCTTTGGAACTATCGCTGAAGCTTTATTTATTAAAAAAAAAACAATATTTGGGAAATTCATATTTTCTTCAATGATAAATTTTCATTTTAAATTCTTTTTTAATATTTGCCAAAAAAATTTTTTTTTATAAATTTCTAAATATTTCTAATTATAAAAATAGAAAAAAAAACAAATCTTTTGTTTTTAATAAAAATTAAAAACCGTTTTATAATTTTCTTGCAGATTTTTATACACTTAAGTGCTGACGAGACAAACCAGAATGCCGTTATGGGTTAAAAGTTGAAGTTCGAAAGTTCCAATCGACAATGAGTAAGCATGACAATTTTTATATTATTGATTTTTATAGCTAAATTAATTTTTAATAGATACATTTTGAATAAATTCATCTGAATTTGAAAATATATTTTTATTTAGAAAAGAAATTTTTGAAATCGCAAAAGGAGGAAAAAACTACTATTATGGAAAAATTTTGCACCAATTGATGAAATTTTCAATTATGAGAGATATTAACGAAATTTTTGCAAGCAAAAATTGTAATCAAGGTCAAAAACTTGATGTCAGATTGTAATAGTGGTATCACATATATATATATATGTCTATCGAGTAGGCAGGTAACTAAACCCGTGACTAACGGATACATTTGCCTGAGGGGTTACACATATATTCTTAAAGAGAATTTGCTAACTTTGAAACGTTTGCCTAACTTTTCGCTTATTTGAAAATGAAAACAGAAAAAGAAATTGATAAAACATTTTTTTGTGTGGAAACTGGAAACAAAAAAAATTAGTGAATTTTTTTAATAAAAAGTAATAAATTTATTAAATTCCATTCAAATTTTCTGATATCCAAATGCGGATTACCTTGTCGTTTGACCTCTCTTATGACCTCTAACGGACTTGTATACCACACCTCAGGCGGTCTCATATGCACTTGCGTAAGATTACGTCGCGCCATAGTCACACAGAGAGAAATTATATATACAATTGAGATGGCACTAGGTAAACAAAATTTCAATTTGAAAAATTGGTAAAGAAATTTTATCAAATTTAGAAAATTTATAATAATCATTGAATGAGGATTTCAATAATTTTGAAAAATTGAAAATCCATTGAAAAAGTCAATTTTCGTGAGTCGTGTCTATTTTTTTTTTCTACTTTTGTGTACTGAAAATGCTGCGTCAGTTGCCACTGGCATTTAAATGTTATCGCTGTGTGCAGGATGATATTTCACAAAAGGCATACAAAACGGGTTACTCTCTCTCTCTCTTTCTCTTTCTCTTGTTGAGAGAGTTCTCTTCCTTACTATGGTAACATTTTGAAAGTTAAATGCCAATCAACAGTTCATTTAAGTCTACAAATTTTTTTTTTATTATTATTTAAAGAAAAATTGTATGTACAAAACTTATTTGTTAATTATTAATTAATAATGAATAATTATTAATTAATAATGAATAATTAATAATTAATAATTAATAATCATTCATTGAAGAGAAGAATAATACCATATTTTTTTAATTGATACAATTTTCGATTGAAATTAAAAATTTTCTTTAATGTTAGTGAACTTTGGATTTCATATGTCTTAAACAAATATATTGTCTTGTGGTGCTGACTATTTTGCATAAAGTAGAGTCTAAAAGTTGGCTTTTAGCGGAAACTCGTAACAATATACGCGTAGCAGCACACCATTCAAGGCCTTGTGAGTTCTCATGACTAGGAGGTCTTACAACTCAAGGTCTTCACGGTCCTGTTGAACACTGTTTTTCACTCACGATCGAGACAAAGGAAAGCTCAATTCTATACCCCCAATAGAAAAGTAAAATATTTTTTTTAAGTTCTAAATTCGATACAAAAAAAATAGAAAAATTTTGTTTTCCTACATCGTTTAAAAAATTAAATCACATTTTCAAGATTATAAATATAAAGAAATAATTATATAAAAAATTTATTTTATTTCTTTATTTGAAAATTACTTTTATAATTTATTTTGTAAATTGTAATTCAATTTCTTTTTTTATTTTTTGTTGCAGGTCGCTAATAACAAGAAGCAATCAGTTAAAATTTTTAACAGGGAATGTCCCAAAGAAATTGAGTATGGAATCTGGCCATAATGATCCTGACTGTACGAATGCGTTTATTGGTAATATGAAAATTCAAAATTATTTCTGAAAAAAATTACACTGAACTAAAATTTATTTGATTCAAATACTCGACTATTATCAAAAAAATTTATTTGTATCAAAATAATTATTTGAATAAATTAAATCGTATTTTTAAATACAGAATTCAAAATATAATTTAAATAAAAATTATTTCAATTATTTATTTCATAAGCGAGTATTTGAATCAAATAATTTTTTTTCTAGAATTGTATTTCAAGGATATAAAAAAAAAAAAATGAGACAAAAGTTTTGAACGTTCAAAATTTTTTTTGTAACTTCTACGAATTTTATTACAAAATATTGTTTTAAATATATCTAAAAAGAAGTTATTAATTTAATTTTCTTTTTTATTTACTATTTTATTTTACATTGACATTATAATTTCTAATAATTTATAGATTGCAAAAATATTTTCAACGTTCAAAACTTTTGGCTCATAAAAAAAAAAGGAATAGTTTGAATGAGAATTATTTTTTTACTTTTCTTTTTATTGCAATAATAAAATATTTCATTGATTATATATATGTAATTGGCGTGATTCAAGAACAAGTTTGGTAAATTACATAAGCGTATGTTTTAAAGACTTAATGTTCGATAACCCGCAACTTCCGGTGATCTTGAATCATTAATAGTGTACAGTACAGTTAAATTTTCTATTTTTATTTTAATTTTTTTTTTTACTAGACTTGAATAATTGTCGAATCATAGAGAAATTTTAATAAATAAAATTAAAATTTAATTTTGATGTTAAAGAAATTGTTTTTTTTTTAAAAATTCCACGAATAAGAGAATTTTATAACAGCTTCTTTGGATATGATCTCACACACATATACGCCAGCACATACACTATAGAACACGACACGTTGCATATCGTTGGTGGTGCATCAGTACTTGGCCTTGATCCGTGTCAGTGGCATAGAGTAATACAGGACCCGCTCTCAAAGCCGAGTCCATCCGAATTCAACCGAGATTGCATTTACAAAAAAAATATTCTTGAATTTATTTACATTGTTATTGAAAAAAAAATTCTAAAAATGAATCTCCTGTTTCAGATGGAACGCATAAACGAAATGATGAAAATTGGAAGAAAATTGTAAAAAATTAAATAATTATTTAAAAAGCCCGTTGGAATTCAATGGCTGCGACCGACGGGCAAATTATTGTAGCCGCGGCTCGTTGGGCGGATGAAGCAACATATCTCCGTGAATTTGTATCCAAATATCGTTTACCAACTGTGATAAAAATCACTAAAGGTCAATATGGAGGTTTAGGTGTTCCAACATTGCCAGCGCCAAGTTTACAAAGTACAGCATTATTATTATCAGCTGGTCGTAGACGAAAAATAGTAGCTCAAGCAGTTAAAATAAAAGAAGGACGACGTGTTATTGGAGTTGGTCCTAGATTAGCGATACCAGATTCATATCCAGGATATTTTGAAATTTTAAGCGAAGAAGGAAGAGCTGTACGTGGTATTGAGTCTGTTAATGAATTATCACGTAAATGTCCTGAAGAAGGTGCATTGGTACGTGAAACAATAAGAGGAATAGCATGTAAAATTGAAGATGAAACAATTTTAACTGAAGGAAGTAAAACAATAATAACAGGCGAAACAGTTTCGGTTGCTGGTGAAGTTGCAATACCAGGTAGGGGAAAATTTCTCCGCTGTATTGATTCACATGGTGATAGTGTACTATTTGGTATGGAGCAAAGATGCCGTTTCAGTGCATTGGCTCGCGAGGACAATATCAGCGGTGTTCATACAGCAAAAGCACTTTTAAGTAAACGATTACCCTTGACTGTTAGACTAGTCCATGGCCAACCACCAAGAGGTCTTAAATCGCATTTTATTCCCGAATTGCGATTACTTTCAACCTATGAAGAGGAACATGTATTTGCCCTACCGTTGCAAAGTCGAGAAGGTGCCGCCGTAGCTCTACCATTAGCAGCACCACTTAAATTGGTCAAGTCAAGAAATGAAGAAGCACTTAAGGTAATTTCATTTCTTTTCTTCCCTTTTTTCCATTTTTTCACAATTTTTTTTTTTCAGATAATGCCTGAATTGAACAGGTTGGTGGATCGAGCAACACGTCTTGTCGCCGATGTCGCTGACAAGGCACACGTTTTAGATGGCCGTCTGGGTGATGGTAAATCAAGACAAACGAGAAATAATGGTTTCCTTCGAAGATCCGTGAGTTCGGACAATTCCAATAATCATCAACGACATAATAATAGTAATAATAATCATCATCATCATTATAATTATCATCAATCATGTTATAGAGATGAAAATCGTGTTCCCACTGAGGAATACGATGAGATTGATCAAATATATGATTATGTACGGGGATTTGCACCATTACCGAAAAGTGTCAGATCACCATTTGAAAATCCAATACGTCCAATTTGTCCATCACCTCCATTAATTGCTTCTGTTCCTGTTTCGCTTAGTCAAACTTCACTTCCAACTAGTACAACTGCCTCGGCACTTGTTCCTAATCCAATTACTGTAACAATTCCATTAGTTGATGATCGACCTGAACCGCCGCCAATTGAAACGATACCAACAAAAAAAAATGCTGAAAAAAGAACAAGACGAACTGTTAAAGAAGCACCAGCAATGCCTAGAATTGAAAAACCACCATTGGCAAAACTTTATATTAAAAATGGTACACAAAGAGGACGTCCACTTTTAAGACAAAAGAGTAGTTCTCCACTTAAGGAAACACCACCTAGTTTAAAAAGTGGTTCACCTCTTTTTAACATACGTTATAAAAGTTTAACAAATTTACAACAAGCAATGGAACTCGATGGTACTCTCGATTCAAGTCATTCCGGTGGGCGAACATCAGGAGATTCAGGCGCTAAACTTCCAGAGAAAAGGTACAAAATTAAAAATTATTTTTAATTACTATTATTTATTATTTTTCCTTTTTTTTTTATTAGGTCACGTCGTCTAAGTAGACCACGCTCTCTTACAAACCTTGTATGGGAACTTCGAGGCGGTGGTGTCAATTGTGCCAGACCTGAAACATCATTATCAAATAATATTGCTTCATTAATTCCACCATCAAAATGTGGACAACGTCTTGCTGTTACTGTCATGTCACCAAGACGTATTGGAACTCTTTATCTTTGATCTGTAAGTAATATTAACTTGACCATTTTTTTTTTAATTTTTAATTTTTAATTTTTAAATAATACTTAATTTTTTAATAATAATAATAATCTAATTTTTTTTAGATAATAGTCGAAGCAAAGGAATCACCAAGTTGTTAAATTAATTAATAAATACTCTTGTTTAAAAAAAAAAAACAATTTGTCGAAAAACGCAACTTTTACTATGTCCGCAAATACATTTTTTCTCTATAGTGATTTTACAATCACTTGATTCTTAATTGTGCCTTATTTTAAACAATAAATGTGTTTTCAAAATGGACTTTTGTTGGGGGGGGGGGAAGTATCACATTTTTAAAGATATAAATTTTTCTACTAAAATATATAAATACTAATAGCGGGTACAGAAAGAATTTTCTTTTTAATTTAAGAGTCGAAAAAAAATTGAAATTCAATGAAAACATAAAAGTTTGCATTTATTTTTGATTAAAAACAAAAAACAAGAGTCTTCTAAATAATAACCAATTTTACAATATAAGGAAATAAGCATAAATGATAATACAATTGCCATAATACTTAAGTCATACATTGTATTTTAGGTTTTTAAAAATCTGCGATAATTTTGTAATATGATTACAAATTATGTAATAAGGTGATCATCACAGCAATTATAACAATAAAATAGTAATAATAATAATATTTTGAAATCAAAATTTCAATTTGTAATCTCAATATTTTATTATTATTATTATTATTATTATTATTATTATTATTATTATTACAACTATTAATAATCTATATTATGATTGCAATTATTATTCTTTAATATTACTATTTTTTACATTTATAATAGTGTTAAGTTTAAAAAAAAAAATAATAGTACATAATTTGTATCAAGGGCTCAAAATAAATGATTGTGACAATGGCAAGAGATAAATTCTCGTTCGAATCACAATCATCTTTGCGTCTGTGGTGCAAAAAAAATATACATAAAATGACACAGTTTCTGTGCATGTGAGACAGAAAAAAAAATAAAAAATATTTTCACTGCTCTTGTCATATAGCAGTGAATTATTCTTTCTACAGAAATATGCAATATTTGAGAGAAATTAAAAATCAAATTTTTATTTTTTCTGCTGTAAAAGAAAATTAAGTTTCATAAGTTTTTTTTTTTTATTTTCAAAGCAGTAATTGAAATTTAATTTCAATAAATATAGTTTAATAATTGACAAGATTATTATATATTACAAAATAGATATTTAAAATTCAATGATAAGAATTGTTATATACATATATACATATATTTTTAAAAAAAATATTGAATGAGGCAAAACAAATTAAATTAATATTAAAAGGACAATTTTGATAATGAAATTATTAAATTACTTAAAATTCCATTAAACAATTTTAAAATAAGTATATAAATTTTTTTTTTTAAAGAATAAGCTTGCAAATAAGTTATAAATTGCCAAGATTGATTTATAATGCTCCTCATATAAAAGACTAACTTTATTAACATTCAGAAATTAAAAGACTTTTTTATAAACAAAATAGAAAAAAATATGGGCAAAAAAAAAAAAATAAGTTTATATTAATTTTACAACAACAAACCAGTCCAAGTATAGCTTCCGTTCATTTAAAATATAATGACGATCTCAAAATGCATCTTGGATATGGGTCTCATTTTTGTGATTATTATTGTATGATTTAGGTAGGATAGGTTTTTTTAATTGCGTAAATTTTCGCATTTTGTACCGATTTTTTTTTTTTTATTGACAGATTATAAAACGGATTATATATAGAGAAACTTCGTTATACTGTCTTTATTGTATTTTGTGTCATTATAGTCAACAATCATCAGTATCAATTTATAAGATCTCCCTCGAATACTTAAAGTATGCGTAAGCCTATCGCATTGTAGGTCTATTTCCAATTTTTGACCGAATAAAAAAACAAAAAAAATGTGTTTTTTCATTAGAAAAATATAATATAGTTAATTGCGATTAGCTTTACCAAAAATCTTGTACAATAATCATACATATAACATAAATATCAAGTCAATAATATCATTTTGATCAATTTATTACTGTTTTTTTATATATATCGTCAATTATCATCATCATCATCATCATTATTCATTATCATCACCGTTATAATTATCATCAAACGCGCCATTATGTAAAACGTATGTACTTTTATTGTGCTCACACATTTAAGTCATAAATTATCAAATAATGTAATTGCAACAAATCAATGTGTTTTATTTGTAATGCTAATAAAAAAAAAAAGTTTACATAATTTATCGGAAATAGACTAATTAAAAATCTTTAATAAAAAATGAGATTATTTGTTAAAAAAAATAATTAAACACAATGAATTTAATAATACAAAAAGTGAATGTTTTTTTGGGTAATGAAATAAATTAAAAAACCATTTTTTAATAGTACTTTAACTTTTAATTACGATTTTGATATCTTAAAGAGAATACAATTTGTTGTTGAATTTTTTGTTCTACATTTGAAAACATTGTAGAACTATTAACTCGAATAAGTACGCTTTTTTTTAAATGCAAATTTAATTGCAATTTTTTTTCGATATTTTTAAAGAAAAAAAAAGAAAATCACAATTAAAAGTTCGAAATAAGGACTTATATGTCAAAAATGGGAAATATAGAAATTTTTTTTATATAAATATAATAATCAAAGTAATAATAATTATATATAATAATATAATATAAATATATCGTAATGAACCTTAATATATAATTTAATTTTTGGCATCAATCACTTTTTAAAACTTACAATCTACATAATGCCATGTATCAAGTACTTTGCAAAAACATCGATAATTTTCAATAAAAAAAAAAATGATCGATATTTTACCTGATATAATCAATACTGTTTTTTTTAAAAAAAAACTATCGCCAAATTTATATTTTTTATGCAATAATTTTCCACTGGTACAAAGCACCAAGTCCAGGTGTAGCGTTTTTTTTTTTTTTTAAATTTTTGTTTGCCGTTAACAAAAATAAAATAACGGAGAAACAAATTTCAAAAAACGATTTTTTTTATACAATTTGTGCTAATTTTACAATTCAAAAATGTGTTGATTTACAAATGGATTTAAAAACGAAAGAGTGTCTAACAATCGTGTAAAATATTTCTAAGACCTGTCTCGTTATCTATATTTATTTACAACATTTATAAATTAATAGAATTCGCTTAAAAAATACAAGAATGGCGCGCATTAAATTATCTTGAGACGGAATACGAGCAACGGAGGAAAAAGGAGATTATAAAAATTGCAAGAGAAGTCTTTCTACAAAAATAAATTTATAAAATATACTACATCGTACAAGTATCTCTCTTTCATTCTTTCGAACAATTAATATTCAACATCTTAAGGCTTCATTTTTTTTTCATTTAGTTTGATTATGTCTCTCTCTCTCTCTGTTTTAATAATGCTCTATTTCAATATTGCTCCTATAACTTTGTATAAAAATAGGTTTTTCTTTCTATTTATCTCTGAATTCTTTTTTTTTTTGAGCAAACATACAACAATCTCACCATGTACTATTTTTTTTTGTTCAATCTCTGCACTAATCTCTAGACTGTATTTTTCTTTGCTCCATTGTCCTCCGTGACTCAACAAAATAATCCAGCGTCCAATTTATACATAGTTTCGCGCTATGCGCCTAAATAATTTTCTACTCAATAATTATACACATGATTTTTCAACAAAATTCTACATTTTCTCAATTTCAAATTATATAAATTTCCAATAAACTATTAATTACTTTAAAATCTAAGAATAATTATTTTTTTTTCACAAAATTTAATACTGAATTTTTTTTCAAAAATTTTAAATTTACTTAAATTAGATTTTTTTGTAATTAAAAAAATGTAAATTATTCTATTTAAATGTGACAATTTTTTATTTATCTTTAAATCAAATACGGAAAAATGTTTTTTAATTACGAATAATAAATAACAATATTATAAATATGATATTAATAATAATAAAAATAATTTACTTTATTTTCTATTCTAGTTTCTAAATAACCATTTTTTTTTTAAATAAACAACAAACAAAAAAATGCACATTTTTATATGATCAAGTTTTTTTTAACTTGATCTTAAAATTCCTTATTTTATAAAAGACAAATAACTATGTCACATTTTTCATTATATATTCTAATTATTCCTTAATTTTTTAGTTCTAATTTCTGTCTTTTTAAAAATGTCTCCGACTCGAATATTTACTAATATGAAACATTTTCCCTAATTAATATCTATTTCAATTAGTTCACGTTTTCTAATTGTTATTAAAAATCTTAAATTTACGAAACTAGTTCTGCAGTTTAAACAAATTAATTAATTTAAACAAATTTCCACCAATTTGAGAAGATCTAGTCACTATTCGGAAAAAAAAATTACAATTTTTTTTGTTAAATATTTCAATTATTTTGACTTTTTTCTTTCAGTGCTGACAAAAATCACAATTTTCTAAAGAATTTTTACATAAACAAAAATTCATTTGACAAAATTTTTTTTTTATTAGAATTAAATTTTTATTTACTCAAATTTTCATTGAACAATAGACATTTTAATGAAATATTTCTTATTCATTGCATAGAATTTGAGATGAATTTTCATTTGTTCGAAATTGCAATTGACCGAACAATGAACAGGAAAATTCTAATTCGAACAAATGGAAATTTGTCGAAAAGAACAAAAAAATTCATTTAAATATCCATTAATGTTAAATGAAAATTTAATGTAATAAAAATTTTGATTTTCGATTAATATAGAAAATTCGAAATTTATAGAAATTCTCTTAAATTTAATTTAGATAATTGAAAAGTGAGAAAAATGAAATTTTGTCGAATTAATCATGCGCCTCGATTAAATACTATCTCTTATCTTACAATCGGCTTAGTTTTTGTTTTTCGTAGGCAAAATTTATTTTTGCACGCCTCAATTAAACTTTCCACGGGAAAATTTGCATTTGTGCGAGAATTTAAAATGCATCATTACATCGCTATAAATTTAATTACAATTATCGTTTAAAACGCACTTTCAATCTCACAATAGTTCGTCACATTTTTTTTTTCTTCTTTTTCACTTAGTTCTTGAGTTAATTGCATTTGAACGATTATAAACATTCGGTTTATTTACTTTATTTCTACTTGCTGCGGTTGAACTTTCAACAACTGATTTTCGTACTTTAATCTCCTTTTTCTCGCAACTCGTTGAAATATCATCTTTTTTTTTTAATAAATTTTTGGTTGTGACATTTTTATTTTTCTCAATTTTTGTCTCCTCATAGGCCTTTCTCGTCGGTTGTGGTGTATGATATAAACTAAAACGTTTTGCTTTTGCCAAAACATTTGCCGTTTGTTTATCATCACGTAATTCATCTGAAGAATTATATTTTCTCGTCGTTGATTTTGATTTTCCATTATCGTTTGAATCCGACATTTTTTTTGTTGAATAACTATATCTTTTTGACCAATTGTCACTTTTCGATTCGGACTGTTTAATTCGTCGTTTAACAGCTTCGTTTTGATCGTTCTTTGAATTTTCAAGGACTTTGTTTTTTTGTTGAATGGGAATTTGTGATTTACACGTTCTCGAAGATGCTTCGGCAGTTTGTGATCTCGTTTGTCGTGTACTGTTAAGGGAAATTTTACTCGACAATTCTTTTCGATTATTGCAACTTTTTACATTTTCAAAACTTTCCGATGATTTATGAGATTTTTGAACTGGCGAAATTTGAACATTGACAAAATTGTCACAAATTTTTGTTTCATCGTTGTTTGAAATTGTTTGTCCATTGGTGATTTTGTATAAATTTTTTCTCGCGAGTCTTGCACGATTGGCAGTTGATTTGGCAGATTTTGGTGTTTCAAAATTATGAATAGCATCAAATGGCGTTCTGGGTGATTTAATGGAATGTATATTTGGTGAGAAAATTCCATTTCGTTTGGTTGATGAAGAATTTTTCTCAGTGGTTAATGTTTTTTGGAAATGTCCCTCATTGGGGGAATTTAAATTCTCTGGAATGCTATTCAATGATGATGAAACACTTTGCGATGGTTTTGAAAAATCTTTTCTATAGGAGATTTCTTTTTCGTTATTTGATATTGGATCGATTATTAAATCCTGAAGAGATCTGGTGATAGTTGTGAGGTCTTCGTTATTTTTGGATTCTTTACTGTTGACATTGAAAAAATCGCCTTCGTCCCGTCCTCGAGATACGTCGTCCTTTTCAATTTTCATATTTAATTCCGCGCTCTTGTGCGTAATGGGCTCGATTTTCGTCCATCTACATCGTTGAACATTGTCCGACTCGTTCTTGGTCTGACGCCTTTGTTTCTTGTAGTCGAATTCAAACGTGGCGACTCTTATCGGCTGACGCTGCTGATTCCTGTATTGCTGCGGTGATTCGAGATTGATTGCTGCTGCTGCTGCCGTTTGTTCGCCTCCTAGAAAGCTCTGCTGGTGTAGAGAGGCAGAAAAAAAGAAAAGAAAAGCTTTGCTACAGATAAGACAAACCACTACTGAAGCTCTTGCTGTGTCAAGGGTGAACCTAAATATCTCGAATCAAAGCTATTTGTTTGCTTTGTCATGTGCCAAAACTTAGTACGTGAACCCCAAGGATAAAGAATCAGGATTCAAGCTCAGTGCGTGTTTATAATTATTTAATTGACAATTTGTGTGACAGACAGCGATAGATTGCAAATTTTTTTTCTTTTTTTTTTATGCCCCAGAAAAGTGAAAAAGATAAGTGTGAAAAAAGACCAACAACCAAAGAGAATCCCATAAACCTATATACAGTTAATAGTGTAATGAAAAAGCTCTTGATTGTTTAGGACATTAAAACTTCTGAAAAAAAAGAACATAAGAGAAATTTTTCAACATATACTCCAAAAAACTAGATAATAATATAAAAATAATTAACTTTTTTTTGAAAAATTAAAATAATTAAAGATTTAGAGGAAAATTAAATAATTTCAATGAAATCCAATTTTCTAAAATCATAATAATATTCCTTTCTAAATATAATAAAAAAAGATAAAAACAAATTTTTAACAAAAACTTAAAACCAAAAAAATGATAATAATTACAGCCCACAACCTGAAGCTTTATACTTGGTGAAAAACATTATTTTTAAGCAATGCAAAAAAAAAAAACTATTTAAAGAGAGTTTAAAATAACGAAAATTCACTACATATTTTTAAAAAAATCAACTGTACTAATTTTTATAAAAGTTAATTAACTGTGCTTATTAATTTACAGAGGAATATTTGAAAATATATTGTTTTTGGAAAATAATAATTCTATTTAGAGAAAAATTTCAAATAACTATGATTATTAATCATTAACTATAATTGTTAAATTGTGAATCCTTTCTGAAAATCCCTTTGAAAAAAGAGAAAGCTGAGATTTTTTTTTGTTTCAAATTAATCAGCCATTATTTTTTTTTAGAAATTCATTTTCCGTACCAAGTTGGAACATGCGAAAATAGAAAAAGGGTTTTTCTATTATGAATATTATTATTTATTATCGTAGCAAAATGAAAAAAAAAAATTAAATTTACCGTAAGCCATGGATGATCGAGAACATCTTCAGCACTGAATCTCAATTCCGGTTGTGTTTGAAGCATATTTGAAATGAGCATTTTTGCCGAATCGGATATATTGTCCCAATAAGGTGATGTAAATTCATACTGTCCGCTTAATATTCTCTCAAATAATTCCTCTTGTTCGTTGTCTGGTGAAACAAAAGGTGGAAATCCACAGAGCAAAATATATAATATCACACCAGCCGCCCACACATCAATCTAAATCAATCAAATTTATAATTAATTTATGCGCAAAATTTTTTAGTTTTAAAAATGAAAATTGTAGATTATATTTTTTTTTTGATTTTTAACCTTTAGGCCATATCCCATTTCGGCTAGAATTTCAGGTGCAACATATGTGGGTGTACCGCAAACTGTGAATAAAGGTTCAACAACAACTTGAGCAAGTCCAAAGTCAGCTAATTTCAAACATCGAACTCGACTTCCATCCATTTCAACTAAAAGATTTTCTGGTTTCACATCTCGATGTACAATATGATGAGAATGCAAATAAGCCAAAGCTGATGTCAAATGTCCTATCATAACGCTTGCCTCGGATTCTGAAAATTTAGTCGCCGCCGCTATCGCGTCAAACAAATCTCCACCCTGATATAGAAAAAAAGCACATTTTAAATTATTTGCATTTTTTTTTCATTATTCGAGCCTTACCTTTACTAGTTCCATAACTAAAAATAATTGATCCGTTGTTTCCTGCTCGGCAATTAAGCTAATAATATTTGGATGACAAACTTGTCTTAAAATCGCAACTTCACTCGCCAACATTGTCTCTTTTCCCTGACATTTATATTTGTCAACTATTTTAATAGCATATTCGGCTCCAGTTGTTCTGTAAAAAAAAGAAAAAAATTTGTAATAATTGTAAAAAATTTGAAACTATCAAAAAAAATCGACTTACTTATGGACACATTGACGTACAACGGCAAAATTACCATCTCCAATTACATGACCAACAGTATAATGCAATCTAAGTGGTTGTGGTAAAATAAGCGAAGCAGGACTTGGTGTTCTAACTTGTGGAGCGGTCAATGATTTTTTTCCCGATTTACGAGGCATTTTTGGCATTGGTCCATTTTGTTTTTTAACAGGCCAAACGCCACGTCGAAAACTTTGAACGCATTTTGATTCTTCAAAATCGAGTTCAAAATCTTCTTGACTAGCTTTTTCGGTACCATAGGCAATGAATATTTCTTCATCATCAAAATATTGATCTAAAGAATTTATTTGTTGACCCGAGAGTGAATAGACTTTTCTCACAGCGCCTGAATCTAATTTAACAGCATTTGTTATTGCCTCAAGTACATGCTCATGACTTGGTGCATTTCTTTTATTTAATAAAAGTCTCACAACTCTTCTTGGCTTAGTGCCATTTCTTATTAGTGTTATAATTTTTGCCTTAACGCACGCAGGTATTGCACTTATTTGTCTTCCGGTACCAGCCGGCGATTGTGGTAAACCAGATAGAGAACTACCTCTTCTTACTTTTGATGATGAATATTCAACTTTTTTGAACATTTCACCCTGACCGGAGACAACATAACATTTTCCATCCTCAAGATCATTAACTGTTGACACTTTTCTTCCATCCATTGTATAAATTGCTCTAACTCCACTTGGCAATGTGACACTTGAGACGAGGGCACGTGTTAAATCCGATGCTAAACTATCAAAACTTCTATATCTCTCTGGAGTAACGGCCATAACCACGCCCGTGTAAAATTTATCACCATTGCGAAAAAAACGAACTCTTTTTGCCTTTTTTGTTGGCGGTGTTCGTAGAGAATTGAGAGAATGACGTGATGTGATATCCATTAATCTCTCCTCAAGAGAAGCGACAATTGCCGAAGCATGAATTTCACCACTTCCAGAGAGATTACTCTCTCCCGATGGTGAGGTACATCGTCTTATTGGTTCCTCCGTCATTCTAAATTACAAAAAATAATTATTGTTCTTTTTTTTTTAAATTATTTCAAGAGTAATTTTTTAAACAATTACAATTTAAAAGGGAAAAACTAGAAAGTTATTGAGAAATATAATTAAAGCCATAAAAAGAAAGTTACTTTCGTGCAAGAATTTGTAAGAGATCATTAATACATAACAAATTAGAAAAAGAAAAATAAATCCAAATTAGAAAACCGGTGATCCTAACCTATATAATCAAAATTAAATTTTGCTCAAGTGGGAGTAATTTCAATTGCAAAATATTCATAAATTAATTTTTTTCCAATTTCTCAAATTAATAATTCTAAATGAAAATTATAAACTTTACCTGTGCCACGAGATCAACGAACTTTTGTTAGCCACTGGAATGAAGATGAAAAAGCAAAATCAAGTGATTCACCAGCGTTCTGGCATTTCTTTTTTATTTTGACAATCCAAAGACAAATTATGAAAATCAAGTTTTTTTTTTCGATGAGTTTTACACCTCCATTTAACATTCACGCACTATTTGTTCAATTTTTTTTGTTTAAAAAACTATGACGATAACACCAGAACGATTTCACGAATCTATAAATACAAGAGTAGTTTTTTTTCTTGTCAAAGCTGTGGCGGAACCGGAAACTTGGAAAATACAAGAGGGGGTGAAAGAGGAGGAGGAGGAGGAGGTAGAATTCAAAGAGAATGGCAACCTCTCCAGACTTCCATTATCAAAAATTTTACAAATGACGGTAAAAAACCATTACAATTGTTTCTTTTTGTAAAAAAAAAAAAAATTTGCGTAACAAAAATTTTATAACCTCAAAATAGTATAGTATATTATATATAGATTCTCAAAACGAATTATTTCCTAATGATATAAAAATTAATATTTTAATTAAATTAGTAATTTATTATTATGAATGTAAATAAAAAAATAAAAATTTTGAAATTATTTTTTCATATCGTTAATACTGTCGGTAAATTACTTCGGTAGAGACTTACACAATTTTGCTAATAGATGGCGCAGTGTGTTCAAAAACGTTTTGATTTAAAAATGAGAATAATCAATCATTGTACTAATTTTTAATGTTAAATTAATAATAAATTCGAACTAAAAGAAGTGTTTCTTTAAAAAATGTGGAAAATTTTAAAAAATGTGTTATTGGACTAGTTTAGTAAGAAACATTTTGAATCGTGCATCAAGTCCTCGGTTAGCCGTGATCGTCTAGTGGTTAGGACCCTACGTTGTGGCCGTAGTAACCCAGGTTCGAATCCTGGTCACGGCAATGTCTTCGATGACATTGTCACGGTAGAGGATATTTTTTTTTTTTAAATTCAAAAAGATACATTAATATTTTCATTAAAAAATGTATTTAAAATTTTTTATTAAAAAAAATTTATTTTTTTTACTAAAGCTAACAAATTAAAAATTAAAAATTAGTTTTCTCATTTCTGTCAACATTTGAAAAGGAAATGAGTTTCAATGACTTTTTAGAGTGGAATTTGTTCATCATCATCAGTGACTCGTCAGTAAGGAATTCAGTGGGTGGAGGAAATAAAGATTGTTGCTACGCACCTGGTGGCGTGGAGTTGCTATTGTCGCGGGAAGGGGCACTGAAAACCGATGGCGATGACTGGGGTCAGGTGGGGGACCAGGGGGCCGTGCTGAAGCGTTCTCCAGGACAGTAGTTCGGTATGTTTGTGCCGTGAGTGCGGGTGGATGTGTATAGTTTAAAATCAAAAAAGAAAGAAGATTCGCGCCGCTCAAAAACCCAGTGTTTTTTGTTGTTGTGAATTTTTGCTAATTTAATGGATACAAGGTGCCACGCAATAATGTGTTGTGAGTGAGTGGATTGAGAGGAAGTTATTTCTTCCCTTTGTGTTAAATTAAATTTCCCACGGATTTCCAGTAGAAGTCCGGCCGGAGAAATGCGGACGCTTTACGTTGTCACAGGTGAGCACTCCCCCTTTATGACCCCCTCTCGATTCTTCTGACAACTAGCGCGTTCTCCATAATTCCTATAACTTAACTCTTTTGAGAATATTTAAATTTTATTGTGAAATAAAAAAATACACGATTATGAGCAGTATTTTTTGACAGATAGTTTTTTTTTTAGTCTTGACAGTTTTTTTTATAGGTTATAGTTTGTTTAGTCACTCGTAATCATAGATCTTAATCTTAATAAAAAAAACTAAATCTCATTTTTTGGTTAAACTTAGAAGAAAAGTTGGTGACAAATTTTGATACCTATAGGTATTTAAAAATATTTAAACAGTTTTTTTAAGTTGATAATAATACTTTTCTAATGGAAAAAGTTTTTTTTGGTTTTTACTTTGCAATGACTAGAAAGTTCCTCATAATTCGAATGTAATGGCGGAAATATATCATTAATAAATTCCTTAGTTTAGTTTAAGGAATTTCTTATTATTGCTAATGACATTTCTTTTGTTTTGTCAGCAAAATTAACTGGATATTTAAAATACCAAAACGCAGTTGTATTTAAACTCTTATAACCCATTTATAGTATTGCTATTATTATTGTATCATATAATAATTACTAGCTATTCTTATTGTCATTAGTGAAATTTTTTTTCAAAAATACGTAATTGTTTAGAATTCAGTTTTTTTTCTTACCATATTTTCTATGACTTGAAAATACTTTTATAAAATTTTTAAATAAAATAATTTATTATACAAATTTACATGTTTAAATTTGAATCATTATTGTTTATTCATTTTTAAATAACAAATGCATCTTTGTCAGTAATAAATGGAGGGAAATTTGTTTAGGACTGGTATATGCACTAAGAAGCGTATAGAATCAGAGAGAGAGAAAAAAAAAAAGAAAAGAATTTTTTTTTTCCCGTTCAAATTCAAGGAACCATTCAGTTCTGGTTTTCAAATGAAAAATACGTGACAGGTGAGATCTCCATGGGTTAGGAGTGCACCTGATCTTCTACCTGCGATTATAATGCTCCAAGGGAGAAATTTTCATGAAATGCATTGGTATATTTTTGTCACGAGAAAAATCATGGACCCCAAAAATATATGGTCCAGGAGAAAAATTTTATTTATTGCGTGGGAATTTTTTTTTTCAAATTTAATCTCCTTTTGCTGAATTATAATATCAATTAATTTAGAATTATATTTTATTTGTCTAAAAAAGAGACGTGATTGTTCACTTTATTCAGAAATTCATCCAAGTTCTCACTATGTATATAATATTCGAGATTAAAATTACCATTCGCGTGTTACCTAACTTTCATTTCTGCCCACACTGCGGGAGATTCTCTACACCATTGAAAAGTCTGATATGATCTGGATTAAAAGCTCATTTTATATTCTGTATAATTATATCACTGTTGATTTTTTTTTTTTTTTTTATCGGTTCGAATATTTAATGCGCTTTTATTTCACTATTTTCTATAATAGTAAATTCATTTTTTTCTAAAGAGTGTTAATTTTTTAAATTTCAATCGCAATTGTATTTTGGCCTTGATTTTTTTTCAGTTAATTATTAATTCAAGGCTTTTAATATAAATCATTAAAAGTCATGCAAGTCTTTAAAAATGTTTTTCTTTCGGGAAAGTTAGTTTCTTATGAAATAAACTAAAAAAGTTTAGTTAACGGATTTTATTTTTAAGTTAAAGGAAACATTTTTAAGTCATATAGCACAGGTGGAATAGGCTTGAATTAATGAGTCTCTCTTCACGCTTAGATGCGTAACTTAAGTGCCTTCGCCATAAGTATATTTTACTTTCGTGCAAACATTATTCTGGTGGCCATTTTGAAAGAAAAATTTTGCAAACTAGAGAATAAAGATGAGCACTTATAAAGAATATAAAATAAAAGGGAAACATATATGTATATATATTTGAAAATAAAATTACTAAAGAAAAATTATTTTTTCAAAATAAAATAAAAAAAAAGGAAATCGTTCTTAATTAATAATTCATTGAAATGTAAATAACATTACATAAATCTAGATTCTAGAAGTTCATTAATTTTTTCTTGGATAATTGTTAAAAAAGTTATTTTTATATTTTCTTGATAATTAAAGAATAATATTAATATAATGAAGAAAACAATTTTTTTTTTTCATTTAAAATTTAAATAATTATAATTTTTTCTTTTCTTTTGTGTATAATTTTCTTTGTGAACACTTTAGGAAAAATTTGTTTATAAAATCTAAAACAATAATATAAAAAATTAATAACGAAATTTTTAATTCAATTAACGATTTTTCTTTATTTTTTTTAATTCTTATTCTGTTTTTTATTTTTCAATATTAATGTTAAAAGATTGTCTAAAAATAAATATCTTCCTTTATTTTTTATTATTATTGCATTTATTTTCTTGTTTGTTGCACGAGAATTTATAAACAAGTTTACGGTAAAAATAAATTTTCTTCTTTAGTAATTAAAATTCTGACATTGATGTAATGTTTAAGAATAAAAAACATGAATATTTATTTTTTAACGTTTAATAAAATAAAAATAATTTTTTTTAATTAAAACCATTTTTTTTTAAGTTTTTAAATTGAATAAATTTTTTATCTATACTATTATATTTTTTTTTGATTTGAATTAAAAGAAAGGTAAATGACATGATTGATGTTTAATTTTATTATTATACGCCATAGACGTTTCGCTGACAAAGCTGTGTTATGGGCACACAACGAATAGTGCAATTTTAGGGCTTCCGGCAAACTATTACGCAACGAATTCGATTTCTTTGGAATATAAAAAGAAGTTTCAACATCTATTATTATCAAATAATTATTATAAGCTTACTATAAATTATATGATGAAATTATTTATTTTTCTACTCTTTTTCTAATTAAAAACTTATTTTTTTATCTAATTTATTATTTTATTTTTTCTGCACGTAAATATATATTTTTTTTTTATTAAACAAAAGAAGAACAAAACTTTTGCAGTAAAATAATAATTTACAGCAGTGAAAAAATAATTGGCTTTTCATGGTGAAGTGAGCGTAACTTTATATACTCAACAATTGATATAGAAAGAGAAATATATAGTGAATATGTCGCTAATTGCCACCGATTGTATATGGATACGATAAATAAACGATTGAACTGAATTTATGAAAAAAAAGAGAAGTTGAAACTTTTTTTTTTTTATTCCTCCCTTCGAAAGTCGATATTTGTAATATAAGAAAAAAATTACAAAATCGTTGCTGATACCCACCAGAATGTAATCGACACCAGTCTAACGTTACGGAGATCATCCACCGTGAATTCAGTGTAATATTTCCGTTACGGTTCACTCGCAACCCGTGTAATGTGTGCATTATACCAAACACTTGACGAAAATTCCAGTTTATGAATAATAAAAAAAAAAAAAAACTGAGAATATTTGTAAAATTCGTTTCAGAATTTTTTTTTTTTCTTTCGACGATTCATATTGTAAAAGATGCGTCATTTCCGGTTGGCAAAGTTTGCGCCTTCTTCGATAGTTGTGCGCCAAATCGTGAGTTCCTCTCTTGACCGTCTTTGGCTTCCAGGAAGTCATCCTTATAGTCACGTTGGAAACATAAAAAAAAAATATATATATATACATTAGTCACAGAATTTTTTTTCTGCTGAGAAATATTCAGACAACAAAAAATTTTTAAAAATTGAATTTTGCAATTGTAAATTTATTTAGTAAATTATAATTTTTAATGAATATTTTACAAAAAAAAAGTAATATCAAGCGGAAAGAAATTAAAAAACAAAACTCATCTGCAAAGTATAATGGGTCCTTTTGCAAAAAGGAACAATAGAGTGAAATTCACGCGGAAGCAAATCGCTGACGTAATTGAAAAAAGATTAAACAATTGAGATTATTATTTGTTGTTTTTTTTTTACTCAGGAATAAAAAAGCAATATTTTTATTTTCTTTGACAAGAAAACGAATAGAATTTAAATGCGGATGTATATAGAAAATAGTAATTTTTCATATATCGAAGCTCATACTTACAATTAGAATTACAGAAGATGTTTTTAGTTTCGATAAATCCTTTTTCATTGTTTCCATAAATTATTTCAAGTGTTTATGCAACACTTTCTTTCCATAAATTTTTCTCGATGTCGATTCCGGATTACATATATGATGGGCGTTTACTTGTTAATTATATATGTCGATGAAAGATAGAAAGCTGTATAGATTTATTATTCTTCAATCGACTCGAAAATTGATCTGAAATTCATATAAAAATTATCAAAAAAATTAACAAAAAAAAAATAATTCTCTTTGTTTTCTAAACAAAATTAAAAATTCAATGCGAGTGAATTTTAATCAAATAAAATTTCATATATATTTATGAAATTTTTTCGTTCTCACGCTTTCGGTTTCTTTTATGCAAAAATGCTTATTTTACATTTCTTGCACCATGAAATTTTCCGAAGCGCACGTTTTAAGTCTTTCTATATAATTAAAATTATTTGAGACTTATTTTTTTCAAAAATTTTCTTTTTAAAAATAGATTCTTTCAAAGTGTTTTTTTTTTAAAGAAATATTTTGGTTCTGAATTATCGTATCGTTTTTGGATGATTGCCATAGTGTTGAATTTAATTTTTTTTTCTCTTTTATTTTCTAATGGTATAATATTATCAATGTCAATATTTTTCTTGGTCATGGTCTAGTGCATTGAAATATGAAAATTTAATTTGCATTCTTGCGAATAATAGATATATTTGATTCCTTAAATGGTCATTATAGAAATAGAAATAATGTCTGGATTCCCACACACAGTCGCCAAAGGCAATGTGCACCGTGAGAAATTGCTGAAGTAACAAATGAATGGCATAACTCGATTGCAGAATTTTATTCAAGAAAATTGCATATATATTTATAAATTTTCTATAAACAAATCTCCAAAATTATCAGATGAAAAAATGGCAATCTTTTTTTTTTCAACTATAAGTGTTGCAAATTCTACTGAACTTGTAATTGATATTAAAAGAAGTCTATAGAGACATTATGAGATTATTATTATTATTATTATATAAAAATAGTAAACAGGTTTAGATAAAGAACTGTCGTTATGCATTCCCACGCAATCGATTTGCCCTAAAAAGCATTTTTTTTTCTTTCTTTTAAAAATGGCACAATTCTTTCAAGGTGATCTGAAGAAATTGTAATGGTTGACTGATTGTTTATATTCTTACAAACAAATATAACATTACAAAATGATGCTCCAATTTTCTAGCTGAGAATTTAATCTATAAAAGAAAAAATGAATAATTATTGAAAAATTAATTTTTTTTTTTTTTATTGTAAATTAAGAAATAAATATTATGAAAACGAGATGAAAGTTTCATCTATACTAGAGAATGCGGTATATATACAGAATGTCTTTCGTAACGGTTTTCTTTTAGTCTTGAAGGATCATCATCGTGGATCACTGACCGTCTGAAAGTCATGGTGCACCGTAAATAAAATTGATCACAAAAATAAGCAAAACTTTCTTTCAATAATATTATAATAATAATTTTCTCTTTTCAAATTGAATTCAAAACAAATACAAATAATAATTAAATGAATATATATATATATGAAAATAAGATTTTTATAATTAGATTATAATAGAAATTCAAATCTTATTTTTATTTTAAAAAAATTTGAAAATTAATAAAATATGATTTTAAATAAAAAAAAAAAAAAAACAAAAATACCGGTTTCCGTTGTGTCTTCTCATCTTTCACTCAAATCACGTATACGGGATTCAGGTCTCGTTAACATGTCGAATCCTCCGTAACAGTAAAATTTGCATTCTCTTTTAAAGAGAGAGAAAGAGATAATTTTGTCTGAGGCTTTTCGTTCCACTCGGTTGATGAAAATGCAGAAGAAATATATAATTTCGTTTCACGAGCTGAAAACTTTCATTCTTTTTTTTTTTTAAAAAGGACATATATATAGAAAAAAACGATTTATTTTAATAAAAGAATTTTAAAAATAAATAATAGATTCAACTACTAAATAAACAAATAAATCTCATATAACTAATTTTTGAATTTTAAAAAAATGTTAAGATTACAAACGGGATTTTAAAATATTTGCAAATATAATAAATAATTAATTTTAAACTTGATTGATAATGTGAAGTAACTTTAAATTCTTGTTAGGAAACCGGTTTTCATACCAATGAACTCTAACTGGAAAATGAGTCACACGAACAAAAATCAATTCAATTTTATCAGTTAATAAAAGCTATTAAAATTGTATAGATTTTAATTTTTGAAAAAAAAAAATATATCTTCTTTTTGTATCAAATTTGAATTTTATTAAATTTTTGATGTTTATACTTACTTGAATTATTATATACATATATATATATATATAGCTAGCTATACGAAGCATCGAAGTCTCCCGAAGTTTGAAAAATTTAAAAGCTGCCCACGATTCTCGGTCAGTTGTAAAATAAATCTTAAGCCTTACAATCTTTTGTTATTGTTACAGTAGCTATAAGCGCTTTAAGAAAGTGATAAGGAATCTCCTCGTTGTCATTGTAATAATCTAAAAGGTTCTTATTTCAAAACACACATGTTACACATTAATAAGTAGTAGTTTTTTTTTCGATTTGTTTTTAAATTACTAAATACAAATAAAATTCTATATTAATTTTTTGACAATAAGTTTTTTCCTTAAAATCTTCATTGTTAAATTTTAAAGTATTTCCCTAGAAAAAAATTATAGAATTATCGGTTTCTATATTTCATTGGGATTATATATAAAAAAAAAGGGGCTGGAAATAAAATCGCTTCCTTGAGTGCTTCACAGCTTAAGCTTGAATTCCTTGCCAATTTTGCATGGTCGTATAAATTGTGTATAGCAATAACGAAAGTTACCTTTTTTTGAGCCGCGTGGTATCATCAGTGCTCGTAAAGTATAAACACTGAGTAAGGCTTCCGTGCGAATCGTTGCCGGTGGTTTTTCTTTAAGACCGGATTTAGAAAATATGGTATATTTCTTCTTTCAACTAAACTTATAACTTTTGCCTCACCAGATTTGCGATTATATTTCTACCTCTAGTTTTCGAAAACAACTCTTTTTGCGTTAAAATTTCAAATCAATAATTTTCTGAATCTTCAGTTATAAACAAAAGTGAAGATACTAGAATGTAAAGGAGCATTTACAAGTGGTGAAAAAAAAAAATTACCGACAGAAACAAAATGCATAAATCTGATTGGTTGTCTACATAATTGTGGACAACGAATAAGATTTGTACAATTTTTTTTTTGTTGTGACAGCTCGTTAGCGAAAAGTTAAAGGTTAATGAAATAAAAGTTAATTTTGTTAATTTAAAAAAAAATTGCAGACTGCTTCTTTTTGAAAGATGAACAATTTTCGAAACGCTATTAAAATAAAATAAGAATACAATAAAATTTAAGATGCAAAGACTCAAAAGGAGATACAAGTACGCACTACAATTTCTTGTCGAAAGGATGTATATAATTAGTCAAATGTAAATTGCAGTAGTTGTATTTCTGAAGTAGTCTAATTACAAGTATCTTACGTTTCATATTCTGTTCCAGATTGTTTCCTTTTGTTATATATATATGTATAAATTATACTGTCTTCAAATCTAATTCTTCAGCATGAAAGGAAGCGCATTAACTTTCAATTTTAATCTTCTTTTTCAAGAAATAGTTAAAGTTTTACTCAAACTAAAATACAAAAAAAAAAAAAATACATGACAAAAATAGAAATTTTTATAATTCATAAATATTCTCTTTGCTCTACTTTTAAAAAGGTGACGCATTACTTACACATTCGATTTTAAGTACAACTACAATCTGATTAACGTTCGATCGTTAAAATACTTTATCGTGACATAAATTTACCTCTATCTAATCATTTTTGTATACAGAAAAAAAGACGAATTTAATAAAACAATTATTCAATTATTTTTAAAAAATTTGGTTTTTGAAAATAAAAAAAGAGAAATTAATTTCTATTTTTCAGTTCTCTCAATTCTTTGGGTGTCGACGCAACAAAATTCCCAGGATGGAAGATCACAGGAATTACCTCGGGAGGCTTATTTCAATGGTTCAGGATATTTAATATTAAGTTCCTTTGTCTCAGTTCATAGACACAGTGGTCTTAGTTTTAGAACTTGTGAATCGGGAAATCTTTTTACACAATGGTTCAAAAGCGATTCAATAAGTCTTAAAGTTAATACCGAGGGTCTTCTTTTTGTTGCAACTGTTAATCAAAAACGATACGAAGTTAAATTAAATGCCAAATTATTGGATAATGTTTGGCACAATGTTAATTTATTTTTCAAACTTGGAAATTTAACTCTCAATGCAGCTAATCACAATCAGGTAATTAAAAATAAAAAAATTTACCTCTACTTTTTTTGCAATTAAACGGATTCATTTTAAAATTACCTAATTTCATTTAAATTATCGAAAAATCATTTTTAAAACAAAGACTATATTTTTTGAAAAATCGTAATTATTTTTTTGTTGTTGAAATTTTCAGATAATAGCAAATGCCACTTACAATTCGGCAATTCTTACACTTCCGGATCACAGTGTGAATAGTTCTTTGATTGTTGGGGACAAATTTCGAGGTTGCATTCTCCAAGGACCTGGAATACTTTTTAATGATTCGATCAACACAGGCGCCTTTTTTGGATACTGTCCATCAAATTTCACAGGATGTAAGTCTCCGAACGGATTTTTTTTAAATAAAATTAATTTCAGAATCTTCAGTTAAAAAATTATTTGTTTTCAAGCGAGAAGTACTATAGATTAATTGTTCTTATTTTTAGAAAAGCACATTTTTTTTTGCAAGAACACAGTTTGAGAGTACAATTGTTTTCTATTTTTAAAAATGAGATTTTGTTTTTACGAAAAAAATTTTTTCAAAAAGAAATTTCTCAAAATAGAAAATATTTTTCGTAAATGCAAGTAAAGAGTTTCTAAATTGAAACTATTATTTTTCCCTCTAAGGAATTTTCGCTTGATTAAGAATGCATGTCTATAGCTAATTGAGTGTCTAATTATTTTCAACAAGGCTATTACAATCCGAAATGGTTATTAAATACGTAAATAAAAAAATGATTTTGATTATAGATAAATATATAATAGGAATAAAATTTATAGAATTAAATAATAAATTTTTTTTTTAGACTTTTTGAAAGTATTTAGATTGTAGACCTCATTAGATAGAGCGTACTTATAAAAATTTCAGGTGGTTCCGGAAAGGGAGACGAAATTTCCACCCCAATATCAACAATGGACAACTGCAAACACGAGCCCTGCTTGAGGCACGGAAAATGCGTGTCGAGGCAAAACCGTTACGAGTGCCACTGTTACAAACGATATTCCGGCAACAACTGCCAAATTGACAATGGTAGATCTCGACTGATCCTTCACGACCCAATTCGCATGACCTTTCTATTCATGGGGACAATATGCTTTTATTTTAGAAATTGTTTATTTTTTTTTCACCCGGTCAATGCTCTTTAAATATTTAATAATCAGTCACGGAAGTCCACAATTACTTAAATTACTTCACTAAAAGAGAAGAACGAATTTTGCTAAATATAAATTCAATCATTTTTTAACAACAAAATTCTGAGATTTAATTTGGGGAATATTTATAAATTATTTTGTTACATTGTCTCTCGTAAATATTTGTTTAGTACAATAAAAAAAAAATGGGCGCTTTTAAATAATTGAGGAAATTGTGGCAGAGACGATAACTGGCAGGTGTACGATATGAGTACATTAATCGATTCAATCGTGCATTGTACTATGAAGCTACTAACTGTATATACTAGGTTTAAGAATTGATCCACCCTCTTTCGGTTTCGGTCTCACAATACGTGTGGGTGCATTGCCTTATCGAATAAGAATTCTTACGTTGGTCAAAACACTTAATTTAATATTAACGCTACAAATTTACACTTTAATTTTCCATTTTTTTTTCGAAATTTACTAATTATTATTATAACGTAATTAATTTTTTTACTTTCAGGTGTTTTATTTAATAAAATACCTATAACCTTTCGTAGTTTAGTTTAACTAACAATTTTATTTATTTAAACATTTTATTTATTAGTAAAAAAAAATTTATTATAGAAATTATCAAAATTGACTAAAATATTGGTCATTTTATCTATAAATTTTTTTTTTTTATTTAAACCTTGAACTCTAGTATTATTGATTTTAAAAGAAAAAAAAGGATGTATATTTTATTATAAATGATTTATAATTATGAAATATTTATATATTTATTTATATTTACATATTTATTTATATCTGATATATTTTATCTTTCATTGAAAAGATGTACCTAAAATAATAATTAAATTTAGTTACAAATTTTTAAATTATATTGTTTTGTGATAAAAAAAAAAATTCTCCAATACCGAAACAAAAAGAAATTCATAGATCAAATTTTCAAAAAATCTTTACCAATAAATTATTATTTAAATTTAAATTACCAATTTTTAAACTGAGAAATATTGAAAAATTATTATTTTACAATTATACTTGTCGAGCAGAAAAAGAAATATTTAGAAAAAATTACAAAATTTATAAATAAAATTATTTAATTTTAATATTAAAAAATAAATTGTTTCTAAGAAATATTCAGCAATTATTTATTATTTGAAAAAAACAAATTTACTGCTGAATTCTCAAAGTCCAGCGTTATTCAGCACAAATTTTTTTTGAAAATTATTTGTTTTTTTTTTTTATTCTAGTCTTGCAAAATTGTTAAATTAAAATTAAAATAATTTAAAAATGTTTAATTACATATAAATTGCATTTGTGAGTTTAGAAAATATCTTTTTTTTAATTCCTATAATTATTATTAAAATGTTTGGTACAAAAAATAATTTTTGTGAAAAAAAAAAAAAATTTTTTGCTATAACTTGTTGCATGATAAATAATGTAAATATTTCTAAAATGTTGTATTTATAGAAGAATATTGTAATTAATGAATTAATAATAATAATAATTGAGTGAAGCTGAAGGGGAAAACTTTCTCACGTTAAATGATATCACGTATATAAGATCTGTGGTTACACGAATGTGCATGAATATAACACTCTTGGCTTTTAATTTCACTTAACTAACAGATACATCACTTGGCGAATATTTTTATTAATATATTTTTGTGATTTAATTTAGGTTCACCATGTTTGAAAAATCCTTGTCAAAGTGGAGGCACCTGTTTCGAGGATCAAAAAGGTGATTATAGCTGCAACTGTTTATCTGGATATACTGGCACTCATTGTGAAACAAAGATGGGCGAAAGATTGTGTAAGGACAATCCCTGCAGGAATGACGCTATCTGTGTGGAATCAAACAACGATTACAAATGTGAGTGTAAACCTGGTTGGACTGGAAAAAATTGCGATGTCAACTTTAACGAATGCTACTCAAATCCCTGCTTAAACGCCGGAATTTGTATTGATGGAATTAATAATTATACCTGTAAATGCGAAAAGACTGGGTTAGTAATTTTCATTTCTATTTTTTTTTTTTTTAATTTTTTTTAAAAAATATTTTTTTGGTATTAAATGTAATTTTCTTTATTTTTATTAGATATCGAGGTCCTTATTGTGAGATAAATATTGATGAATGCGAGGATAATCCCTGCTTGAATCATGGCAAATGTTTTGATCATTATGGAGGTTACACTTGTCAATGTCCAGTGGGATTTGATGGATTAAATTGTGAACAAAATGTTAATGAATGTCTCTCGACACCTTGTTTAAATGGTGGAACATGTGTCGATGATGTTGGCTCATATCATTGTAATTGTCAAAATGGTTTTGTTGGACGTAATTGTGAACATTCCCTAGCAATTCAAGCGCGTTTTGGTTCGGAGAATGAAAAATATTCACCAAATGTTTGTAAACCTGGATTTGTTGGTAGTCCTCCTAATTGCTCGTTCAATTATTGTAGCAGTAATCCTTGTGAAAATCAAGGTACCTGCCACAATACTAAAGAAGGATTTACCTGCTCTTGCCTATCAGGATTTAAAGGTATGAGCGAACAATTTCTTAGAATGCTTTTGTTTGGTTTTTTTTTCAGTTCTTCATTTTCTGGGATATTTATAGTTCATAGTGGAAAAATTTCTTTAGTAATTAGAAAAAAAAGCCATTATTGTTTTTTGCTTTCCTGTTGATAATTTGTTTTTGTATATTTTTAATTGTGTTTTTTTGTAATGTGAATAACGTTTTTTTTTTCCTTTTTAATCCGCTTTTCTAATTTGTGTTTGTCGCATTTTTCACACATTCCTAGGACCCACTTGTCTCACTTCCATTTCAAATTGGTGTTCATTTTGTGCCAATGGAGGTACATGCATCGATACTCCTTATGGTACAATTTGTCAGTGTACGAGATTTTGGACAGGAACGCAATGCAAAGAACCAGTCACTTGTCGTGATATGCCTTGCAATCAAGCGACAATGTGTCGCGATTATGTGAGTTTTTTTTCTTTTTTTTTTGTGAATTCAATGTTTGTGTGCTTATGTGTCTGTCTTGATGGCAAAATCCTTTTTTTTTCCCTCATTATCCACAGCCTGGCGGTTATTATTGCAATTGTGAGCCTGGCTGGACTGGACCAGATTGCGGCATTGAAATCGATGAATGCATCAGCGATCCTTGTCGTAATGGAGGAATTTGCATCGATCAGACAAATAATTATTATTGCCAGTGTCTCTCCGGTTATACCGGTAACATAATTTTTTTTTTTTTGCTTTTTTTTCCTGTCATATTTGCTTACAATTTCACGTTTTCCATTGCTTTCTTGAAAATTTTTAGTTTTTTAGCCTAATTTTTCAAAATAAAATTCGTTAGCTAAAAATTTTGTTTGGTTAAAAAAAATTGTTAAAAAAGAAATTCTGTTAAAATTCTAAAACGTTTACGAAACTTTAATATTAATTTGAATTTGCAAATTGAATTCGTGATTTATTAATATTTATATTTACAGGTAAAAATTGTCAAATAAATTTTGATGATTGCGTATCTCAACCTTGTCTAAATGGAGGACAATGCATTGATAAAGTACATGGATATTCTTGTAATTGTACACGTGATTATATGGGTGATAATTGTGAGCTTGAATTCGATGCATGTGCTGTGAATCCTTGTACAAATAATGGAACTTGTACTTTAATGCCAAGATCGAGACGAGATTTTGTTTGTAAATGTCCAAAGGGATTTGAGGGAAAAACATGTCAGTTCAATACTGATGATTGTGTTGGAATTGATTGTCCAGAAGGAAGAGTTTGCGTCGATATTGTTGATGGTTATGAATGTAGATGTCGAGAAGGTTTCACTGGTTCAAATTGTACTGAATTAATTGATCCATGTTTTATGAAACCTTGTAATAATGGCACATGCGAAGATCAGGGAAATAAAACATTTAAATGCAATTGTCATGAAGGATATAAAGGTATTTTCAAAAAAGATTATTCATTTTGTTATTTTGTTTATTTTTAATTTACGATTAATTTTTGTAAAATTTAATATTTTCAGGTGAATTATGCGACGAGGATGTCGATGAATGTGCATTGAATAACAATACTATTTGTAACAATGGAATTTGTGTGAATAAAAAAGGTGGCTTTGAATGTTACTGTAAACCAGGATATTCTGGAAATTATTGTAATATTGATATTGACGAATGTTTATGTGGACCGTGTAAAAATAATGCTACCTGCATTGATAAAATTAATACATTCGAATGTGATTGTTCAGCAGGTTATGCGGGAAAAACATGTGAAATTGATATTAATGAATGTGAAAGTAATCCATGTAAAAATGGTGCCACTTGTGTTGATGGAATTGCCGCTTATAATTGTATTTGTTCATTAGGATTCACTGGATATAATTGTGAAACAAATATTGATGATTGTGAATCTCATCCATGTTTGAATCATGGAAAATGTATTGACGGTCTTAATTCATACACTTGTGATTGTTCAAATACTGGTTTTGAAGGTGAACATTGTGAGAATAATATTGATGATTGTATCTCAGATCCATGCGTGAATGGCGCTTCTTGTATCGATGATGTCAAATCCTTTAAGTGTCAATGTTATCCAGGATATATGGGAAATCGTTGTGAAATTGATATCAATGAATGTGAAAGTTCTCCATGTCAATTTAATGGCACTTGCTTGGAACGATCAAATGAAATGTATTACAAAAGTGATGCTATTAATAAACCTGAGATATTTAAAAAAGAATTCAGCTATTCTAATGCAAGCGGGTAAGAAATTGTTTTATTTATATTTAAATTTTTAAATATTTCTAAATATATTGAACAATTAAGAGAAAAATAAATTAAATTCTTTTTTTAATTTACAGATATGAGTGCCTTTGTGTACAGGGTGTGACAGGAAAGAATTGTGAAATAAATATCAATGAATGCGAAAGTAATCCATGTGAAGAGGGTACGTGCACTGATCGTATAGGTGGTTACACATGTGAATGTAATGAAGGTTTCGAAGGAGAATATTGTCAACACGATATTGATGAATGTAAACGTTATACTCCATGTGTAAATGGAACTTGTATCGATGGTCGAGCTGATTATTTTTGTACTTGTGAACCTGAATATGGTGGTAAAAATTGTTCAGTAGAACTCACTGGTTGTCAGGGCAACGCTTGTCAGAATGAAGGTACCTGCTGGCCTTATCTTGTTAATGAAACGGAACATAAATTCAATTGCACATGTCCTAATGGATATCACGGGGAAATTTGTGATAAGGTAAAAAAACAAATTTTTTATTTTCAAATACAAAAAACTAATTTTATTACAAAAAAAATATTTTTTAGATAACAAAAATGTCCCTGAGTGGAAAGTCTTATGTAATGGTAAATACAACTCGCGACGAAGGATATGATATTCAATTTCGATTTCGAACAACATTGCCAAATGGTCTTTTGGCAATGGGAAAGGGATTGACTTATTATATGTTGGAACTTGTGAATGGAAAATTAAATTTACATTCAAGTCTTTTAAATAAATGGGAAGGAGTTTTTATTGGTAGTGGATTGAATGATTCAAATTGGCAGAAAGTTTTTGTCGCTATTAATGCAACGCATGTTGTACTTTCTGCGAATGAAGAACAAACGATATATCCTATTAATTTAAATGAAGGCTCCAATGCGTCTCACACTTCTTTTCCAACAACTTTTGTCGGTGGTACGATTACAAATTTACGAAAACTTCCACATGGACCACCTTTCTTTGTTGGATGCACCGAAGATGTTGTCATTAATGGCGAATGGGTAATTTTTTTTTCTCTTTTTCCTTGTTATTTTTTTAATATTTCTTTTTTAATATTTCTTATTATCAATAATTTTTCAGGTTTATTCTGGAACAGAATCAAAAACTGTTTTAATGGAAAACGTTGAGTCAGGATGCTCAAGAACAGATCAGTGTGAACCAAATCCATGTGAAAATGGAGGTCACTGCACGGATATTTGGCAAAGCTATAAATGCGCTTGCGAAAGACCTTATTTGGGAAATGCCTGTCAATATAATATGACAGCGGCGACATTCGGCTATGAGAATATAACCGATGGTTTTGTAACTGTAAAAGTTCACGATGCTGCCAGACGAGCTGTGAGATCGATAATCGACATTTCAATGTTCATTCGAACAAGACAAGAGAGAGGAGATATTTTTTATTTAGGTTCAGAGCAAAATACTCCATTTGATCTCAAGAATCAGGATAAAAATTATATCGCCGCACAACTTAAAGGCGGAGAACTTCGTGTAACGATTCAATTTAATGAAACTGAATCTTATAATGTCGTTGGAGTTAAATTAAACGATGGCAATAATCATTTAATACAAGTAATTAGAAATGTAACCCTCGTTCAGGTGAAGATAAATGGAACTGAATATTTTCGAAAAACAATAAATGCAAGTGGTTCGCTCAATGTGACAGTTTTATATTTAGGTGGTTCACCTCATTTTTCTCGTAATATTCGACAAGTCGAAAGTAAAACAATGGAAACGCCAGAATCTCAAGTTCATTTTAAAGGTATTATTCAGGATGTTCAAATATCAAATGGCATGGAAACAATGGTAGTGGAATTTTTTCCTCTTAAGGCAGAAATTAGTCCACGTTTAAAAGATTTTGGTGAAGTTATTATTGATCAGACAAAAGTTTTGGAGAATGTAAGATCGGACAATGTTTGCATTAGTAGTCCTTGTTTTCACGATGGGAAATGTCATGTGACTTGGAATGATTTTTGGTGTAAATGTCCTCGTGGATATACAGGAAAGACATGTCAAGAAATGGAATTTTGTCAACTTCAAGATTGTCCAATTGGTTCGAAATGTCAGAATTTAGACGATGGATATGAGTGTCTTGCTAATGCGACATTTGATGGAATTAATACATCTTTCAATTATGTTTACAATCGAGAAGACTTTGGATTGAATGAATTTGAGGAGGTCATTGATTCAATTCAAATCACTTATAGATCTAATACAGGAGGAACTCTCATGCATGTTGCTTCGCCGTCCGGTGATCATTATTTCACTATTTCGGTATTTAAGGATATGGTGACAGTTTCTTGGAAATTGAGTATCGAAGACACGGGAATTCTTACATTTGGAAAAGTTGAACCTGATGGAAAATGGACTTCAATTATATTGAGATTGAGCAATCATTCAATTGAGAGTATTTTTAATAATATGAACGATGACTCGGTGCCACATTCGAGTCAGAATTTTAATTTTTCACTTTGGTACGAATTGCTTGTCAATGGTTCTGTCACTCTTGGTGGGCTGGGAACAACTTTATCTGATAAACATACTTATGATATGATTGGCACTGAAAGGCATATTGAGAGTAGAGACAGAATTAATGGAAATTCGGTTGATTTTGGTGATCAACGTTTGACGACTGCATTACCTCCACACAGCATTATGTCCGGTAAGTTGAATTCTAATTTCCATTGTAATTGTTTAATAATTGTGATTATAATTTTTTTTTTTTTTTCAACAGGTGAACCGTTTAAAGGATGTTTGGGAGAAGTAAGAATTGGAAAAATGTTATTGCACTTTTTCACAATGGAAGAGGTTTATCAAAATGCAAATTTTACGCCAATAGAATATTTATATCTTAAAAGAGATAACGTAACAGAAACATATAATCGAGATGAAATAGGATGCAGTCTCTGTTTTGAAAATGATTGTAAAAATAATGGTCATTGTAAAGATAAATTCAATAGTTATATCTGCGAATGTTCAGCAGGATTTACTGAGGATGATTGTTCAGTGGACATTGATGAGTGTGAAAATAATGAATGTCAAAATAATGCCACTTGTGTTGATAAAATTGCAAAATACGAATGTCTTTGTCAAGAGGGATGGAAGGGTCTACAGTAAGTATTTATTTAGAAATAGAATTATTTACTTTTTTTTTTAATTTCAATTTTCTAATTTTTATTTATTCTTATCATCCAGCTGTAATGAAGATATAGATGAATGTGAAACAAAAAATCCATGTCAAAATGGAGGAACTTGTAAAAATTTACCTGGTTCTTTTCATTGTGAATGTCCAAATGAATTTATTGGTGATATTTGTGAAACTGTAAAATTAATCACCTGTAAAGATAATCCTTGCAAAAATGGATCAACGTGTCTTGATGTTGTTAATTTAGAAACAGGAGATAATTATACCTGTAATTGTATGAAGGGATATGAAGGAAAAAATTGCCTTCCCTATTGTCTTATTCAAGGCTGTCAAAATAATGGAACATGTACAACCTCATTTGATGTAAGTTTCTTCTGTTAGTAATTATTCATTTTTTTTTCTAATGTTAACTTTTTGAAATTAAATTAAAAATTCAAATTCAGCCACCAGAATGCACTTGTCTTCCTGGATTCAATGGAAAGAATTGTGAATTTAATATTGACGATTGCGCTCCCGATGATCAAGGCAATGTTCCATGTAAAAACGATGGTTACTGCATTGATCTAGTAAAGGGTTTTCTTTGTAACTGTACTAACACAGGATATGAGGGTCCAAATTGTACAGAAGACATAAATGAATGTGAATTAGGAACAAATTGTGGGAATGGCGTATGTATAAATTTAAATGGAACATTCCGCTGTCAATGTAATGAAGGATATTGTGGTATAAATTGTCTAAATGAAAAACCATGCAGAGAGGTAATTTTCTCACATAATAATCAATAGAATAAAATAAATAAGCTCTAAAATTAATTTTGTTAGAATTTTTTAATGTATTTTTAAATTAAAATATAAAATTTTTATCTCCAAACAGGAAGTGGATTCATCCGAAGAGAATCTTCTAGGAAGTCAAGCATTGGATATTGCATTAATTGTTGGACCTATAATTGGCTGTTTATTCCTCGTAGCTGCAGGATCGTTGATCGCTTTCTTTATGATGGCTAGAAAAAAACGAGCGACACGTGGAACTTACAGTCCAAGTGCTCAGGAATTTAGCAATCCACGAGTTGAAATGGACAATGTGATGAAGCCTCCGCCAGAGGAAAGATTGATTTAAATTTTTCGTTATCAAATATCCTAGTCCCTCGTGTAAGTTGCTTTACTTCATCTTTTCTTTCAATTGGAAAAAAAAAAAAATTCAATAGAAAATTCATCTCCACGAGAGATTTTATGAGCCGTGATCAACTTTGACAAAGTTTCTCTCGCTTTTCTAGTCTCGATTTTATGTAATTTCTAAGAAACTTATTCATTTCTATCTAATAGCAGTGTTAAAATTTATCATAAAAGTTTCATTAGAAATGATAATAAGAATTCCATTGTGGCTCTTTACTTTTTATCAATTAATCATTCTCAACTCTATCAATAAATTGTTTGAGCTTTAATGAAAGTCTTCTTCGAAGACAAAATAAGACTCGTCTGGTTTTCGTATCGAAAACTGTTTAAAGTGTACTTAATACTATTAAAGTGTTCTTATCTTATTGTTAGATTGAAGCTCTAGAGCAGAAACAAAACCCGTCCATTTAGTGCCTAATGTACTCAATTGATTAAAAATTTTTATAATTTATAGGCAAACGAAACTTAATGCAATTATAAAACATTCCGAAATATCACGTGTCTTAGGACAAGATCTCCAAAGCATAATTGTGACTAAAAAAATAAATAAATAAATTCATTCGCTGCGATAAAACTATACTGTACTTAAAGCGAATGTATTTTTAACAGAACTCATGATTTATCTTGGAATTTGAAAAAAAATTTATACATTTTTTAATAATTTGAATTATAGAAAAAAATATTTAAAATCAAAAACATGAAATAATTATTTATTAGAAAATAAATTATTTGATTTTCTAAACTAAAAAATTCGCAAGATAATCATGTGCTCAATTTTTATCGAATCTAAAAATAATATTGAACGACGCGTTTTATTTTGAAAAGAAATGCTCAGTAAATTATATTTATATACATTTTATAAAAAAAAAAAAAATTTATTTTGATAGAAATCTCATTTTTTTAATTATAAAACAAAAATTTAACTACAACTGTATTAAATTCTGTCGTGTCGTTCAGATTGTTAATTTTGTAAATATTGTAGTTGATAAGTTATCAGATTTAATTATTAACTATTTTAACGATATTTTATATGAAGAATAGTATTTAACGATAAACGTATTATTATTTGATAATATTGAATATTTACCGTTGCGACCAAAGTATATATTTTGATCGTGGGAATAAAAGCCCAAGTGATTCTCGATTTTTGAAAATTCGTGAATGAAAAAATTTGTTTTCAAAGTTTTAAACAATTTTGCAGATTGTTACAGTTTTTACACTTTTTTTTTTTTTTTAATTCAATCATTTTGTTTTCAATCCCATTATATATTTAATATTATTTAAATATTGACTAATTGTTTAAAAAAAAAAATTATCGTGAAGTAAATCTATTTGTACATCTGCGATTCCGCAAGACTGAGATGTGGATGTGTGATTAATTGTTGAGGCACTGTGTGCTTGCAATATTTTAGAAATTTACTCAATTTTTGAGATTGTTATTCAACGATTAGAATTAAATTGAAAAAAAAAAAATAATTGCTCTTAATAAATTCGTCAAACTCGAATGTGTGGAGGATAAATATATTTTAACATTCAAGACTTTACCGTTATAAAATACATATCCAATTCTTAAGTAATTTTAATGTTAAATAATATGCAATTCGTCTCATTAAAATATATATGTATATATTATATATAAAACAGTTCATTTACAGATATTTACATTTTTCAATTAAAATAAATAATACTATAACAGTTTCGAAAAAAAAAAAATTCTGAAATGATAAACATTTACAATATGTAATCTTCAAGATCAATTTTTTCCTAAATGTTTAAATATTTAATGTATATAGTCAACTGTAATATTGCACGTAAAGAAGTATCATCAAAATATTTTAAAAAAAAATGTTTGCAATAAAATTTTCGAGACTGATTTAAAATTTGATTCTAAAATTTTACTTGTTTCATTTCCAACTAACGCTTTTTCCATTTATTTTATTGAGTTTCTCGCGAGATAAATTATCAAAAAATAATAAACCCGCTGCTCGTTCAATGCTCTCAGGTGGAACCTAAAAATAAAAATTTTTCATCATAATAAATAAAATAAAAATTAAATAAATTCAAAATATTAAATCGAAGAATTTAATTAAAGAGAATAAAATTACCTGGAAATTTTTAAGTGGCGCCTTATCATCAATTGGCGTATTTGGCATGACAAAAGCCTCCATTTCTAATTTATTATCGGCAGTTTCACCTACGACCACTTTATAAAAATGAGTCGGTACTGCAACATGATTGTTGCCAATAACTTCGTATCTAACGTATTTTTTACCATCAGCCTCAAGTCTTAAAATAAAAAATCAACTATTAATTAAAAAAATTAATTAAAAAAAATATAAATGATAAAAATACGAACTTTGGAAGATATAAAGGTCCTGTACAGACATATACATCTTTATAAATATTCGTTAAAGATCTAACATATTTTTCTAAACGATTCCATGAGTCTCTATTAAATCCACGACCCACTTGAGGTGCCATATTTGATAAAAGAAATGTTTCTTCTATATGTTTTTGACAAATTTTATGATTTCCAGCAGCTGCTAAATGTCCTCGATCGTAACCACTTCCTTTATAATCACTATTTTCTGATCTAATAATTACAAAAATTAAATAACTAACAATTTTTGCTTTTACAATTTAAGAAAATATAGATTCGAATTAATTTAGAGAAAAATAATTTTTATTTCGCCTATAATTTTTAAAATAATAATAAATTTTTTACCTGAAAAATGGATGAATACTTTTATCAACAATAAATTCACATTTTGAACGATCAACATTATTTTTTAGATGTATTTTTTCCTTTGTTAAATGTTCAAAAACCCAATGAGCAACTCTATTTCGTCTATCGTAAGAAAGAACATAATCTTCAAAAGATCTGACATTATCGAGACTTGGAAATCCATACTTCATAATCTAAATTAAATTAATAAAAATATATTTTATCTCATTATTCACAGTTAACAAAAAAAGGAAACATTTTCTAAAGTAAAGAACTTTAATAAACGTGTTAATGTTGTTTTTTTTGAGACAACAAACTTTAGAATAGGTTATGTTTAGACAAACTTTTTTTTTGATAACACTTACTTGAGTTATTCTTGACCCTGGTACAGATAATTTAGCACCCATATTCGCGTGATCATTAGCTGTTACTATCGGCGAAGCTGCCGATACTGTGCCAAAAATCGGCAGACAGGGTTTCCTCTTTATGTTCACGTTCAAAAATATGCTGTCATCTTTTTCATCATTCAATCTTTCGAAATGTTTTCCGGCAAACCATCCTCCTAACCCCACTCCCGTCAATGTACCAAATTGTAAAAATATTTTTCCCACACGTACCATTATATATTTTATTTTTCTTCAATATAAAACAACAAATTTATATTTTTGTAACTTTTTTGTATACTAAAAGAAAAACACTCGTGTTGCACTAGTAGCAGACGACAATAATGTCATACGATAAAATATCGTCTGCTAGTCACGTGACTAATGGGATTTAAATTCAAAAAATCGAAATTAATAAAAAAAAAAATATATTTCTTTATTAATAAATTTATTTCTTAATTAAATATATATTTATTTACAAAAGTATATTTGTATTTTGTGCGCAGTATTAAATTAATTGGCCTTTCTCCAAATGTTTATTATATAAAATCACAAAGTGTGATATATTTTTTAATTTCATATTTTCGTATTAAGTTTAATTTTTTTCGAAATTTTCTACCAAGCTTACAAATTTTTATGTAATTAGAAATTAAAATCTTATTTTTGAAAATTTCATCGAAATTAAAGAGTGGACGAAAATTGGGAAATTAAGAAAAAAAAGGTAATTACTTTTTGAAAAAGCTAATATATTTAGGTATAGTAATAAATAATCCCCCTTCGTCTAGTTTTTAACTATAATTTACAATTTTTTTCTTTTTTTTTTTTTTTAACATTACAGAAGTTTTGTTAAAATGAACAAAACATTTTTTTTTTTTTTGAAATACTTGCACAAATGAACATTAAATTTTGAGTTTATATAAAAATAAAGTTACTTTATTCTCAGTGAATTTGAATATTTAAATATTATTTAAATTTTTATAAAATGAAAATTAAATAATAATTATGTTTGATATTTAACTTAAGAAATGAAATAACACTTATTCCTCACGAATAAAATAATAATTGTTTTAGGAAACAAATCACGAGCACTTTTTAGTTTAATTTATTATGGATACATCATGTTTCCTCGTCAGAATCTTTTGCTAACACTTCTTCGTGATCAAGCATCATTCTTGGATCGTAAGTGGCTTTAAAGCATTTTTGGAATATTAATCTCGCTTTCTTGGATGGCTGTCGAGGTGGTGAACATGGAATTATATCATCGTCGTTCCTTTGATTACTTCCACCTGGATTTGATTTTCTCCTTGATATCGGTGGAAATAAAGTTTGTAGAGCACTATTAGTTCTTTTTACGATACTATTTGATGATGATGATGAATCGATTAAAGATTCACGAGAGTTTATTTTCATTTGAGTTGATTGGCGCACATGATTTTCACCAAAAATATCTTGTTGAACACTATTCATTGATATTCTCTCCTCTTCTAATGTATTTTTATTATGACTAGAGGATTTTGTAGTTTGATTATTTTTTATCGAATTCTTCGATTTTGATGATTTAGACACAGTCTTTGATGTTTTATTCGATGATCTTTTGGTGGTTGTCTTTTTTTTAAGACCTACATTCACAGAAGGAGATGGAAGAGTTTGATTTTCCACCTCAGGATTGAGAGTAGAAAGGACGAGATTCGCTTCAAACGATGGATTTTTTAGAACAAAAACCACAGGTCTAAAAACAAAAAATAATTATAATTAAAAATTTTTAAATAGTAATAAAAATAAGAATAATAATTACCTCCCAGCGTCTTCAAAATTAACATTAATTGGCAAATTAACAATCTCAGCAAATGCTAAAATTGCTCTTAGTTCTTTTAAACAAAAAGTCACATTTGCATTGGAACCTATTGTGTAATGATCAAATTCTCCAACACCGAGAACAATTTGAGTTCGTGTACCATGTGACAAATCTGAAAATGGATAAAATTAAAAAAACAAACTCATTTTCAATTAATTCGATGAATATTTAAAACTTACGTGTCGTTTCATCAACGTAATTTCTTAATAAAACTTTTTGTGGAGTAACTTCTAATGTTATTTCAATCATATTTTGAGGAAAATTTTGAGTAACATCCAAAAGAACTTTTGCTTGCGCTGATAATTGATTAGGAAGTCCATCTTTTTTGTACGCTGCCTAAAAAAAAAAAAAATAGTAGCTTTTAGTAGAAGACAATAAGTATTTTTTTTAAATATAAAAAAATATCTCACTTTTATTGTTTCACAATCAAGAATTGGAAGTCGATGAGTTTTAATAATGCTGTTTTTATATTTCAAAATAAAACAAATTATTGATGCATTTGGATCTAGTTTTATGTGACATGTTTCTAGAACTTTATCCATTACATGAGGTGCTTTAAAAACTCCTATTGCGCACTAAAAAAAAAAAAATTTAACAATAGATTTTTCATAAATATTCTATCAAATGATTTTTTATTTCATATTAATTTAGAATTTTAAATAATTTACTTACTCTCATTGAAATTTTACATTTTAAAGTATCTTCATCCTGGAGATCTCCAAAAGTGTAATATGAAAAATAATTTTTAAACATTGTAAAATTTGCATATGCAGAATTTGACATACTAACAGCTCGAAATGAAATTGAATCCTCTTGAGGTTGCACATACATTTCATCTCCAATTTTTGCAAGAGCATGAATTGCTTTAGCTAATACTGAAAATGTAACGAATTTAACTTGTAAGTTATTAATTAATTCTTTTTCTATATAGCAACAATATATAAATAAATTCAACATAACCTATACAAAAAAAAAATTACAAATATATTTACTTTTTATATTTGATCCAGAAATAATACACTTCATGATGAAAGCTATTTGTTAGATGGTAATTTTTTTTATTTTTACAAATTTATAGCCACTAAATTTCATTATTTAATTATTTAACTTATATTCAACTTTGACACACGCGTGAGAAACTTATTGTATATGACGCTTTTTTAAATCGCCCATAGAGTGTGGGGACTCCATATACTACTTCGTGAAAATTGTTTAATAAATTAACGATAAAAATGGAAATAACAGTGGAAGAAACACCGGATGATCGACCAAAAGATTCACGAAAGCGTCGTTCATCAATTTTTCAAAGAAGATCCATATTATTTACAGATGTGAACAGTGTATCAGAAGGTTAGAAAATTTTTTCTATTTTTAGGTTATGTTGACATTCTGTTATTGTTTGTTTTAATCAATTATTGTTAGTTATATATTTTTTTTATAAATTTTTATTTATGTAAAATTTGTTTTAACAGTTTTATGCCGATTTTCCGACAAAGTGACAATTTATCAATTATCACTTTATTATTATTATTATTTTGTAATATTTTTTTTTGTTATATGAAAATTAATTACAATTTTATTGTATTATATTAATTAACTATTTAATTTAATTTTTTTAGATTTGGAAGAAACAAAGATTGAAAAATCGTCAATTTCGCCAGTAAAACAAAATGCCGAGGAAACTTTTGATTTACAAGCATATAATGATAAATTAAAAGAGGAAATTGCTGCTTGGCATGATGTAATGAAAGAAAGACAAAATGAATATAAAAAACTTATGAAAAAAAGAGCAGAGGTGAAGAAAAATGGACAAGAAGTGGATTTAACATTATTGTCAGAGGATGAGAGAAAATTCTTTGAGTCTCGTCCAAATTTGGATTTATTGATGAGTAATGTTAAAGAACTTATGGATGTGACAATGCAAAATGTAATACTCAATCAACATTGCAGTCAACGATATGAATATCTTCAATTTTTACTTGAAGAAAAAATGAATGAGGCTAAGAAGAAGATTATTTCAATGATTGATTAAGAAATCTAATCGGTAATAATAATAATAATAAATAATTTTTTTACTTTTTTATTATTTGAATTATTTTAATTTATATAGAATACAGTCTTATCAGTATTACAAAATTAATTAAATATATAATTTAAAATTAAGTTTAAAATGTAATTTTAAATTTAATTTACAAAATAACATTTATAATTTTTACAAATGACATTCAAATTCGAGGCTTTTACAAAAGAAACAAAAGTTTTAATATTAAAATTGATTTCACAATTATTCGGCAAATGCATAATTTTCGAATTGTTTTCATAGTTCAAAGAATTTTTAAAAAAAATTAATGCAGACATAAAAATATTTTTTTTCTAGTAAATAGAATCAAAAATCTTTTTTTTTTTACAAAATACTTGTTTAAAAAACATGATAGTAAAATCTTTGGTGATGTAGAATTAAAATATCAAATTCGGTCATTATTTTTAAATTTGTTGAATATTTACACAGTGTAAATTTTTTTCGGTAATTATAAATATTGTTTCTCATGTTAGTTGAATTGAATTTATTTTTATTTGTTGAAAAAGAAGATTATTTTGAAAATGGGGGAAATATTTTCATATATATTATATCTATAGTCAGAAACAATTTTTTAGATTTGTTTCTGTGTTTGTTAAATTTTTCAAAAATTCCAAAATTCCATGAGCTATAAAATAGAATCGTCATCTGTGTAAATGAAAACTCTTTCGTCTCGCTGCTTTACGTTCTTTTTGCGCGAGAAATTCTTTTCTTGATAAACTACTTCGCAGTTCGAGTATGTGATTTATTTTTCTTACTATTTCCTCGGCTGTCGCGGAATCAGCTTCGAATTCATGATTTTTAAATGATGCCGATTGATGAAGAGGGTGACTGGAGGATACTAAAAAAAATAATTTTTTTTTTAAATAATAAAAATGTTAATAATAAAAAAAATAGAATACCTACCGATAAAACCTTCTGGATTTGAATTTTGCGATGTGTAAACTAAAGTGAAAATTGTTTTTGATCCTCTATTTTCGATGAGTTCACACCATGCAATTCGATCAATGTGATAACTAACTGCACGTTGCTTACTCCAAAAGCGTCCAGCACCTTTTCCCGTTATCACTGGATCAATTTCTATTTTCTCACCCGAAATTCCAAGATGTATTTCAGTTTTGGCTCGTACTTTGTTTATTATGTATACCCTGTGTGAAATTTAATGGTTACAATTAAATTCAAATGTAATAATATTCAGGTTTCAATTGTAATTGAGATTATAAATTTAGTAATTTTCGTTCAACAATATAATAGATTTATATAAGTACCTATATAATTGATAAAGCGGTGCTTCCATTGCAGTTGTATGGCCCTCCATCTTTGCTAAATCTTCAGCGGCAATATCTTGTTCTCTCTCCCTTTTATCTTCCTCAACATCTTTTGTTACGATTGTTTTTGTTGTTTCATGACGGGCTTTATCGCTTGGTTTCATTTCCACTAAACCCAATGTTGTAAATTCAAATTTCGATATTGTTTCACGTGGATCTAAACAAGGAAAGTCCCAATCCACCTCACCATCGTCCTCTGTTATATAGAGACCATACTGACTGATATCTTGTCTAAAAATAAAATAGAAACAATTTTAATTTATTTTAGAAAAAAATTTTAAATAAATATTACCTACTTTAATGTATGATCATAATGATTGCAAGCATATTTATAGCATATTAATCCAATGAATTCCTGGACTTTTGCACTCATTATTACAACAACTTGAAGAGGATATGCTCTTTGTTTTTTAGGTAGCATGCACATAAATATTCTGTATTTTCGCACTGGAACTCCTACTTGAGCCTAAAAGGAAAGAAATTTTAATGTTTTTTCCCTTTTTTTTTTTTAGTAATTTATTAAATATAAAAATTATCTCACGTTTCCATCGAATCTCGTGTATTTAGCAAAAGGATTTTGTGGAAGTTTAGGACATTTTTCGATTTGTTCAGATAATAGAGAGCCTTTTTTAACTTTATTATCATTTTTACGAAAATCTTTTCGTTGAAATAATTCTTGTTGTTTTTCACTTGTTAAACTTCCAGAATTAATTTCCCATTTTATATGTTTTACTTTTGAAGCCTTTTTTCTTTCTATATCCATTTTTTCCAATCGTTGAGCAGTATTTGATCGCTGACGATGACTATATTCCATGTCTGAAAAAAAATTTAATACAGTAAGGAAAACTTCATGTTATTTTCAATTTGAATATATTTTTAATAAAATGTGACTAACATGCAGCTTTCCTTACTGTATACAGTAACAAATTATTAATAAGGAATTATTTATATTAAATATTCGTATTTAAAATAATTAAATTATTTCCGGAAAATTTTAAATGTTTCTTTTTTTTAAATAGAATAAAATTTATTGAAATTTTGTCATTTACTGAAGGAAATGTCATAGGATTCTGATAAAGCATCTAAATCCTCTTCATCACTTTCCTCCATTCCTGGATAACATTGAAGTGTTCCATTTGATTGAAGTATTTTTGGAATATCTTCACCAGCCATTACCATTTCGCACATTCCTGTAAATATAATGATGATGAATAATTTATAAGTCACAATTGGAACGATTTATAATTAACTTTAATAACTCGTCTTTAATTAAATTAAACAGAAATGAGAATTTAATTTTAATTTAAATTATAAAGTTAAAATTAATTTTAAAAAAGAAATAGATGAGATAAATTTAAAATTAGAAAATTTTTATAAATGGAAAAGTATTTTCGTTATTTTGTGTTTAATTGCAATTAATTGTTCAAAAAATAGATTTAAAATTTTATTACTTTTTATGGGAATTGTGAAATTATTTTTAAATATATTTACTTTTGGTTTTCTTATAGAAAAAGAAGAAAATTTAATTGTTAAAATTGTGGATTTAGAAAAATTTATAATTGATTTAAATTTTGTAAAACGAGGAATTTGTTTATAAATTGAAAATTCAGGCCAAAAACATAACCTCAAATAGTGTATTTCACAAACCTGTATCATCTGTACTTATAAAACTATCCCTAATGTGTGATAAAAGCCAATGTTGATTATCGTAAAAAGCCATTGTTTATAAATAATAATTATTATTGTTTTATTCAATTTTATTAAAATTTAAATTCTATTATTCTTTTTGTAAACAATTGAAAGAATACATTTTCTCGAAATTTAGTCTTCGTTTATTGGTGTTAATGAAATTATGAATAACAATCATTCACTATTGATTTATTATTTATGAAAACATATTTTTTATAAACAAATGTTTATTTTATTCATTTATTTTTCTTTAAAGATAATTTTATGTTTACAATTATTAATATTACTTATCGAATGTAATTTTGTTTTGTAGTTTAGAATTTTATCGATAGATGGCGTGATTTTGTTCTTCTTTACCGACATGTTAGTTTATCGTAGTCCCGATAGGCGGCGCAGAGTTTATCGACCTGGTTAGTTGCTCATAATTTCTGTAGGAGGCGCATAGTGCTTAGTTTTGGCGGGGTTTTCTCCTCAATATCGTCGCCATCTTGAAAGTTTTCTTCATTCTTAAAAAAGTGCAATTTGCGATTATTTCTTCATTAGTAACTAATTAATCTGTTTAGTGAAAAGTGTGTCAATTATTTCTCACATTTATATGTGATTTTAGGAAATCATTTTTTATCTAAATCAAGTCAAGATAATCGACAAAAAATTGAAAACGTAAGTTATTTTACAATACGAAGTAATTAATTTTTGTTTGCAATTAGATTTTTTCAATAACATAACCCCACTTTATGTTAAGTGAAAATATTTTTTATTCACAAAAGAAAAAGAGCGGAAGTTAAGAAAATAGTTATGGCAAAATTGTTCGTAAACATAATTATATAATTTCGGTTAATTTAGAAATGTTGGAAAATTGTATTATACGATAGTTTAGATAACAGAAAATTTTGCCATTATCACATTATACATTAAATTTATAATATGAATTTGAAGAATGTGACCACAATTTCTATAATAAACTTGCGAGTGATGCACGTCAAAATGCCAGTAAAATTAAGTTTGAAATTTCATATTGTAATTTCAGAACACGAGAGTGAACTATATATATGTATATACAAATCATGCAAGGCCTTGTGGTTTCAATGGAAAACCGATGCTCTCTAAATTCAGCTCTATTGAAAGTCGATTTCTATCAAAATCAGATAAAACTCCGTCAAAAAAAAAAGAATAAGGTAAGACATTATGTTACTATATTTGTTCTTTGCATTCTTATTTTATATATAATGAAAATTATGGTTATTTTTTTATGAGCCCAGGCAAATTGAATATTTTTAATATTATTTATAAATTCAATTCTATTGACAGTTTTTCCACAAAAGCTGATTATTATTTACAATAATATTTTTATTATAAAAAAAATATTGCAAATCTAAAAAATATAATAATTAATTAACATGTTTACTAATAAAAAAAAGACAATATATATAATAATTAATTTAATAATATTTCAAATTATATTTATTATTATTTTAATTATTAGTATTTTTATATATTATTTTGTTTTACATTGAAAAAAAATTTATTTGATTCGAATTCTCGATTACTTGAGTATTATCAAATAAATATTTATTTGAACCAAAAATATCTGTATTTGAAACACATACGCATTTAATTGATTCAAATAATAATTATTTGATACCAATAAATATTTATTTGATAATAGTCAATTAATCAAGTATTTGAATCAAATAAATTTTTTTTTCAGTGTATAAAATTATTTGTGGAATTAATATTTTTACATAATTGGATAAAAATTATTGCTTTTGAGTTTTATAGCTTATTTTACAATAATGATAATCTTAAGACATCATTAGCGTAAAATTTATAAGTTTTTTTTTAAAATTTATAATTGAGGAAGATATTTTGTTAATGATTCAAAGGAGATGAAAGTTTTTTAAGACTTTAATGGTCCTTCCAATAATGTTTCGAGACACATAACTTATATTGCTCTCGTTAGAATGTCGTCAATCGATAGGTTTCATCTAAATTGCTATCAAATTTCCGCATATTACGTAATAAATGAGCTTTCTTCCCCGAGTGCTTTTGAATTAATGCAGTGACAATAAAAAAAAACAACTAAAAAAAAACTTGAGGAATAAAAAGCTCATAAAAAAATAACCAAACTTTCTTCTAGATAATAATATTTATCAATAATAAAACAAATACAAATATTTTTTTTAAAAAAATTAAAATTAAATTTAAATTAATTTCAATATTAATTAATTTATTATCAAAATGAAATATTGAACAAATTTGATACAAAAAAAATTTAATTAATTAATTATTTTATTAGGCAAATAATTATTTAGTTAATTTAATAATCGAATTAATAAAATAATTAATTTAATAAGTTGAAAATAATTTTCAGTTTTTTAAAATAATAAATTTTTTTTTGAAGCTGAAATTTTTAGCATTTCAAGCAATAAATTTCTAATTTAAATTTTCTAACATTTCTGGTTCTCATTAAATTCTTCTAATAAGTTGTTGGCAAAGTTTTGTGAGATTTATTTCACTTGTTAAATGTAGCTAAGTTTCCGCTGGACCAATCAAATAGTGCGCCATACATTATTTGTTCGAGACTCCCGGGTTTATACTTTGGCGGTATTCAGGAGTGATTATTTCGAAAATTTAATTTTTCGGAAATTTTTCGGAATAATATTTGAGTGTAGCTCAGCATCCGCTGGACCAATCAAAAAGGGCGCCATACATTTTTTGTTCGGAACATTCTTCTAATCACTATGGCGGTATTCCCGAACAATTATCTAGCGAATTTAATTTTTCCAAATTTTTTCCGAATTTGTTTTTTACTGTAGCTCAGCATCCGCTGGACCAATCAAAAAGTGCGCCATACATTTTTTGTTCGAGACTCCCGGGTTAAGACATTGGCGGTATTCCCGAACAATTATCTAGCGAATTTAATTTTTCCAAATTTTTTCCGAATTTGTTTTTTACTGTAGCTCAGCATCCGCTGGACCAATCAAAAAGTGTGCCATACATTTTTTGTTCGAAACTTTTTCCGAATTTTATTGGCAATATAATCGAACGATTATATCTCAAATTTAATTTTTCGTAATTTTTTCCGAATTTGTTTTTTACTGTCGCTCAGCATCCGCTGGACCAATCAAAAAATGTGCCATACATTTTTTGTTCGAGACTCCCAGGTTAAGACTTTGGCGGCATTCTTGATCAATTATCTCGCAAATTTAATTTTTCGAAATTTTTTAAAAAATTTATCTGAGTGTAGCTCAGCATCCGCTGGACCAATCAAAAAGTGCGCCATACATTTTTTGTTCGAGACTCCCGGGTTAAGACTTTGGCGGTATTCCCAATCAATTATCTCGCAAATTTAATTTTTCGAAATTTTTTAAAAAATTTATCTGAGTGTAGCTCAGCATCCGCTGGACCAATCAAAAAGTGCGCCATACATTTTTTGTTCGAGACTTTTTGCTCATTTTATTGGCATTAATCCCGAGACATTATCTCGCGAATTTAATTTTTCGGAAATTTTTCCAAATTTGTTTTCTAGTGTAGCTCAGCATCCGCTGGACCAATCAAAAAGTGCGCCATACATTTTTTGTTCAGAACTTTCTTCTAATCACTATGGCGGTATTCCCGAACAATTATCTAGCGAATTTAATTTTTCAAAAATTTTTCCGAATTTGTTTTTTACTGTAGCTCAGCATCCGCTGGACCAATCAAAAAGTGCGCCATACATTTTTTGTTCAGAACTTTCTTCTAATCACTATGGCGGTATTCCCGAACGATTATCTAGCGAATTTAATTTTTGGAAAATTTTTCCAAATTATTTTTGAGTGTAGCTCAGCATCCGCTGGACCAATCAAAAAGTGCGCCATACATTTTTTGTTCGGAACTTTTTCCGAATTTTATTGGCAATATAGCCGAACGATTATATCGCAAATTTAATTTTTCCTAATTTTTTCCGAATTTGTTTTTTACTGTAGCTCAGCATCCGCTGGACCAATCAAAAAGTGCGCCATACATTTTTTGTTCAAGACTCCCGGGTTAAGACTTTAGCGGTATTCCCGATCAATTATCTCGCAAAAATTAATTTTTCGAAATTTTTTAAAAAATTTATCTGAGTGTAGCTCAGCATCCGCTGGACCAATCAAAAAGTGCGCCATACATTTTTTGTTCCAGACTCCCGGGTTAAGACTTTGGCGGTATTCCCGAACAATTATCTAGCGAATTTAATTTTTCAAAAATTTTTCCGAAATTTATTTGAGTGTAGCTCAGCATCCGCTGGACCAATCAAAAAGTGTGCCATACATTTTTTGTTCGAAACTTTTTCCGAATTTTATTGGCAATATTACCGAACGATTATCTCGCAAATTTATTTTTTTGTAAATTTTTCAAAAATATTTTTGAGTGTAGCTCAGCATCCGCTGTACCAATCAAAAAGTGCGCCATACATTTTTTGTTCGAGTCTCCCGGGTTAAGACTTTGGCGGTATTCCCGATCAATTATCTCGCAAATTTAATTTTTCGAAATTTTTTAAAAAATTTATCTGAGTGTAGCTCAGCATCCGCTGGACCAATCAAAAAGTGCGCCATACATTTTTTGTTCAAGACTCCCGGGTTAAGACTTTAGCGGTATTCCCGATCAATTATCTCGCAAAAATTAATTTTTCGAAATTTTTTAAAAAATTTATCTGAGTGTAGCTCAGCATCCGCTGGACCAATCAAAAAGTGCGCCATACATTTTTTGTTCGAGACTCCCGGGTTACGACTTTGGCGGCATTCCCGATCAATTATCTCGCAAATTTAATTTTTCGAAATTTTTTAAAAAATTTATCTGAGTGTAGCTCAGCATCCGCTGGACCAATCAAAAAGTGCGCCATACATTTTTTGTTCGAGACTCCCGGGTTAAGACATTGGCGGTATTCCCGAACAATTATCTAGCGAATTTAATTTTTCCAAATTTTTTCCGAATTTGTTTTTTACTGTAGCTCAGCATCCGCTGGACCAATCAAAAAGTGTGCCATACATTTTTTGTTCGAAACTTTTTCCGAATTTTATTGGCAATATAATCGAACGATTATATCTCAAATTTAATTTTTCGTAATTTTTTCCGAATTTGTTTTTTACTGTCGCTCAGCATCCGCTGGACCAATCAAAAAATGTGCCATACATTTTTTGTTCGAGACTCCCAGGTTAAGACTTTGGCGGCATTCTTGATCAATTATCTCGCAAATTTAATTTTTCGAAATTTTTTAAAAAATTTATCTGAGTGTAGCTCAGCATC